CGTTTCTGTTCGTGCCGGGTTGATTGCCGTTACCGGCAAACTCCGCACCTGCCACCCTGGTCCCTTGTATCTGTTGTTTTGTCCTAGAAGGCATAAAATTTTCTTAGTTTTCCGAGATGGGAGCCGATTCTAGTGAATGTTAGATACTTGAACTTAACAGTGCCTCAGGTGCCAAATTTTCATTTCTTGCCGTACGTATCATTTCTGCTCTGTTCATCAGTTGATACCAACACCTTCGTGGCTTCATCGTAGCATGAATCTATCAAATCACTGACATGGGTGAACCGGAAACGTTCCAGTGAGCCATTTCACACGTATAATTCTCTGCGGCTTTCATGTCTCGACTTGGAGCACCCACTACATAGCTTCGGTCCGGGTTCGACTCCCGATGAAGGACAATGACGTAGAGAGTCTTCTGTATTTTTTCCCTCCTTCTCTAGTACGAGGATCGCTTCTCATCTCAGGCAAGTAGAAACCCATTGCCAGAGGAGACAGTTCCAAAGAAAAGATGTACCGAGTCCCAACTTTTTTTCACTACGGATGAGCTCGTGATATGAGGAGATATGGCACCACGTAAATTAGATTTTAGAACACCGCGGTCCGAGCTATCATGATAATACTACTACCTTAGGTGTCCGAAGCTAAGTCAGAATAAGCTCACCGGAGAGATGAAGGACACTAACCCAAAGTCCCACACACATAGAAACAATCCTCATCTCGCACCGCACTCAACGCGTTGGCAGTGACATCACCATCCTTTACATTGGCTAAGCGAATCGGGCTGGGTGCACACATTAGTGCTCTCTTCAGATTGCCATATCAAACGCGCACACCTTTCCCCTAGCTGGTGCACTTCAATCCCCACTTAATACGCGTCAACTTGATGATGAATATTCTTTTGGGCCGCCAACGTCAATGCGAGGAAGGCCCCGCGGAGGGAAAGGCGTGGGATGTACGGTCCCGATGCATGTGTCTCGGCAATAGAAGCGGATGTTGTCGAGGGTGAGATCATTTATCGTGAGGGTGAGTAGTAGCGGAGGGCGGTGTGGAGAAGAAGGTCCAGACACGGAGTATTAGTGGAGGGTTCCTCATGAGCGCAAGGTCCAACACGACACCGCGAGCTAAGCATGGTGCGAACGACTCGGACTTGGCAACACTAGAGAGGACCGCCCTTTGCCCCTCCTCCCACCCTCGAGTACAGATCCCCGTCCTTTCATTGATTCGTGAAATCGTCGACATCTCCCCGGTGTATCGAGGAATCATCAAGTCAATGGCCCGGGGTTCCTTGGCTTTTCCTTCTCGCTAGCTACCCATTCTCAACTGGCCAGCCATCCTATTGGCAGTAAAATGAGTCAGGCTAGTGCACACCGTCGAGTCAAATGCACGTACTTTGCGTGATCCTCCTAGTCTGACGCTTGCTACGAGAACGAACCTATCATCTCCCGTTCCTCATGAGTCATTGCACGGACCCACGACACCGATGGATGGCGAGCTCCTGCCCCCTCTCAATACCAAAGCCCTCTCTTCGAGCCATGCTCAGCACGGGTGATGCAACGGGGTGGAGAGCACAGAGAAACGCGCGCGCGCAGACTCCCGTCAACGATATCCGAGCCGTCGCCCAATCTAAATCCAGCCGCCCTCTTCGTTCCTCCCACCTGGCTCGCGCATTCAAATATTCATCAACAGCCTATCAGTGCTTGTCCAGGTTCCAGGTGGGCAGGTTTTCTTTTTGCGATTGACGGTTCCCTCCTCTTGGTATAAACACCAACGCGTCCCTCCTCCGTATCCTGGTGCCGAAATCGTGGTGATGTGGTTGAGAAACAAAAGCGAAGAGACGCGACTGCCATTTGGGGAATCAAGTCGACTTTAGGCTTCCGTGATTCTACACTGGGTTCGATTCCCAATTTAGAGAACTAGACTTAAATGTCCATACCTGAGCTTGATTTTCTTCCACTCAAGTCACCTTTCCAGTATTCATATTCAGCTGAGTCGGGGATACCCTCTTCGCGCTCCAAGGGAGACGTCACCCCAGGGTGCAGGGATCAAATAGCACAGAGCCCATAAAAAAAGGTGGGCTCGGACGTGCAAAAAAACAGTGCGTGCTCCTGCATTCGAAACATCGCAGATAGGAGAGTGGTGTGAAGTAACGAGCATCGACCCGCCTTCACCAACAACCCCCGAGCCTCCCCAAGAACCGGCACCCACGACTGACGGCCTTTCCCTCTCCGTCCCATCTCTAAAATCAATGTTGATTATGGGTCAGCCGACGATGGGGGGTAGTCGGTGCATCCTCATTCCTCTCAAGCGGCCTACATAATATCCTCCCTCGCATCGTGTAATCTCTGATAGAATACCGGCTAGTCCACTTGCAAATTGGCCGGAGGGTTCAATTCCCAATTAGAGTCTCCCGTAGTATATGCAACTGTTTTTTCTTCTTCGACGCATGAGGGCTTTGCTCCCTACACTAGGAGCGGATCAACAAACCTCAGAAAGTGTTGGAGGAATGCGCGGTAGCCAACACACTGGTACCCTTATCTCAATGCCAAAAAAGCGAATTACCAAGTTTGAGGCGCTCAACCAAAGGAGAGAGTCGCAGCGTGATATCACCGGGATGTGGGCAGTCCTCGAGTACAAATTCCCGCGCGGTCTACACCCGAACCACCATGACCGTCGTTTAGTTCTCAATTCTATAATAACCTCTAATAGGATATCAGTTATCAAGCCTGCACGGACCAAAACTGGGTTCGACTCCCAGTTAGAGCATTCCTCGAGTTCCATCAGAGCATGTGACTTTTTCTTTCCTGCAAGGCGGGACATGCAGTAGAGAGGAGATAATACAGCACCAAGACCATGCTTGCAAGGGACAACTATTAGACCCATTCCGGAGTCAAGTCACCTCGTTTATGCGCCCTGGGTTCCACTCCCACTCAGGATGCGCCAAGGTACTTGATGATGAATATCACAAAGCGAGGGAAGATTGGAAGTGTGTGAAGTGTATGATCTCGGTGTGTGGGTCTCGGTAATAGAAGCGGACCCGTAGTAGAGGTGGATGTTATTGAGAGCGAGGGGGCGGCAGTGGAGGACAGTTTGGAGGGCATTGGACACACGGCATGGAACGGAAGACGCTGAAAACCGCGAGCTATGACCCAGGCTGGGCAATACCGGAGAGGACCGCCCTTTGCTTTGGGGCCCCTATGTCCCGCCCTCGAGCACAGACCCCGCCCATCCTCTCTCGCTAAACCATCGTCTGCATAGCACGTTTCTTTATCTGCGCTCCCAACAACCCCACTCTCTCTTGGCATCAGGACATCTCTTCTTACTGCACGCGCGCTTCACGGGTAAGGCTGAAATGGCGAATAGAGACGGGCGTGGGACTGGCGAAAGAGAACTTGAGAGAGATGCCATTGCCGTTTTGGGACGCTGCACTGGGTTCGACTCCCATTCAGAAATACTTCGTGTATTTATCAAGGTTACACATACGTTTTTTCTTGGTTCTCGTCGCGTGGAGGAGGATCAAACGAACTGAGAGTGCAGTGTTCGACACTGATATATGAACCCCATCGTAGAAGATGGGTTAGCCGTACTCATACGTGGTTCGACTCCCAGTAAGAGTTCTCATTGAAGTCAGGATTAAACAGATTTTTGGTTCCTAGTAAGAAATCTTTTCTTCCGCGCCGAAGGAACCTGCACTGCTGTGCAAGTCCTTCCTGCTTCGTGGTGTGTTTCCTCCTACCAGCCGCAAAAGACGCGGAACTGCCATTTTGAGAACCAACGACGGCGCTATCATGTAACCTCTGATAGAGTATCAGTTAGTTACACCTAGCTGGGTTCGAGTCCCAGTCAGAGAACTCCGTCTGACTACGATACACATGTCTTTTTTTCTTTTCTTCTGCTGCATTGTACTTCAGGCCCTGGCGAGGTCTTGCACGGAAAAGCAACCTGTCGAGCATTACCCGTGGCGAACCCATGATATCTGCCGCGCTTGTTAGTCCCAGAAGAAAAGCAGTCGACAAACGAACAAACTTGAAATGGATGGTCCTCTACTCACCTGATCGGTACGGGAAGGGACGATTCATTAGTTCGTGCTCGCAATACAGGAGGTACCAAAACAAATTCTGTGGATATTTATTTAAAACAATGTTCGAACTAACCAGCCCGGAGGACGTACTATAGAAAGAGTGGCAGTTCGGCCACTAACCCATCCACCTCAGCCTTCGACAACAACACATCCTCCAAAATCGCTCTTCCCAGAACTCTCGGATCCACCGGTTCTCCTCCTCCTCCAACCCCATGCTCCTCCATCTCACATATATCCTCGCCTAGGAGATTCGGCCGCAGCGAGACACGGAAATGCTCTCTGAGAAATCTCTCATCTTGGCCGAGTATATGAATATGAATATGAGAAGGTAACAGTGGCTAGGCAGTCGAAACCTTAACGTATTACCCGTCTAGAAATCAACATAACGACAAGGCTCGTGAAGGAGAATAACCCACCTCGCTAGTAGGAACGATTTTACGGGAACCGTTGTTCCAGTTATTGCGAGGCGAACCGTCGTTAGTCAGCCCCAGGTAGAGAGAGCCGTTGGGCAGGAGGCACGAAGTACCTTCCTTGATACGCGCAGTTGAAATGAAGACGACCCGAGACTCGCAAGATGATAAAAAGCGCGCTAGTCATCTTCGACTGATATTAGCGCGAGAGGATCAAAATCCAAGATATCCTTTGTTAATTTCTTCTTCCCGGGAGCTTGCTAGAACCAGGCGCAATATGAAATGTCAGCGACCTTGAGATACGAATGTCTCATTCTAAGCCGACGGGCGAGCTGACGTAGGGACTTCAGCACGTCCTTCCACCTCGGCTGCACCAACTGATAAAGCCTGTTTAGTCTCATTCCAGAGACAAGACAAATGCACGCACCTTTCTTCTTCCTGTGCTCTGGTAGCGCGTCGGGTCTGTTAGGTACGAGTGGGTTCGACTCCTGCTCAGAACGTAGGATATATCCATGTTCGGTCACTGTTTTGGACCTGAGCTTGGCTGGAGAGTAAGAAGGGAAGGCGAAGAATCCACTGGCGTGGGTTCCCACTCAGTCTAATCCACCAAGCGGAGAACGATACACTCACATGGGTATTCTCTTATTACTCCGCCCACTACCCAGACTCAGCGAAGTCTTGAACCAAAAGAGAAGAAGTGGTCGCCTGGGGAAGAGATCCTTGTTGCTGGGATGATAATGAGCGGCTCCTCATTGTGCGTGGTGAGCACAAGTACCCAGGTCGACAAAGAGGTTCGAAATGTAGTTGCGACGTGAACGAGATCTGGGACGTGTGTGATGGCGAGGACCTTTGGTGCAGACTACCTTTAGATATTTGCTAGACCGCTCCTTCCAAATGTGTGCTTCAATCGATACTGGCCGACATGCACTGGGTGCTCTTGAGTTTATCGGCAATTCCTTCTCGAGCCAAAGCGTCGTCTGGGGTTCGCGTCGCGTCACTATCTCAACTGCACGACTGGCTTTTCCTTCCTACCATCCATCCTCTCGTGGACCACCATACTGCCAGGCTCCTTGTCCTCTGGGTATGGGAACCGCTTCGCTATCCAAGCGCCGTCATTGGTACCGAAACCGTCGCGCTCTCGCACTTGGAAGCAAGGGCAGGACAGTTGACGACGGTGTGTAGGCGCGGCAGGGGTGCTGGCGAATACCAACGGTTGGTCCTGAAAAGCTGAAATATTGAGCAGAATGTGCACCATTCATGTCTCCCTCGTCTCCTATTCAGACCAACCGGACCTATGCCACCACGTATGGACAATTCTTGAAAACTGGCCTCGTCGAGTTCTTCTCGTCGTGGATACAAGTGCGTTTCGGACAGTTTAAGAGCCTGAGGCAATTGAGAAATATGAAATAGTCTTGCTCACATAATGGCAACTTGAACCAAATAGTCGGTCTCTGATAGTATATCGGTTAGTACACGCGCCTGTCATGTTGAGAAATAGTTGTGACGCGCGAAAGCTGGGTTCGACTCCCAGTCAGAGAGTTGATAAATAAAACACGGATTTTTTAGTCCTCACTGAGCAGCACTGAGCACTGATTCATAGGGTAGCGCACGTAACCTCCAAGGGGGTAAGTTACGGTTTCTTACTGACTCCTCCTCCCAAGGGGGCTTTTGATACGGTAATATACCGTTACTTACCTCTCACATGCAACATCACATGAACGCCTCGCGGCGATTGCACAATGCAGATTTTTCCCCAGAATTTTTGTCTTTGCATTTTCTTGAAGTCATGTATTATAATTCACCGGAAATATGGTCCACCTGTAACAGTATTTTGCTAATATGCTATTCATACAATATCATTGAAATCTTATGCTGATTTGACAGCAAATTGGTAGTCATATGATAGGTAAGTTACCTCTACAAAAAACCCCTCCGGAGTCCGGCGGGGGGGTGACTTACCGGTAATAAACCCAAGTGTATCAAACCTGGGTTTCGTGCGCTACCCTAGACGAGTCACGATTCTGGTGACGAAACCTCCAAGGGTTGTGAGCTACTGTAATTTACCCACCCCTCTCATAGGTAGGTGTTTTGATAGTACAAACCCTCCAGGGAGGGGAGGTAAAGTATCAGTAACTAACCAGTAGCTTACCGGTCCAAAACCGAGGTGCATCAAGACCTAGGGTTTCGTGCGCAACCCTAAGGTGATAGGACTGAGAGTCTGAGACTCAGGACTCTGATTGCAGGCAAAAGCAGGCCCCGGGAAACCTGTTTTTTCAAATTTTGGCACGACGGTGATGGGTGACAGGCTTCGGGCGATGGTGCTCAAGCTTCTCAATCATTGTCAGCCGTCGCTGAGACCCAACATCCAATGTCTATTGTCCACTTGAATGGATATTTTTACTTGTTTTATTACTTCAATAGTGCACGTTGGGGTTTCTTTCCGCGAGGAAAGATTGCTCACTCTTGGTTGGGTGAAAGAAAGTGATACATGCCCCAGTAGTGTATCGGCTTAGGTCTATGCACATGTACTTCGGGTTGAATCCCACTGGCGGAGTAGGGAGGTACGCTAAAATTTTGCTCCGATAATGTTAATGTCGCGTCGGTTCTATTTGAACATGGGCAAGTCCAGGCTCGAAGAGTGTACTTCTGTGTTGTGGAGATACAAAGCATTGGGGCGTCATACAAGAAGTATCCGGAATCGAAATAACCGGAGTACGGCGTGCCCCTATCATGGAAGAATTGCATGCCTGAAGCTAAGATGAGTTGATATCTCAGGGTGCCAGAGACGACATGGTTGGTATCGGTTCTTGCTCAAACACCTCGAGAGTGGATGTATTCCATATATAAATTATTGCAAGCAGAAGGATAAATAAGATTGATCGACAGCCGACAGATAACCAGAGAGAAAGAAGGAACGAGCGGACGCCGTAGCTAAAAGGCGGCAGTTTTACGCAAGACCTGCAGTCACCAATTATTGCAACATTAAATTTACTGGCAGTTTCCAGCATAGCTGGTGTAGGTATTCGCGACCATAGAGCCCTTGAAGGTGGCAAAGCTGGAGCGGTCATCCTGGTTCGTCAAGATAGAATCAATGTTAGCGGCCCCTAGAACAAAACACGAGTTAGACCACGCCACCATAGGTTGAAAGTAGTATTACGAACATTTGTAGTGACCCTGTGTCTTGTCGTTGTAGTTGAACCAAATCCAGCCGGTCGCGAGGTAGCGGATGTTACCGGTGGCCTGGATATTACAAGTCTTGGTGCTGGTCTGCGAAGGAATGATCATTGAGCTGGTTGTTACCACGAGATGAAACGAGACGAACCTGAGCATTGCAAGTCTTGCCTTCGGGTGCAGTCATCTTTATGGTCACCTTGCTCACGTCGTTGTAAGATACGTCGAAACTATACGCCGACCGAGTCAGGTCATCGGCAGTTGGAAACGTGAAAAATGACCTACGTGCTCGACGTGGTATCGGTAACCGAAGCAGAGATAGTCAACGCTTCTGTCACTTCGGCTACCTCTGGAACACCGATTTTAACAGTAAGCGTATCGGAAACACCAATCGTCGAAGCAGCTTGGTAACCGTATCAATAAGTGAACAGTCAAGGAGGAGAGAAATGGAAAAACGCACTACTCATGGTGTAAGAAGTATCAGTATTGAAGCCTTGGTCGACTTCAATGTCGACTTCGCCTTCTGTGCCAACGAGAGTGCCCTGAGAAGAGGCGGTATGTGTCTGGCAGACCGGATCGCCTATCTTAGGTTCAGGAACAGTGTCAAGAACAGTATAGCTGAAAACCAACCAGAGAAGCTGAGCTGGACAACATCGTCCGTGATACAGACTTGTGCAGGGCTGTCGACATACTAAAGAAGAGTCAGAAGGTTAAATCATTGATCTCATGAATAGAAATTTGGTCTTACGTCGGAAGGGTTCGTAACAATGTTGCGGGAGCCACTGCCCCAGTTATCATTGGCGTATTGAACGATGGCATCCCATCCAGAAACTGATAGGGTAATCCTTAGTGGTCAATTATACAAATGCAAAGGGACCACTTACGGGTTTTTGCTTCATCAACGGAAAGTTGCGCGCATTGGCTGGCGGCACGACGCTCGACACTGCTGGACGAGGCATCGTCAACCGGGTACCTCCCGTAGAGAGAACCATCGCGCTTGAAGGCAAGGTAGTGACCTTTTGCCCTCGTCGACAGCGATATGGGTGATATCTCTAGGAAGAGACCGGACAAGATCGCTGAAAGGCAGAGCAGTGACGCCGGAAAGGGCAGTCAAAAGAGTGAAAAACTGGACAGGATATCAACATTGTTAGAGATCGATGACAGGAGGTCACTCACAGTGACAGTGCTGAACATCGTGCAGGGTAGATGTGAAGGATCGTAGAACGAAAAGATGGATAGAAAGAGACCTGGGGTAGTGAAACTCGTGAAAGAGAATGTAGCTGATAATTCTCTGCAACGCATTACATCCAGCTTTATATTCCAGAAGCTAAGTTTCAGGATGTCAGCAGGTGGCCGAGATTACATGGAAAAACACTCACGAGATGTTTCGAGGCAGCGCGCTCGTTCATGTCGACCACCTGGACTTCAAGATCTCGGGACGTGTTTCTGATCGACAGATCATCCAGGCGTATCGCTAAGGCGTATTGCACCGCCGGTAACGTAGATAAAAGATACGTCGGTAGATAAAGATAGTCCGAACTAGTCTCGGACCATAGTGACGACTGCTATCCTATTCCAGCAACCCACGAAAGTTTAGTAGACTTCAGGCATGGGCGCAGAATAGGCCGTCAAGAAATCTGGAGATAACGGCAAAGTGACTTTTGTCTGAGGGAAAAAGATGAATTTGAAGGCAGTTGAAACGAAAGGCTGGGCATTACTTACGGCATCATCTCAGCCTGGACGTTCCGGTTGATAGTGTTACGAAGAGATCAAAACCATCAATGATTGACCGTCTCGCCGAAACCAGTCGGATGTTTGAGTCGTACGAGACGCATACTTTCATGGAATTTTGTGCACTGTTCTAACCATAGAAACAGTTCGCGATGAATCCTTGAAGCTTGGGTTTGTTGGATGCCAGGTAGTTTGTCAACCTGGACGGAGAAAGGAAGAAAAGGCATTTAAGCGGCCGGTATCGGCATCTTGAAGCCGATTCGCACGCCACAGGCGCGTCAAACCCCCAGTTCCGGCCATCATATGTTCCTTACGACCACCATGGTCGGCGCCCAAACATCTAACTCGTTCCTCGCCTGACGTCGAAGAGAATTGAAAAGTTTCAGGAAAAAATCGATTGGAGTCGACTCCGACCAAACAGAAACGCTTTATCGCCGCTCTTGAAACTGGCACAAGGACACGCAACCCAATGCTTTGAGTGCACCACATAATTATACGGCTATGGCAGGAGGCGGTACCATGAGCAAATTCTGTGATAATCTGATTTGGTGCGGTAACAAAGCCGAGGGGTGCTTATACGATTCAGGTGGCACAGTAGCCAGTGAGGTGAGGCTATTCATTTGAGTAGCTGGCTCCAGCGACCACTACTACGTGTTTTCGACAACTTCTCCCTGTAGGGAGGGGTGAGGTGAGTGAGAGGTGCTGGGTAGTATTAAATCTCAGGCTTGTGAATATCATGGCCAAGCCTCGCTGGAAGGTACGACGGCACGGTCCACACAATGTCATGCAATGCAACGCGCCCAATTTTCTGAATAAACACAGTCTGTACTTGGTTCTCAGTCACCCCGACTCCTGCGCCTTCTAAGGACCCCTTAGGCTCTGGAGTGGAAGTGTACAAAAACAAGCGGGGAGAAACTGCACCAGCTGCTTGGTCTCAAGGGGCGTGGGAGCACAGAACGAAGGATGCACTACTTATCTCACAGACTGTAAAAAATGTGACAGAAGTTACCCTCGGTCTCTGATAGTGTATCGGTTGTTAGTACACGCACCTTTCATCAATCCTGTGGGGTTCGCGTGAAAATTGGGTTCGACTCCCAGTTGGATAGTGGGTTGACGTTTTTACGGTCTTTTTACTCCACTGTGCATAGTACTTAGTGTTTTTAATCTGTCATTTGCCATCAGTCCATGCGCACTGCATACTGCAATAGGCACTGACTAGCTGATGCACAGTGTGCACCCATGAAGCCTCACCAACACTCTCCCCATAGGGTAACAGAAAGTACTTGAAGTTGGTTTCAAATTTTCATACGCTATGATTACTACTTACAGCAATAAGATTCACAAAGATCATGACTTCAGTAATGCGGCTTTTGCTCTCAGGCCATGGAAAACCGTCATCTTCCTAACTGTCTTCATCATAGAGAGAATCGAACGGCTCTAATCGAGGCGGTTACGTCTTCGAACGAAGAAGATGCACGCGGACGGCGAATCGGCACGGAGAACATTTCAGAGGATGGAGAACGAGAACTTGTCGCAGTTAGAACGTTGTCCACCATAAACGGAATCCCAAGGAATCAAATATTTCACCTAGACGTGGCCATGCAGATGTTTGCTGTTTCGCAAGACGATTTCTATTTACCTGAAGGATATCTCAATCCTTGCTCTACTACATAGCGTCGCTCTTCACATTAGGTCATGAAATTTCCCGTTACTTCGGCAACATGACGAAGAGAAGATGCAAGAACTCAAACCGAGAATATCCTACCAGAGCGTGTTAAATGGATTCCAAGTTCAATATGCGGTGGACGTATGATCAAAATAATCCTGCATATCCGTACCATAGAAGAAATCCGGGGTATCCTCCAGCCTACCATGGCAATTCGTCAGCAGTCGAACAAGAGTGGGTATTTCGTCGCTCACATCGGGACGTCCCCGCCAAAGCCGAGATCAAAGTGGCATATGGATTGCAGGTACTCCCAGTCTTCGAAAGTTAATGACGGCTCGCTGGATTTGTCTGTTAACTCAAGCACCGGCGGCGCGTATTCATCATAAAAGGCTCTAGGGATAACGATCAGAGCCATACAAGTCTGCCAGAGCAAGACGGGACCTACCTGATATCATCCATAGCCTCCTCGTAGCTATCCTCATACCTTCCTTCGGGTGAAGGAAGACAGATACCATCCAGTGCCATTTCAAGGATAACACTAAGCATGATAAATGGTAAGAATAATGTGTAAAAGAATCGATGATCGCAATGGCACTCACATGTCGCTGAGGTCGGCGGGGGTGTGATGGGCGTCCATGGAGATAAATGTGCTGAGAATGCCTTGAAGAGTTTCGAGCACGCTTTATAGGGAGTAGCCGTCTTGTTGTGAGTCGCCATGTGTATCGTCACGAGCGTAAATAAAAGCAATCCCTGCCACTGGCACCCTTTCATTCTTGAGATCAACGTTGATGGCATGGCAATATAAGCTCCAGGAGACAATATACGGCATATGTATGCCTTCTTTAGCAGGACAGGCCAACGTCGATGACAGCATTCAGAAAACAAAGGAGGGCAATTGACCTGCCGCTTCATTCAATCAAAAAAGAAGTTCCGCTTTTCTGGCTCTCACAAACCCACCCCACGAAGCCGGTCAGCATGTCGGAGAAAAAGAGTACATTTGGCTGCCTATCGAGAGAGAAACGAAAAGCAACACGCCTTAGATGGTTGTCCAAGAACAAGAGGCGTGGGAACCCTGATTCGATCTCGGCACCTAAAACGCTCCTGGCAATATGGCGCGTCCAGTCTACATATCGATAATTGTTATGCATGATTGTGAGCATTTATACTCACCTCAAAGCTTCCAGATCCAATTTCAATGCCAAAAAGACCACTCTTCCGCTCAGGTCATAAAGGGCTGCTCGCAGGTTGATCCAAAAGCAGCGGCGCATTCAGTCTCTGCCACAGCATCCAGCACGACTCACCCAAACCGAGGAGAAAATCATCTAAAATAAGTAAGCTGTTGTACATACTATATATACGTTAACCTCTCCCTCCCCCTACTAGGGTATGGACATGTAAATGAAAATGAATGGACGTTCATGGATACAGACAAGAACTTAACAACATAATAATGGAAGAAGAAAAAAAAACAAGCAAATAACGCAAATTTAGAAGCATACGCACGAATAATATCTCTCCCGCATCCTCATTCAAATTTAAAAAAGATTAGGCATCTCATGCCCTTATCCTCCATCCGTCGCCTTTCCGACTGACCTTGCCCACACCTCCGAAGCCCTCCCTTACGACGAGCCATAATCCCGTGCTGCAAACGACATCCTTGATCTCCTCGGCTGTAAATACGAGGCCTGTGGGAGCTATGACAAGACATGAGACGCGACACGAGAAGGAGAAAGAGACAATGCTTACTGCCTTCGCTAACAACCTTTCTCCCGACACCTTCCCCCTCTCCCTCCCCGAGACTGACTACCCTCCTCCTTACGATGCCTACCCGCTCAACCTCTACGTCCGGTAGTGGGTACGGCACCTTAAGCATCGCAACCACCTTTGGATGATGTGGTGTCGGCGAAAGCGTCCCGACCTTGAGCTTCACAGACTGTGACTCACTCACAGGGCGGGGTGAAGCAAGGGAATTCCTATTCGTCGACGTCGACGTCCTCGGTAAAGATGGACCAAGGCGCTTCACCTTGACGGTGCATGTCCACGGCGTCTCCGAATCCTCCGGATCACTCTCCTCCCCGTCGTCCTCTTCCGTCTTCGATCTCGGAAATCCATCTGCACTCGTTGCTGATACGGAGCTCACACTACCCACGCTCGTTCGCTTTCTCCGGGCCGTACTGGGTCTGTTGGATGCCTTTGCGCCCTTCTTGGTTTTCGATTTCCCCCGTCGCCATTCGACACGAACTTCGCTTCCTTCACCGACTGCGGTCTGATTTGAACCTCGCAACATGCCTGCGAGAACACTGCCCCCTTCCCCCTTGAGCCACCGCCTCACGGTCCAGACGTATATAGCGGGTCCACGACCGTTAAAAACTCCTCTCGCAGCTGGTGGATAAGCCGAAGACGTGAATAGAGTGACTAGGGTAGGATAAGCCGCGGGGTTCGGTGTTGACACTGACAACAGAGGCTGAATGCCAAGCGTAGCCGGAAGCAAGACTTCACGAGGAACATTGGCTGCTGTCGTCACCGCTACAGGTTCCTCCTTCTCTGCCAATGGTACATCGACAGATCTTCGGGGGAAGATGGGTGACGGCGAACGACGGGTAGAGCTGGCTGACATATTCCGAACATGCCGTGCTTGCGTCGGTGTCGTGTTTGGCGTGGGTGTCAATGGCATCGGATCCTTGGAATTACGCTTGAACATCCTCCCAAATAAGTTCTTTCGAGCCTTGTCCTCGCTTGCAGCAGATGGTGCATGCGAGCCTGCGCTTGACAGTGAAACAGCACTCGAGGCAGGGCTGGGACCGGTCGGGGGCATCAGCGCACCAGTCGACGAGCGCGAATCTTGTTGTTTCAGCTCTCGAACGTCAACTTTCGTCGCTGCCCACACCTCGACGGGCTCCATCACTGCCAAATCAATCAACTCCATTCCCCTTTTGGTGAATTTAGCGATTTTGGCGTCGGTCCCAGCGTCGACAATGATGTTCGTCATGACATTATGGGCCTGCAAGTTGTAGAGGGGGATGATCATCCGTCTCCCACTGGCAGTTGATGAAACAGAGGAAAAAGATGAAGTCGAAGATAAGTTAGATTGGGTACGGCTCAAGGAGGTTTCAGAAATGGTATCGTCAATGGACTGTCGGGGGGTAGGCAGACCTGGTGCACGGGTATTCGGTGGAACAAGTTGGACTTGGAGATTCAATGGATGATTAGACTTTGCAGGCGGTGGCCGTACAAAAATAAATGTCTGAAGTAAATATAACTGTTAGCAAAGCCTTCAAATCTCACAGACATCAATACGAACTTCACTGGCTTTTTTCTCCCTTTCTCTTCTCTCCGTCTTCGATTCTCCTTCAACGGTCTCTTCCTGTACATCCTCGTCGTCTTCTTCCTCCATCACGATCGGTTTTGGCGTCGTTGGAGATGAATTGCCATTAATGTGGAGCACAGATGGTAAAAAGGAATTGAGCGAGGAAAACATCCCTCGTCGTTCGTGGTCAACCGTCCGGATGATGGTGGTAAAGGTGAGAGCGAATCCGAAATTGCAAATGACGCCAGAACAGCGGTTGCGAAAGAAGAAACACGTAAGCGGGTGATAGTTTCCGATTTTGGCAATCAACTCTGCTCGTACGACGAAAACTAATTGAATCCGGACTCATACAGAGGCTCCGATATGTAGAATTACGAGAACAAGTGGTAGTGTTACTAGGAAACTCTCACTCGGCTGGTCAAGCACCGTACGGATGCCGGTTCTCCGCAGAGCTCGATTTATTTGAATTTTAGGTGCACGCTGCCCCTGGTGTAAGGGGGGATGCGTCATTCGGCTCTGGGGCGCACGTCATCATCTAAGACCTGACAGGATCTGGTTCTCGGTATTTGTATTTCTGCCGCGGAAGGTCACGACGCCCAGTCCACGGTGCAGGGTGCGGCGTAGGAATTGTTAAGTATATCATACGATCAATCATACGTACGGAATTCAAACATCTCGGAAGGACCATGACAATCAAAAATTGCCAGGAAGACGTCCCTTGCCCCCCGCCCCCCCCCATAACTGCCTTACTCTGTGCCTTTGAATGGCTTCACCAACGGGCGACGCCAAAATTGGATGTTGCCCGATAACCGTGCACCGAAAAGAAATACAATGGCGATCCGAGTGAACCGGCTATCAAACACAAAGGGGTTATTTGGCTAGCTTATGCTGGATTGTAGTCTCGGTCCTTGGAACACACATCAAAACTTGATTCGAAATCATATCAGCGCCCTAAGTTAAGTAAAAAAAAACATAGGTTCCCCCTGGTATACTTCTAGCGTTCTCCGTACCAAGTTGGACCAAGAAACTTGCTCCGTATTTAGACAGCAACTTATCTATTTAAGTGTCACTGACCTTAAAAACTGGGTCAAAAGGCGAGGGGGAGAATGGAGGGGGGAGGGGAAGGGGGGCGGTCATTCCCTGAATTTTAGTCGAGAGACTCAGTGGCAACGGAGTCGTTGGGCATGAAACGCCCAAATGGACTTGATCGATCATCATGTGATGGCTAAAGTGCCTACTATGGCAGGACGATTGCTTATTGCAGAACGTCCCATTCCGCTCAAGATACAGTGATAAGAGATCTACTCGGATAACTTCCCCTTTTACGGGAATCAGCGGAAGGTCCAATACAAGAAACATGCAGCTTAGGCGGCTGGTTCTTTGGAGTTGATCATTACAGGAAGATAAATGCGTATATCCGGATAGTGGACTGGCCCGATATTCGCAACGTTGAACGCTAAAGATCTCATTGAAAGCTGAAACCACGCTGACCACCCCTTCCGACATCATCCGACACAAGTAATTCTATGGAGGAACCAGCTACAGCCATCTTGATGCCCCATGTTTCCTCGTGTCGCTGAAAACAACAGAAGGCGAGTTCAATTTCTGGAGTCTGGAAATACAGATTATCCGTCTTCTAGGCGCGCGTAGTGAACCCGTAAGAAATATACCTCAGGACCTCTTTGCCAGGGTCGCATCCAACCTACTCTCCTGTCGAAAGACGTGCCGCCCAGTGAAGACGATGACATCAACATCGAACGGCGTTGGATGGGCCATTTCATCGAGCTAAAGGTTTTTCTTTACGGTCGCTGTATTCTTCAAACATCCAAGCTCTGCGATAGATGGAGAGAGGATGATGTAGATGTAGCTAGAGTCTGCTATCTTGACCCAGAGCTAGGCATTGGTTCCTGCAAGTAATAGGAGAGCTGTCATCATGGATTGGACTCTTGGAGTGTCAGCATGGAACAGCCACAAGAGCATTATTTCGTTAGTCGGTCGAGGACTATACGTAAGTGCGATGTGTGATATCCGACCATCCTTTTCCGACGGAGTGATGCTGACGATAATCGTGACCAAGGTGCTGACGGTGAACACCAATTCGTCAGATTGCCTTTGTGTTTTTGTGCCGCTGTAATTTGTAACCTGAGTAATCAGGAATGTCATGCGAATTCGCTGTCAGCAATCGGAAACCGCGAAGCGTGTTCGGACCTTCCATGCACACAACATTGACCATCACAGTAAACGAGGATCAGGTCCATCTTGGTTTAATGTTCTCCTACTAGAAGGAAAGTTCACGATTTTCGGGCAAAAGCACTATTAGCACAGCGGCAGATCTAAAACCGTCAAAAATGAAGAATTGTTGAATATACTAAAAAATATACCTGACAAACGCGCTACACGACGGCTAGGATTATTGCCCATGCCTCGTTTAATTTTCCCTACAAGACTGAAGCCATCAGGCGAGTTATTGTCCAATAGAGATGATTGTATTTGTCGCCAAAAAAATATAACTCGCGTCACGTACGCGTTCCTAAATTGGTTTGGGAGAAGAGGCGTGGGAAATCATCCCAACCTTACATTTCTGATACTACTGTATACCTACTTACAATCTCACTACCGTCTCTTCCATTGCAGCATTTCAGTTCAGTTAGATTCCTGAGCCTTTGGCTCTACCTGGTGTGTAACTGCCTCCGAAGACCCACAGGGATTAAACGAAACCTTGAGAAGTGCGAACGTTCGCGCAGAGTCTTTTCCGGCTCATAGTTCTGGTGTACCATTCAGTAGCTCTCATGAGTAGGATCCAACGTTCCTTGGTTCTGGATTGTGATCATGCACTTCGTGGCATAAGTCTACCCTCTACAAGACTTTCCCGAATATGCTCTCCAGCTAGACTGTCTTCTGATCGGGATACTCCTCAAGGTTTGATTTATTGCATGTGGAGTAGGCTTCTCCTCGAGCGGTATAAGGGCATATCCAAAGCTGCTTAGCGCTCAACGACGGTCACTTGTTCTATTTATGACAGGCACACGCTGGTTCAGTGAGCTAGCTTCTCTTCCTTTCCCATTGATCAGGCCTCATGGCTTCGTTCATTTTCCCATCGTTCCTTCGCACACACGTTGATCCCACCCTCTTCGCCCTTGACCGTCAGCTACTATGATCCAATGCGCTCAATGCTACAAAAAACTGAGCACTCGCAATGGATGGAGTATGCATTGCCAGGCAAAGAAAGATCACAAGTTTTGCACCGAATGCACCATCCTTTTCTCCAATAGAAAATCGCTTCACTCTGTAAGTTCATGATCTCATCGACGTATACATTTCACTAACAAAATTCGAAGCATCTACGCGCCTCTCATCACAATAATTACTGTTATACTTGCGACCGTCTGTTCAGCAGTGACTGGGCCTGTCAACAGGTGCGCGATTCTATACAAGCGATTTAATCCACTGTTCTGTGAACCAACCATCACCCCTAGCACAAATCCTCCCGAGCCCACAAAATACCCGATATTCCTTGTTCAATGTGCTCGAAGAAGTTCAAAGCGCCCTCTGAGATCGCTGCGCACATCGAATCAGGCGGATGCAATCCCAACATCAATCAACATCATGCTAGTGCCGCTATTCACGCAATGGATATCTCACCCCCCATCATCATCACGTCACATCGAGGGCCCAGTTAATCCTATTGTCCACTTCTCTGCGACAAACATGGACGTTCCAGTCCCTAAACTCGCATCTCAACTCTCCGGCGCATGATGCGGAAGAAGTTCAAGGTCATCTCGTCGCTCATCCAACACATCGAGAGCGAGTCTTGTGGTATCGCGAGATTCGCCACTGTACAGTTGGAAGCGACGCTCCTGACTGAGCAGTTTGCGCGGCTGGTGCCGGGATAAGGACCTTCTTCGCGCACTACGCGTTGTCCTTGATCATTTTTTGGATGGACCAAATTGGGGATATGTAATTGTGCATTACTGATTGAACACCAGTTGCGCTATTCGTCAACTAACACGATTGAGAGACAGGAATTAGTTACGTTGTCATTGTAGAAATAGCCTCGGAACACCAGCCCCTTTACAATGACGTGATTGTAAAGTCTCCGCCACACCATACACTAGGTGAAGGAGGTTCCCTGTCATTATGATTGACAAAGTTGACGAAATAACAAGAATTGTATTTTCGCAGTAATGAGGATATCGAGATATTGCACTTTCACATTTGTCATAAGCAGACATATGAAGTAAAGGTGATGACAACGTAAAGATCGGAAATGTGGATGGGAACGCAACCGGGCCTTTTAGTTTTTAACATCCAAAGCTGCGCCCGACGGGATGAAGCACTGAATCCCGCGGAAGTCGTTCAGTCATTCATCATGACAACGTAGAACATCAGGTATGCTATTGTTCCGACCATCCGCGAACAGTGAGTTTTCCATCGGGGCGCGTAGGCCATCGGGGCATTCCGTCTTTCCGTCGGTCCGAAGGTTCGGCTGTGCAACAGTATCATGCAGACGACGACGTATCCATCCTGCGGTCCGCGGCCTGCTTCACATCCGGCTTATGCCCCCAGTATTCAGCCTCGGAAGGAAAATATCCGTAGAAGAATAAACCTGTAGTCATGACCCGAGCATCCGTTCCAGTTACACAAGTCCCGATGCATAACGGATTCCCATGCCGCAGGATTGACGTAAACAAGCGCCTCTCATCCGACCATCCGAAGGGTACATCTACACCCTGGGCACTCATGCGTGTGACCAGGGCTCCCCTTACGCGTCGTACCCAGAACTAGCACCAAATTTGTCCCCGATCCAAACCACTGCCCCCTCGGCCACGGCTGCCAGGAGGAACGAAGCATCGAATAACCCCCCAAACACCTGTCCTTCGGGTATTAACGAGAACAGGTTCGTAGGTTTCCCGTTAGGGACTTGGTCATCGTCCGCAGCTGCAGCGTATGGAGACGGAGGAGGAAATGACGTGCGTAGCTGGACGATCGTCGAGAGAAGGTATATGCCTATGAGCTGGGCCAGTAAGAGCATCATTAACGATGCGCCGCGATTCCGGGATGTGACCCTCAGGACCTGCAGCCAGAATTATAAACACTTCTTAACAACGGTGAACAGGATGGCAACATACCCGCGTAGCACTTCGTAATACCAGTCTGATGCTGCTCAATATGATGAGCCCAACAAAGACAAGGCCGACCTGCCTCGATACTGCCACAACACGTTCCTGTGGATAAGACAGGAGAAGCGAAAAAAGATATGCAACGAGATCAGGATAGTTGTATTCTGACGAGGAAGAGGATGACGTGCGCCTGAGGGTTGGAAACGCTAAGTTGATAATTGACTGCACAGGGCGTCAGAGGTGAAGAACGATGAAGGGAGAAGACACATACGCTCAAAATCCTAATCACGCAGTAAACTGCAAACACCTTCCCGCCGAGATTCCATGCTCGCCCGCAAAGGGTCCGACTGAGACGATTTGCTCGTTGACGTTCACGCTTGTCATCAAGCGCAAGGGCCATTTGATACTCAAGCGCTTGAAGGCCGGATATTTCCTGAGAGACTAAAATGAAGGTCAGAAAGGTTATGTAGGCCCAAAGAAGCAGCGTAGTTACTATCATCATTGCCAAAACTTTTGACGACACGCGAATACCATGGTGCAGTCTCATTCTATGTAAACACGTCATTGGGGGAACGGAGGAGAAACATGTAAGGAACCCACGCTATTCTTCCTCGTCGCTTCGTCCATTCGCGCCTTCAAGTCCTCCCTGATCCGTGCAAGCGCAGCTGTGCTCACTTCTATATCTCGATCTGTTGGGATGGGCCTAAAAGAACGTCAGTAAAGCGAAACGTAAAGATATAACGTCAATACCTTTCCTGCGCGAGCAGATATAGCCAGCAACTCCTCATCGCACCAAAGCCAGAAAGTGCACCAAGAATGATAGTTCCTACGACAATCAGCCTCGATAGGCATGCGGTTATCAAATCGATATCCGGATTTGAGTCGAGCGGTGATGGTAGCGGAATGAATGATAGTAAAAACAGACATATCAAAGGAGGGACAAACGACAGTAAAGGCCGTGAGATGATAATGTATGAAAAGAGAAGGGGAACAGCCAGGAGGATGATTACAAGGAGTACAAGGAGGCAAATGCGAAAATGGAGGACACGGATACTAACAAGGGGGTGTGAGATAGGTGAACATTGAGGTGATATGATGTACTTACCTAGGAGTGAATATGTTCAAACCTTGGAACATCAGCAAGAGAAACAACGTGCAGCTTTCTGTGAAGCACAAGGCGAACGTTGAGTGGGAGATACTGGTATGCCTCTCTTCTTTCGCCGTTTTCTGACTCCGTTGCACTATCGAGGTGCTTGACGTTGGAAGAGATAATTCAATAGCCTCTGCCTCCCCAGAAGTAGAGGATAGCTCTTGCAAATCTTCGTACAAGATACGCAGAATATATCGCCTGCATCCGAAGAACAACGCCCCCCTTCGGTCGAGCTTGAGTATGAAGTCAGAGTAGAGACCTTAAGGCGCACCGGAAGGCGAGCAGAAGAATTGTCTCGATAATCATCGTCGCGGCATGTAGTAGAGCAGTGCCAATTGGGTGATGGTGGTAGGAAGTCAAGCTGGTACACCGGCACATTGCGAACGTGTCGTGCCTGCGGAAATGCCACGTGGGATTCGCGTGGCTAACTGAATCCGCTCTTGCCCTTTCCGCAACCTTTCCGCCGGGACCCTTTAGGTTACGATTTGGCAGATAGAAGGTTTGCAACCGTATTTTCATGCACTGTGGAAAATCACTGGGGACTATCATCATCGAAATAAGTTTTCTCGTCTTCTCAGACACAGCGTAGAAGTAAGCATTATAGTATCATAGATCAGTTAAAACTTAAGTTATACCAATAGTTCTAAGCTCCTGCGACAACGTCCATAGTAAACATAAAAACAGTTTAGCGCTCAAATATAGGACGCTTGCAAAATCCCCGATTTTTGAATCAATTCTACATGCAACGTACTGGCATTATACACACTGCAAAGGCACTTCTTTGACCGCCGGAAGTTTGTTTTCGTCGCGAGCTTGGAAATTCTCTAAAGAGCTCATGTTCTCCAAGTTGAGGTCGCTCACGAATGTGACGGTCCGGGTTCCCTCTCCCTGTGTGTTCTTTGGGGCCTGGGATCGAGCCCCGAAGTGAAGTGAGGACAGGACACTCCCCTTCCATGTATCATCAGGACGCGCATGGCCGGAAGCAACACGCCCAACGATGAGTGTAGGAGCGATTCCCTGTGTAAGACTGTATTAGAGTCCGATCTTCACGGCAAAGGTTACGAGAGATGGATATCATCAACGAACCTTGATGGAGGCGTTGATCACATTCGGATACGCTCCCGTCAGTTCATTACGGGCGACGAAAGCCATATAGACGATCGTGGATGCTGAATAAAGTGCGGCTGATTCCACGATGACTTCGACAACACCGCGATATGATCGCAAACCGGCGCCATGCTTCCCACCTGCTACGGTAACGATTCGGTAGATAATAAGCAGCGTGCATAGAAGGGTCGTGGCGAGGGTAAAAGACAGGGAAAGCATCGTCCAATCAATCCTGAGCGCATACGGAGATGAATCGCTTTGGTCTTCGGTCGTGTCGGCAACGACGTGGTAAGTAGAAATCGCATCGAATACTGAGAGGGGACATATCAGTGCGTGACGGTGAAGACAGTACGGGAGCCAGCTTACTGGTTCCAGAGATGGTGCATAATATCGGGAGTAATATTATCCACCACCGACGCCCCCAGACGATCCAGCAGCGCCATATCTGGGAGCGAGGTTAACTTAATCAAGACTAGACGGAAATATCCTCATACCATTGAAGCGTCGGCAATGACAGTACTGATGCACCCAGTAATACTACCTACCAGTCGGAAAGTCACTGCACGGTCAGTGACGGACTGCAGTCCAACGAATATCGACCAGAATGTCTGCCCGTGTTCAATGAAGGCGTATTGAGTGAATGACCACTGAAAGGCCAAGTAGATTGTAGCGAGGACATATAACAGCACAACCATGAAAAGCATAAATTTCCGGGTCATGCCATAAGTCAATACTTTGCTGGTGCCTAGTCACGGTCCTCTTGAATGAATAATAGAAAAAGTCGCCCCAGTTACAACTTACATATACTCCATAGTGTGACGACTAATACGCAGGTGTATATTCCTATCTCCAGAGATTAGACACTATGTTCAGAATACAACTGAGAGACAGACATACCGTGCGTAAGTGCATGAATGACGAGCTCGTTCATGTACTCGTCATTAACGGCATACACAAACTTGATATCATCGTCAGATAATTGCGGAATGTCTGTTGAGTTTGAAGATGCCATTGTGGAAGAGAGCTTTTAGGAATGCCCTGGATTTTCACCTTATATACAGGCTATAGAAACGCTTTTGGTAACGTGAAGGAAGATGAAAATTCAAAGACAACATTTCGATGTTGAGATGGCGATGAAACGTTTCGAGATGGCCACCTTGAGAAATCTGATAGAGAAGATCAAGATCAGGATGATACATCAAGAGAGTTTTTGTCTGTGTGCTTGTTATCGCTCAGGATGGTATTATCTCGGTCCGAAAACTGAAGTTGGGGACGTAAATGATGTCAGTCCAGCTGGAACAAGCGGAAGGAAGGGCCGCGTAACGTACATGCCTATGGAGCAACCGGTGTGGACCATAAATATGTCCCGCCTACGACTATTCGCGCTGAGTCGCGGCAGCGACTTTGCAGTGGAGCGCAGTGCCTGACTGCCAAGCTACTGCCAGAACAGCTTCAATTCTTTCGGGTGATCGGTCATCTGTTCGCTCTGGGGTTCACTGGGGTTCATTAATAGATTCCAAGTCCCATGATGGACAAGTTAACGGTATCGGTTTTAGCTGGATCAAAGGTGAGCGTTTGGTCAGTGATTGTGGTGTCCAGGAACAGGATGGGACGACGGTACCGACGTGTTATTGGAGCTTATTCCCCTGCGAAATGAACCGACGATGATAAACGTACGCCGCAAGGATGGAGAATCACGAATTCCAATGCCTTTTAAATCAAGAGTAACGATATCCCAGCTTTTTAGCCACCGTACTCCATTCAAGGAGATAACCACGCGAATGCTTCGCGAAGAAAGTGTTACACCATCGGGAGCAGATTTCAGCATCGCGGTAAATCACTGATGTGAATGGGGCCACAATCAGACGCAGTAGCATTGCTTTTCGGCAAGCCGGAATGATGTTGAGCTCCAGTTTCAGAAGAATTCCAACATAATCTAGGCTATGCTTCTTAATGGTGAGTCAGTACCAAGTAGGGATCCGTACAATCGATTTTACGGGTTGACTCGTAAGCTATAAGCGCTGAAGGCAGAAGGCAGGGTTGGCAGGAGCTGTGAATTTAACAGAAAAGGAAGCCAATGGGGCAAGTGTGAGGGAAACTTTGTGAAACGCCTGACCCGAGCCGCCATTGCTGTTTTCAGAACTTGAAGTGAGCATGGGAGACAGAACCGGGCCGTGACCTTCCTTGGCACTCGGGGCTGGTGGGGTCGCCCAAAGTTCAAACTCCGAGTACTTGCTGAGCTCCAGCCGACGGCATGCAAGCGCGTTCGCGTCAGACTCGCTATGACAGCGCAGCGAAACGCCGGCTGGTAAACGAGCCTAAGTACGTTCACGTCATTGATCAGCTTTATTTTTGCCTCCGTCTTTACCTCCGTTTTATGTCTAAGAGTTCCAAACCACCCTCTCCTCGCCAACTTCTTCGTCCACGATCCTGGAAGGCATCTAGGCCCCCAGAAGCTCCCGCCAAACTTTGTCCGGCAAAAATCCCAAAATCGGACCTCAAATATGCAACTTTTGTGGCTCAAAGTACGCTACTCGGACAAAGTCGCTTCGGGCCTCCCGGGCCCGGGCCCACACGGAACCGGCCGCCTGAATCTGCTATATCCGCGGACTTCGCCGTCTAGCACTGAAGACTGATTTTACCTGTTTTCGACATGACTACAAATTTTCGTTGGAATTTTCCGGGAAAATATTGCGCAGAGGAGTCAGAAATCCAAATCGGGACTGATACCTTTTCAGATGTCAGGGTGATGGTGTCGCCGCCAGCCCAAAATTGGCCCAAAATATGTTAACTGTGGACAAAGTTCTTGCGATTTTTTGGCCTAAAATATGCTAAAATCCGGACAAAGTTTGGCGGGAGCTTCTGGGGGCCTAGGCATCTACGAAGCTCTAGATAGCTTATAACGCCTGCAAGGCCCACATCAGGGGCAAAGCCTGCTACGTTGACCCCTCTTGAAGCCTTGTTCTTTATATAATTATGATGGTTTATAATAAACCAAGTTTATGTATAATTGATTGATCCTGCGAGGTTTACTGGCTATAATTCCTGCAGGAGAGATTGAATCAAGGCCCAAGGGTTATTCAAATCTTGGCTTGCGGAAAAAACTCAAAGTCATAATCAATAATAGTCAGCATTCAAAAAATAGTAGTATGAATGAGAGAGTACTACCCCTTGAAATGATTCACTCAGTGGTGGTGGCTTCTGCTGCTGAGAGAAAAAGACTCGCTCGGTGGCGGCAGAATGCCGCCACCAGCTCGCATTTTCTCTCAGAGTTCAGTCAGAATCCTTGGCAAGATCGGCCGAACAACGCCGCAGAAAGCGTGATAGTAACAGAGGGTCACATGTAAACAGTGACAAGCGGTGACTGTGCCACCCCGAAATTCTGACTTAAACGGAAAATTTGAAGCGCTGGGCCGTGAATTTCTTCCACAAATAGAAAATTCTATGACATCGGACTTCGGGTTAAACTCAAAACTCGGCTACCACCATCCCTCTATAAGACCTACTACTAACGTAGCAGGAATAAGTACTATGTCGTCCCCGTTGTCACTGAGGCTACTTAACAGCAGCAGGACATTATTCACCGTTGTAACTCACCAGTAGTAAGTACCGCGAGTATCTATAAAGCTGGTTGCGCGGTACTTGTAACTTTCCAGGCTCATACAACGAAGTAGCATGCCTTCAGATACCTCCTTACGTGAGTGCTGTCGTCTGTCATCGACGATCTCCCAGGCCACGCAGTTATCAAACACTATTAATTTATATACGTAGACAGCTTATCATGGCCCGTATCAACTAATTTACGTTAAACCTCATCCCTGGTGTTTCCCTGCGCATCCTCCTCTGCATTCAATACATGAATAAGTACCGTCTCCGAAACGCTGGCATTCTTAAAAGCGCGTGAATATCGATTTACCCCTAGCTGACCAACGTGGAAATGTACACACCGTTTCGTCTCTGCCATTCCCGTGAATCTCTGACGTTTTGCGAAAAACAATAGGCGTCGGAGTTGCCGAGTTGCAATCCGTTCCCAGAAATTGCGTCTGATGATCTTTCCGAGTAATGAACCTGTATGCGATAAGGTCCGAAGGATCGGAACAGAGACGAAGGACATACATAGCAAGTAGGGAATTGATATAAACTGCAAAACGTCTCATTAGCGATGGCATATACAGGGATATAAGGGACTGACGTTTCGGAAGAACAAAATCAAATGCAAAGAATATAAGGGAATCCGGCCAAGCGATATACTGCAACATAAGCAAAGGACTGGGCGAATACTCGAGCGAGCTGACATACTGTGATGAGGCTTAGTAGCGAACATGTACTACCAGGTCATAGATGAGCAGTGAGGCAACCAGCTCCGAAAGAGATGTGCCCACCTCGTAGCCATTCCAGATACTAAAATGAATCGCATCAATAGCAAAAGAAGGGTAGCCATTCTAGAAGTTTCAAATTGTTAAAGAGCAGTCATTAGTCAAGACCAAAACCAACGCACTTCGAATGGCTCGTTACTGTTCTCATTTGATAGAGGTAATAACACATTGAAATGGCGATAATGAAATCTGATGTTGGTATCACACAGAAAATGGCATAAACTGCAGCCTGGGAGACCCGTTAGATAGAATAAATTTATCCAAGGACTGCACACCTTTTCGTTGCGTAAATCCGAGAGCCTGGGTGCGATATATCTGCAAAAGGTCATATCTGAATCCGACGCGTAGAGTCGCAAAGTGGGATTTACGCATAACGTAACGAGACTACAGCTAACATGTCAGTCATCCTGTTCAAGCAAAGGAAGGGTATCTCACAGATTCCAACACCTTGTGAGAAATGAAATTAGTCAGTTAACAAGAAAGACATGTGTAACATACCAAATACCGCTCCCACAGCTAGAAACTAAAGTACTCTTGCCATCAGCAACAAAATATCTAGAATGAAAGATTATCTTACAACGAGCCATGGAAGAGTCTTGGGAAAGTGCCGTCCCACTATAAATGTTGTACCCAGAGATGAGTGATGCCAGTAATGAGAGGGATGAAAGGACGAACGTTTCCACAGTCTAATAGCATATAGACTACCACCCGATATTAGTTCTGCGCAAATTATGAACTCAACACTCACCCTTGCACCCAAATAACAATTAACATCTGAAACAACTGTTATTACACGAGACTTGCAGACCATTTTTTGGTTGAATGACATACCTTGATTGTTGATTGAAGCTGTTGATTCAAGGAATGTTTAACAGAAGCCCTGTCCTTCGAGAACGCAAACATGTAACTGCACCTTAAAGCTCCTGGCAGAAACGATTAGCAAAATTCACCACATGATTTGTATGTTTACCAAACAGGAATATCCAACATAGCGAAATCGCCAAAATGCTTCACGAAATAGAAGTAAAGTAGATGGGTAGTCAACGCGGCGTGAAACGCATCAAGAGCCCTGGAATGTATGAAGATAAGCACATTGACTAAAAGGACGAGGAGCACACCAAAGCAGGGCTACCTGTCAAGCCGAGGAATGACTCAGATGAGTGTTTTGCCAGCGAACTGAATGACATGCACATACCGAATACCGATGAAACCACCAATCGTTCGAGCACCTGAAGAAATAAATAACAGCCGCCAAGCTCGTTAAACCAAAAAGACTGCATATAAGTAACCCGTCGTAAAACATGTGGCTGGAAAGTGCTCACAATACAGCGAGGGTAGCTCCGATGTACAATGCGCCTAAAGTATTGTCTAGGGAGGGATATGGCGACATCAAGGTGTATAAGATCTGGGATGCATTGAAGGCGGCAGCGGAGCAAGTGTATATATACCAAGAAACAGTGTGAAAAGATAAATATACACAGAACAGATGCGCTAACCGGTGATCGTGATCGTGACAAAGCTCTGACCGTGATATTCGCCCAATGCATGATCACCACATCTGCAATAGTTTCCCGCTGTATACTTCTCTTAAACTACTAGTCAGTCGACCGGGTCAAGCCACCTCCCTGACACTCTCTTCTGGGAGTCTCTCGTCGTCTTGTTGCTCTTTTCTACATCAAACAGTTTCGACGACTAAGAATAGTCATAGTGATCATATTCCGCTCCTTGAAAGCCCGAGGGTTCTGATAGTAACAGAACACATTAAGATGATGGATATTCTGATGCTACACTGCGACTCGGTAGTCAGCATCCTCCTACATCAATGATGTCGGACTGTTTGTTCGCAGTTGGAAGATTTTTAGTGATATATTGGAGAACAACACTGTCTGAGAACTCGACGGTTGAATGCAATCCATGGATGCCGAGGACAAGCGCCTGTCCATACTAAACTAGAACTAATTGAAGGAGGGTCGGGCAAGAACGACAAGAACACAGGGCCGATGTCGTTCGTAAGATACACGGCGTGTCAGATCGGATTATTAATACTCGTCGAACTGTGGATTGGAGCGTAACAATGCATTCGCGGACGCGTCAGAGCCAAATGGTAATCAAAGGGAGAGTATCATGTCTCTAAGACCCCAGATCTAGAGTCAACCATGAATCTTCGCGAAGTTCAGGCGATTCCGGCGTTTACGCATTCCAAGTCCCGAAGAACTGTCGATTACGAACTTTGAGCAAGGGTAACAATATTCATGTTTGAGATCTAATTTAGAACCATCAGTCAACGCAGTCAATTTCTCTAACTGGCCTTGACACTACAATCGCCCTTTGTTGCGTGTAAGTTGCAACGTCAAGGATGGTTAGAGAGACTGTTGAAGATAAAATGGGCGTCCAATCATCAGGGGAGAGCAGTGTAACTGTTCGAGAGCTTGCACATCACTGTTGATACTAATGGTATGAGTGAGAAATGAAGGTCGTTCTGAAGTGATATCGGCGGACATCCAGTACAAAGACCAGCAAATGATACAGAGACAGAGCTTCTACGGATCTAGTTGGCATTGACAATAAGAAGCCATTGAAGTAAGGCATCATTACTATCAACTGTTGGCTCAACGAAGATCGGAGGAAATAGACGTGATTTCGTACCATCGGGCGTCTCTTCACTCGGAGCTAGGACGCAGCAGACCTGAGCGGATCTGGGCATCCAATAACAATCCTTGAAGCGCACTCGCCATGATATAACCCGCTTCCATACTAGCCGAGGTATGGTAGGAGGCGGTGATCTCTGTGTTCGTATTACTTGAAACACCTGCAAGGCAGCGAAGCAGGCTAGCAGAAGAGATGGACAGGCCGATAAACGATAATAATTGCTGAACAGATTTTGAGCCCCTTTGACTGAAGCAACGGGGGCGGCACAATCGATAACGAGCCCCAAAACCGAGGCGAATGATGCATGATTTGAGCTATGCTTGATGCAGATCGTGTGGATCGTGTGATTCCGCCAAGAAGACTCGAAATAGAGGCATAAACATTGGTCAAGCTTCGAGTGGCGTATGTATTGTGATCACGAGAAAAATATCAAAAGAGAGCTTGTTCATGGAGAAGGAAAATCAAACCGGCAGTCGAAGGTCAACGATTTAAACAAGAAACTACCTGCCCTCAAGTTCACATGATCGCATTCCCGTCCTCCTGCCCTTACCCCCACTTCAACCGTTGAACCGCATCGACATCTCCTCCGATAGTCCATAGAATCTGTGGTTAATTTTTTCTTCAAAGGTGATTTCATTGTGTCTAAATACACCGACCTTGCATTCAATTCAGTTAGGCCCACCTTTCCTGCTCTCTGATCGCCAATTCAGTCGTATCGGCTATTTGGTTTCTGGGCCGTGTGATTGATAAGTTCTAGGAGTGGTGCCCAATCTTCTTCGAACTCCGCAGCTGATTTGAAGAGCGAAAATAGCATCACGTCGTGCAGATACTCGAAGCAAATACAGCGCCTATTTTCAAGTTCTCTGGAGACGGCGTTCTTCGAGCGGTGATTCGGATCCTGGCGCTTCATTGCTCCCATGACCATCCAGTCTTGCAATAGCCTTACGAAAACAGCCTTATACAGGCCAACCTAGGCGCTGCTTTCGCTCCCGAAATATCACACCGCACAATATGTAAGTTTCCCAAGGCAATGGCATCTCCTTACAATTTTGTTAATGAATTCTGTTGCTTACAAGATCCGCGATTGAATTCTGGGAAGGCTTGCACTTGACGACCGATCGAGCCACGAACATGCTACAGCCGGGGCCTTTTGTATTGCATCTTTCCTTCCGGGTATTACGACGTTCCGGCGCACGTCGGATCGGACACCGGACAACAGGCGAGGCGCCTGAAGTTAGCACGCTGATCCCATGCTTTGCTTCTCTTCGTTACACCTTGGACACCACCCACCAGGTTCAGCACCATGTCGACGGACTTTCGTTCGCTACTTATCAACGGTGGATGCAGCGATCTCCACCACCTTACTCAGCTGAAACGGAAGGTGCATACAGCTTTTCTTAGCTCTATCAATCTAAACTGATTCTGTATAGGGCCAGCGTGCACCGGTTATCCAACAATACTTCCGGAATCAACGTGAAGTCGCCGACAATGCAGACCTCGAGCTCAGCGAGAGGTGGCTCAAGAAAATGAAGAAAATTATGGGTCAGATTGACGACCACGTCAAGTGGTGCGTTCCTTTCTCCGGGAGGCCCTTCCGCTTCCTGGACCTTGGGTTAGTAGTCACGTTTCTGGAGCTGTGAGGCCTCCCTAAGCGCGATCATTAGCTGTTGCCCGGGAGGTTTCTCTACCTATATCTTAAAGAAGAACAAACAATCTACTGGCGTTGGTATCTCCCTCGACCCGGCAGACGGTGGGCACCCGTATCTCATCGAGCAAGGCATCCGTGACCGACACACGATCATCTTCGCGGACCTCACGCTCTTCCAACTGGGTCCACAAATGATATCCTCTCCCTTCTTTAACTTCAGGCCCCTTCCCGAGGATCTGACTACGCGCCAATTCGACCTTGCTCTCCTCGACGCCCACCACCTTCGTACGCAAAACAGTTCCTCCTCTGACCTCCTCGCGATATCCCAAATTGTGGTGGCTCTCCTATCTATCAAGTTTGGCGCTACGGTCATCATGAAGCTTGCGAACCCTGAAAGCTGGTATACTGTCCGCATGCTGTTCTTCCTGGATGTTCTCTCGGCATCCCTGACGGTTCATAAACCGTATGCGATGCACCGTAATCAAGGGACTTTTTACGCTATTGGTAAAGGTGTCGGAGGGAAGAGTGAAAGGCAGAGGTTCTTGTCGCATAATCTCTTGCCTGAGTTTCAGAAGTTGTGGGTTGACCTGAGGTCGGGGAATGGCGGCGCAGGAAGATCCCTGGAACCGAAGGATTTGAACTTTATCATATCTGATGAACAAGTTAAAGGGTATGCTTCGAGACTGGCGGAGTTGTGTGAACCGGTGTGGAAGATTCAGTCTGCTGCGCTGGAGAAGCTTTATGCAGAGCAAGGGATCTGAGTCGTTGCGCGTTTCTTGTCTGTTCATGTATTGATCTTGTATTATACTCCCCATCAACTCCCCATGTACAATTGTGTAACTACGGCTCTACCTACTCTTTCCGAATAAGGATGTCTTTGTTGTCTTCACGTTGCTCCCTGTTGTTTCCGACATTTGACGCGCTTGATCACGCACATGTGACCGTAATGCGACGACATTTCCAATACACGCTTCTTTCACCTTTACCACCATCTCTCAATCTCTCATGGCGTCGCCCGTTGTTCCTACCGATGAGCAAGTTCTCTCCGAGATCAAGACCTTCACTTCTCCTCTTGGACGCCTGAAAATGCTGAACGCCATGCGTAGCAAAAACAACTGGTCTATCAGAGGCGCGCCTCAAACGACTCTTGGCTGAGGCGAACGACAGTGCCACTCCCGCTCATCAAGATTCTTTCGAGCCTGATGATGTAGTTTCTCTGTTAACTGCCTATTGCAATGCAGTGTCTGCTCCTCTTACTCTGGACCTGCCGACGGGTCCTAATGCCACTTATGAACCCGAAGAACGGAGCGACCTTCCACCCCCAACTCTTCCAGCTAATCCCTTGGCTGCTTAGCTCCGATTCCACAAAGAGAGTACCCGTTTCTTCATTCTTTATGGCCGTGGAGAGTATGACTATGCCGTCACTCCGAATTCTACCATCGGGATCATCCTTTCGGTACGCGGTTGTTTATGTTCTCAATAACAAATCTCCATGCCTGAAAGGGATTTATCAGATCTTCCGAGGTCGCCTTTTGGACTTTCTCAAAGGAAAACGAATGCCTTTGTCCATGGATCAGCAAAGAGCTCTAAACGAAAATGGGGACGTGCAGACTATTTTCGAATATTACGAAGCTGCTGGGAAAAAAGCCGGAATACCTGCTAGCGATGTTGGAAGACAATTTGAAGCCGAGTAAGTCGTCTCACCTTCGAAGTGATAGATGTCTGATATTCTCTCTTACCTTGCTTAGGTATGGTTTCAACCCACTTCGCTGGCGTACGAAGGAACAAAATGATCCAGCTTGGAGAAAAGCATAAGATGAAAAAAAGGAGGCGATACACAAGAAAAATATGATACCGGTGATAAAGGCTATGAGCCAGAGTCTGCCTCGAGGGATGATTCCTGTGGGTAAGGGTGGTAATCCGGTCTACGATCCGAAAGTCAACGGCCGCTTCGCTTTGATCATCACGCAAGTTAGCAAGGCCACGGGGGTGGAGTGTGGGGATTTGCCACTGAATTGAGGGAGGAAGTACGTTACCACTACCATTTTTTATTTGAGCAGGATTTCTGAGGCATGAACTGGCCCCTGTACTAATCTGTTTTGTAGCAGTTATTTTTTCCCTGTCTTTCAAATTTTTATCTCGTAGTTGAAAAACGTAACTTCATACTTCCACTGACCAAATCATAGAGGCCAACTGCCTTGCTTTCCTTTCTTTTTTTACGTTGAAGGGGGGACACCCGAGGTCATCGGTCCGAGTATCCGGTATCGATGACATCAACTGCCTCCTTTCGCGTCGACCCTGACATCCGATTTTCACTTCTCACCATGCAAGACGAGGTACCCAACTACGGCTCAACGTCCACGACGCTTGAATGCGTACCAGAGGACAACATTTTAATCATTGAAGAGAACGAATTCGACGATCCTGCGCACTACAGTCGCCATGTCCGTCTATACACTCTGCTCGTACCATTAGGGACGCTGTGCTTCTTTGCACTCAGCCTCATCCCGTTATTTCTCCTTCCATTACCCCAAAATAACGAACTTTCCGAAATGTCATTTCCTCTACCCGAAATCCTCACTTCGTTGGCACTCTGCTCGCTGTCGTATCACCTCCCAGAGAGCACAAGCGTACTTTTGTGGGCCACCGTGCGCTCTGCGCTCATTTTCATTGCCCCCATGTTGCTAGGTGTGCTTCACCAAGCAGAGTACCCCATACCGACGATTCGAGATGCTGCATTTGTGCGAGTCTGGGTTGTGGGGTTAGCGTGGGCAGCGACAGACGCCTTTGTGGGTATACGGAATGCCTACAAGTCGTTTAGACTGTATTCGCCGTTGGAGGAGAGGGAGCAAGAGGAGGTACTGGTTAGGCAGGAAGATGGATCGAGCTCGGTGTCAACGTCCCTTTCCCTCCTTTCCCACCTTCGAGCGCGAGCCGAGCTCGAAGAGTCATTAGGGGAACCATTCCTTGAGATTCCGCTGTTCGTGTTCTTGCTCCAGCGCATAGGGTCCCTGTTGTTTTCGCTGGGGACGGCGCTATTCTTGACCGCGTCTCTGTACTCGTATGTGCCACATCCTACATCCGTGCTCGAGTGGTGGTGGACGTTTCCTTTGGTGATAGTCCTGCAGACTGCGGTGCAGGTCTTTCGAAGACCACACGTGAGAGTGTATGTCGGAATGGTCGTCGGCTTAGGCATGTTCTTTGCTGGGCTGGGGGTGTGGGGAGCGCTGCAATGAGTGAGGATACCATGGGGATAGTAATACCAACACGGCCTCGATATTTGTGTTCATTTATACTTCACTTTGTTCAAACGTATCCGAGTTTGTACAATTGCTTCTGAAGAAAAGCTCACGCTTACGGACTGGCAATCGCAGAAAATGCTTTTCTGATCTGAGTTCTGAACGGGGAGCTGAAGTAGGTAATTCAGCTCTCCGTAGGGATTGTGCTCTTTCCAAGTACACTTCAATTTGTGCATCAGGAAGAAAAGTTGCAAACGGGCAATGGCAGTGTAGTCTGCCATTCAAAGACAATCTGTTTGCCCTGGGGGGTTGTGACGTGTATACGAGGCACAGAGAAATTGGGTAGTAGGCGCGGTTGGCAGTTAGATGTAGCCTGTAGGTGCTGGTCTCGGCACATGCCCCACGAGGAGAAATTAGTAAACTGCGTTATAATTTCGTAAAACTCATGGATCTTAGAGTGCATACGAACACTGGATTCCTTCTCTAAAGAAATTCTTGAAGTTCTACAGGGTCGAAAATTGATATCGCGGTTCGAACTTCGCAAGAATCGCAACCCGTGCCAGGTGGTGTGACTCTCTTTGTGGGTCAGCTGGAGGAGGGGACATCGCTCAGTACACGAGGCGACATGGACTTGGCGGGTGCCATACAATATAAATGCTCACAAGAGCTGGCAAAACCACTAAGTGTATGGCTGATCGGAGGTCCTCGGCACCGCGCGGCCGGCAAGGTGCACGGACTATAACGTGATCGAAACATTTCCGAATCGAGTCATTACCAACTTGCTGCCTTTTCCGCAGTTTGTCATCTCAGTCCGATGCCCTGTGACGCTTGGACTGATATCCTTCCTAGCAACCTTTGCATAATAAGCACAGCACTGTGTACATCTCGAATATCTCTAGCTTTTACTGGAAAATACGCATTTCTGGATCCTGCTCTCGAAAAACGTGCACAAACATCTGTCCGCAGGTTTTATCGTGAAAACCTGTGATGTAACGGCCCCACGGTATGTGCCAGTCAATTTTGGTTGGTTCTGATATCACATGAAATACAGCCCAATGCACAAATAGATATGGTCCAGCCGGAGATGCATGCTGTTTCCGAAGCTCCGAACCTGTTTCCGGCATGGAAACTTGACCCCGCCCCCATCTCATTAGAAGATATCTGTAGTCCTTGCACAAACATCAAGCTTTCGGAAAGGCGATGCTAACAGACAAAATTTGTGTCAGCGTCAAAAGATTTCTGTTGCTACCTGGACCAGGCTATGCTCCCGAAATCAATGTTCCGTCGACAAGAAAGCATAGCACCACTTTGAGCGTCTTTTCCAAAGCTCGTTCAGAACAGTCATTGGCTATTGCTTCGGTGCGTGTCTCTCTTTAAAACTACAGCAGAGGACTTGAATTTCTATATTGAATAGTGTCGAAGGCATGATGAACGAGAACGATCATGAATGCTTGCCTGAATCGAATGTGGAACCTGAAAATGGTCCGGCGGACTCACCAGCGCATCGCGGAACAAAAGATGGTCAAGAAGGAAGCGTTGGCGTGCTAGAAAACTATCCTTCATTTGCGACTCATTTCGGGATGCGAACCCGTCAGTATCGAACCAGAACAACGTCAGGCAGAAGTACGTGCTGAAATCCAATATCTCGTTCTATTTAAGGCTCAACAGACTAATGTGACAGCAAGACTGGGCCCCATCCCAGATGACTATACCGCACGGTATCCGAAAGATGCTATCGGCGAGGAAATGTCGGCTAATGGAAGATTCTGGCGGACGTACACGGATGAAGCCCTTATTTTTGATGGGGAAATGGTAGATTTGTATCAGGACACCATCAACGTTCTCTTGATTTTTGTCAGTGACATCTTTGTGCAAAATTTTAACTTGACTAATATCGCAGTTAGGCTGGTTTATTCTCTGTGGTTTTGACCACTTTCGTCATTCAAACATCGCAAAAACTACGACCAGATTATACAGAAGTTTCTGCTTCTTTACTCATCGAACTTGTTGGGTTCCAACGCGCAGCGAACACTTCCTCAATTCTCTCTTCTCCTTTCTACCCTTCCATATCTTTTTCCCCATCACCGGCAGATGTCTGGCTGAACAGCCTGTGGTTCGTCAGTCTGACTCTCAGTCTAATAACAGCGCTCGTAGCTATTTTGGTCAAGCAATGGCTTCATCAATACGTCTCTATCATTTCGGATATCTTACCTCGCGACCGTGGCTACATTCGCCACTATCGATACATAGGTTTGAAGACGTGGCAGGTCCCAGTGATCATCGAGCTCCTTCCGGTGCTTCTCCACATCGCCTTGGGTCTATTTTTTGCCGGTCTTTCGATCTATCTGTTCACATTAGACATCGCTATCGCGTATGCCGTTGCTGCCATTTCGGCCACATCTTACGTCGCATATGTCGTTTGCCTCGTCCTCCCCCTCTTCTATCACAATTGCCCTTACAAAACACCGTTAATGCTCCATCTTCCCGGATTGTATCATGCCGCACGTGGTATGGTTTCAAGACTTATTCCTTGCTTCTTCAACAAGCGCTTAGCGAAAGCCCGCCCAATCAAAGACATGGAACGAAACAGTGCTTTTCAGGCGGCAGCAGCCATTGATAGCGAGGCCGTATCTTGGCTGTATTCGGCGTCTTCGAACATCTCTGTTAAACAGATTGTCTTACAAGCCATCCTCGGAAGTCGTATCCGGAACACTGTTGATGTCGACAATGCCTTAGGTCCTATTTTTGACCAACTAGGCGGTCTGGAGCCAGACGTGCAGCACTCAATAGTGAGCCTTCCGTTGCCAAGGCGCCACTCAGACTCCCCGTCGAGAGCAAACCCATTCCGGGACACCACCACTAGCCTGCTTGCGATAATTCGCTCGCCAATGCTAGAGAGTGTCGTCCTACCCCAGAATGTCTGGGTTTCTATCTTAAAGTGTGCGGATTGGGGGTCACCGCCTGCCATTCACTTAGTGATAGAGTTGATGGAACTATGGAAGAATAATCTACTTCAGGAAGATTTCGGTGTTCAAGTATTGGCCGATACACACACCATTCCGGTACTTTATGTCATCTATAACCACCGACGTTTCCAGAACATTTATCGACTGCCTTCGTTTGGTCTCAGGTCCACGGCTTCCCCAGCATTATCCAGACTCTTCCTGGGACGCTAGTCGAGCATTGTCAGCGGTTATCACATTGTTTCGCGTTATGCTGACGTCAAACCTTGAGAATAATGTTCATGGCATAAATTGCCTCTTACACGGGACGTCCATAGCCGTTCAAACGATGCTTCAAAAAAAGGCTTTCCTTGCCTCGCAGGAATACCCGTTGCAGGCGACACCACCGGCTACCTCCGAACAGCCCTTGCCACAACCAGAGATGGCAGCTCGGACGGACTGTCATACCATATCTTCATCCCGAATTTTTCCAGCCACTTTGTCAGTGAAGGGTCGACTGGCGTTGCTTCATATTCTTACTTTCCAGTGACGGTATCACCTCACTCAAGCAGCTACCATCGGTTGAAATCTTCTACACCAACGTAATACGTTGCTTCTTATCGCCCGCTTCCTTAGATGACAACACCTCTAGTTTTAAACAAGAATACTGGACATTAGAATGGCGCCTATTGGAAGAGTTAGTAGCGCCTTTTCTCCTTCCCAATGACATTAGCATACTGCTTCGAGTGTTCATTGCGGAGGGAGGATTACCTGCTCTGTATAACCGGTTTGCGAATGCACATGACCCTGGTCTTCCAAGGCGGGTCCCCTCACGCTTTGCTAGCCAAATTACAAACTGTATGGTCGACACCGATACCTTCAGTCCTCTTCATCTTGCCGGCTCTTCGACAATCCTCTCATTCGTCGATAGTCTCTCGAAGCTTACGCGTCTGCTTCTTCACGACACGGATTGGCATACTATTACTCGTCTGCTTGAAAGACTTCAGCGTACGGATATTCCTGGGTCAACATGGGAGGAGTATTTCACCCAACTCTGTGAGTGGACGTCAGGTAGTGATTTTCGATACGGTGGGACGTTCTGGCATTCTGTCTATATCGTGGCGCGTGTACGTCGGATTCATGCCATGCTTTCTATTCCGACCCATGCATTATCATCATTACCCGAGTACGGCTTTGTATCTGGAGGAGAGGATTACAATGCCCTCCAGAGGGACAGACGAGTCATGTCCAGTCAGTCACTGTAAGGCAGTCCAATTTCTTTGTGGCTATACTGTTCTCATCCTTCATGGCCTAGGCGTGATTCTCTCATGATCGAGGGAGACTATATATTCGCTCCGTTTGCTATCCCCTATAGGCGCTTAATCGATTCGATATAGTTCGTCCCATTCCTTCAGGGTGCCTTTTCAGATCTTATAGAGAGCATGGAAGAAAATGGCAGTTCCTTTTATGCTCCCCGATCCAAAGCGCAACTAGCATGACCCTGTAAATCAATCTAATCGCTCGCGGTACTGCCTGAGTGCCGCAACTATCACCATAGCCTTCGATGGATGAAACAAACATTCGCCGAAGTTTAATAAGATCACTATACCGCATCACGTTGTGCTACCGTCCTATAATCTCCTCCATTTCATTAAAGAAACTCGAAAACTCTGCGCATTCATCAGATACCTGTCCAGAACATCGAGGCTTTCCACAATGTATACTATAGCAGCACAAAATTTGTCGGTACTGCTGCTGTTGTGCAGATAGTTGGGGTACTATGCGCCAGACTGAGCAATTAGGGCGTCTTTCCCTCACGCAGCGAACCAACATTCTCCCTTCCCATTTGTCGTGTCTCTGTTCCCAGAAGAAACTAGGCCAGACAATGAATTGCGCTGCAGAAAGCACCGAACAGGATTTGAGGGAAGCGAGCTATGGCGAAAAGCGGGGTTTGGACCACTGACGGAGGGAACTTCTGACCACTCGTTGTTCTTTACGATGGAGGGAATCGTCGTCAGCCGAGTGATAGGTGCTTCATTTGGAGCCTTACAGCACCTATATTTTCTGCGAGCTTCTGGAATTAGTGGCGTAACACACGAGCTCCAGGAAGGTCAGCTTATGATACCCTCCAGACTCTGATATAGTCGACGGCTCGACGAATTGCGTGCACAGATAGCTGGTTGACTCACCATAAATCCTCAAAGAAACGGCTTCGTAGATTGTCGGCGTATGTTCGGGTATATGCTTCCGGTACAGTGCGGACTGCCAGGACCGATAGCCAATGCAAGTTCTGAATAATCCGCTCCATTCCGGCAACCGACTCGATGCGCACTTCTCACATAGAAGCTTTCTGGTACTTTTCTCCCTCTGCCAAGAACACAATCGGCCGCCTGCTACTCCGTCTAGTGACGTTTCTGCGCCAAGCCCATCGGGATTTGCATTTCTATTTTTCCAGTATTTCTCCTCGACACGGAGCCTTCCAGGTGCTGTAGTCATGGATTCCGCTATAAAATCGGGCTAGCTTTCCGTGCTTGTGCTTTCACATCTCGCCCATTCTTGATTATGGTGTCTTCATCGTCGTTCTTTCAGTTCCTTCTGGTTGCGCTGACCTGCGTTGGCCTTGGTCGCGCGTATGTTAGTCCTGGCGTTGTCACCGGTAGCACGGGTACGCATGACCCTACAATTTGTAAAGACAAAGATGGAACGTATTTCTTGTTTGGTGGGTGTCGCTTTGGCTTCGTTTGTATGCCTGTTCTCATCAGTATTCCCTAGCGACCGCCGTCGGTATCTCGATCACGACATCCACAGACAGGACTGCATTCACTTATCAAGGACTGGTATGGCCTGATGGCGCGAGCTGGACCGATGAGTACACACTCACTTCTAACGGGTCAGTAATCACTGCGTAGAACGGTATTTGCGTCGTTCATCCTCTTCGGACCGTAGAAATTTGTGGGCCCCGGAGTGCTACTATGACGGAAGTCAGTTCTGGGTAGGCTTCTCCCGACGACAATGCAAAGTGTGATCTCATCCCGTCTCTCCAGTTGTATTATGCCGCGTCAAGCTTCGGATCACAGAATGTGCGCTTTTGTCCTGTTCGTGTCTTTATTTCCGACTAAAATGCCTCTTAGTCTGCTATCTTCCTGGCAACATCTTCGACTGGTGCTCCTGGTGAGTAAACAGGCTACGCATCTTCATGGGGTCTTAATTATCGTATTCAAGGGTCCTGGACTAACAAGGGTTTGATAACATCCACGTCTACGGGCGACAGCTATAATGTGTGTTGCTCTTTTCGCGTGGCTAAATGCGACACTGATAAATGGCTTTCAGGCGATTGATCCTAAGTAAATGTTTCCTCTTCATAATGATACACCGGTGTATTCTAACCTTACATCCTATAGTCTGTATATCGGTGTGTCCGTTTATGTTCTCACTATGATATAGAATTGACCTTCCAACAGACGGAAGCACCTGGTATCTCAGTCTTGGCAGTTTTTGGACTGGAATCAAGATGATCAAGTACGTCACCGTCTTAAGCGAAAAGCTGCGCGTTTATCAATGCTCATGGACTATAGACTCAACTCTTCGACTGGTCTTTCTTCGGGATCCTCTGTAACATCGCTGGCTCAACGCACAGAGGCAAGCGGTGCTATCGAGGCCAGTAGCATCTACAAATACGGAAGTTACTACTACCTTTTCACTTCGTGGGACGTCTGCTGCTCAGGAACGTCGAGTACGTACAATATCCGAGTTGGGAGGTCAACAAGGTACTATCTTAATATTTTTCTCTGTTTGAAAGCTGATGATGTTGCGATAGTATCGAGGGAACGTACTATGACGAGAGCGGGGTTTCCCTACTCAGTGGCGGAGGAACTTTGGTCTTGGAGAGCCATGATGCAGTGCGTAGTAACTGTCATTTGTCGCCGAACTTTCGTTGAGCCGTGACAGATCTATGGTCCCGGCGGTCAAGATATCCTGGAAGATGGAGATGGTCCCATCCTTGTCTACCGTAAGCATGGAGTCGTCATTATGTCTTGCTTGCAGAGGATTGATTATCTTGATAGACTACTATACCTCGGCAGGAAGCTTCGTAAGTGCTTTAATGTCCCCGTGCGCTGAGTGAAGGCTTACCTTTTTCCTTCTGTAGCTGGGTATCAACAGGCTCGACTTTTCTACAGGCTGGCCGGTAAGTAGGTGAAGGGAGTATGCATGAGGTTATCTGATCATTTTCTTTAGGTGGTGGCTTGAAGGATTGGGATTATAACCTCATTTTCCAAAGAAACCTGGTTAGAATTATCTCGGAGAAAAGGATACTCAGGAGGCCTAATTTTTTAGTACCTTGTTTCAATTTGTACCAAGTCAACTTGAGCATCAACTATCTGCTGGAAGTGCTGGAAGGGATAATTACTCACTCGGAGTTCGGACCGAGAGCCGAAGTGCGGCGTGAACGGTGATTTACAGTTTGCCAAGCCTTTGGTCCAAGTTTGGTCGCGACCATCTTCTTTGCCAACCATCACGACGTTCCCTTGTCTTTTTACCTTCATTGTCGTTCCATCGGAAAAGTAAACTCATATTGGATAACTTATGCAAAGGCGGTCTCTCTATATTCTTCTGCTTAACGGACTAGCTCGCGCTCTTCCTTCCTTCAAGCTCAACGACGATGGCGGCTTGCGCACGAACGGGCATCCTACAGTGGAACGTGGTTCGCCGGAGTTCTGGTACAAAATAATTATCAGTGGTGTTCTTGTATTGCTAGGCGGTGTCTTTGCTGGGTGAGATTACCTTCACCCTCGATATCGCTCGTACCATTCTCACAGTTCACTACAGCCTTACTCTTGGACTCATGGGTCTAGATGAACTCCATCTACGCGTGCTGTCAGCTTCATCCGACGACCCCGTTGAGAAGAAAAATGCCAAGAAAGTGTTGGCGCTCATGCAGAAAGGAAGGCATTGGGTATTAGTTGTTCGTACAGCGCCTTTTCTCTTGAGATTTCTTCCTAAATACCGTGTTTTAGGTCCTTCTCCTTGGAAATGTCGTGCGTTTTCCCCCAAGCTCAATGCCATTGCGACCGAAGGTCCCCCTACAGATCATCAACGAGAGTCTTCCCATTTTCCTTGACGGCGCGGTATGTCTTTGACAAATTATGAGTGCTCTCTTGGCTCATCCTGAGAACAGATCGGAGGAGGTGTGGCTGCTGTAGTAATTTCGACAGCTGCTATCGGTGCGTTCTAATGATTTTAGTGCTTCCGCTGGCTGATGGATCCTTCTAGTCATCTTCGGGTGCGTTTTTTACTCGCGTCAAACTTCGCATCATCTGATTTAGATGTAGAGAGTACGTCTCTAGCTTTTTAGGCATTATACTTTCTTACGACGCGTCATTTACAGGATTATTCCACAATCGCTGAGTGTAAGATACGGCCTATCCATCGGCGCGGCATGCACACCATTCGTACTAGCGTTGATGTATATTTTCGGTGGGAACATCCTGTCCATTTTGTTGGTTTTACACTGATTTATTTTCATCTTAGCTCCCGTCGCTTATCCTATAGCCAAACTCTTGGACTATGTCCTTGGCGCTAACGAGGCACACACCTACAGAAAAGCAGAGCTAAAATCTTTTCTAGAATTCCATCGCACTGGAGAGGAGCCTTTGAGAGACGACGAAATATCCATCTTGAGTGGCGTGTTGGAACTCAACTCAAAAAATGTTGAAGAAATAATGACGAGGATGGAGGCAAGCATATGGCTCTTATGGCATTGCAAGAGCTAATTGTGCTATAGGATACTGTTACGCTTAGCAAGGACACAATACTGGACCACAGCACAGTCGACAAGATGTTCGTAGATTGTTTCTTGAAGCGTCCTCATTGCTGAAATGCCTCACAGTATAATGAGCGGATACTCGCGCTTCCCGGTACACGAACCCGACAACCCGTTGGCTTTTGTTGGGCTATTATTAGTCAAGAAGGTCAGTGCGTTTATTTGTCCCCAGTTTATTGCCTTAGACATACATATCTCCCACAGCTGATTAACTACGATCCCGCCCAAGCCCTCCCGGTGTCTAGTTTTGCGTTGTCTATCTTGCCTGAGGCTCACCCTTCGATCAACTGCTTCCATGCATTGGATTATTTGTGAGGATGCCAATTTTCTTGCAGCAGTATTCATCTCACCGTCTTCTAGCCAAACCGGGCGAGCCCATCTTCTTCTCATATCACATACTCCGGGAGTAGCGGGTGGTGCAATCGGGGTTGTTACCCTTGAAGGTCTGCTTCTGTCCAGCTCCCATTAATCAAGAGGGCTGACGGCTTAACCTTTGCAGACATAATCGAAGAAATCATCACCGAGGAGATTGTTGACGAAACCGATCGCTACGAAGATAACGTCAATAAGCGTCGTGCTAAGCGGCTGACGAACGCTGCTCTCATGAAGGGGTGAGTCAAAGGAGCAAGACGTTCACTTGATTCGTGCTTAAACAGTTGTTAGAATTGTCGAACGTCGCAGGAATGCCTCGATTTCCTCTCCTATAAACGAGAGTACGCCATTGTTAGGGAAGAATCCCAATCCTGAGTGAATTACCAGCAGACCATGAGACGACTGCTCTTTATGCCTTCGTTCTCGTTCGCTTTTCTAAGTTGGACTGTTTGTTGCTGTCATGAATCCATCTGTTCAGAGCATCTGACGCCCTTGACCTTTCGTTCTTTTGCCACGCGAAGTCCAACCTTGTATTTGTGTCGAATGTTTGGATTATGCTTGCAAAACACTTGCTGGATCGTTCAGGTGGACCAACAAGCTGCAGCGTCCATTCCGGAAAATGCAGTTTCGGGTGGTCCTTCTCAAGCTCTCTTTGTGTCAGGCTTTACGCTCGCCTTTCTATTAATTTAAAGACTCAGGCTTCTTGTTCGGCAACGTCCATCTCATACGACTGGACTGGGTAGGCCCATTCTCCTCTCAACCCCCCTACTCCCGGAGCAGAAGGAGACGCTTCTATAGAAGGTATGCTTTCGTTCAGCCAACCACATGAGTTTCTGACTAAACATAACAGACAGTTCGCTACGAGGAGATCGTGAATAAGTAGCAGCTGACGAATACTCCCGCCATGACGCGGTCAGAAGGAACCCGATGTTACGTTTGCCTCATGCCCAACGACTGCTAAGATTGCCGAATGTTACTGAGATACCTTGGTACCTCGGTCCATTAGTGCTCGAAATCTTCCGTTGGAATCCAACAGACGAAACTCTGCGACAGCCTGGAAACATGGTTATATCTGGGCTCCCTTTTATTTCTATTTGAAACGAACCGGAAGCTAACACTGCAGGTGCCTCCCGTTAGACATGTATACGACCGCATAACGCGCCATGTTACTACATTCCGCCGCATGGAACCGATGCTGCAGGACCTTGAACTTTGGTTCAAAATACTTTTTGTGTATCGTGATTAACGTTGTCCCAGAGTAAGCGTTTTAGATGAAGTTCATCCTTCGCAGGGTCAGAATTAAATACGAAAACTGGTACAGACATTGAAGATGTCGATGAGGAGTTTTGATGGTCAACATGTGGTCGATTTGATGTGACCATGATACCACCAACGTGCGTGTGTAAGAATCAGATGTAACGATGGAAATTTGAGCGCTGAAGGTCACCGCTCACTTTCGAGTTATACAATCGTGTCACGTCACATTCACCTTTCTTCTATCCATCATGTCTCCTCTGTTTCCCTTTCCCTCCAAGTGATAGGCGGTCTTTTCCAACAACGTGGCGTTCTCCGCTGTTCATATGTTTCAAAATGCTGAAGATTGACATGAAAGAGTAATCGGCTTCAATTGTATATCAGCGATGTCTAAACTGTCGATTCCACCTGCCTTCGCGCTACTTGTGTACCAAAGTATTGGATGGTGTACCATCTGCCGCAGTGATGGCTTGTTGTCAAGCGCAATATTCTTCTTCACTCGGAGGAGCTGCTCTTGGAAGGAATCTGCTCGCCTCAGCATCTAAGTCCGTAAAGCGACTGACAAAGCTACCATTTGAAGGTTGTTTGTATTTCAGACATTCTGGAATCCGAAAAATTTACGGTATTACACTGCCATTCCTTCCAGCAGTCGCAAAAAAATTCGTCCTCTGTGCATCGTGTCCAGGCTCGGCGTCCGTGATGTGGTTGAAATGATCGGATGATTTCACATCTGTTTCTCGTCGTCGACCATCATCAAAGTTTGTTGTCGAGATATAGGACGCTGCCGTCCAAGAATATGCAAACTGACCTCAAAAATGACTGGTAGAGCCATTCGTCCCCATGCCAAGTCACGAACAGGTTGTGCTACGTGCAAGCGAAGAAAGGTCAAGGTAAGCATCCGCGCACCGTTGCTAATCATGCACTTAATGGATTACAGTGCGACGAAGAATATCCTGTGTGCGGAAATTGCACAAAACGAAAGGTGGATTGCACCTGGGCACCGAAAACCTTCAAATTCGTTAACTCATCGCCTGACACACGAGCTTTCGCCTGCCTCTGTGTCAACTGCACTGTCGCGTCGACGGCCTAAAGAGATTTCGAGTCTCTCTACTTTTCAGCATCCCAATGCTTCCTTTATTCTCAGCACGCGGACATTAGAACTTATGCATCACTACACCAGCATGACGTGCTACACTCTCACTTTCGTCAATGAAATCAATCTGGATAGCGTTTGGAACACTGCAGTACCGAGACTTTCCTTCACTGCTCACGGTTCTCATCTTCTTCATGCTATCCTGGCGGTCTCTGCCCTCCACCTCTATTCCGTCGACCCTACGGGCCCGACTGCCGGACGATACTCCCATGTGGCCACCGTACACGGCAATGCGGCATTGGCGGGGCTCACCATTCCCTCATTCGAGAGCCCTAATCTTATCCCTTTCGTGCTCACCCTCTCAGTAATCGTCATATATGGCTTCGCTATATCGCCTCCTTCATTGACTTCCTCCAACTCACGGTTCCGGAACTGGTTACGTGTCCTTCGAGTCTTGACTAAAACATGTCAACAGTGGCCAGCCCTTCCCCAAGGTGTGACCGGTCCGTTATCCAGTAGGTTCCCACTGTCTCCTTCAGCACTACTATCATCGCTACCAGATCCCGAGTCTGGAGATACATTCCCTCAGTTCCTGTTCACGCTCCCGTTCCCCACTCCGGGCGCCCCAGATCCAGAAGAAGTCGCTGATGAAGAAGTGTCAGCAGACTACCAGTGGGCTCTTACATTACTGCAGCTCGCATGGAAGACATCGTTTATCCCTCAATATCAGGGTTACTCGCTCCTTGCGTGGTTTGCAGGCGTTTCAGACAGATTTTTGACGTTCTTCTTCGAACGACGCCCCAGGGCCCTGTTGCTTATGGCGCATTACTGTGTCATCATGCAAAATATGGAGCGGAAAAACACAGATCCGAACTGCCCTTCATCCTGGTGGGCCCAGAGGAAGGAAAAGTGGGACGGAATTATTAAGGAGCTAATGTGCCAGCTCGGACCGGAGTGGAGTGGGTACGTAGGAACGTATAGTGTGAATTATCACAGTCGCGTGCATGCGTAGACCTGGGAGCGCCGCTATGTTCTTGAGTTTTATGTTTCTGTACTTGAAGGCCGTTGCGTACTTTAGAAGACTACATATTATATAGATACGTATGAATGTAAATTATATTTCTAGTGGATTCATATCGGTGGGCACTGAATAGTAGACACTTCGCTGCTAAACAGTTCGGTCCAATGGAATCTTGATGTCGGGCTCTTGGCTTGAAGTTTGAAAGTAGTGTCTGGATTCTGGTAATTGCAGTAAAAACAAGACATCGCAAAAGAAACGACACCAGCAGGATTTGAACCTGCGCACTCAGAGAGTAATAGATTGAGTTGATTCGAATCTATCGCCTTAACCACTTGGCTATAGTGCCTCGTACATGCTAATTGTCTGCGTCCTCTCAGATGAAAAGTATCTTTCATTTACTTCGTACAATGTACCAAAAATAAATATGGAGTGTGTAGTAGGAACGAGCGAATGACAAATGACATCTCTGGCCATGGGTCAGAGCCAAAACATCAGTGTCCACGAAGCAGTTATCATCATCCCCGCTAGAATAGCATCTTCTTTGATTCCGCCACTTGTCGCCGCATCAGCTTCGGCAGTAGCAACCTCGCATGCGGAGTACACTGAAGTGACTGTAAGATTGAAAACAAAGATGGAGAGGCATGTTACTTACGCTCATCCAACTCCTCGAGCATTGCCTCCTCGTTATCACCCGAAGCCGCGCTCGTGAAGCAGGTAAGACAATTAGATACGCTGGCATTGTAGTTGGTCGAGCAAAGGCAAGAACTCATGCTATCTCCGCAGGCCTACGCAGGGTCCCATGAGTCCCACAATATTTAGGCTCGGTAGAACAATGGTGCGCGACTCACAACGATGGATACCAGGACTTTACAATCAGTTGAACAGTCATCGGGAATGTACGAAATGTTGACGGCAGAAGTGTCCGTTGGTATCACGGTGGAGGAGAGGGAGCCAGGATATTAATCCCTGGCAGAGGACTGAAACGGGAACCGTTATTATTTTACCCCCGTAGGATAAGGGTAACGAAATATACCTCCATGGATATTAAAGAGTGACAGGTATAGGAGGAATAACGGGAAGGTGCTTAACATCGCTGGCAGCGGGGTAAAAAAGTAGTAAGAGATTAAGTTGATGAATCAATGAGGAACCGTCCTTTCAGTGTCACCGGAATTCCCGACCACATGTATCCGCAGTCCTGGGTCCATCAACGAGCTGCGAAGCCGTGGGATCGCGCCGACGCGTAGATGGCGTTTGGCACCCTTCCCTGTAGATATTCTTCGGGGGGACTGCAGTGACACTCTGATCGCACCAGGACCATTAGACATGGAGTCCGTTCGACACCTACAATTCAAGGAGTAGGGCTATTCGTGTCATAGATTGAACCTGTCAGCGCGCAGCTTCAGTCAGGCACTTGCGCAGTGGATAAATGATCAATTTACAGACGGATCGGACGGAGGAGCTGAAATAGCTCGGGATATTTATGTTACGTCGGTGGATACATCGCTTTTAACGCGTAAGCAACGGCTATTGCACGGAACCGGACGTACACAACACACCTTCAGCCAGAAATGGAGAGCTGTCTTTATGTGGCTATCTCATCACCTGGGGCTTCGGACTGTGAGTGTAAGGCTGGCGCACCAGACTAACTAAGCACCTTGCGCGACGACAATATCAAGGTAAGATCGTTAAGGGCTTCTTTCACCGATAGCATCGCCGCGATATAAGGCGAAGATTTGCTGGAAGAAGACTGGTAGCAGACATTCCTAGTAGGGGAGACAGGCTATGCGGCCCCCTTGTCAATGATATATCAATCCACTTTCCTTCAGTAGTAAGCTTCCTAGCGTCGACAGTAGCTCAATGCAAAATTATGGCCGTCGACCAGGTCTGAAGCCGATGGAACTGGAATACAATATCATGGCCACTGGTCATATAAGGTATCCTGTTGCATCGCTGTCTTCCTCTGGTTCCCACTCTCTCCTTCGTTGCTGTCCGATTCACCGACGAAATGCTTCAGGTATAAAGATTACTTGACGTATACAATGGCCTCGCCACTCACCCACTGACCAGGGCGGTACTATGCACTATGCAAATCCAAATCAACGTCGGTTCGCTGTGCTTTATAAAGTAGTTACTTGCCGTTCTCAGTCCCTCGATCCCGGAAGGCTTGTCATAACTCTCGGCTCAATATAATGCTTTAATGGATAAAACTCGAAGATATCAAGAGGAATAGTCAGAGAGGCTGTTCGAAAAAATGTTCGGCATGTCGACGTGGAGCAACTGTCCTTCATAGCTTTATGAGGTATGGGAGTAAGCAGGCCTGCGCCAATTGGCATTCAAAAAATATGTTACACTCTTTTTCATTTTCTATCGAACAACACCCCAGATGGTAACAGATCAACAACATGAGTACAGTCGTCAAGGTAAGTATCAGATTACTTGAACTACAAACGATTATGTCAGTATACGACAAAAGGCTAGGTAGAGGAAAACGACATACGTTCTTTCCATCAACCCACTTCTTGCCGTCGAGCTCCAAGTCCCAAGCGAGAGCGCCCTCGAAGAAGGCTTTCTGCTTGTCATCCTTGAGGTCGATCTTCTCGTACTTGTAGCTCTCCCAATCAGGAGCAACGTTCACAACGGGAGTGACATCCTGCCCACGGAGGATGAGCACACCACTGATCACGCTGTTGTTGGTCTGGCCCAAAACACCGACGGAACCAAAGAGGTATTTCCGTGAAGCCTCTAGACGGTTGAAGAATCCACCGATCTGGTTGGAGGACATGAAAGTCTGGGTGAGTTCTTCGTTATACTTGAAGTCGACGCGGTAGATGGAGAAACCCTCGGCGTCGAAGCTGAAGAAGATAAGTTACAAGGAGATGAGAGAGAGAAAAAGAATGCTACTCACTTTTGGTAGAACCATTCGATAGACCCACCAGCTCCGCGGGTGTCCTTGTTAGAGTACGCCCGCTTCCAATCCTCGAGGTTGAACGACGACTTGGGGAGGTCGTCGAGGGGGTTCTTAACCTTGGGCTCGGGAGGGACATCGGGCTCATCAGCATCGTCGTCCTCAACCTCCTTCTTCTTCGGCTTCTTCTCCTCGACTTTCTTCTCCTTGGGGGGAGCAGGGGCCTTCTCCTTCTTTGGTGGAACGAACTGCACACCCTTCTCGGTGTAGTTAACAGGGCCATAGATCTCCTTCAACTGGGGCTGGTTGACGATGGTCTCGAGGTGGCGGATGAGATGGGGGATCTGGGCACGGACAGAGGCGTCGATGCTGATGCCGGCGCCGTATTGGATGAAAGCAGCGACGCTGAGGTCAGCAAGAGTAATGCGTTCGCCGACGAAGAAAGTGTGCTTAGCAAGGTGAGCATCAAGAGTTTTGAGAGCACGAAGTTGTTTCTCGAGGAAGTAGGTGTGGGCAGGCTTGGAGTAGCCAGCGATTTTGCCATTGCAGACATCGTTGGTAAGAACGGTATAGATATCGACTTCGCTCTCAGCAAGGTGGATCCATTGGTCAACTTGAGCAGCTTCCTCTGGAGTCGAGCCGAGTAAGTTGGAATTGGGAGCTTTCGAGGCGACTGGGAACCGAAGACATCAGTATCCATCGTAACAGAGAAGAAAGAAATCAGAGAATTAGAAATGCTGTCGACACGGATGTTAAGACAGGGATAACTGAATGAATGAATCTCATCCTAGGAAACGAAATGAATGCAAAAATGTCGCAATTACGCACCGTATCGAGCGATCGCAGACCACTCAAAGAGTAAGAAATCGCCATCCTCCCATGCTGGGATCTTTCCGTGAGGGAATTTCCCCAAGAACGGAGGCTTCAAGTTGTCTTCAAAGTGTGTATAAGCATCCGGGAGCTTAAAGGGAACTCCTCCAATGACGGCTGCAGCCCGGATCTGTAGGACATCTTAGATATCGATATGGATCAAAGCTACGCTGCACGTACCGGTTTGCCCTTTCGCTGGATGGGAATTGTCCACAAGGTAGGCGTCGACATCTTTTTTTACAGTAAAAGGAAAATATGAAAGTCGTGAGGACGGCGGTGGTGGTGGAGAGACTTCAAGAAGGAAAATTTTGTGATTCAGAAAGGTACGCCATCACGTGGTCTGTTTAGGGCCGGTTAGTAGCCGAAATCGATATCGATTCACGTCTTCTTTGCGTCTTTCTGTCAAGAGATTATCCACACGCGACTAGGGCTTAGGGCATTACGCGAGCCTTACCCTGAATCATGAATCGAAAATGTTTGTCTCTCGACTTTTCTTCTGGAAGAGCACTATCAAACATATACTGTTCTATGGTGCGTCCTTGTATTCTTTCTTTTCCCGAATTCCGACAGATTTTTAAAGGTACTCTAGAATAATCGGAAATAAAACCTGGCATCTATAGCTCATGAATGTGTATCGTATGTATGACTCACAATGTTATTTGATAATATGCAGTGGCACCTTTCTAAGTTGCCAAAGACTGCACGAACATAAAGACCGCCTAGCGACCCGAGTTTTTTTTTAAGTGGAAAGTTTATATCCCACAAAAATCCTCCACTAACGTCTACTCCGCGATGCTTCATTTCTGCTGGTTGTCCTCTTGCTTGTGAGCAACTCGCAGAGCAAGACTCTTGTTAGACTGTCAAACATTGCATTGGCTGGATATCGATTTATCGATCCTTCGTCCCGGATTCCCTCCTTCGTCCCAGACCGTCTTGAGGGCCTTTTGATCAGGCATACTTAGGTCTGTTAAACCAGGCCAGTCACCGAAAGGAAGAGTGGCAGAGATTGTTCACGACGTGCCAGTGGTGACCCGATCCCTCTCTACAAAGAGAGCTTCATGTATTTCTTCGTATTGACGTTTCAAAGGCCGACTGCTACACTGCCCAGTGACCTGGACGAAATGTGAGCAGGGACGTTGACTTTCCACCATCATTCTAACCATCCGACCCACTCAGTGTACTCCTTGAAATGGCTCTCGATGGCATCCGCCTTGCTTCGCCCGATGGGAAGTGGTACAAAGATAACTACGGGATGTTCACGATGTTATGGCTGATATCCAGTAGGCTCTTTTTAAGTTCTCGTTTTGTCTGTCTTGTAAACTGACCAGTTTTCTCAGGGCTTTTTAAGAGGAATACGCGCCGTTGGATGTTTGATCTAGTAGAAGACACCGAGTGAACCATCGCTGTCATTGGAAGACTGTCAGTATCTTCAATCCATGGCCCTCTTTGATCTCAGTTTTGGCGGGGACGGGCCAGTATAAGCGACGAAATGTTACCGTCCTTTGTACGCCTACTAACGAATGCGGATGCAGGCGTTCAACAATCATTGATGGTTCTGGTCCCTTCGCAGTGATAGTATCAAAGGCGTGTTGCATCAACAATGGTTGTCCAGATGAGCTCGTACCGCGAGCAGTGTCCAGGTTGCCGTTTCAACAGCCTTCCTTTCTCTCAAGCAAGAAGCACCTTGATGTTGGAAGGTCCTTATCCCAAGGATTGCTTTGTAGAATTATCTACCCACGACTATAAAGCCTGTGGATGAGCTGCTGGAACATGATGGCAGCAGTTACTACTGGTCCGGGCTCGAGAATAGCTCGGAATATCTTCGTCTAACTCGTCTTCTATCTACGTTATAGGCAGTGCAGGTACACCCAAGCAGAAAATATGGGCATCACCATATCTAGGCGAAATCTCCGAGGCCTTGAGTCACCATTTATTCGCGAATAAAGTTCTAATTGGGAATCGGGACCTTCTCTTTCTCTTTAGACAAATCCTCATGGGAACGCTCCCCCCGTACGAATCCTAAGAGTGATTTCACATCATAGAGAAGTACTCATAGATCCCTCAATTGTGATACATAGTAACTACTAAGTACCCCTCCCGTCGGGGGTATGTCATCGATAAACAACAAGTGTGCACAATGGACAATATCTCGCCTCGAAATTTGTGCGTCGCACTGCCACCTTTTCCACTGAAATCCTGACCTCTGCCGAGAAATGGCCGCAATCTATCCGTCACCGTCGTTTCTTCACCAGACCCTTCTCATGGCCTAGTCCTACTTCCCACCAAACTCCATCAATCCCAGTCCTTCTCCGGTCTCTCTTTCCCAGACCTGCCTTACTCGGCCAAGATCACCAACACAGTGTGATCAATTGATGCGGGGGCGATGTGCCGGGCCGGGGTGTGCTTGGATCACCACTCCATTTTGTTACACCTGGGTCCCAACCAGGCGGCAGCCTTGCGGCACGCGACTCCGTTTCCCTGTCTTATTCGAAAGATCACTGGAAGGGCCTCGAACCGATGCCCAGAATGGCAAGGAGAGATAAGATTTGTCGTGTGATTTTAGAGGGGGTAATGTGCGTGACTTGATCATGTTTTAGAAAGGGAGGCTGCGTTTCACGTGATTCGGATATCGGAAGTGGTAGAACCCGGAAAGTGTCTAGAGTGTTACTTTCTGGGGGGTGGGGGGCTCGAACTCGCTGTACGCATGAACAAGTATACGTAATCTACAGCTTTATTGCTGCATGATACAAGCCACTTCCAATAATTATGAGCTTACAACAAAGTGTTGGTTCGGTGTCCTTGTGATAGTTTTCAAGAGGGCCGATTAATGCCGTTCTGTTTGGTCCGAGTAGACTCAAATCGATTTTTTCATTGAAACTTTATCAATTACTCTTCGAAGTCCGCGCGAGGAAAAGGGAACGAGTTAGGTGCTGGGCGCCGAGATTAATGGTAGTTGTAAGGAACATATGATGGCCGGGGAAACTGAGGGTTGCGACTGTGGCGTGAGAATCGGCTTCAGATGCCGCATATCAAGCCGATACCTTTCCTTTTACTCCGTCCAGGTTCCTTGGCAGTCGGACGAAAGTACCCTGCGTTAGTCCAAGCTTCAAGGATTCATCTTTAAACTGTTTGTTAATCAGAAACGTGACACAAAATTACAGAAACGAAAGTCTGCGTCTCGTACGACTCGGAAGCATCCTGACCAGGTTGCGGCGAGATGGTCAATCATTGATGGTTCTTGATCTCTCTGTAACAGTATCAACCGACGAGGGAACGTCCAGACTGAACTGGCACCGTAAGTAATACCCGGCTTTCGTTTCAACAGCCCTTCAAATTCATCTTTTTCCCTCAGGCAAAAGGCACTTTGCCGTCCTATCTCAAGATTACCTGACGCCTATTCTGCGCCCATGCCTGAAGTCTACCTACACTTTCACTGAGTTGCTAGAATAGGATGGCAGCCAGTCACTATGTTCCTGAGACTAGTTTCGGACTTATCTTCATCTACCGACGCATCTTCCATCTACGCTACCGACGGTGCAATACGCCTTAGTGATACGGCTGGACGATCTGTCGATCAGAAACACGTCCCGAGATCTTGACGTCCAGGTGGTCGACGTGAGCGAGCGCGCTGCTTCGAAACATCTCTTGAATGTTTTTCCGTGTAATCTCGGCCACCGCTGATATCCTGAAACTTAGCTTCTGGAATATAAAGTTGAATGCAATGCATTGCAGAGAATTATCAGCTACATTCTCTTTCACGAGTTTCACTACCCCAGGTCTCTTTCTATCCCTCTTTTCGTTCTACGATCCTTCACATCCATCTGCACGATGTTCTGCGCTGCTGCTGTGAGTGACCTCCTGTCATTTATCTCCAACAATGTTAATATCTGTCCAGTTTTTCACTCTTTTGACTGCCCTTTCCGGCGTCACTGCTCTGCCTTTCAGCGATCTTGTCCGGTCCCTTCCTAGAGATATCACCCATATCGCTGTCGATGAGGCAAAAGGTCATTACCTTGCCTTCAAGCGCGATGGTTCTCTCTACGGGGGGTACCCGGTTGACGATGCCTCGTCCAGCAGTGTCGAGCGTCGCGCCGCCAGCCAATGCGCGCAACTTTCCGTTGATGAAGCCCAAACCCGTAAGTGGTCCCTTTGCATTTGTATTTCTTGACGCTAATCGAGTACCCTATCAGTTTCTGGATGGGATGCCATCGTTCAATACGCCAATGATAACTGGGGCAGTGGCTCCCGCAACATTGTTACGAACCCTTCCGACGTAAGACCAAATTTCTATTCATGAGATCAATGATTTAACCTTCTGACTCTTCTTTAGTATGTCGACAGCCCTGCACAAGTCTGTATCACGGACGATGTTGTCCAGCTCAGCTTCTCTGGTTGGTTTTCAGCTATACTGTTTTTGACACTGTCCTGAACCTAAGATAGGCGATCCGGTCTGCCAGACACATACCGCCTCTTCTCAGGGCACTCTCGTTGGCACAGAAGGCGAAGTCGACATTGAAGTCGACCAAGGCTTCAATACTGATACTTCTTACACCATGAGCAGTGCGTTTTCCCATTTCTCTCCTCCTTGACTGTTCACTTATTGATACGGTTACTAAGCTGCTTCGACGATTGGTGTTTCCGATACGCTTACCGTTAAAATCGGTGTTCCAGAGGTAGCCGAAGTGACAGAAGCGTTGACTATCTCTGCTTCGGTTACCGATACCACGTCGAGCACGTAGGTCATTTTTCGCGTTTCCACCTGTCGATGACCTGACTCGGTCGGCGTATAGTTTCGACGTATCTTACAACGACGTGAGCAAGGTGACCATAAAGATGACTGCACCTGAAGGCAAGACTTGCAATGCTCAGGTTCGTCTCGTTTCACCTTGTGTTGACAAGTAACTCCATGACCATTCCTTCACAGACCAGCACCAAGACATGTAATATCCAGGCCACTGGTAACATCCGCTACCTCGCGACCGGCTGGATTTGGTTCAACTACAACGACAAGACACAGGGTCACTACAAATGTTCGTAATACCACTTTCAACCCATGGTGGCGTGGTCTAACTCGTGTTTTGTTCTAGGGGCCGTTAGCATTGAATCTGTCTTGACGAACCAGGATGACCGCTCCAGCTTTGCCACCTTCAAGGGCTCTATGGTTGCGAATACCTACACCAGCTATGCTGGAAACTGTCAATAAATGTAAAGTCACAATTGGTGATTGTGCAGGTCTGGCATAAAACTGCAGCCTTTGAGCTACGTGTAATGTGCGCTGATACAAACACGTTCCTTCTTTCTATTTGGTTATCAATCAGGCCGTCAATTAATCTTATTTACCCTTCTGCTTGCAATAATTTATATATTAAATACATCCACTGTCCTTCTGAATATTCGTGTTAGATTATCCACTCAATTTGTATAGTAAGGCGCCTTAGATGGGTGGATTATAATGATTCAGCAGCTAGAGTATCCTCGCCATAAATCTCAGCTGTCTTATCATGATGTGATGGTGTCCAACTTCCAGAGAATACCGGAGTCGCATCTTCCGGCGCTTCCAAGATATCACCTAATAAATAGTATCAGTCTCCACAGCCCTTAATGATGGATGCCCCAAATAGAACCGGCGACAGGTAATGATGGTCGCATGATATCCGCGAGTCCCCGAGCGTTGTTTCTTTCTTCCTCTCTTCCTCACCAGTTGCTTAAGTTACACTCATGGCTCTGACTGATATCGAACGCGCCCAAAAGACTAGCATAGCTGGATTCGCTAGGGCTGGGATAAAGCTGTCAACGATTGAGAAGTTTGATGATGAGTGCGCGAAGGGGAGGGAGTGGTATGATGTGATTGGAGTGTATGTCACAAGGAGCTTCAGCGAAAGTGAGTATCACTGAAACCTCGCACGAAAAGGAGGGACTAACCTTGCGTATCACATAGTGGGTGATGATGAGCTAGCCTCCCTCTGCTTGCAGAAGTTCTCGTCTACGAGTAATCCGTATCATCCATATTTCTTCATTGTGCTCGACGAAAGAACGGAAGAAGATGGAAGCGTATCATTGCACCAGCAGGGTGAAAATGGCAGCGACAGAGTGTCTATCCGGGTCAGCCCTGCCACTATCCCATCGCTCGTTGTGTTACTGGATGAGGGAATGAAAGACATTCCCTCCATCATTACCAACGACTATCCTGAAGACGAGGGCGAGGCTGGAGTTTGGGTGTTTGACGCAGTGCGTTACCTTTCATTTATTTGCGAACTATACTGAGGAGATGCCAGCCCCTCGATTTCTCTGACATTCAGATCAAGGCCAGGATGGCTTCCAGCGAATTCAAACGACAGTCTCCTGGCCCTGACGACGACATAGAATCCTTGAAGAAGTCTGGAATACGGTTGTCGGAAGACTATGAAGCGGTGAACGTAGAGTTGAAATGGTTCGGAGAGGCACCGGAAACCCTGCTGGTACAAGGCTTCATTTCCGGGCAACAGAACCGTATCTTTGTGACTGGGGCCAGCGAATAAACGTAAGTGGTCTAGTATCTCGAAAGTCGAAGGTGTTCCCTATCGCTGATTGACGTACTTAGGACCGGCGGAGAACCATGAACGTGAAATAGAAAAAGATGTCCGGAAAAGGCCGTCGAGGCCCGACGCAGTTTTCATGACGTACTTATCAGTACTTTTGCATTACGATGTTATCTGCTTCGGTCACGCACGGAGACTGAGATCCTGTATGACAAACTAACAAACATTACGCATTGAATTAGAGTCTGATTCTAGTGACATCTTGGCCCAACCGTTCACTCTAATCAGCAGCAAGTCTGTGCTAACATAAGTGAGATAAGTCCATAATATCCTTTCATCCGGGATCGATACGTCCTACAAGCTGTAGGGCAAGATGCATCGGCCAGAGCTGAGCACAGAGAGTAGTGCTCATCCATGACCGATGTTATTTGCCCTACAGGTAGAACCTAGTTTTGCGAGACCAATGCGAAGGGAAAATCACCGAGCGGTGACGGTATTCAGTATAAAACAAACCTGCCGACTTGCTTAGTCAACGGATGGTGGTAGACATTGAGAAAAAGAAGACTCACGAGCAAGCAAGGAGAAATCAAACGATGCAAAACCAAGAAATGGAAGGAATATTGTTCACTACCGCATGACGCGCTCTCTACGGTCACGAGGCAACGACCAGTACCCCTCCCCTTTGTGAACTGTAGGATATGGCTGATACAGAAGTAGCCTCGATTATCAGCGCCATCAAAACCGCAAACAAAGCAACGACGCACTGTGGAAAGTCTAAATGTCACGTCGCCGCTTCAGCGTCTAAGATATCGACATCAAGATGAAAGACCTGAATAAGAATAACGAACTTCACGTACCATGGTTTGCCCTCTGAAACACCTCACTTTGTACAGACACCAATAAAGTGCAAAACTCCTTCCTCGGAACAAGGCTTTCGTATCCTTGTAAAGGTCATCGCAGGACTCCAGGGCTTTCGCGTGCTCGGCCACAGCTCTTTCTAATCTGAGAGGAAAGAGTGCGAGCATCAGCAAAATAAGAGCGATAAATCATAAATGGCGGCACCTACATCTGGTAGCGCTTTTTGTGAGCCTTCTTGATCCTCTTGAGGAGGTGTCCTTTCTCGAGTTCGCTGTCAAATTCATCCCGCGCCATATCAAGTTCTGCGATGAGGAGGCAGAGGACCCGGGATGGCAGACCCCGGCAGAGAAGAAAGCTGATCATGGTGATAACGAAGACTGCGTATTGGATCAACAAGCTCTGAGACATAATGATCAAGGAGAAGCACTGAAAGAAGAGCGATCCTGAGACCGACATTTGCGTTCGACGAGAGTTTGTGCTTGCCGCAAGGGATGGGACTAGCAATGGTCTTTTAGAAACGCTCTGGGTATCAAAAAGTAGAGCTTTATACGGTGCGGAGGTACCCTGATGTATCTTTTGAGGTAAAATCATGGCACGATGAGTTAGATTCAGCCACATAACAGCAATTTCAAAACACCGACCATTTGGCTGCAATGCGTGATACAGGAAATTTCATCAAGACCTCAGGCCTCATACTTTGAGTGCTTCGTCATTCATGGTATCCTAGGAGTTTCATGAGGAGACGTTACGCAAGGAGGAAAAGTTGGAAGAACAATGGTAGTCACTGCTTCCACATACTGTGGATGAACAGAAGAAGCTTGATACTAACGTAGGTACGGCATGACGGTACTTTTAACCTCGATATCCACCTGGATTTTCCATGGCGACGAGCTCTGGGCTTGAAGCGAAAGCTAATGTCATCGATTCCTGACATTTCTCGGAGGTAATGTTGAACAGAGATAGGATGGCCGTGTTGCGAAGTTTCGGTTGGTGGGGCGTCAAAAAGGAGGAATGATAAGTCCGAAAATCTTCAAAGTAGCATCGAATTTTTATATGCGTAATAGGTGCGCACAGCTGTCTGGTACACCTAGGTCTGGCAATACGCGGGCACGAAAAGTGGTGGTTTGATGCTGGAGACATGTTTAAGCCAAGGATCCAGTTAGATGTGAGGAATGAGCACGGACCACAAAATCGGCGGTCCTCGAGTTTAAAAAACGCCACAGTTCATGTGCACGTTATGGTAAAAATCGTCACGAAATGTCCTCGACTCTCAAGCATTTATCTTGGCATCATTTTGTAACATCATGCATCGGAGTAATGATTTCTAGCGAAGAGACGAGGTTCTATTATCGCCGCGCTGAGACTCCGGCCAGCGGCTTGATATATGGAGGCGGATGCAAAAAAAAGGGATTGTCATTCACCTAGTAGCATACACCTCTGGATTAAATATACCTTCGGACGCTTAAATGGCAACGACGCCTCAGTCGCAGATGATGTGGGAGAAAAAGCTACTGACCTGTCAGAAGTAATATAAAAACGCGAGAACATTATTTCCATGAATAGGCTCCTTGGGATACCCTAGAATCAAACACCCTGTAAAACGGACGATGAGATCAGTTGAGGCTCGGTTTCTGAAATGACGACGCGCGGCTTTTGCCTCGGTTTTTTCCCATTCTTTTAGACATCATTTTTCTTGGTTGCCAGAGGGTCCTACAAACGCGAGTCCTGGTTGGATATAGTGGGACACTGAGAATCGATCGGTGGTACTTACTTTCGGGATGCTACAACGAGTTACGAGACGAACTTCAATTTTTTGGGGGTTTGTCATCGTGCTGACGTCATCAGGCAACCAATGACGAAACAGGATGTGGCTATGCCACTACTCCTTCTCCTCCACCACTACCACCACCGCCCTTACCTTGTCGATGGACGACATAGTGAGCAGGAAGGCTGAGCCATCTGCTTCTCTAGTGAATCAGGAATCTGTCGCTGCAACGAATATCTCCTTCTCACCATCTGCAGAAGCGTCACCAATAAATGCAGAGGTGCAACACAGCATTTTCTTCAAAGACTTATGTCTAACGTGTAATACAGGCCAATATCTTCGTAGCAGCCCAGAGAGGGGATGTCCAGCTTATCAAAGAGCTCATCGAGTCGGGAAAGGCGGCAGCAACGGACCGTGACGACCAGAACATAACCCCGCTTCACTGGGCGGCAATAAACGCTCAAGTACCAGCTTGTCGGTATCTCCTCGAGCAAGGCGCAGAGGTCGATGCGCTAGGAGGAGACCTTGTTGCTACGCCTTTGCAGTGGGCGGCCCGTAATGGTTACCTCTACGTGATACAACTGCTCATCTTCCACAACGCCGACCCTACCATCACCGACTCGCAAGGTTACAATTCTCTACACCTCGTCACACACTCATCGTCTGTCATGCCACTTCTGTATCTGCTCCATCAGCCCATCAACGTGGACTCGCGTGATTCGCAAGGTCACACCTCCCTCATGTGGGCTGCATATCAGGGTGACGCATTGTCAGTCGATCTGTTGTTAAGGCACGGTGCCAATCCGAATACCAAAGACGACGCTGGATTAACGCCACTGCACTGGGCGGTGGTTAGGGCGAACCGGGTCATCATACGGCGGCTGGTCGAAAAGGGTGCGGACCTGACTGCTAAAGATGGGGAGGGTCGGACGCCGAGAGAGATGGCAGTGGAATTGAAGAGCCTTGGAGCATGGAAACGGGCCCTCGAAGAGGGGGGTATGAACGAGTATGGAATCAAGAAACCCAAACCTTTGAGTGAAGTGAGTATCGTGATTTTCGTCGAATATCTTGGGCTTACAGTCGAGTTGCAGCGGAATACCAAAATTGCAATATTCATCATACCAACAATCTTCTTCTACATGATCTTCATGACCGTCACGATATTACCGTGGTATACTGGCCTCCTCCTGGCCATGGCCGAGTTCTTTGGGATGCATCATATCGTCACTCGTGTCCTCCTGAACAACAACACGTATACAGACAGTGTGCAACAGACGCCCTACTTTGCCGGGATCATCTTCGGATCGATGGTCTGGGTGTTGTTTAGTTGGTTCACGAGGCTTGTACAACGTATGCGCCTCGTTCGTTTCGTTCAACCGAAGCTGATGTTTTGTCGCAGAAACGCAATCACACGCTTTCGCACACTTGACATTTGCTATCTCATTTGGTCTATGCGCGTATAATTTCTTCCGTTCTATCATGCTGGATCCAGGAACGTGTCCTAAGCCAGTCAATGACGGCGAGCTCAAAACGGTGAGTCTCCTTCCATGAGTATCGTCACGTGTTCCTCATTTTGTGTGCAGATTATCGAGGACCTTGCTTCTGAGGGTAGACTGAATGGTCAGACGTTCTGTATACAGTGCATGGCTCGTAAACCACTGCGATCGAAGCATTGTCGGATATGTGACCGGTGTATCGCCCGCAGCGACCAGTACTTTTTTCCCTTTCTGCCGCGTGATCGTGCTCTGACTATTCCTTGTCTAGTCATTGTCCATGGGTTTGGAACTGCGTGGGTTTCAATAACCATCGCCAGTTTGTGATATTTGTGTTGATGCTTGTCACTGGCATCATCTCTTTCGATTATCTCGCCTATCAATGTAAGGATCTAATGACTCTTTTGCACTATTGAATCTAATTACGTTTCAGTCTTCTCAACGATACCACTCTCTATGGACCCGGCGGACATCTCGCCCTCGTGCCCTCTAACCGCAGATCTATGTCGTATAACATCGTACGACACCTTCCTCGTCGCCGTCACGGCCTGGGCAACTCTTCAGCTTTCATGGACCATCGTCCTCCTCGCCTCCCAGATCTGGCAGATCGTCCGGCAGATGACTACTCTCGAAGTGTCCAACCTGGGAAGGTTTGGCTTCATGGGAGGACGTGGTGGTGCAAGCATGAATGGACAGATGGGACACCGTCACAGCCATCGAGGCTTGAGCACAGAGGATACTGCGCTTGTGTCACCACAGCCGGAGCATCAACATCGTGCCGGCGGATTTTTGATGAACCTTTTGGGCTTTGACAGGTTTACGAAAGGCAAAGCGGTTGACGGGCTCGCTCGTGCGGGTAAAGCAAGCAATCCGTTCGATTTGGGAATGTGGGGCAATTGCAAAGATTTTTGGACAGCTGGGAAAGAATTAGGAGTGGAGTATGACAAGCTGTATGATGTGCCCATAGAAGGATTCCGGGAGGCAAAGAGGAGGCGAGAGAGGGAGGACGAACTGGATGAACCCGGGGCGAAGAGGACTGCGAGGAAGGGGCTGTTCATGGGGTTAGGGTTGGGTATGGGGAGAGCAGGAAGTAGTAGAGGTGCGTATGAACCTGTTAGTCAGGTATAGACCTTTGTATTAGTCTTAATATCTACAGAAATTTGTACGCTACCATTTAACTCTTCGGATTTTATGCTCAAATTTGTATCGATATCAGCGTTATTCGTCCCGACAAATATATTCATTCAATGTTTGGCTGGACTTTTTGGTCCAAAATGTACACCGGTAGTTGTCTCGGTGCTGTTTTCCAGTAGTTAGGTGGGTAGTGATTGTCAGCATTATTGAAATATATCACAGGGCGTTGAAGATCTTCCGTCAAAAAAAATAGCGTGGGTATATATATTCATTCTTTACGATCGTAGGAAAAGCTATGTTACATGGTAAGAATCGTGACTTCCAGTCCGTCATGAAATAGTTCTTGTAATTTATTCGTAGCTGCAGCTGAGAGGGGAAGGGGATTAGGACTACGTATCTCGGCTCTTACGTATTTCAGCTTGGGCGCGTCATACGTCCTACACCGCGTCGACATCATGTCAACGAATACATCATTTATAAACCGGACGCCCTGAGAATCCGTGGTGTCAAATACCTCGATAGTAAATTCGGTTAGAACCGGTAGCAACGCATGACGGGCTGAGAGAGCCTGTGGCTGAGGCGAAGGCTCAATCATTTCCGAGATGACGCGCTGCATGGTGTTATCGTACTCGTCCCGCCAAAAAATGAAGAACATCTCCAGTTCTTCGAGCCGTGGCATCTGCCGAAGTAGATGAATGAAGTCCGGAGTATTAGTGATCGATACTTGTGTGAGTATGAGGGATGTGAGGGAACATTGGGAGACGGAGATGAGAACCTGCAGTGATGCGACAACGTCATCCGGACATGGCAGCATGCAGTTCTCATCGGTACCCAACCAGAGCGTCTTGAGGGCTGGTAGGCGCAGGCTCCGGAGCAAGGCGCCTTCCGATGCCTGCAGCGTATGGATGGATGCATTCTCGATGCGTGGCGTGACAGGAAGTGTCGAACGCGGATCAAATCGATTTCGGTGATATACGTGGAAAGATTGTAGAGCGGGAGAGTGTCGTACTGTCTCTAACATACGGGCGTTTAGCGCGTTATCTCCGAGCTCGCGGTCATCACGGAATTGTCGCAGTTTTGGTGAGGAGAGGGGGATGATGGTGTCGATGTGGTCGTCTTGGAATCCTTCAATGGAGATTGATTCGAGCCGGGGGGTAATCTCGAAGGCATCGATACGTAGAGGCGGCGTCTGGTCACCGATGTAAGTCAAATTTACTTGGGACAGCCGTGAGAGACGGCCACGAATGGTCGAGAGCGCTCCGAAGCGTTCGGAAGATAAGGAGAGCTGCGCAGTCTTCCAACGGTTGGACTCGAGGGTTATTAGGGAGAATAAGACTGTTGCTACGGCTTTTCGTTTCGACTTCTGTTTACCGCCATCTCTGAATTGGATAAAGAGGTCACGTAGACCAGAACGGTGTAGGGCGGTTTGGAGAAGGGAGAATGAGTCCTTGCGCCGGAAGGAGGATGGGGTGATGGTGATGTCAGACCAGAGCTCGGGACAGTGGACCGTCGCGACGGTTCGCCAAGTGCTACAAACGTGACTGAGGATCCAGGGATCGCTCGTGGTGTCGGTGACCCGGAGAGGATTGGCATGTAGGAAGATCTCCATGAGTATTTCGGCAGGAAGTCGGCGGATAGGGGATAGTACTGATTTCAGGTCGTTGGTGAGCCATTGTAAGGCTCTCCGTTTTTCGTGGAGCTTGAGCATGATGCGGCGTATCTCGAATTCGAGTTCTTCTTGAGCAGCGTGAACGGTTTGTTGCAAGTTCATGAGGTGGGGAATTTCGGAAGATGGGGGTGGATCGTTAGTGTTGCAGAGCGCGTATAAAGAGTCCGGTATTAATATGTCGTGAGTGCAGGGAGCAGGGTCGTAATGACTGCCGCAGGTGTTGCACGTATAACAGTCGAACATCTACGGAAAGCACTTAAGTTCTTCTGTGAACGTCTGATGGTAATAATCATGAGAAGCTCACCTTAAGAGATAAATTAGTAGGGCATCAACATCCACATCTGCAGATATTTTTCGCGTTGTCCCGGTACCTGATAAGTCAGATAAGACGCGTCTGCATGAGGTACCAGTTAGTATGAATGGTATCGAATGAAGGAGTAAGGGGGAGATGCGAACATTAAAATTCCGGCGCGAGTTGAAATCCACTGTTCAAAGCGGGAAGGCTGTAACAGCACAGAGAGGGAGGAAAGGTGTAAAGATTCATCAATGACGAGATCAGGAATAAAAATATGAAGGTCGCGCCAGGGTCGCGAATCGCCGATTGATCGGGAACACACGTGGGAAGTTGACACCAGGTACTCCGAGTCCGCCACTCAATCTGGACCACACGAACGCTTGAATTAGTACGCACGGCAGCGCCAGTAACGCCACATTGTGGCAGCTTCCTTTTCCGATATAATACAACCTGAACCAATGGACTGGCGGGATATCCACTGGGGCCTTCCAAACTCGCTGTCATTCATACTTTGAGGCCGTGCCATGATACCCCAAACTGTATACGTTCCGCCACGGAATTTCCCCCTTCCACCAGGTCTCTATGTGTCTGTCTTTCTTGGCTTGGCTGAGAATCCGCTGGACCACGTTTCTGTGTAGTGTTCGACGAAGTGTTCATCTTCACCGATAGCCAAACTGTGCGCTTTTTTCGGCGACGCCGCCGCCATGGTAGATGCCGCACTCTGACTGAGGGTAGCATGACCCTATCTTCTCTTTGAAATGAAGGATAGCAAGTGCCTTCGTCATCGTGAACATCCGTAGATCCTTTCTCCATTGAATATTGAAGGACCCACCCTCCCTGGCCTCGTGCTACTTATCTGCCATATCCTCCGAAATTTATCCTGGCATTCAGGCTGCGCGTGCGCGATTTGAGCGCGTATATATCTCGTATCATCAAGCCCAGGGTTTTTTTCGTGGCTCGACGCGCTCCTCTTGACCGAATCGGGCCGCGAAAGAACACCGAGCTTTAACAGCAAAAAATTCAGCATGGCAATATACGTATATCTGTTCTTACCGAAACCTCTTTCTGGCTATCTGAAGGACAAGACACGACAAGCTCTACCGGCTGAGGCGCCGATGTCGTTATTCGCTGTATCCCGAGGCCCGATAACAAAGTTGACCACTTCTCTTCCAGGCATCATATTTCATCTAGCTGACGCAGTTCCTTGAGATCCGGATCGGCATGACAGACTTATGAAACGAAATGAAATTTCGGGACTCTCCAGGATATGATACCTTCTTCTGATATCTATCCACCAAGGGCGGGGTACCGAGCTTTCCTTGTTGTGGAAATCCCGCCCCTAGCGGGGTAGGTCAGATAGACCACCTGTATCAGGTTCTCGTTAGCTGAATGGCTCCATTTATCCTAGTGTGAGAACCTTTTGTCACAGTATCACCTGGTATCCGTAAAGATTCACCTCTGAGATAATATTACCAGGGGAAGTGGCGTTCCATGTCTTGAAGGCACTGTCATTTCGGTCTTCGGTTCACGGTACCGGTCCGGGTTAATACAGCGACCCTGTACTATTCAATGCCGCAGATTTCCGTATCATCAATATTTACAGGAACGATCGCTCGCTGGATATTTTGCTAGTTGGAGGTTTGCCGATCCTTATGGTCTAACCGGTAACCCTTCAAGTGTTTTGTCAAGACCACTGTTACGCCACTGGGTTGTCAGGCTATGGAGGAGAACCCTATTTCCACGAACTGTCTGGGTGTCGGACCGGATATCCTTCGAAACATGTGAATGCCTCCTCGAACCCAGAAATTCGACTCGTCCGGTCTCGGGTATTCTCCTTGTGAGTGTGGCACAAACATGGATACGCAGTCGGACTGTTCTCGTAGAAGCTAGAAAACGTTATGCAGGGACCTCAGGGTAGCCTCTTCCCTAGTACACAGCTTGGTGCACTCTTTCTCTCCAGCACAGACTGAAGAATTGAAGCCCGCCTTCCCAAGTCTCGCACTCTTTCATCCGGAACCGGGAGGCATCATTCTTGATCAGGAACTCGAAGAACCATGGGCCAGGGTTAATAGCCCGCGGGCCGTTTTCCCAACACACGCGATAGCCTGTTGTGGCGTCACTTCCATGTTGGCAAGGCATAGGGCTAATGCACCGGTATTTATCAGGCGCCCACGTTGATATCAGCTGAGGGCTGCGCCAACTTGATGTGGCTGGAGTATACATGAAATGATATCATGTTCGATTCAATTTTCCTTGATTGAATGTCGTACAACCATGTGGAGGTTCATCTTGCAGAGAGACGTCGTGTTGAAGTCCATTCCATTGCCCCGAACCCTTGATGGCGGCAGTATAATATTGTCTGGCTGTTGACGATTGAGCATGAGGAGAGGCGTTATTCCGCTGTACATACGGCTAAGCCCCCAAGAAAAAGCGCCACCACGATGGCTTCTTTGCCTGAGCTCATTCGTGTTTTCAGTGTTACTGCCAACAAAACAAAGCAAACGTACTCACTATGCCATCAGCTTCCCAGACCGCCGGCAACACGACGTGCTGACCCTAGAAGTCGAACTCGGTATCCGTGAGATACGGGTAAACGCCGGAGCACTCATCTCTTCACGGAGGCAGAAGAATGGCACACTTCCATCTATTTTGGAGTTCCACCAATGGGAACCATACCTGGCGTTCGCTCGCACTATCTCCGACAGCACAAGCTTTAAGCTTTAGAGGCCAAAACATACAATGCCACCGCTTCTCAAGAGGTGGTGGCGTTGCCCCAGTAATAATAGGTCCGTCAAGTCATTAGCATATGGTCGATTGTTTCTTCGTTCTTCAAAGGGTGGAATGGCTTCGAAGAATCCCGTGAAGCCTGTCGAGTCCTTGTATGCATCTGTTATGAATCGGATATGAACTCGAACAAGAATAATCGATTGCCCGTATCATAACTCACTGAGTCTTCGGCCAACATACTCTCGAGGTATAATACTGTTTTATATACGCTAGGAGTCACCTCCTCACTGGAGCATATAGAGAAACATCCCGAAACTGGACAAGAAACCAGCGAAAGGACTAGCGAGGCACTCTGGAGCGAGACTCGGGTTATCGACGGGTCTGTAACGAACGTCGGACATTCACAGCTGTGTGAATAACGCCATGCCGGTGTTGGTTTCAACAAACCCATGATGCGCCACTATATCAGGCTTTCGACACATGAGCGGAAAGTCAAGCCATAATAGGTATAAAAGGTTGTGGGGCTGAAACGTACTGCGCGGACAAAATGCTCGACCTCAGTCGAGATCTCTGTGCCCTGACATTCGAAGACCGCAGGGTAGTATACGTTCGTTGCAACTTTGCTTTTCTGTAAAATCCTTCCGTTCTTGGACATCGATATAACGGAACCGGTCGTATCGCCAGACTAGGACGTAAATATTTAGACGCTTTCAAGACATGAATCAGGCGCGGCACTAACCTTGTGATGAACGAACCCGGCCTCGGCGTTAGGATAAGAGTCAAGGTATGACAATTGATCCAACCCTCGCTCGGCAAATATACCAGATCCCCGATTTTCTTCACATCTACTGACCTATGACCTATGACGCTGTGAAGATTCTCAGTGACGCGTTTTACGTTCCCCCAAACGCGAGGACCGGCAATGTTATCGAAAAAGGCAAAGTGGCAAAGAAAGCAGTTTGGTGTGAAAGAGTCAATAGTATTTACCCCCTCAAGACGACTTGCGGAGCGTGACGAAAAGAGGAAGGATGGTATACATACACACACATGTCATTGAATCGTCAATCACATAACAAAACAAACGTCGCGAATACATATATCAACGTTGGTTTGAGTCATCACTTCAAACTAAACATTGTTCAATCAGCTGATGGCAAACAGGGTAGAGGGAGACGGGCACGTACAAAAACCGATAAATTTTCCGAATATCATGGCAGCCATGATCATCACCACATAGGTCATAGCTTTCAATACCGCATCCCAGGTCCCCGTGTTTGGCGGGGGGGGTGATTGTATTTGCACGGAGTGGATCAGTGGTTGCACCTCTGTCCAGTCTCGCTTCGGGACGTGCATGTCCTGTCCTTCGTAGCCTATGAGCGACCGTGTGACGAGAGTGCCGACCGTATCAAGCTGTTGGTTTGCGTAGGCTTGAAAAGACTGCCATGCACGTTAAAAGTTAGACGATGGCCAGAAGAGACATTGACGTACAGAGTATGACCTTTTTACAAAGGCAGTCTTGGGTATGGCGATACGCTGGTCGCCTCGCTCTGCGATGACGACTTTGTTGTCTACGTTGGTGGGTTCTGACATCTTCGAGGGTTCAATGATGGTGATAGCAACAGAGGGTATCAGTCCGTCTTTTATGAGTTCAGTAACGAAAGAATCAAAGATTGCCACTGGCTTCTTTGTTACAATGAAAATTAGTTTGAGGAGCGACATAAAGGAAACCAGTGCTCACTACTGCGATATCCTCGGTCGATGCCCTGAAAAGTACAAAGGCATTTTTCACTCATTGCCATGAGTATTATTCCTGCCCTGTTCCGTAACTGCGAAGACAAAGACCTTCATTGTACTGTCAGCATTTGCGGAATGACCAGCTCATGCAAGGAACCTCACCTTTGTCTAGGCCAGCCTCTATTACACGTCGATGAAGGGTTCGGGCCATCAAATATCCTTTTCCAGCAGTACAGTCTTCCTTAAAGCCATGCTCCCAACGAAAACGAGTAATGTCGGTCATAAGAGTCCGTTATCCCTTACTCACGCACGATACATGAAGAGAACATTCGCCCGCCAGGATTTTCAGCACGCCAGTGAGAAAAGTGGCGCTAATATCAGGGATGGCCAGTATCATACTATGCTGCCTGCAAGAAAGGTCGCTGGCTTGACTCAGCATCACGAACCTTCCATGGGGCAAATTTGGGCACTGATTGCGATGCAGAAGTCTATACAGGCATCGAAGAGTACGATGACGAGTTGCCAAAGCGTCGAAGTATTGACAGAGACGACGGTACGCGATGGAAGGTGGTAAATGCAGGGGCGGCTTGATTCCCACGCTTCATCAAAATGGAGGTCCGGTCCGCATCTCCCGGACCCAGGTCGAAGTTATTTTTTTCCTCCTCATTTTCATCCATTTAAATAATCGCTTCGGCACAAACCGAGTCAATGCTTTAGGGAAATGATTTTCAGAGATCCTTTTGGCATTCTGCTATAATTTAATCCGCTTTGAAAACGACATGTCTCTGCAAAATGCCTCTTGGGCCCGCCGGGCCAGAGCTGGAAATGTGGCCTTCATCACGGGCGAAACATTGATTGACTCTGCACTTAAATATCACTCAACTTCTATCTGTTCGGCATCTCAATTTTATTCTTGATCCCTGCTCTGTCGCTCCTGCCAACAACACTCTGCTTGGGGTCGATAATGGCTCTAACAATTCCTTTCTAGACAAGTTGCTTTGAGAATCCCGAGTGACAACAAGTCTTAGTTGGTTTTATGCATGATCTCTTCTTACTTGTCTGTCGAACGGATATTCCTCTGTTAAATGAGGAGCTAATGCCGTCATCAAGCTTCCTCTCGTGATGAACGATAATAAGGCGTATCTCGTACGTGTCTGCTTTGATCTGGTTCTTCTCCCTTTAATCCACATCACCTCAGCCCATACCAGAAATCTCGGCTTCAGCCTTGTCCTCAGCCTTTGAAATGCGAAATTCTTCCTTCTTCATTCCCTTTGCGAGCTGCCATCATACAAAAACTCAAACGGTCGTATAATAGCGATCCTTTACTCATGGTATGATAACCCAGAAACCAATAAACACGTTTGCGTATATTCATGCTGTTATGTCGCTCAAGCTAATCTCCTCATGGCAGGGTATTTACATAAATCGATATCTTCCCGATATATATATGTAACTTCGAGTCCCTACAGCCCTCTAGGAGACCTTTTCCCTTCTCCCCACCTCCCAGAAGCCCAAAGCGAAGTCTCCCTCCATGCAGCAACATTTCACGCTGGTTCCGTTTTTGCTAGTTCATCTCATCTTAGCCGTCTTCCAATACGATGATTCTCCGATCCAGTATGCACTGCTCATTCTTAGGGAGCTCATATCGTGGACCCTCCCATCAGCCGTAATTGATATCCTTGATCGCGAGGTTGAAGGAGCTCACGGGGATCTAATCGAGGCTGGCCGACTTGGGAGAGATATCTCCAGAGCACTGTGGGACAGATTCTACAGGTAAGTGCTATGAACACTCGCTTTCTTGGCTCGACATCTGAGTCATAACTCTCTAGACTGGAGGACTCGTTCCATGCTTTGCATGAAGAGACCAGGCTGTCGAGCAGGTACCCATGGACCGACGCTTGGGCAATGGTCCGTGGAAAAAGTATGGCCATCTACAGGTCTTTGTGGGAAGTTAGGGACTTCAGGCGCCAGGTCGTGGTATGTCCGATTATTTCCTTGTCTTTTATGCTCCATGAACCACTCTGCAGACGTACAATCGCCGGCACAGATTCTAGGCAAATTATGTTGTACCTCCTAAGGCGCATACTAACAGAATCATTTACAGCGCCGTTCCTCATTCCTTCTTGGTAGGGGTCTTTCTCATGGATCTCGCGGTGCTAGAGCTTATCGCGCGACTATGGTCAATATCCCTCTCATTTGCTTCTTGGTTTACTTTCCTTGTCTTCCTTCTCTTTAGGTGCGGCTCCGTTTATATATTACACATCTACAGCTTTTTGACTATCTTTCCACAGCTATAACGCATTATTTATGTCGTCCGGGTAATCAGTTCCGCGGCCGAGGAGGAACTGCTATCTCCGAACTCACTGTGCACTACCATCATCCTCCTACCTACGATGTCCAAATAATGAGGGTCAAAATCAAGTCCGTTACCCAGCTCTCGGGCAGGATTTCGTCCCGCATTATTTGGCGTCATAGTCCTATATGTATATAAAAGATTTGACAACATACGACATCGTTATTATCAGGATAATAGTGAATTCAGAGCGTGAAGATGTTTGGTCAACACGAAGTGTTATAATAATACCAAACGATACGTGTTGATCGCACAATGGTTATTACTATTGCAGAAACTGGTTTCGATCCCCGGCCAACACTTCTTCGTTGAACCATGATGAAATTTTTACCGCATGACCAGAGAGCCAGCAAAGAAGCGGTGAATATCTGGTGACTGGTCAGGTGAAGTTTGGAAGTGATACAAATGCATAGGTGAATTTCCGGAAGCAGTGAATATGCTTTCAATGTATAATGATATACATGGAAGGATAGATAACATCTACCATCGGACAATGGACAACCATATAAGAATCGAAACATCCGATCTGTGGAAGCGGTCGTGACGCTGCATCTACTCGCAGTTTCCAGCATAGCTGGTCTGCGTATTCGCAACCATAGAACCCTTGAAGGTAGCAAAACTAGAACGGTCATCCTGGTTCGTGAGGACGGATTCGATGTTGACTGCCCCTAGAATAAGAACCCGAATTAGACCACGCAACTAGGCACCTGCATGACTACTAACACTTGTAGTGATCCTTCGTCTTGTCGTCGTAATTGAACCAAACCCAGCCGGTCGCGAGATAGCGAATGTTGCCAGTGGCCTGGATGTTACAGGTCTTGGTGCTGGTCTAAGAAGATATGGTCATGATGTATCCCATCAATACAAGCTAGAGGATACAGACCTCGGCTTTGCAGGTCTTGCCTTTGGGTGCAGTCATTTTTATCATGACTTTGCTCACGTCATTGTAGGACACATCAAAGCTATAGAACAAGTAAGACCGGTCACTGAGGATCGGAAACACAAAAAGACTTACGTGCTAGATGTGGTATCCGTAACCTCAGTAGAGATGGTCAGGGCCTCAGTGACCTCGGCTACCTCTGGAACGCCGACTTTGACGGTCAGCGTATCAGAAACACCAATAGTTGAAGCAGCTGGGTAATCATATCGATAAGGGAACAGTTATAGAGAAAGACAGAAAGACGTACTGCTGATGGTGTATGAAGTATCGGTATTGAAGCCTTGGTCAACTTCGATGTCGACTTCTCCTTCGGTGCCGACGAGGCTACCCTCAGAAGAAGTCGTGTGTGTCTGGCAGACTGGGTCGCCTGTCTTGAGGTTAGAACGGACGGAATTAATAATAACATAAATGAAAGCTAACCGGAGAAGCTGAGCTGAACAACATCGTCTGTAATACAGACTTGTGCAGGGCGGTCAACATACTAACAGGGTAGATGGTCATGTCATCAGCTCTACGAAGGAAAAGTTGGTCTTACATCGTCGGGGTTTGTAACAATTTTGCGAGAGCCAGCACCCCAGTTATCGTTGGCGTATTGAACAATAGCGTCCCATCCAGAAACTACAAGGTTAAATGATTAGCATCAAGTAGGTAGGAAAAGGGACCGCTTACGGGTTTGGGCTTCATCAACGGAAAGTTTCGCGCATTGGCTGGCAGCGCGGCGCTCGACGTTGCTGGACTCGGCATCGGCCGGATACCTTCCGTAGAGAGAACCATCGCGCTTGTAGGCAAGGTAGTGACCTCTTGTCTCGTCAACGGCGATGTGTGTGATATCTCTAGGAAGGGTCCGGACAAGCTCGCTGAAAGGCAAAGCAGTGACGCCAGAAAGGGCAGTCAAAAGAGTGAAAAACTGGACAGATATTAACATAGTCTGCCATGAAAGACAACATAGGTGCTCACAGTCATAGGAGTGAACATCGTGCAGGTAGATGCAGGAGGATAGAACGAAAAGACGGGCAAGGTCTCTCAGTAAAAGGAGCGAAAGTCAAAAAAGAGAATGTAGCTGTAGCGCTGACAATGCTCTAACGCCCATTCCCTCCTGGTTTTATACTCCAGAAGCTACGTTTCAAATTTTCAGCAGTGGAGCAGGTAACATTTACTCACGGCATATGGACTTCGAACTCACAGTGCGTTTCTGATCGACCGGATCAACAAGGAGATTGCACTGCCTGTAGTGTGGATAAAGGATACCTTTGAGACCGATCGACCAACAAAGACTCGAGCACGAACTATAGCAACAGCTGCCATGATGATGATATTCCGGAAACTCATGAAAAGTCCAGCCATCCGCAAGTATCAGTCATTGGGGGGGAAAGTCATAAAGTACTCTTAAAAAAAGAACTTCCAACGATAAAATGCCTTTCGCCTGAGGTAAGGGATGAATTTGAGTGATGATACAGAAAATTTGGCATTACTGACAGTGCCAGCTCAGTCTGGACACCTCTCGTCAATGCAACAAGACTTGGCACTGTTACGAAGAGATCAGAGCCATCAATGATTGCCTGTCATCGAAATCAGTCAGTGCTGATTCATCCTGTGGCGCATGGTTTCACGTACCATCCTAATCAAAGAAAGCAGTTCGCAATGAGTCCTTGAAGCTTGGGGTTGAGCTTGAAACCTGCAATTCGTTGCTCGCCAACGGTGGATGGAACAGTCGAGAAGAAGATCCGGTACTAGCCGGTGTCGGCAACTCAAAGCCGATTTCACATGCCACAAACGCGTCAAGGGCTCAGTTCCAGTCCTGACTCGTTGTTTGCTGTTCCTTTTGACTACGAGCTGCTACCGTGCCACACAAGTCTCTATGTGTGAACAGCTCAAAAAATTCCGAAATGCCAAGTATGTGTCACAGCCTCGTCGTGTTTTCTTCAGCTGTTTGTCCCCACGGGCATTGCCAAACAACGCGATCGTTTTGCTCCATTCTAAACAACACTATTTTCGTTTAATTATCTTCCAAGTTGATCAGTGGGTAATCTTGCTCCCACCTTACCCACGTTCCTCCTCAGTCTTCAGGTAATTCTTTGCTTGTAACACCTGGTCTGGCAGCAATTGCAAGCAAAGTGCAAGAAATGATCGATTCCTGTCACTACTTATTACGGATTTCAAGTTATAGGCGAGATAGTCAGGTATTCTGAATGCAGAATCACGGACACGACCCTTCTTCGACATCCTTGGAACAACTGGAATGTCCTCCTCTTTTTCAGCTTTCTTCGTTTCATTTTTTCGTCAATGTAGCCCTTGTTTGCAGCTTTCTTCATTACCTCTAGCTGGTGCCAACGTGATCATGACGTCTTCTGTTAATGCTAAGCTGAAATTTCTAAAGAAAGTAGGAGCTACCTACATTTTTAATGACGACACCACATCCGACTGGAATAAAGAAGTGTTGAGGGGAAAGGGGGGTTGATCGTGTTTTGGAGGTATGCCTTTCTCGCTCAAATTCGTGTTGCTGATATTATTATATCCCTCAGGTCGGTGCACTGAGAATCTTTGAGAAATCGATAGCAGCCGTTCGTTCCGCAGGGTTATCCATATCATAGCGGCAGTGCAGAAAATGCAACCACGGTGAGTCTCGTTGGGCTTTGTATCGTGAAGTCCATCGTCCTTCATGGAATTAGGTCGGCTCTGTTGCATAATGAGTTTGTGCCTACATTCGTCTCTTTCCATTCGACCTATGCTTACATTTAGGTTTGAGTCGGTGAATAGGCTATTGTGTGCTTTGCCGGACTCTGCACGTCCGGTCATCGACAAGGCGTCCTCATTTGAAGAGGAGGCGGATGCATATGCATATTTAGAGAACCAAAGGCGTGCTGAGACATTGCGGATCTGGGCATGGACAAGGCAAGGAAATATTCTAACCGTATATGCGAATATCCAGAAAAAAAGTTGTGTGTATATTGCTAATGGTACAATATTGCGCGTAGAAGAATAAATAACGTCCATCAACGCCCGATAGATAACCAAATAGAAGTCGGCTGTATTGTCGACTTTACTATACTTGACCTCCGCAGCCACCTTAAATTTACTGGCAGGTGCCAGCGTAGCTAGTCTCGGTGTTCGCAACCATAGAGCCCTTGAACGTAGCAAAACTAGAGCGGTCATCCAGATTTGTGATGACGGATTCGATGTTAATGGCCCCTGAAAAAACGATCAAAGTTAGACCACAAAACCAGGCACTTGAACGCGCTAACACTACTGACATTTATAGTGGCCCTGAGTCTTGTCATCGTAGTTGAACCAAATCCAGCCGGTCGCGAGATAGCGGATATTTCCTGTCACTTGGATATTACAGGTCTTGGTGCTTGTCTGATATGAAGCGGTCAGTGAATTGGGGGTACTAGATCGAAAGGAAAATCACCATAGCAGTACAAGTCTTGCCCTCAGGAGCGGTAATCTTTAACGTGACCTTGCTCACGTCGTTGTAAGACACGTCGAAGCTGAAGGCTTGTCTTAGCATATGTGCTGTAGCCTCAAATAATGTGCAACGTACGTGCTCGAAGTGGTATCAGTAATCTCGGTAGAGATGGTCAGGGCCTCGGTGACCTCGGCTACCTCTGGAACGCCAATTTTGACTGTCAATGTGTTGGAAACACCAATCGTCGATGCCGCTGAATATGAGATCAGTAAAGACACAGTCGGGGAGAGAGACCCGAAAACATACAAGTGACGGTGTAAGAAGTATCAGTGTTGAAGCCCTGGTCGACTTCGATATCAACTTCACCCTCCGTGCCAACGAGGGTACCCTCAGAAGAAGTAGTGTGCGTCTGACAGACCGGGTCACCTGTCTCCAAGTCAAAAAAGATCATAAGTGCTATAACTGTAAACGAACCGGAGAAACTGAGCTCGACAACGTCGTCTGTGATACAAACTTGTGCAGGGCGATCAACATACTAAACAAGAGGATCAGATCATTGATTTCATGAACAGAGAATCAATCTTACATCTTCAGGGTTCGTAACGACGTTGCGGGAGCCATCGCCCCAGTTATCGTTGGCGTATTGCTCAATAGCATCCCACCCAGAAACTGAGCATTTCTTAGCATTGGATAACTGAAGCAAGAAAAAAACCTACTAGTTTTGGCTTCGTCGATGGATAGTTGTCCGCATTGGCTGGCGGCACGACGATCAACATTGTTGGACTCGGCGTCTGCGGGATACCTCCCGTAGAGAGAACCGTCGCGCTTGAAAGCGAGGTAGTGACCTTCTGCCTCGTCAACAGCGATGTGGGTGATATCCCTAGGAAGGGACTGGACGACCTCGCTGAAAGGCAAAGCAGCAGCGCCAGAGAGGGCAGCCAAAAAAGCGATAAACTGGGAGGGTGTTAACAGAGTAGGATGCAAAGAATAGGTTGGTGCTCACAGCAGCAGTGCCGAACATCGTTTAGGAAGATGGAAAGGATAGTAAACAGAAAAGTAGGAAATTTCGCTAAATCGAAGAGAGCGAGGCTCGACAAGAGACAGTGAGCGAGGAGTGATAATTCGTTTCTGCGGAATTTGACGTGCTTTTATACAAGAAGCCGCGTTCCATAATATTATCGGTGGTTACATGGTGATAGCAAATTGCTCGCTAGACATTTCGGAGCGGCGCGCACACCCATACAGAGCATATGGAGCTTGGATTGTCGGGATATGTTTCCGATCGTCATTATGATCAAGGTTGATCACTGGGCAGGTATATTACACAGCCTGTTGCATAGATAAGAGATGTTTTGTGCGAAAATCATGCGTGGACGTAGTCTCGAACGCCAAGCACGGTAACGGCTACTGCAATTGCAACACTATAATATTCCGGCGAGAGTGTCCTATACTATGAGAAATTTCAGTCCCCAAGAGGTTTCTGTCCTGGCCACATAGTAGAGGGCCCAGCATCATTGAAAAGAGTAAGAAGTGGTGCTTCGCTTGAGGTAGAGACGAATCTAAGTAATGAAACAGGCACCTGAGTAAACCTTGGCAATCCCTGGGGTGACAATTCAGTCTCGGTTTCTTCAAACTCGAATTCTTCATTTTGAATCAGATTGTAACAAAGCTTGGAAGCTTGGCATTGATACCGCACAAGATGCGTCGAATCAATCATTGACTGTCTCGCCGAAACAGGTCAGATGCTGACCTAGAATCAGTATGACGCAAAATACTATATGGAATACAGCGTACTCTGTGAGGTAGAAATCGTTCGCAGTCAATCGATGAAGACTGTAGGGCTCGAAAATGCCAGCGTTATGCGCACATGGTCTTCAAGATGGCCGGTCCCGGCAAGTTAGGCCGACTTCTCACGCCACAGACGCGTTAAGGCTCAGGGCCATGTGCATGCCATCGTCACCGTAGATGAAGTGGCCCTATCTAGTTTTATGCTCGCACTCCATTTTCACCAATTCTAACTCCCCGGAGCCGATGGACTATCTTTGGAGACACCACATTCAAACAAGTAACGAAGGACGCGGAGTATGGCAATGCTGGTCTTCAGTGGTCCCAGCGTTGAGGTAAAACTTCATTCAGATGATTATGGGCTGCCTTCGTATCTGCTCTACATTGCAGGATAAAACGTCGAAGACTTGGAGCTGATCTGGCCGCTGCATAGCTCGGCCAAGTACTGATGCAAAAAGTTGCAAATAAATGAACTGATAACAATAGTAAGCAATTTAAGTCTCGATTTTCAGCATTATACCAATGACATAGCCCAGATAAGGAGCACCTTGCTCCATGACCGTTATATTTTTGGCCTTTATTGCCGGGATGGCAACCTGCGGATTCGCGTTCAGAAGAGATCATATTCAATTTGCTCAGAAGGTTGACATTAGTGGGGGGATCGAGTACTTTGTCGATCCATCTTCACTCCCTACGCATTGCATCCGCACTCCTTCATGCAAGTACTAACTTTTTGATCAAGCCCAGGTACCGTTTCGGAAGCGGCTGACTTAACCTTGTTATATCTGGCCCTCGCTACGGTCGCTTGTCTTGCGATTACCATGTTCGTTCAGTGATTAAGTTCATTCTATTCTTTACAATGCCTAGCTCCATTGACTGTAAATATTGAAGGTCATTCAAGAAAATTCAACCCGACTACATCCATTCCAGAAATGGCGCCGTCCGGTATCGGACAATGCCCGCGCTCACCAAGGGCCCGAAGGCACTCCTCGTCCTTTCCCTCTACTCCCGATGCCTAGATTCTCTATTGAAAGGGAAGTACCATGAAATGACTGTTACCCTTCAGCCTCCGCTGATTCAATTTTCATAGCACTCAGTGATATAGATATACTATCTGACTGATTTTTATACACTCCGCGCGCCCAAGTTCGGGGGAGGATATTCCCATGACGTAGCGTGCTGTTGGGCTGGTATCCTCATCGCTTACGGTTCAGTTATAAAGATCTTTCATAATCTTGGAAAGTCTTCCATCACCTGCAAATGTCTTTCAATGACCTTTTGAGCCTATCACAGTCAGACAGCTCTCTTTATCTCATCGAGTCGTCCTGATTCCTTTGTTACGGCTTTGTTCTGATTTTGCTACTGCTGCTCACTTACTGTCCTCGATATAGGAATACTACATCCAGCGTGCAAAGACCTCCGGAACAGCTTCTCATCAGCGAGGGCACAGTCATAGCACCCAAAGCTTCTGGGTACTCTGGAGCACCAAAGATCTGGAGTGATGAGCAGATCGCTGCCTGGAAAGAGGTACTCTATTGCTTCGAATTAACTCATTTTATTAACACATACATTATGCAGGTCGTCGACGGCACGCTCAGGGAAGCTATATATACATGCAAATTGCTGCTGTGGGGCGGGAGGCTTCTCCCGATGCCCTCAGATCTCGCGATCCTGCGATCCCTCATGTTGGAGCATCAGCTCTACCCCCTACACCTGATGCGCCCGTTCCTCGAGCGATGACGAAAGAGGAGATTATGGAATATATAGGCTTCTTTGGCATTGCCACGGCGAATGCAGTACACAAGGCTAGGTTTGACGGTATCGAGATTCATGGGGCAAATGGGGTCCTTGTTGACGAGTATGGCGGAAGTATGGAGAACCGAATGATGTTTCCATTATAGGTGTTAGGGCGCATCGTCAAGGAGGTGGGAGCGGACAGGGTAGGACTCAGGCTGAGCCCGTGGAATCGCGCTGAAGATAAGTTATATTTTCTTTCACGAAAGGCTGCTGATATTTATTTTGTAGGAATGGGAATGGAGGATCTCGTACCGACGTGTTCATAACTGGTGAGGAGGGTGAAGGAGTTATCTTGATCATCCATATGTCAATGTTACCGAGGCTCGCGTCGATGGTATCACAGACCGGACCAAGGGAGAGATCAAGAAGGTCGAGACTAATAATTTTATTCGGGAGATATGAGCTCCTAGACCTCTCATTTCTGCTGGTGAATATACGAGAGAGACAGGATTGCGGATTGCTGATGAGAAGGCCGACCTTATTGCTTATGGTAGGTGGTGTATATCGAATGTAAGCCTCTTCTCCTCTTTCCGCCAGCGATCCTCGTATTCATCATGTTTTGTTAGCCCGACCTTCCTGCGAGGTTGGGAAAGAATATTCGTCGTACAAAGTACGACCGCTCTACGTTTTAAATGCCTGGAGACGTGAGCGGTGTATGTTATACTGATTACCCATTTGCTCGGTGAATTAGACATTTATTGGCGGGCCCAATACTTCGTAGAAGACATGCGCTGAAACTGTAATCATTACTGGAACTTTGGAAATTCTTAATACCATCGTGAACTGACTGGTGTACACTTTGATCTACTACTACATACTGTCATGTTATTCTCTTACCTTTTCTTAGTTCCTTGTTTTGTTTTCAACTCTTTGGTAGCAGGTACTGTATACAGGCTGTACTATTTAGTAATGCGGCACGTGAGCTGACCCCGCAGGTCTCCTTGCAGCAGAGTTTCGATTTTCAGAGAATATGGCATGTTGTCCAAGATACACACAGTAGTAACCAGGACACTGATAGACAGGAAAATATCGGTGCATGGACCGGTACTCCGACTCATTGTTGGTTAAACTTTGATCCACTGTAACGTCGCCTTGTTCAATACTGCCACCCATCATCTTCGCCGAGCATTTCTATTGTTGTGGCTAGAAGTAATATCCATGCTCTAACTTTTTCCTGCCTTTCTTACTGGTATTGCAGAACGAAAAGCGTCACGAAAGCTACAGCCTATAGGAAACATGAGTCCTATCATCCAGTTGCTTTTTTTGCCTTGGTGGTGGGGGAAGCCTGTCCCAAAAACGCTGGGCCTTCCAGGCGGCTTGAAAAGTGTTCGAGCCCAAGTCCCGGGCTGAAACCTAAGCGGTTTCATAGCGCCCTACATGGCCTTTTGATGCCGATGAATCAAACATACCAATACGCATCGTAAACGCACAGAACAGTCATTCGAAAAGCCAAAGCAAATTCGACAATATAACGGAGCACTCCCGCCAGGAGAAGTTGAAACCACGGTTCATATTGCACAAGGTCGGTATCTAAAGCAATAGGTTCAGCTTTTACTCACTATTCTTCCCAGAACCCACTCTTGTGTGAATCTCGGACCTCAGGCTGATCCTCCTTGAAGCCGAACCCAAGCCCTCAAAGCCGGGCCTGGGCGCCAATCGCTAAGATTCAGGATCCCTGCTCGTTTAAATGTCAAATTGTCGAGAGGTGCTCCTCTCAGCGAAGCATTACGAATTGCAGAATCCAAAATATGTTTCGTGTCCTCTCTGTCTACGACTCCTTCGTCTCCCTGTAGCTTCTGGGGTCGCTTCTGTTCCCCGCGATATAACGCACACAAACCACTTATTCTTAGTCCAACATCTTTTTTGATAAAGTCTTCCACCGAATAGCCGCCGGCCCTCCGCTTCTCGCCATATGACTTGCTCAACTCCTCACCTGCCTGGCGGAACGTCCGAGGTTTCCCCACCTACATATATCTCTAAACCTCTTCGACGTTTTTGTTGAGGTTCAAGATGCTGGCGTTGGTGTTATTTGCATCTCTCACCGCCACTTTGGTTCGTGCAATCGGCCAAATCGAAATGCGTGGCGACCGAACCTTCTCCTTCGACGTTTTCTGTCCTTTCAGCAGGGTCATGCTTCTACCATCCTCCTCTCGGCTGACGAATGGCAAGGTGTTGCAACTAGCAGCAAGCGACTTATCATCCGACATCGAAAAGGTCACCGGTGTTAGGCCGACCGTTGCGAATTCGAGCGACCAGTCACCCTCGCGTGCCATCATAGTCGGTACATTGGGAAAGTCAACTCTCATCGAACAAGTCATGAACGCGACTGGTTTGAATGTCTCGAGCATCGAAGGCCAATGGGAATCGTTCATGACAGCCATCGTCGACAACCCGATATCCGGAGTGGATAGCGCGTACGTGATTATAGGATCTGACAAACGAGGAACGATATACGCGTTGTATGAACACTCTGAACAAATGGGGGTGTCTCCGTGGTATTGGTATGTCCTGTCAGCATGTCAGTTAACGTTCATTTATTCCATTTTTAGGTGGGCAGACGTGCCTACGGCGGGCCGCTCAGAGATCTTTTTGACATCATGCGCTCATGGACCGCCTACTGTGAAATACCGAGGGATATTTCTGAACGATGAGCAACCGTGTTTGCAGAACTGGGCTGCGGAAAAGTTTACGAATGGAACGGGAGCTGCACTGACAGGCTCACCTTTCAACCATCTGTTTTATACTAAACTGTGAGTCGCCCGTCATTTTGCTCGGGCTTGATGTGTAGTACTGAAAGCTCCTTCTTCAGGTATGAGCTCTTACTTCGTTTAAAGGCGAATCATCTTTGGCCAGGTTTCTATTTCTATGTTTCGTCTCTATGATTGAAATTTTACTATTGTTCTTTAAGCAATATGGAGCAGGTATGTTCGATGTTCTGATTCGATCCATCCTCGATATATGATATGATTTGTAGTGCCTTTGCTGTCGACGATCCCGAAAACCAGCGACTCGCCGACGTCTACGGAATCGTTATGGGCACTAGGTAAATAATGACTGTACGTCAGTATTGCTAAGACTTAGGGACTACAGCCATGAAGAACCGATGACACGATCTACGCCCGTTGAATGGGATCTATTCGGCACCGGCGATTGGAATTACACGACAAATTCCCAAAACATCTATCAATTTTGGGTGGAAGGGGTCGAGCGCGCAAAACCGTATGAGACCATATACACAGTCGGAATGAGAGGTGCAGGCGATCGTGAGGGACAATCCTTATACCACCTCTACGTGATATTAATGATTATGGAACAGTTCCCCTGAGTGAGACGACCAATATCGAGCTACTAGAAAAGGTCGTCGCAGATCAACGACAAATCTTGACTGACGTTTTTTCAAATGTGAGCGTGGAAACGATCCCCCAGGTTTGGACGCTATGTAAGTTTTCGCCTTTAATTATGAGGCTATCGAATCATTTATTTCTATCCGTAGATAAGGAAGTGGAGGGTTACTATGACGATGGCATGAGAGTCCCTGATGATATTACTCTGCTTTGGTCGGATGATAAGTTGGTGCCTATCATTTTAGATTGAGTTGGTTTTGACCATACGGGGATCCTTAGCTGGGGAAACATGCGCCGCTTTCCGGTCGAGAGCGAACGGAACCGCAGTGGCGGCGCCGGTGTTTACTACCATGTAAGGATAGTTTCTGGTATTTGATACCTTTGCTGACGTTTGCGCAATAGTTCGATTATGTTAGTCACTGTTGTATGAAAGGGGACTGAAGGCCTTACTCCCACTGATCTAAATACACAGGTTGGCGATCCCAGGGATTATAAATGGATTACTGTAAGTTCTCTTCCAAAGTCAAAAATATTCCCGGAACTAATTATATTTTGCGCAGACCACCCAATTATCCAAGGTGGGCTGATTTCCGGCATCGCACATACAGTGATACACTAGGCGCTTTCAGGTCTACGAACAAATGTCGATAGCAGTGGAGCGCGACGCAACACGTATTTGGATAGTTAACGTCGGTGATCTCAAGCCATACGAATTATCGACAGAATTTTTCTTATCATACTGCATGGGACGCGTCCCTCTGGAACCCTGATAACCTGAACACATTTGTGTCGAGTTGGGCACAACGAGAGTTCGGTTTGTCAATTCCTGACGCTAATATAGTGCAAGACGTCATCGCCAATCTGACGCGATTCAACGCAAGGCGCAAGCCGGAACTCTTGAACTCGACGACATATAGTCTTGTCAACTATCGGGAGTAAGCTAGTTCTTCCTCCCACCTGCTGATGATACTGAATTGAGGGTCCTTGTAGGGCAGAGACCGTTGTCTACAGCATGGGATACACTTGTCGGCGCAGCAACAAGGATATACGATCAACTTCCTGAGGAAACGAAACCGTCATTCTTCCAGCTGGTCTATCATCCAGTCGTCGCAAGCGCCAATCTGGGTAAGATGCTCATCTCAGCAGGACTGAACAATCTACGTGCCTCCCAAGCGCGTCTGAGTACGAATGACCTTGGCGGACCAGGTGCAGGAGTTTTTTGACATTGATTATGAGCTGGAGACAGAATATCACACGCTGCTTGATGGTGAGTAGATTCGCGAACCATTGTCTTCCTGTTTGCTGATAATTTGTTGCGTAGGTAAATGGGATCAGTGAGTGTCTTCAATCTCATCGATGTCATCCTCTGACAATAGTGACAGTATGATGGATCAGACACGTCAGTTCCCTTTTCAGATACCATAACCCCTGAGACTGAGGCATGGTACCTAGATATCGGGTACTACTATTGGCAGCAGCCGATGATGAATTCGTCCGTCCTGTATTTGTCCCGTTCTAAGCTTCTTCTTGACGTGATGGAATTAGAATGCCTCCCATCACGCGAGTCCCGCCAAAAAAACAAGCTTTGGCTCGTGTAATGAGGATCGCACCTGAAGGCACATTGGCAGCTTGGTTCGTCAATCCCCAAACCGTGCAGTCATTGCGACCTGACCACTTACTCCCAGGCCTGGCGACAACCCTAATCAGTGTGCACAAGGATACAACTGTCCTCCACCTAACAATCGTCTTGGATTCCTTCGATACATTCCCAAATCGATTCATCGACGTGGGCGCCGGTGGTCCTGTCCCGTTCACATTCAGTATCACCACCAATGTATCTTGGGTAGCGCTGAATGCGACTCATGGCGAGGTGTCGCCAGAGGATCCAGAACAACGCGTGTATGTCTCAGTGTCCGACTGGAATACGCTCGATGCGGGGGATTCCTATGCTAACATCACATTCACCGCACATGCAGACGGCCAACCTGATCTCTCTGTACCTGTCTTCTTCGTTGCCCATAATACAATGCCTAGCTTGGCGTCTGATTTCAGTGGTATGCTTCTTCATTTCAGATTCGACGGGGACGACCTGTCTGACGTTCTGTTAGGATTCGTGGAAGGTGCAGGAGTGGTTTCGATGGAAGCTGCGCATGCGATTCGCAATACGTCAGTTGATGGCACCTACTGGAGAGAGTTGCCAGGCATTGGACGCACGCTTTCCGGGATGACACCGTGGCCTCGAACTGGGCATGATGGAGGGAATTTTACTGCAGGTTCAGGACCGTCTCTGTAGGCCCCTCTGTGATGGCCTGACCCGAAGATACTCATTCTGCTTTCTAGGGAATATGATTTCTTCACCTTCAGTGACGCGACTGAGGCGACGCCAGTGACTGTATATGTTTCTCCATCGCTGAATGCGAACGGGCTGGATCGACCTCTTGGTGTTGCGATAGCGCTAGACGGGGAAGTCATGTCGTCATATTTCATACCTCCTGCCGTCCCAGGTGCCCTTCCGGATGCATGGGATGGTCTCGACGGTTTTGTCGCCAACTCTATTGTTCCAATACAGTTATCATTTTCCGGAATTGAACCTGGTTCACATACCTTGAAGGTCAGTCAGAGCTCCAGTGGCTTGTATTTGCTCTAACGTGGTCGGTTCCGAAAGATATTTATGATTGAACCGGCAGTAGTTGTGCAGAAAATTGTTATTGGTGTGTCCTTGTGTTTGTGAGTTCGTATAAATGCAGCTGACGCTAATTGTCATAGATGTCGGTGGGCTTGAATCAAGCTATCTAGGCCCTCCCGAGAGTCTCTTTGTGTAATGCATGCCGCCATTGTTTGAACTGTCTGCTAAATATGTTACACGAATAATAAGTAAATCACATACACTGAGCAAGATATCAGGACTGACGCGGGCTATTGCATTGTCAGTTATTGGAATCGTATTGCAGCTGAACAGATATCCATCCATCTCATAATTCGATTGGGATCAATTCAATGCTGATAATCTAAGCCATAATTCTCGATTGGCCAGATTCCCTATTCCTCGGTGTTGATTCTATCCAGCCTAATCGTCAGTGACCGTGATCTCAGATCCATCGTACTAACTCTGATCTTCATTCACACCATTCACAGAGGACGCCATGAGCGCGTCTCGGATGCTTTACAAACTGGCCTATGACTGCTAAATATGCTGTCGCTTAAGGCTTAGTCCTACGCAGGATAGTTCTTTATGTGTTGGTGAGATCTCCGTCATTTTCTCATTTAAAATTTCGAACGACAGTAATATCTCCCGATCTGAGTTAGACACTCCCGAGATCGGGGCCTCACCCAGACTCCTTCCCATTCTCCTTCATGGGGGGTAAAAGCTGCTTCGCAGCTGTGGGGTATCGAATAGCTTACATCATATCTTATCTTATCAATACACGTGACCTTCATAAATTTCTTGAATCTTATTTTTTTTTACCCCCCATTACGGAGACTGGCGTCTTTTGCGGTGGCGCGTTGCACATGTTTGGCTGAACCTTCCCTTGCCTCAGTGGCCGTACTTCCTGAATTCGAAGGACCTGCACCAAGACGTCAAGTATTGTTACGTTGTTTTGTTCAAGAATGCTTATAATCTGATTTAGCCAAGGTATGCTGCATGTAACATAACATGCTGAAATGTATGCACAGATAGCTCACTCGGAGGACAGTGTAAGACAGGTGAGAACTCAGAACAAGGACAATTTATTCTGAAAATGAGACAACATGAAATTAAATACGGTACATAGACTACGTGCAGCCAACAAGGCAATATCAGGAGCAACAAAAGGCAGCGAAATGGGCAGGAGGAGAAGGTTCAGCCAAACATGCGCAACACGCCACCGCAAAAGACGCCAGTCTCCGAAATGGGGGGTTAAAAAAAATAAGGTTCAAGAAATTTATGCAAGTCACGTGTATTGATAAGATAAGATAAAAATACATTAGGGTCTCGACATACTGCGAAGCAGTTTTACCCCCCATTGAGGAGAGTGGGAAGGAGTCTGGGCCTCACCGAACTTAAATTCTGCATTCTTGTATGTAGGATATCGGCAATGTCACCCCCTTTAGCGCGTCTGTCTAACGGGAGATAATAAAAACGGATTCAAGGAGGATATAGATAGTAGTGCTTTGGCATTTTTATGACGAATTCGATGCACTTGAAGGCTGGGTCAAGATCCAGGGTGCATCTGAGTTCCTTGTCGACGACTACTTATGAACGATGTTCGGGATGATTAATATGGCAGAAACATGAAGAATCGCGTTAATTGCGTGAGATTTTTATTGAAAGGGTTTAAGCTGGTAGCAAAGACGTTGAGAGCCGATGGGGTATGCTGTCAGTTCTGTCTTTAGAATTGCGGTGCTGGTATGATTCGTTTGGATGATTTGGTCAATTAAGCCTCTCATTTCTGTGACTGCATATACTAGAAAGTCAAGAACAGAGGCCGATGAGAATCTATTTACTCAATGAATAATTTACCGATATCATTGACGGGTCAAGAGACATTATTATAGCAGTACGTTCCCGCTATTTCTCGATATTACATCTGTTGTCGATGGGACTCGGAATACAACGCTCGATGTAAGAAACTAATTGTAGCAGAATGTAGTAAATACTTACCATTTGGATCAACCTGGTGGTGCCAAGAGCTGGTTGGAAAATGCGGTATTATCAATGAGCAGTTTAACGTTGAGTCTCCTAATACTGCTTTCGAAGATATACAGCCTCAAGTGATGACAGGCAATTGCAGGTAATGATGTTCCTCGTAAAAGCTTAAAAAGGATATTTTATGCGCAAAAATAGATATGACGTACATATTATCCAAAAACGGGAGCTTTTGGGGAAATTTCGCAGTGAGGAAATTGAACATGATTCTCGAACTCTACTATTAACCACCACCATTACTTACCTCCACGTCGCCGTGCGGCATCAACGACGACGTCGAGCGATCCTCCAACAACGACGGAGAGATATCTGGCTCCATATTCTGCTGTATGTTCGTTCTCAGGGATTCTATCACCGACTTGGTCCAGAGATACTAGCTGACGGCCCGTAATGTGAGTTTACTCCGCTTGTTTCCTGTGAAATGGCACTCATTTTGCCAGTATATATTCATACTGGATGACACGGAGCCAATAGTTATACCAAACCGTTGATCTGGTTTTGTTTTCCCATGCCGTTTACCAAGAAACGTGGCGTGGTATCTCGAACTCCCATCATGTCCTCTCCTGGACCTCAAGACGAACTTACATCCACCGTCTTCGGGGCCGTCCAAGCCTTACCTCCGTCGAGGAAGGCAACGTTTCTCCTCGATACATCATTGGCTTTGATAGAGTCAGGACAGTACGGTGACGACGTGGAAAATTACCTCGAGGTGTATCTGAGGACGCCGAATTTACCTCAGGAGGAGGTGGCCAGGGCCTTGCTAGCCAGGGGGAAGGCGAGGAAACTGGCCGGCGACAGGTTGCTTGAGAAGGCCCACCAAGGTGCGTAGTCTTTTGTCTGTTGAGAATCGTTTCTTATGTTCCGTAGATTTCCAAGCTGCTTTGAACTTGGATCCGTCGAACCGAGAAATCCAGCATTTATTCCGAAGGGACAGGCGTATACACTTTGTGGACGAACCCGCCTCACAAAGAGCACCGCCGGAAATCTGGGACCGAATAGCGCATCATATCCCCCGGTATCATCTTCGGACATGGCTGTTCGTATCTGCGTTCCACAGGGAAATTGCCGTACGCATTATTTTCCGAACGGTCGATCTCTACTTTGGCGACGACCAGGAGAACGTCACTCGAGGTTTGGATTTTATGGATCGAGTGAAGGAGGACCCAGTATTTGCGAGTCAGATCAAGTCTTTGAGGATACACTGGGCGTACGAAGAGTCCGATGTTCTGGATTTGATGACCAGTACGTTTCTGATCTTATACCGCAGAACTTGGGGGGAATGACATCCAGTCTGCAGGAGCCCTTCGTACGGCGCTCCCGAAATTCAAAGAGCTCCGTGACTTTGAATGGATAGGGTATCCCGAAATGCGCGCAGACGTCGTGCAACACGTCCTTTCCTGCCACTCCCGCATTCAAAGTCTAGGACTCATCGGCTGGCATTTCGACGCCGTCGGCGTTTCCGCCTTCAAAAATCTCCACAAATTCACGCTTCGGGCCGAAGATGACGACGGGTTCGCCGACATGGGGGAAGTGCGGAAGGTCCTTGACGAGAACGAGCACACCCTCAAACATTTGATCTTGGGTGCTTACCTTGCGCGAACGCATTCCTGGGATAGCACGTTCCAAAGCGTCACTATCAAGAATCTCACCCATCTCGACCTGGTGGATACTCGAATTTCTCACGTCGTTTTGGCGCGTATCGCACATGCGCACAACTTGCAGAGTCTGACCCTGCATGGAACCTTCGAAGAGCCTACTTCGGCTTCTGTGGTGTTTGCCAGCGACCACATATTGGAGGGAAAACACACATTTTTGCCCCATCTCGAGGCGTTCCGGTTTGTGTTAGTGGGGCACGACGATGAACTGACACTATATCAGAGTGTAACTCAATTCTTGAGGAAGCGTACGGGGCTAAGGAAATTGGATTTAGGGAGCTGCCCATGGGACTTGGTGCTTGCCGTCCTTCCGGAATTGGCGGGCCTGAGAGTGCTTGGGGTAAGGATCGCGAACCTGAACCAGACGGCGGTCGAGGCACTAGTGCGAAGTATACCCCCATATATGCACGCGATTCGGTTGTCAACTGTCGTGTCGGACAAAGCATTGGTCGGTTCTTATTCAATTAATCCTGGTCCTAGACTCACGGAAATGTCACTTTTTAGAACGAACATTGCGGATCCTTCTCGAAATTCCCGTCGTTATCGTTTCTCCACCTTCATTGTGCGGCGAAACACCGGCCAAAGCCGAATCTCATGTCTGACAAGGATTTCAAAGTGCAAACTGATATTTGGAACTCTTCCGCACGAAGTATTGCCCTTTCCTTGCCATCCTTGGATTTCGTGGGGTGGCATGGGGAGCACTATGCGGTGGTGAGGAATGATGTTGGTGTGGAGTTGAAGGAACTCCCGACGCGCCGTCGACTGGATTGTGGCAAAGGGGTCGATCTGGGTGGGGAAGACACGGCATGGTTGGAGAGGAAGGACGTCCCGATGGATTATGAGATACCTGGCCTAGAGTGACGGACGGGTCAGACGGGGAGCTCGCTCTCTTCACTTCCGTGTGAGCGGGAGCAGTGCTTGGCCTTTCGGGTATGCATACAGGCCTCAGGGTTCGACGTATATTCATTTACTCTCTTTATAGGCTTAACTTTATCGCGTCCTCGACGCGAGCTTGTATTTGTACAACATTTGCAAATTATTTCGGTGGTGGAAATTTGAAACCTGTAAGATTCAGCAACAAGAAGCAAGGCACGCACTGCTAGCTTCTTATTCTCGCTTGCGAGGGATCGGATTAGCTGGTACCAATCACTCGATAATGATCTCAGGGTCAGGACAGTTCAAGGCCCGAATGTCGCTTCGGCAGGCACCGGTATGCTCGATTACCCTGATCGAGAGACCATGAAATATATTCGATATCAGTGGTCCAGCTTCCCATTTGTGCGTCTATATGTCTTCGGATGTGTTTTTTACTTTTTGAACGAGGAATTCCAACTACGAATAGACCTTTTTTTCGCTGACTGCCTACCGACCTAACCGTGTCACATATTTTTGATGCAGGCTGCCAGTGTTCCAAACAGCCGTGCCCAATCGGCACCCTTGCCGCAGTCCAGACCGAGGAACCAGAACGTCGCGACGGAACCTTTCGGAAAAAAAAGTGAATGCTTCTCTCTTCGGATTGATATTACCACCGTTGTCAATTAGATGTTTGAAAAAGCGCTCTCCCCAAAGACCGGACCTCGTATGACACCCTCTAGCGCGATCCACTACCACCACTATCACCATGTTCGACAATCCTTACTATGATGCTTCTGCGGCAGAAATCAACGCTCACAACCCCCGAACCAGCCAGTCGATATGTATAATAGGTTCTGGCGCTGCAGGGCTCATTACGGCGCACACTTTACTTCAGGATGGGTTCACTAAGGTGCACATCTTGACGAAGGATAGTTGTCCAGGAGGCGTATGGGAGTATAATAAAGTGTATTCAGGTGTATTTATCAACAAGTGTGTCTCCATTTCCCTCTCTTCGTCGTTCTTCCTGATAACAAGAGCATTATTAGTGTTTACGGCGACTATCGTTTCTCTCCTCTTGCCATGCCCCGCCACCCTGACCGTAAAGCCAGCGATACCCGTCTGAGCTGCCGAAGACATGCTCTTCTACATGGAGAAATTCGCCGACACGTTCCTGAAAGACCACATTTGCTACAACACTGAAGTCATCAACGTGAGAAGACCAACACCGCCTTTTGCAGTTGAACCGCCCAACTGGGTAGTCACGATACGCGACAAGGATGGGGTGCGAGACCTAGGGTTTGACCGTGTCGTGCTTTGTACTGGGGTGAATGCATTTCTATGCCATTTAGTGCCAGACGGCTCATTTCTTTCTACAGGGATGTCATCTACCCCGCATACCGAGGGCGTTTAACCCCGAATCTGCGAAGCTCGCAGGCTTCAAGGGCCCGATTGTGCATTCTTCGGATTTCCGTATGCGGCTGGACGACGTGTTGAGTGCTGTGAGACCCGTGTCGGATGAGAGGCCTGGTTCTGTGGTGGTCATTGGAGGGGGCAAGTCGGCGCAAGATATTGCAGCGTACTTGGCACACGAAGGACGCCAACGGAACGTGTCCATGATCTTTGAGAAGACGGATGCGTTTGTCGCGTCGGACATGCATATACCAGATTTTGTTAGAAAGAGTCGGTGCGTTGCGTCCCTTGTCATTCATTTATCCCTCACTGAAGCTGGATTTTAGGTTAATAGGTATCCTCAGTCCTCATATTGAGCTCAGGAGTAATTTGGAGTGCGTACATAATCTATCATGTCACTCATGTTCCTGACTTGCGCGTCGCTTAGACGATTTTTACACAAAACGTGGCTAGGAGGTCGCACCGTTCGAGGCCTTTTTAATTATATTCAAAATCAATCAGTACGTCGTCGCGTCCTATCACTGATTCCTTTGCTAAGCGACGTTTGCCTGCAGTACCGCGCTTTTCACATACCCGAGGGCTCTCCTCTACGACTTTCGCAAGACGTGTTCTGGAGTCTGCGCGTCAACGACGAGGTATCTCGACGTAATAACTGGCTTCCACTCGCTTGCGAACGATGGCAAGATTGGTATCATTGCGCCTGCTCGTGCCGTTGCGTTCGGTGACGACGGTCATTCGATCGTCCTAAGCGATGGCAGCACCGTTCGCGCGGATGCTCTTGTCCTCGCTACCGGATACCAATCATCATGGTCTCATATATTTGATGGTGAGATGCCCGTTCGTTTCTTAGCAATATCGTCTCACGAGTTGTCGCAGATGAAACCGCTAATGAGCTCGGCCTGGGCTCCCATCCTCCGCAATACGTATCTGACGTGACATACGCCAAAGAGTGGGAGTACACGTCTCTGAAGGACCCGCCTACCACGCATCCCGATAGCAGACAGTGGACGTCCTGCGTGTATCGGGGCATAGTTCCCGCGAAGAATATCCTCAAGCGAGACTTCGCGATCAACGGTGCAGTGGTGAGCGGAAAGTCATGTAATCACCGTTGTCCTCCACTCTAACACCGCTCCCTCTCAGTTTTCCACGAACAACGGGTTTGTTTTCGAAACCACAGCTCATTGGATCTCATCATACTTCCTCGGTGATCATTTCCTCGAAATTCCTCGTTCGCCCCGACAAGCTATCGAAGCCACTGAACGATCTTCGGCGTGGCTTCGCCGGAGATATCCGGACATGTTGCACTGGACCAATCCCAGTCATTGCTCTGATATCGCGTTTTGGAGGTACTGTTTTTTTTTCTTCACCTCGTTTTGATGGATCAGTGAACTTACGATGCGCCACAGTTGGCCGCAATACACCGACGATCTCCTAGATGATATGGGTCTGACAAGTGGCCCCGCTCGAACGGGTGGGAACTGGGTGACCTGGCCTTTTAAAACGATTGATATTATGTGTATTTCTTCCCTTACCTGGGAACGGCAGGTCAAAAGAATGCAACCCGTGTAAACCAGGATTATTCGACAATGGAGGGATGGAGGATGTATATCTATGTAGCCCCAGTACGATTCTGATAACTCTGACAACGTAATAGTCCTCGTCAGTTCTAATATCTTGATCGGTGTATCTAAAAGTACTTATTATTTGTGTAAATTATTTTTTAGCAAGTAGCGAAAACAACGACGGTCCTCATATGAATTACATTAAGATGCTCTCGGGAGGGCCTAGATAGCTTGATTCCAGACCACCGACATCTATGACAATTAGTGTCAGCTGCATTTATACGTACATACAAACGCAAGCGCATACCAATGACAATTTTCTGCACAACTACTGCCGGCTCGATCATAAATATCTTTCGGAACCGAAAGCGTTAGAGCAAATACAAGTCACCGAAAGGGATGACTAACCTTCAAGGTGTGTGAGCCAGGTTCGATTCCGGTAAATGATAACTGTATCGGAACAATAGAGTTAGCGACAAACCCGTCGTAACCGCCCCATGCTGCTGGCTCGGTACCCGGAGCGGAGGGAGGTATGAAATATGACGATATGACTTCCCCGTCTAGCGCTATCGCGACCCCGAGAGGTCGATCCAGCCCGTTCGCATTCAGTGACGGAGAGACATATACAGCCACGGGCGTCGCCTCAGTCATGTTGTTGAAGGTGAAGAAATCATATTCCCTAGAAACAGAATAAGCACCTCCGGGTCAGGTCAACGCCGAGAAACTTACAGAGACGGTCCTGAACCTGCAGTAAAATTCCCTCCATCATGTCCAGTTCGAGGCCACGGTGTCATCCCAGAGAGCGTGCGTCCAATGCCTGGCAACTCTCTCCAGTAGACGCCATCAACTGACGTATTGCGAATCGCATGCGCAGCTTCCATCGAAACCACTCCTGCACCTTCCACGAATCCTAACAGAACGTCAGACAGGTCGTCCCCGTCGAATCTGAAATGAAGAAGCATACCACTGAAATCAGACGCCAAGCTAGGCATTGTATTATGGGCAACGAAGAAGACAGGTACAGAGAGATCAGGTTGGCCTTCTGCATGTGCGGTGAACGTGATGTTAGCATAGGAGTCCCCCGCATCGAGTGTATTCCAGTCGGACACAGAGATGTACACGCGTTGTTCTGGATCCTCTGGTGACACTTCACCATGAGTCGCATTGAGCACTACCCAGGATGCATTGGTGATGATACTGAATGTGAACGGGACAGGACCACCGGCGCCCACGTCGATGAATCGATTCTGGAAGGTATCGAAGGAATCCAAGACAATTGTTGGTGGAGGGCAGTTGTATCCTTGTGCACACTGATTAGGGGTTATCACCAGGCCTAGGGTCATAACTGGTTAGTCCGCAACAGTACAGTATGGTTAGCGTGTGGACGAACCAAGCTCCTAATGTGCCTTCAGGTGCGATCCTCATTACACCAGCCAAGGCTTGTTTCTTTGGCGGGACTCGCGTGATGGGAGGCATTCTATTTCTACCGCGTTAGGAATAAGTCTATGATGAGCAAAAAAGACGACTGACGAATTCATCATTGGCTGCTGCCAATAGTAATACCCAACATCTACGTCCAAGACTCAGTATCGGGTGATATGGTATCTGAAAAGGGAACCGACGCGTCTGATCCATCATACTGTCACCACTGTCAGAGCATGGTATCGATGTACATCGAACACACTCACTGATCCCATTTACCTACGCAACAAATTATCAGCAAACAGAAGACAATGGTTCGCGAATCTACTCACCATCAAGCAGCGTAGTGATATTCCTGTCTCCAGCTCATAATCAATGTCAAAAAACTCCTGCACCTGGTCCGCCAAGGTCATTCGTACTCAGACGCGCTTGGGAGGCACGTAGATTGTTCAGTCCTGCTGAGATGAGCATCTTACCCAGATTGGCGCTTGCGACGACTGGATGATAGACCAGCTGGAAGAATGACGGTTTCGTTTCCTCAGGAAGTTGATCGTATATCTTTGTTGCTGCACCGACAAGCGTATCCCATGCTGCTACAACGGTTTCTGCCCTGCAAGGACCCTCGAGTTGGTATCACCAATAAATGGGAGGAAGACCTAGCTTACTCCCGATAGTTGACAAGACTATATGTCGTCGAGTTCCAGAGCTCTGGCTTGCGTCTCGCGTTGAACCGCGTCAGATTGGCGATGACGTCTTGCACAATATCAGCGTCAGGAACTGACAAACCGAATTCTCGTTGTGCCCAACTCGACACAAAGGTGTTCAGGTTATCAGGGTTCCAGAGGGACGCGTCCCACGCATATGATAAGAAAAACTCTGTCGATAATTCGTATGGCTTGAGATCACCAACGTTGACTATCCAAATGCGTGTTGCGTCGCGCTCCACTGCTATCGACATTTGTTCATAGACCTGAAGGTGATCAGTACTTCTTCCGTGCGAGGCCAAATATTGTTCCACCTTGGATAGTTGAGTGGTCTGCGAAAAAGAATAAATAATTCCCGGAATATCTTCGCGTTGGAAGGGATCTTACAGTAATCCATTTGTAATCTCTGGGAGGGCCAACCTATATTACTCAGACTATTAGTATCTTCGGTTACTCATTTCACAGAACAGACTAACGAGATCGTACTATGACGGGGAAGCATCAGCACAGGACTCAAAACCTAAGAAACCCTCTTACATGATAATAAACACCGGCGCCTCCGCTACGATTCCGCTCACTCTCGACGGGGTAGCGGCGCATGTTTCCCCACCTAGCATCCCCATGTGATCAGAACCAAGTCAACCTTTAGTGCTAGTCACTAACGTGTCGTCCGCCCAAAGAAGAGTAACATCATCGGGGACTCTCATCCCATCGTCATAGTAGCCCTCCACCTCCTGGTCTGTGGAAACAAATGAATGAGGGGTCTCCCAAGAGAAGTGTCGAATTTACATAGTGTCCAAACCTGAGGGATCGTTTCCACGCTCACATTTGGAAAAAACGTCAGTCAAGATTTGTCGTTGATCTGCGACGATTTTCTCCAGGAGTTCGATATTAGTTGTCTCGCTCAAGGGAACTGTTCCGAAATTATCAGCACCAGCACAGAGGAGGCATAACTATTGTTCCTCACGATCGCCAGCGCCTCTCATGCCTATGGTGTATATGGTCTCATAAGGTTTTGCACGCTCGACCCCTTCCACCCAAAACTGATAAATGTTTTGAGAATTTGTCGTGTAATTCCAATCGCCAGTGCCGAATAGATCCCACTCAACCGGCGTAGACCGCGTCATAGGTTCTTCATGGCTGCGATCCTTTAGGTCTTAGAATATTAGGTACAGCACTTACTTACCTGGTACCCATCACGACTCCGTAGACATCAGCCAGTCGCTGGCTTTCAGGATCGTCGACAGCGAAAGCACTAAAGATATATCATATATTGAACATGAACTTAAACGCACTATCAAACATACCTGCTCCACTGTGCTTAAGAATAAAGAGTTATTTTCAGCCTCGTGGACACACAAAAAGGATAGAAACCTGGCCAGAGATAATTCGCCTTCAAACGAAGCAAGAGCTTATACCTAAAGGAGGAAGCTGTCGGCACGACGAAATCAGGCCGAACAAAACGGGCGACCCACAATTTAGTATAAAACAAATGATTGAAAGGCGAGCCTGTCAGCGCGGCACCAGTTCCATTCGTAAACTTTTCCGCAGCCCAGTTTTGCAGACACGGTTGCTCATCGTTCAGAAATATTCCTCGGTATTTCACAGTAGGCGGTCCATGAGCGCATGATATCAAAAAGATCTCTAAGCGGCCCGCCGTAGGCACGTCTGCCCACCTAAAAATGGAATAAATGAACGTTAACTGACAAGATGACAGGACATACCAATACCACGGAGACACCCCCATTTGTTCAGAGTGTTCATACAACGCGTATATTGTCCCTCGTTTATCAGATCCTATAATCACATACGCGGTTTCCACTCCGGATATCGGGTTGTCGACGATGGCCGTCATGAACGATTCCCATTGGCCTTCGATACTCGAGACATTCAAACCGGTCACGTTCACAACTTGTTCGATGAGAGTTGACTTTCCCAATGTACCGACTATGATGGGATGCGAGGGTGACTGGTCGCTCGAATTCGCAACGGTCGGCCTAACACCGGTGACCTTTTCGATGTCGGATGACAAGTCGTTTGCTGCAAGTTGAACACCTTGCCATTCGTCGGCCGAGAGGAGGATGGTAGAAGCATGACCCTGCTGAAAGACAGAAAACGTCGAAGGAGAAGGTTCGGTCGCCACGCATTTCGGTTGGCCGATTGCACGAACCAAAGTGGCGGTGAGAGATGCAAATAACACCAACGCCAGCATCTTGAACCTCGACAAGAACGTCGAAGAGGTTTAAAGATATATGTAGGTGGGGAAACCTCGGACGTTTCGCCAGGCAGGTGAGGAGTTGAGCAAGTCATATGGCGAGAAGCGGAGGGCCGGCGGCTATTCGGTGGAAGACTTTATCAAAGATGTTGGACTAAGAATAAGTGGTTATGCGCGCTGTATTATCGGGATCAGCGAACCCAAAATATCTTGACTTGACAAGCCACAGAACCACTCACGAACATATTCTGCTGCAGCTGAAGCCTTAGCGTCGCTGGTATAGGCAGCACTTCCCGGTCCTTGATGATTAAAATCGTACATTATCAGCTGACACTGACATTACATGGCATACCTACTGAGGAAGAATCAGCCGCCTTCATTGTATGACAAAGACCGCATACCAAAACTGTAAATTCAGAAATACATCCAATTTCCATTCCTGCTCTGTGTCGCTTCAGGAGCAGAAGATTTCTTTTTTCATAAATCTCACTCTAACATTGGAACGAGGATGAGACACCTTGCCGCACGTCCTTCAAATTTCAGCTTCCGTCAGAAAAACTGGCACTGCAAATAAGACGGGACTATGGACTCACTCCAGGTGGTGGTGGTGTTACCGGTGCCAGGTCTCAATAAGGAACGGCCGGGCCCACAGGCCTGACGTGGCAAACTATGCGCTGTGGCTGCAAAGGCTCATACCGTTATAATCACACTGTTGAGTGTGTCTCGCAGAGTAGAACTCTTCGCAGGGTACACAATTGCATGAAAAGTGATGGGGATGAGATAGAACATAGATAACAAAGCACGATCGAGTACGGAGAACCGGTTAGCATTGGCGTGCACCTCGAAAATCCGGTGTAGTGTATGACTCCTTTAAGAATGAGAATCATCCATCAAGAATCAACAAACCACAGACTGTAGGAACAAAACACAAGCATCAGGTGAGCACAACAAACGAGGTCCACTAGTGGTCCACTATTTCGCAGAACTGCATGCCTGCATCGATGCTCGAGCCTTAGCCCATGAGAACGATGAAACGGGAACCAAGAACAATGAAATAGGCAAGCTCCTTCGAAAAAGAGACTGCCTGCGAACGAAACACCGTGTACCACCAGACTGGTGAGCTCCTTGGTACCAACAGCGGACGTAACCACCGAATACCACGAACCTAGTGAGCTCCTTCACAAAGGAGACCACCAGTGGACATAACAATCGAGGTCGTCAAAGCGTAACTTCCGAACTGCGGTTGGAAGGAGAAGAGGGTCAGCGCAGATGAGCAGGATGGAGACGTAGACGATGTGTGACATAGCCAACGAAGGAGACAGGTGGCAGGTGGCATTCCTTTGGAACATGAAGATTGGTGAGTGGAGATAATCTGCGATCGTTTGAGGATGAGGTAGCCGGGGGAGATGACTCAAGCGGAGTATCTGGACGTGAAGAAGGGAAACAAGGAGCCATGATGCACGATAGGTGGTAGTTAAGTTGGTCGATGGTAGGGGGTGTGATTGCTATGGGAATGAACACGGATATCCAGCGCCTTCGGTAAGTCGTCCGCACCAGCAAAGGTGAGACAGATGTGCCCGAAGGTCTGAAAGCCCTGCTTGAAGAAAGGAAACTGTATGCAAGACACCGTTCTCGAAAACATGAAAGCGGGTTTGATGGGCGATGAGATTTCTAATCGTCAGACATGGCGCACGGGCCATGGGCTGACGTCCAACACAGGCGTCGGTCGAGTGACAGGACTCGGCATTCACCCAAGCTAATTCCTGCCCAGAAACCCACGCTGTTGGTGGGTGGAACAGGGTAGTGGACGGGTATGCCAGTGGTGGTAGCGCGATGACGGTCATTGTGGTGGAGTGGTGCTTTAAAAGTGGAGCCTGGTAGGGCTTGGCAAAGTCAATCAGCCTCGACGATCTTGCAGAGGCTTAAGAAAGTGCTCCTTATCCTTGGAGCATGCATCTACTAAAACCTCTCCTCGGCCGCCAAAGTCAGGTCCTCGTTGTCATTATCATATTCACCCACCAAACGCTTCTTCACTGCAAGAACATCGTCAATACTAATAAATCGTGACTAGGAAGGACACGGAAACACCTGCAAGGAACATAGTCTTCATTTCAAGGTGTAGCATCGCTAACAGAGACACGACAGAAGTGCTTTCCGCAAACGTTTGAATTTATTAGCAGTTGGCATTATATGGGGTATAAATCCTAATCTAATCTACCGAAAGAGAATTAGCTTGATCGAATTATATGATGAAGCCACGTACCATAATTATACACTCATAGAAATGCGTTCAGCCTGCATTCCTGTTCTGCGCTGCTTCGGCAACGGAAGACTTTTTCTGCATCAACCTCCCCCCCACATCCTCCACCAACGTCAGGTCTTCGTTATCATCATCATCATAGTCATCCTCAAGAAACTCAGTCGCTGCAGGACCATCGTCAGTACTTAATCGTATCTGGCCTTCCGTTTGTCGCCATGTCTTCAGTCTAGAGGGAGCAAATTTATATAGTACCGAGGTGTAGTCAATATGAGCCGTACTGATGGGATATCACAGATTTGAGTTGGTTCGCCCGCCGCCACAGTAAAAAGACGACACAAGCGACACACGTTGTCAAGAGAAGAATCATAGGAACATTTCCGATAGGCTGTGGCTTTGGTGATGCTTTTGGCTCTGCAATCCAAGTCAGAAGGTCCGTATAAGGTTAAAGGTAAGTAAATCACCTCCAGGCGCAACTGCAGCTATAGTCGGCATTGCTCGTCGAAGAAGATGATGGTGGTAATGATGAAGGAATGTGATGACCGCAGCGTGCAGTAAAGTTTGGTGATCGAAACCAAACAAAGAGACGGAATAGCGGACCGAGAGCACCGGAATAACGAGAACTTCCCGTTTTCTTAACGAAAACTCAGAGGATAACTTGAAGGCATAGGTAGATAGAAGCAAAACTCATTGTGCAATGATCTGAGGAACGACTGGGGTTTAACTTGGGTTCAACTAGCGATAGTTGCAGATTACTTGTTTACATCATGAAAGTCAATTAAGATCTGTCGGACTAGGAAGATAAAAATGTTCGTTCTATGGTGTGCAATAAAGGTAATATCCTGGAGAACGGTATTTGGGTATCATCATGTGTTGGCACTAGCGGATGTTGAACCTACAAACAAATATCTAATTCACTGAGCGGAACGGGTAATCAGTATAGCCTACACCGCTCGCATCTCCAGGCATATAAAACGTCGAGTGGTCATACTTTGTGAGGGGAATATTCCTTTCCAACCTCGTAGGAAGGTCAGGCTAACAAGACAAAATGAGCTACAAAAATTAACAGTTGAATGAAGAGCATGGGCTTACGTTCGATATAAACCACCTGCCATAAGCAATAAGGTCACCCTTCTCATCAGCAATTTGCATTCCTGTCTCTCTCGTATATCCACCAGCAGAAATGAGAGGTCTAGGAGACCATATTTTCCGAATGAAAACATTATTCTCCACCTCCTTGATCTCTTCCTTGGTCCGGTCAGTGATACCATCGACACGAGCCTCGATAACATGAACGTATGCGAGATCAGGATATAATTCCTTCACCCTTGTTACCAGATATGAAAATGTCGGTACGGGATCCTCCATTCCCATTCCTACAAAAGAATTATCAGTAACCTTTCGTGTCAGAAAATATACCTTACCTCCATTACGACTCCGCGGGCTCAGCCTGATTCCTACCCTGTCCGCCCCCACTTCCTTGACGATGCACCCCAACACCTCTAATGGAAACCTCACTCGGTTCTCCATACTTCCGCCATACTCGTCATCCCGGACATTACTCACGCTTTGTAGAAACTCGTCAACAAGGACCCCATTTGCCCCATGAATCTCGACACCGTCAAACCCAGCCTTGTGCACCGCATTCGCCGCGGCAATGCCAAAGAAGTCTATATGTTCCTTGATCTCCTCTTTTGTCATCGCTCGAGGAACGGGCGCGTCAGGCGTAGGGGGTAGAGCTGATGCTCCAACATGAGGGATCGCGGGATCACGAGATATGAGGGCACCTGGAGAAGCCTGACGCCCTATAGCAGCAATTTGCATGTATATATAGCTTCCCTGAGCGTGTACGCCGTCGACGACCTGCATAATGTATGTGTTAATGAAATGAGTTAATCAAGAGTTAATTCGAAGTAATAGAGTACCTCTTTCCAGGAAGCGATCTGCTCATCACTCCAGATCTCTGGTGCTCCAGGGTACCCAGAAGCTTTGGGTGCTATGACTGTGCCCTCGCTGATGAGAAGTGTTCCGGGAGTCTTAGCGCGTTGGACGTAGTATTCTTGTACTGAAGGGAGTAAGGGAGCAGCAGTGGTCAGGTCTGAGCGAAGCCGCGACAAAGGGGCCAGGACGACTCGGCGAGATAAAGAAAGCCGTCCAACAGTGATTGGTTCAAAAAGTTTGCTGGAAGACATTGCTGACCCCTTGTATGAAGAAAATTCCATAGGTTCATAGAAGCATATTTATACTTGAGTGCTAACAGGGACCCTTCAAGCTAGCGACGACCGTAGCCTACCACTGAACCGTTTGTAAGGCATCGACACGCGTCTTGTTGCCCCTGGAACGGTGCTACTGATTCAGTCAGGACAAATAACGTATTGTCCGGGGCGTTCGGTTAATGTATTAAAGATAGTGTATCCGATGGCGTGAATCAGTCGTTGTCCTAGGTGACTAATTGCAACAAAGGCTGAATCAGCAACTTATCCTGATCCCCAAGGGTAAAACTCAGCGCGCTGTACCTGAAAAGAGGGAATCTAGACATGGAAACTGCAAAGTGCGGGGGAGATACTGCAAAGCCAATAGTCTAGACGATTGCGCGCGCGCTGCACAAAGCCGTGATGAAAGGCTTTGTAGTTCAGTTCGTCTACATTGTCAACAGCTAGTCTGAGATTTACCTTTCAGGAGGGTCGGATGAAGGGGATGAGATTAGGTGCCGGCACTGGGCCAGGTGGTCGCTGTCTGACAGCGGTCGTGAAGTCACGGACTGTTTGCGCGCCTGTGGCGTGTAAACTAGGCTTCACAATTGCCGGCAGCGAGCATCAGTCCGAGCCGGCAAACGCCACCTTGAGATTTGAGCTTCGTCCAAGCTTCAACAATCAATTATTCATTGATTTCCGCGATTGTGAATATACGGGGCGCCCCACGAAACAGTATGCATCATACTATGCAAGAGTCTGAAAAATCGAAAGTGAAGTTCGCAGGAAGGCAAAGGCGCAAAGGCGACAAACCAGTCTTGAACGAGTCTTCGCTTGTCTTCGCAGTTACTTACCGCTGCGCTAAAATATTTGCTCAGGCTTACTGTTACAGAAACGTAATTGACTATCATGATGTCCAATGATACTAATTTAATTCAACCCTATCTCTTTCTACAGACAAGACTTTGTGCGGTATTCGTGCTTTCTTCTCAGGTTGAAGACAAATAGTTGGCGACAATTCCGAGACGTGTACTAGAGTCGGAAAATAGTCTGTCGATAGTATCACGGGGCCAAAAAAGTTGCGGACTGCAATAAATCATGAAATTATTCAAGGTCTGAAAGAAAAGACCTAAAAATCGTACAGTGGCAGAATCGGCAATCCAGAACGTGAAATGAATTCATAGTTGTATGTTGAATAATCTAATACCTTTAACTTGTCTATAAAGCTTGATCATAGATATATATAAATCATTGAGCAAATGGATAGTCAGTAAATCCTACACCGCTGGTATCTCCAGAAACATAAAACGTAGGACGATCGTACTTCGCAAGCGGAATATTCTTCTCTAATCTCGTCGGAAGGTCAGGCTAATTAAATAAAATGAGCCAGTCATTCTTAATCAATGAAAGAAACACCCACATTGGAGATATACCATCTGCCGTAAGCAATAAGATCTCCCTTCTCGTCGGCGGTCTGGGTACCCGAGTCTCTCGTATAACCACCAGCAGAAATGAGTGGCTTAGGTGCCCAAATTTCTCTAATAAAGTCATTTGTTTCGAACTCCTTGATATCTTCTGGGGACAAATCAGTGAAACCGTCTACTGCGGGCCTCGATGACATGCATGAATGCAAGGTCAGGATACACCTCCTTTACCCGCGTAACCAGATGCGAAAAGGTCGGTATAGGGTCCTCCATTCGCATTCCTATAGAGAAGAGTCTATCAGCATCCTGACATATTATCACGATCAAGATTCAATATGCACCTGCACTGCGATTCCACGGACTCAACCTAAGTCCCACCCTATCTGCCCCGACCTCCTTGACTATCCGTTCAATAACTTCTAATGGGAACCTCACCCGTTTTTCGACATTCCCACCATACTCATCATCTCTAATATTGCTCGTGCTCTGTAAGAACTGATCCACAAGAAACCCATTGGCCCCATGAACCTCAACACCATCGAACCCAGCCTTGTGCACCGCATTGGCCGCAGCAATGCCAAAGAACTCTATATGTTCGTTGATCTCCTCTTTAGTCATCTCACGGGGGATAGGCGCGCCAGGTGCAAGCGGCAGCGCCGAAGGTCCTACATGTGGGAACGTAGGGTCGCGAGACTTGAGGAAATCCGGCGATGCCTGACGTCCCATAGCAGCGATTTGTAGGTAGATATAGCTTCCCTGGGCATGTACGCCATCGACGACCTACGTGACATAAGTCAGGTTAGCGGAATGCCTATACTAAACAGAAATAAGCCACCTCTTTCCACGCGGAGATCTGCTCTTCAGTCCATATTTCTGGTGCTCCCGGAAACCCAGAGGCTTTGGGCGCGATAATTGTACCCTCGGTGATGAGAAGCGTGCCTGGCACCTTGGCCCGTTGGACATAGTAATCCTTCACTGAAGGTAGTAAAGGGGAAAATGTAACTGGATTCACACGAAGTCGCGTCATAGGAGCCAAGACGACTCGGTGAGAGAGGGAGAGACGTCCAACGGTAATGGGCTGGAATAATCTGCTGGTAGACATGGTGGTGTTGTGTACGCGATGAATACGCGATAAGGAAAGCCTGACGAGCGGATTGAGCACTTTTATACCGCAACGTAAACCCTAGGGTGGTGTCCAGTCATCGATCCCTTCATAACGCATCGAGACGCGTCTTGTCCCTGGGCGTTGATGATTCATCGAGGAGAGCCGTATTTACCGGTACGGTCGGAAAACACGCAAATGGGTGTAACACTGTAATGGTGTAGAGGGCGGCGAATCAGTCAGCGAAGCTAGATTACCAATTGCAATAAACGCTGAATCAGCAACCTACCCCGAGGGTAATTTCCATTATGCCGTACCCGAAAGAGGGGGTCTAGGCATAGGGACGGGACATACATAAACGCGCGGAGGCACCCTGAAACTCGATTCCATTTCGTGCGGCCGTACCATCGCGGTGAAGAGCACATCTTCGGCTTGTGCACGCTTGAGGAGGAGGAGGAATTTTTATTAGAATGATCCGCTTCCATTCTGTTCAATTCTAATCAAATAACGTCTTCGATCCCCGTCCACAGAAGGCGAACTTATCTCTGAACATAGTTGTGGTGAGGAAAAGCGGTGAATTCTGGATCAATGGTCATCGCGCCACGGTAACTACCACAGTCATCGGCAAATTAAATCTGAACTTATACGTCAGTACGGTCGTCGGGAAAAAGTTTGCGGGGGAAGAAATACCTTCAGCGAAGGGTATTTCAAGTTCAAGTTCTTTTTTGCTACGAACATGTACACTGTGGGCATTACCTTGCTGAAAAGCAAGGTCAACCCACAGTCATAAAGTTTCCATTTCCGTCGTCTGCCAAAAGCAATTAAGTACAAATAGGTGGCTGTGCTCAATCCAGCAGTCCTCTTCCTACTCTCGCATCTGCCAAAACCAAACAAATACAACGTAGCCGTGCAGCATGTCAAGACTCAGTACTCAGTACTCAGCCGTTTACCATCTCGACTCTATCGCACCTGCAGCACTAGCTTCAAAAAGTCGCCTCGCAACATTGAATATTGAACGTTTGAACCTGAACATCTGGAGAATTGCTTAAGAATTGGATCGTGAGTGACTAATACCTTCTCCGTATTTCCCTTCGCTGATGCTCATGCGTCGCACTTTATAGTCTGTTCCACTTACGAGGACTAGTACTACTCGCTGTGCTGTCCTAGCACAATTAACACTGCATCTGTCCTTCTTGCCACCAACAAGAAGCACACTTTCTAACTTCGTCTCTGGACACTTGCAGAGGGAAAGTCTCCCTTTGGCATCCCATGCTCAATACACGAGAACATTGTACCCAACAAGATCATTATCACGTATATCAGCCCGCAAGACGAGGATCGGTACAAGCTTGTAAAAGGACCACAAGGTGATAGTCGAGGTACTAAAGGAGCTCGTCCAGGGGGAAAATACAGGAAAAGGCGAGGCAGAGTGGAAACTGAATGCTTTTCTGGCAGAGGGAATAGCCAAGGATGACCAGGACCGCGGAGCTAGGTGTGATCGCCTGGACCACCTATCTCGTAAGCCTATATGGGAATGAGCTCGCCCATCTACTGTTCATGGTCCTGATGAAGCTTTCAGCCGCCATCGATATATTATATTCAGGTTTGCGCATGATGCACGCAGTCCAATATGATACTGGTGAGTACATCTGTTAGTGCTCTACGCCATTGATCCTTATCCGTTCACTAGATTCTGCTATTCTCTCCTCCCACTTGCCACGTATCCACCACACTATGACAAATCGACATCAACCCCAACCCAATGACCCATCCCCACGACCCTCCTTCAGTCGGACATTCCCTTCCGATATTGCGTCATCCCCTACCACTCAACGACGTCTACCTGTTCCCGCTGCGCTGGTCTTTCAATGGCTAGTAACGTGCGTTGTTGGAAAGTAGAAGAGGACGTTGCCTCCTGTCTGGTGCGAGGAGGGAGTGAGTATGCCTGGAGACTGCGCGAAATATGACCCCACCCCATCCTGGTGTGTAGGTGTCCGAGTTTTGGCTGGAGACAATGGATCGTCTTCCGGCAAGCAAGACGTCTGCGCCTAGACGATGTATTCCAAAACCGGTGAACACACCCACGGCGAAACTTCGCATAGGGTAGGGACGGCAGGTAGTCTTAGGAGGGACTGGTTTTACCTCGACGCCATGTATCGACGTCCGGCAAGCGAGAGCATGGCGTCGGGGTATTGTTGGGGATACAAGGAGTATAGGGCTAGGGTAAACTGGACATAGTACGCACGTCGCACGATGTCGACTGTCTTCGTTACGGATCGAGATCCTTTGCGTCTAGCTGTTATTGTACACCTCGCACCCCAGCCTCTCCCTGGACGACGACTTTTGCGCGGACATGACGTATCGACATCTGGCGAACGAGCGCACGGCGTCGTGACACCGGTCGGAATTTTGGAATAGATTATGGGTCTGAGTTCGGGGACTCTTATTAGAGATGGTTTGGCACTATGCAGTGTGGATTTTTCAATGTACAAATGATCTGCGAGGTATACGACTGGTATATCGGTGTTCAAAGAAGCAGACGTGCCACGCAAACACTTCGTAACATATTGGTATGACTTACGTAGATCAACCCGACGAGGAATCGTCGCTTTCAGTGTTTCCTTACATGTTTTGAGTCGGGAGCATTGCCAATGAAAAGGTCGACTCGAAAGAGACAGCAATAGGGTTCAAGGACAAGATTCAGCAAGGTCGTACTCGCCTCGGCACGCGGCAGGCACTTGTAATAGACTGGACACAACAAGTTAGAAAGGGCCCTCAGGCCTAAGGAAAGATCATAGTCGCATTAGGCAAGCTACTGCCAACTGGGGAAAAGCAAATCTTTGCCACACCACTTTCGCGTCGTTGATGATCACGTGAAGAATATGCTGTTCTTGGAGTTCAAGTTTGAAGACTTGAAGTAAGTTCATTGAGTCAAGAAAAATCGGCTATGTGATGAACAGCATATGATAATATCAAATATCAAACGGACGCGATGCAGTGGTGGAGGTTACCAAGCGGTTACAGTAGTCTAAACATGGGCTGCATGTGGTCAGGATCGAAGATAATGGCTCAAATGCAATGAGAAATAAGTGAGAATTAAACAGTTTCCGATTCAATCTTCATTGATACAACAGTGGCCTGCTATAAGTCCGTTATATCAATTATATTGAATGGAAATGCGGATTATAGAAACATACGTTATTCGCACGGTGGCCGCTCGCGCTTTCAGATGTCAATCCTGAAGAGACAATCGTTGGTAGGCGGAAGGAATTGTCAACGTTTCTGAACTCCCTCCGTGCATTAAGCCTGCCATCGTAAGTGAACATCCATGAGCGTCATAAGTTTAATACGTACATAGCTAACAAGGAGTTAATGAATACTAAAAAATAAAGACCAAGGTCAGTACGATGTCTCCGAGTCAAATTGACTGACATTTGGGAAGTAAACAGTCGACGCCGAGGAATATGAGAGTATTTGGCCAGAGGAGAAACTACGGCGTATGCATTAGCGCCAAACTCTGTTGATCAAGCACCAGGACGGCTCGGAAATTATTCCGCATACCGTAGTGAGAATAACAATTGAGTAAAAGCTATGTGTGCCAGATTGAGGCGGTCGCGAAACAAACATATAATTGACTTTGCCTACCTGGTAATAAACCCTGACATTAGAATCATCCGCATCAATGTGAGAAGTGTCGTAATGGTGCTGTAGGGGCGTTAAACAAGTATTCAAAACGCGTAAACAACAACTGACTTGGGAAAGACTGAAGTAGTCCGGTCCAGACAGTAGCACATAGCGATAGATACTACGAACTCGGCTACTACACTTGATACAAACATGGAGATAAGAGCGCTCTGACATCGGAGTAAGATGGTGCGTTTGGAATGATATTGCTTTCGAAAGCGCACCTCAATGGTCGGTGTTTTGGAGAAGCTGGATACCAAATAGCTATTGAAAATATTATCGGCAACAGATAGCGAGGAAAAGGTAAGTTCATACACATCTTTAATAAGATCTACAGGATGAATCAGAATGATATATCATGCAAATGGTGGTAGGAAGACTCACATATCCCGCAACCTAGCAAGGAGTTATGTTTGTCAATAACGGGGTTATACTCGAGCACTGCAGGTTTCTCCGTACCAGCATTGCCAGCAGTAACGATAACCTGAATTCGTTTCACATACAGTCAACCACGGTAGGATTCGATGAAGGACTTGTCCAACTGATTGTACAGGTTAAAGGCGACGTTAGGCATCAAGACGAAAACGTACGTTTCCATAAGCGTAGAGCGTACACCCTGCACAGGAGACGAATTTGAAACTGGACGCGAACGGGTAAAGTGTAATTCCTCACGCTTGAACAGAAATTCGGACGAGGACCTGAATAAAAATTCAGAATTGCAATGAATAGATCCGAACGATTAGGCACATACACAAAGCAAGATGTGCAGCTATCATTAAACGTGAGATTCAGATACTATGATCCGCATCGAGCAGAACACAAACCTTAAGGCTCCTAAGCGAAATAAACCAGTGAAGAACAGATAATCAACTGGAACATACCAAACAATGTCGCGTTGAGTAAGAGCTGGCAGATGGCCGAAGTTCGTAATAGAATAGAAGTATGAAGCGTGGGTGGTGACTGCAACATCGAGTGCATCCAGGACCCTATGCATGAATTTCAGATACTTCAAAATGCACGTTGAGTCCAGAAAATCTACCAGATAATCCCCACCTGTTCATTGTCAGCAGAATCAGTATCATCTTCCGAGCTGCATGATGGGCGCTCCTACCGAGACTTTATAGATCCATCCGTCACTAGGGTAATTTTTATAGTATATTGCGGATTGTAGACTTGTTATTCCAAACAGACTGCCCGGGACAGACACATTATTCATTAAGCTGGCGGTGAGAACTAGACTCGAAACTTACATGTTGGACAATGTAGCACCAATAAAGAATACACCAAGCGTATTGTCGAGCGATATGTTTACCATTGAGGCAGAGGATAAGAGAAAAAATCACAGCCTCTGGGCTATAGAATATACCAAACTTGAGGATTGTATTCCGCTATTTGAGTAAAAAAGAGTGCCCATCCGGGTATTGAATTCGGTCTGATCATCATGAGATGGAAGACAACGAGCGGTGCTGGAAGCTGTGAACTCGTAGCGGATGACACAGTTGACGCCATCGTCGGAAGTCAGACCAGCGCAGAGCATTCAAATGCGATAATCAACGGATCGACATCGATGAATATCAAAGCAACATTTGAGGTCTAGCCACAGTTTGTGAACTTGAAGGGGATACAGGAGATGGACTGGCAAGTTTTAACATGCAAACCAACGTGAAAATGGTAAAGCGCACCCTGCTTCAAGGCTTCCTGAGATGGTGGCTCAAGCCATCCGGATAAAATGATTCTCTCGGTGTTAGAGGTAGCCCAGTGACTTCAGCAGGTCAGTTCACGGTGGTCTTTGGACATCAAATTCATTGTAATCCACCGCAAAATTAGCATCATATTAGAGAAGCAGGAACCGTGTTTTCAATTGTCAGCAATGAGAATGATGATCTGTTCTTTTTCCCGCACCGAGAAAATTTCCGGTACAACTGATCAGCATTTGATACACATAATAACGCACCTTGTGAGCACCAAAGAAGAATAAAGCGCCTGATTTCCGAGTACAATCAATATGCGTCCCACATGCCTAGACATAGATTTCAGAGAAAAGCAGGACTCATCCGTGAAAAAGATTTCTGGATATGGCCAGTGAATAGGCTGACGGTTACATTCGACGCACAAAGCGCCTCCGTTGCTATGTTCACCAATACCACCCGAGAAACATTGATGCGGACGATATATCAGCCTGAACCGGTGCCCCACGTGAGTTTTTCTGCCACGGTGGTCATAGAGAACGGATCATCTACGAGTTCTTATTTAATAGCATGAACAAACCTTGATAAAAATTGCGTATAGAAAAAGGGTACGGACTTTTTTTGTGGGCATCATGGCGCCAGTTAAATAAGCTGTTCTTCGGGGTTTTCCATGAAACACATGTTACCCATTGCTTTGGGTATTAGGTGATACGGAAGATGCGCCAAAAAGTGGCGACGAACAGAAACAGCAAGAATGTAACGATAGACTGCGCTTTGTTTTAAATGGGATGGGTGTTCAAATTTAGCCAGTGGCGTGGCTGTGCCATGAGCTCTTGAACCCTTCACAGAATTTTCACACGCTTCGACCTAAGGCTGGAACTTGAATGTGTTCTAACAAACATCACCTATTATCATGATGTGGTGGTTGAAACGTTGATGATTGGTGCGATTTGAATGAAAATTATGTAGATTGTCGGTGTGAATCACGTTTATGAGTTTGCTCGGTAATTCACTTGTCAGAAGCTTTCGGCCCCGATGTAAAGCCTGCGTCCGATAACGACGCAGGAAAGCCCATGTATTGTGAACGGTAAAAAGTAATGGTATACGAGCTAGAAGAAGAATAAAGTAATATATATCAATGCCTGAATTTAAAAAGAAAAAAAAATGCATATAAAGCCCGTATAAAGCTGAAGTCTTAAAGCTTAAATTTTGGAATCATGGAGACGCGTTTAAACGCAGGTGCCCGCGTAACTGGTCTGAGTATTCGCAGCCATAGAGCCCTTGAACTCGGCGAAGCTGGAGCGGTCATCCTGGTTCGTGAGGACCGCCTCGATGCTAACAGCCCCTGAAATCATGTGTCAGACCCCGTAAACAGAGGTAGAAATGTACAAACATTTGTAGTGACCATCAGTCTCGTCGTCGTAGTTGAACCAAACCCATCCACTTGCGAGATAACGGATGTTTCCAGTGGCTTGGATGTTACAAGTCTTGGTACTAGTCTAAGATGGGGGCAGTCAGCTAACCGTAAATACTGGGACGAAAAAAGCTAACCGTAGCAGTGCAAGTCTTGCCCTCTGGAGCAGTCATCTTGATAGTAACTTTACTCACGTCATTGTAGGACACGTCGAAGCTAATAGCTTGTCTTAGCGTATGCACTCTGGTCTCAAAGATAGTACAACGTACGTGCTCGAAGTGGTATCCGTAACTTCGGTAGAGATGGTCAGGGCCTCAGTGACCTCTGCTACTTCTGGAACGCCAACTTTGACGGAGAGCGTGTCGGAAACGCCAATAGTTGAAGCAGCTGGATGCCAAATCGATAATGGAATGGCCAAAAGAGAGATCAGAAAACATACTAGTGACGGTGTAAGAAGTATCAGTGTTGAAGCCTTGGTCGACTTCGATGTCGACTTCACCCTCGGTACCAACAAGGCTACCCGCAGAAGTGGTAGTGTGCGTCTGGCAGACCGGGTCACCTGTCCATGGATCAGAATCAAAATAGAAAGAATGATACAGTTGAACGTACCGGAGAAACTGAGCTCGACAACGTCGTCGGTAATGCAGACCTGGGCAGGGCTGTCGACGTACTGGAGGAATAGTCAGGCAATGACCGTATGAAGCGAGGAAACAGCGGATCTCACATCGCTAGGGTTCGTAACAACGGTGCGGGAGCCATCGCCCCAGTTATTGTTGGCGTACTGCTCAATGGCATTCCATCCCGGCACTGTACGAATGGCGTTTAGCGTCATAGAATATGGAAGAGAGAGTTCTGACTGACGTGTTTTGGCTTCATCGACTGAGAGCTGCCCACATTGACTGGCGGCACGGCGCTCGAGACCATTGGACTCGGCATCGACAGGATATCTACCGTAGAGAGAACCATCCCGCTTGAAGGCGAGATAGTGTCCACGGGCCTCGTCTACAGCGATGTGGGCAATATCCCTGGGAAGGATCCCGACAAGCTCGCTGAAAGGCAGAGCAGTGACGCCAGAAAGGGCAGTCAAAAGAGTAATAAACTAGAATCGGCGCGTGTTAGGCCAGGTGATAGGCTATAGGATGGGATGGCACTCACGGCAGCAGGCGTGAACATCGTGCAGTAAAGTGCAAAGGAAAGTAAGAGAAGGAATGAAGAGAAACGAAGGATGATGATCCTCTAGACCTCATATCGACCTGCTTTTATACGTGAAGTGCTATGTTTCATGTCTTTATCACTGGTTTCATGACCTGAGCGAGGTAAGGAGTGGACTTACGAATTGCACATCGAGCATGTGGTACACGAGCGCTGGGCCGTGATGCGATGTTTTGTGATCGGCGAGAATGATTGCGTCGGAAAGTCCAAGGTCATGCATTGCGTCGCGTGTAAAATCACCCTGCCTTAAAGAGAGATCAACACATAGACAAAGGAATCGTATAAATCCACAGCAGCTTTCCAGCTAGCAACGAATATGGCTTCTGTGTGAGGAGCTCACCAATGGCTTTTAAAATGTAATTCGCAGCCCATGGTTACTGTTTCCACGCCGCGTGACGACAGGCACCCCAGATCGACAATATGCCGATCTAAAGGCGTCCTATCTCATGTCGCGAAAGCTAACTATATCGTATTGCTGCTTGTAGGCGCTCCACAGCAGGGCAAAAATACCCGAAGATCAAGCGCAATGTTTCAAAGAAGACCAACGTTCTTACGGCTACAGATAAAGGGGACAGCAGTATTGCAGACACACGACGAAGGTTGGGCTTGAAAGAATCAGTGATCAGCCGGCTACTGCCTACAAATATGTAAGACATAGACAGACTCTGGGGTAGACAGTCGGTCAGTACTAAGTAACCTTGTGACAAACAACCTGGAACGCACGTTCTCTATATTTCGAACTTGAATTTGAACGTATCAGCAAAGAGCGGCGGTAGAATCTCAGTAGGATCCCTTCTCAAAATCGAAACTCAATTGAAGATGCGGTGCTTGTGGGAGTCATCAATGAATTACTGTCCAGTCGAAACAAGTGTATTTTGAAGTACGGCATTGCTGTTTCACGAACGTTCACGCACCATTGGTTTTTGCATTGATCTGGCCATTGAGGCCAAGGGGGAATAAGAAATAACAAGTTTCACTTTCGGACTGGATTTTTCAGCCTTGATTCTGGCAGCGGTAAAACAAGCTGTAAGGTTAATCTCATTTTTTCAAAGGGGGGAAAGTTTTTCGTGTCGTCTTACCGGCCTGCGTTTAAGGACGGAGAAAGAGCGTCTTGAAACGAAACCTTTTAAGGTCTTGTTGTTCCCTCGTCAAATTGTACCTAGTACCGGTGCAGTGGTACTTGTAGCCTGTAGATATTTGGACCATTTGAGCCGCTTGGAATTTAGCTGAGAGGAAATCTCAGAACCCAATCAGGACCTGTGCTTCATTTTTGAACCATCAAGCGTAAGGAATTCCAAGGGAGAAATTTGGAAAGAATATTGACACCGGAATCCATGCAAAAAAAGGGTGAAGTACCATGTTCCCACGCCACAGACGTGTTATTGTGACGAGAAGCGTGATACCTGTGACTTCTCCCTCTCAGTTCACGACCATATCATTGCTCTCCAATATTGCCTCGATTTTCCCATTCATGACGCAGCTATGCAGGAAAAGACAACATCTTACCCGTTGAGTGCGAAATTTCTAGTCTTCCATCCGATTCCGGTTTTCGTTTCGGTTCGGTTACCCATCAAGCCGGATTAATAGATTTATATAACTCGGCCGAACGCTGACAGCGCTTTTTTATCAACTTCCACCATGCAGAACGCCAGCGACATGAAGAATGCACGCGAGGCCAGTACCATCGATATTGCAGCAGTGAGGAACTTGGTATACGGCAAGTAGTCTTCGTTTTGGTATTTTACCTTTAAATGCTCATATATGACGTAGATGGGCTCGAGCGCTGGGAGCAAAAGCAGAGAATTGAAAAAATTCTTTCTAATGACCCTGTGTTTGACAAAGCGAAAAGGTGAGCTTCGAAGAGGATATCTTGTTCTGTCCTCATACGAAATAGACCTTTCATCACACGAACGGAAGCATACCATCGTGGGCAACGGATAACAAATCGCATATATCAAATCGAGCAGGATTTGGGATGGACGAAAGATGATACCGCAGTCGCCTTTTCAGTACTAGATGACCGCCTTCCTTCAGGTTTACATAGCGATGGTACGTTCGGTATTATCTTTATGATTTCCGTCACACCAATCTATATATTTCTAGCCTTTGAACCTGTCATCAGTGGCCAAGGATCACCCATCCTTTTGGAAAAGTACGGGAAATTGGTGGCTACTCGTGGCGTCCTTGGATGTTACCTACAAACAGAGCTCGGCCACGGTTCCAACGTCACTCAGCTAGAAACGACGGCGACTTTTATTCCAGAGACGCAGGAGTTCGAGATTCACTCGCCTACGCTTACGAGTACGAAATGGTGGATTGGAGCGCTTGGGAAGACCGCGACTCACGGAGTATTACAAGCAAAGCTGATCCTGCCTGGGGGTAAGGATATGGGGCCCCATCTTTTCTTCGTGCCGCTTCGATCTTTAGGTTCGTCTGTCCTATTGCTCCCGAGTATCCAGGTTGCTCATTCGGCTCAACAGACGACCATAAGCTTTTGCCTGGCATCATTGCAGGTGATATCGGTACGTTTCTTAGGGACTTGGATGATATATCTTCTAAACTTTCAACAGGCCCGAAGGCTATGAACGGATACAATTCTGTTGATAATGGTTACGCACGATTTGAGCACTACCGGATACCAAAGGAAAACATGCTCTCCAAGTTCGCTCAGGTTACTGAAGACGGTACTTATGTCAAACCACCTCACGCGAAACTGAGCTACGGCGGAGTAAGGATCGTCTCTCGTTGAATTGCTCCATAACTGAGATGTTATTGTTAGATGATGTACATACGTTCTGGGTACGAGTCTCTCACTTTAAGATTCCGGCGTTGGCTTGATGTCTTTGTTTGTAGAATGATACATCATTCAGGGACTGCGGTAGCTCGAGGTGTGTCTGATATGTAGGACTCTGAACTTTTACTGACATCCAGAATAGCTATTACGATCGCCATACGGTATGCCACTGTACGTCGACAAGGGGAGAAAGGGCCAGATGGCCTTGAGCATCAAGTTATCATGTATCCGTCCGTATATGGCCGACTACTAACTATCCTCTCGCGAGCGTACGTGTATATGCTCTTGGGACGAAACATGGTATGTCCTTGTTCGGGTTAATAGGACAGCTGCTAATCATCCTGTAGTTGAAATCGTTCAACGCCTTCTCGCGGAAGCTAGCGTCTGGAGATATGTCTATGTTGCCTGAAATGCATGCCATCACCAGCGGACTCAAAGTCTTGTGTACGGCGACAACTATGGACGACATCGAATCGGCGAGACGGTCTATGGGAGGGCATGGATACAGTGCCTTTGCAGGAGTAGGCAAAATCTATGCGGATTACCTTCCCAGTGTGACGTATGCACCTCTTTTTTTTGGAGTGTATGGCGTCACTGAGGCATCGGCAGATTTGAAGGAGAGAATTTTGTCCTAGATAAACAGGTCCTGCGCGCAGCACTCAAATCCTCAAAGAACGATAGCTCGTCGCTTTCGCCCTTTTCGCAGTATCTTCGACTTCTCCACAGAGGACAAGAGGTTCCTGTTCCTTCGTGGCAGGACCCAAACGAGGTTGTACTGCTACTTGAATGGCGTGCTGCATCGCTGGTGAGGGATGCGGCGGAAACAGATGATCATTCGGACACCAGTATCACGCAGCGGGTATCGAAAGGCGTTGCTGAGGCATTCGTAGCAACGCAGGTACTGGGCATGATCAGCACTGTAGAGAGCTCGTTGAGAGCCGATAATGCCTTGGTGTTGAAAGGGTTGTTTATGCTTGTAAGCATGCCTCTATCCTTTGCTTGATGATATTGACAGGATTCTCTGGCTCAGTACCTACTTTCGGCAGTTGAAGGATCCTTGACAGACTTGTTAACATTCAATCTCATCAACAGTGACCAGACTAGGACTTTGCGCAAGGCGATTTCGAGGACCTGTCAAGAATTGCTCCCGAATGCCATTGGACTTACGGATGCATTTGGATTTTCAGATTGGGAACTCGATAGGTCTGTCTATTATTTTATCTTGATCATGAGTGGGTCTGATGATGTCGGGTGTAGTGCCTTGGGTGTATATGACGGAAAGGTGTACGAAGCGCTCTGGGCCCGGGTGCAGACGGAGCCCTTAAATCGGACGGAGGTACCCGAGGCGTACGAGGTTGGTGTCTACGATTTCTCTCAGCTTTTATGCTCTAATGGTAGCCGACAGGAGTCTATCAAACATATACTTGCGAGGGGAAGACAGTTAGCGAAGTTGTAATACGCTCTCGCGAGGTGTGTGCTGCGGTGATATGTCATCATATGGGCACATGGTGTAGTTGGTTTATCACGCCCGCTTAGCACTTGTTGAAATCTGCGGGAGGTGTTGGGTTCAATTCCCAATGTGTCCACTTGTTTTGCTTTTCTTTTTACTCATTATGTGTCTGTCATGAATCTGATTCATCCGTCAGTCTGCAAGCTTCGTTTTACTTTATCGGTGAGAGATGATGACATCCTTCCTATCTATTATCGTTCAAAAGAGTCAATTACATGGACTGCTCTCTTGTACTATGTATATGCCTTAGAAGCTCGGTCAGTTTCGTTTGTGTACTCTAAGTACCATCCAATCGCGTACCTGCAGGAGGGAAAATTTCCCCATTTTGCCAAAATTCCAGGTGACAGGGCTGACTGCTGGATTTTGAGCACGCGAGTTCGAGCATCGTATGACCTCCCGAGGGACAGTAGAAGCGCTCTACCGTCTGATTGCCACCGTAAGGTCGAATGGTCGCCACCAACGTCTTTCTCCTCGGCACCACTTCCCCCGCTGCTACGCGTATGAGCCGTTCCGACCAGATTGAATCTAAGAGCCATACATCGATAGATGACTCCTCCTGGATTACCACTTCCGGATCAAATCCACGACTGGGTGGGGGCAAAGAGAACATCACGCTGCAATGTTCCATACCGTAATCTAGATGGACAAATTGTACGATGGTGGATGTCTAGGAACTGCGATTAGTACAAGTCGTTTGTGCAGAGCTTACGCCGAACAGAGACTGACATTCGCTGATACGATGATGTGACGGTCGTCCGGATACACAGATCCAAGAATCGCGCGCCTATTGGCGGCTCGTATCCTCATGACACAAGGCGTGCAATATCAGGATTTGTTCACCAATGCCACGACGTCAGGAAAGTTCACGATAATCTGGTCACATGGGATCTCTTTCGCCTGTCTGTCGCGAAAAATGCGGTCAAAGTTGATATACTGGCTTGGGTGATGGCTTGGGGAGAATCTTTGTTCGCTGCAGCTGCGGTTGTCTTTCCCGATGCTTAGAATAGCCAGGGAAAATGCGAGAAGGGAAGAGAGCAGCGTTGCTATGCACGCCCAAACGACAAGCGATCTCTCCTGTTATTGTGGCCTATATAACAGTCCTTGTCAACAAATAGAAAGCGATTGTCAATTGCATTACACCTACCAGAAGATGAAATGCACCCATTGTCCTTCGTTGTATCTGGCCCGGTATCTCTATTAGACGAAGAGAGCAGCTCGTAACTCGACATTTCCGACGACTCGGAGCGCCACCACTTTGCGTACATCGACTTTCAGTGAGCTGAGTACTGCGTGTTGTTGTAATTGGGATACAGAAATATTCGTCAAAGAGTCGAATACCGATCCTGCTTCCAACGCGATCATCAATGATCACGCTGCCCAGCACCGCTTCGTAGGCATGCTTCTTCATGCATTCATGGTTCAAGCTCAAGTTTCTCCGTAAAAGCGCTGCCCGACGATTGCCAACATTATATTGGACGCTTGAGTATACGGTCTTCTAGGTCTGTTGCTGTTGCGTATTCCTATCCGACGTCATATGGTACTGGAGCAAGTTTGATTGAGTCCATGCAGTATAAGTTGTGTTACAGCAATCGCCAGCACGACTTTGACGGTCCTCTAGAAGAAATGCCAGAGTGTGATTTCATTCGCTCCGGCTCCTTAACGTCACCGATTCTTTCGGATGGGCGGCCCATTCCTGCCTCTTTGGGACGGGCTTCTATCAGTCGGCAGGTCTTCGGCATGTGGTGAACGGCACGTGAAGAATTCGAATCAAGTCTTCCAAAGGTTTCCGAAGCTTCGGCGCCTTTACTAGGCAGCCCGTCGCGATCAACTTTCAAGTCGTGGTAAGTACATGGCAAACCAATGGAAAACATCCGACAGTTGCTGATAAATGTCAACACTGACATTGCCTCCAGGCGAGGACTGACATTTTGTACCCACATTGTCGCATCTGACAAGCATCTGATGTTCCTTTTAGCATCAGTCTGTCTAGCATTAGTATCGCGCGGGTCGGAGAGTCACTGATGTTCAATGCCAGATTCACCTTGCGATAGCTTGACGACCCGCATATCCTGCCACGAGACTTCCCAGTACAAAATGTAACCATAATCGAGTACATTCACACAACCATGCACATGCCCAGAGACCCCTACAGGACGGACGAACCTGCTTCCCTTCTTTGGCTTGAACAGGTACTGAATGCGGCTGTTCATATTGGCGCCATGGCATACGGTTCGTTTCAACTTCGATTCTGGTCTCTTCAATAGCTCATTGAAAAGTCATAGGCGGTCAGCTGATAATTGCTTTCCTTGCGGCGTATCATATCCTGCATTCGTCCAAGAAGCATTACGTCTGGCAGACGATAGTCTTTATTTCTTTCATCGTCGTCCTCTCCACTATCTATACAGCCTGCAACATCCACTTCAATGAGCTGGCGTGGATCGATGAACGCAACTACCCCGGAGGTCCCCTTGCTTACCAACTCGAGCAGCAGGACCAGAAGTTTCAAACGTTGGGAAACGCGGCTTCTGTTCTTCTCACTATATTGGCCGACCTTTGCATGGTACGTAAAAGATTAGCTGTCGAGTTCACCAGGCTGATCTGTTAAAAATTGAAGCTTTGGCGCTGCTATGTCGTCTACCATAATCAGTGGATGATTATCGTAGTTCCAGGATTAGTTCTCTTGGCAGTAGCTAGTAAGTTGTTACTGCACTTTATCGCTGTAAAGTCTTTTAACGTCTTTGAAGTATTGGGCGTGTTCGTGGTCCTCAGACTTGCAACTCCGGGAGCCGGTCTCTGGGCGTCAGAGATTGTTGATCTTTCTGTCCCTTATTGGTCTTTAGCGATCTTTTTCAACCTCCTGGTGACTTTGATGATCGTTTCCCGCGTCCTTCTCATGCGAAGGAAGATTCAATCTTCTCTGGGACCTCAGTATGGTGGCGCATATACAGGAGTGGCCGCGATGATGATCGAATGTGCCATCCCATACGCGCTGGTCTCCTTTGTCTTCATAATATTGTACGGTCTAAACAACACCGCCTCGAGCTTGTTTGTCCCGTTGATGATTATGATTGAGGTGAGCTTGATGCTGTCCCTCCTTATCGTTTATTTACCCGTTTCGACAGGGAATAACGCCCCTGCTCATCATTTTACGAGTAGCTCGAGGGCAGGCATTGTCGAAGGAGACCGTGGCCAGTGCCGGAGAAGTGTCCTTTATTCGATTTCGTAAGGGCGCTGCATAGAAGAGTGCTGATGGTGATTTCACTCCGGTCAACAGCACTTCTACTCCGGTGCTCAATATCGCGATGAAGGTTATCCACGAATCTTCATCTCAGCTATCGAAACCGCACGGTCTATAGGTTCTCGCGAATGCTAGCGCTTGCCGATACCAGTCCTAAATGCAGTAAATTCGTGTAAATTCGATTTAAGATCTGTATCTATGAAATATTTTGGCGAGATATACTTTATCATAGCGCGAAAGGGATAAAAATACAAGTCCGATCAATCCGATTTCCGAGACAATCAGTGTTCTGAATGTACCCGAATAACAAACCCATTGTACAAAATCGACCGCATATGTTACGTTCTTTTGCAGCTAGCCGACTGTTCCTGAAAGTTACTTGAGATGCTTATCACTAAACGCCGGGGTAGGAGATACTAGTCACCAGATATTGTACGTCATCCTGAGGAAGTCTGCCTGGAATGTACTAGTCCCGCGGATAAAATCCATACAATTACGCGGAGCAAAGTCGTCTTGAAGCCATCCATGGAACCGACATCTTTCAGCAGAGTCCTGGGATGATCCTTAATGATCTCAAATTTGGGCAGCATCGGACCGTGCATTGCACTCACGTGTCCAGGGAAGATATCATGATGAGGCTAAACTCTGCTGAATACTAGCGGTCGTCGTTTGACGACTTTGATACCTTGCTTTAGCGGTTATCAAAGAGGCTCTTGCACTTCAAATTCATGTTGAATTGGTAGGACATTTATAATATTTGCAAGTCAATTGCAAGTACACATACTTACCTCCCTGGCGCCGGTTGAAAATCATTTCCACCGGTAAGGCCCCAGTACAGACATTTATACTATCACAAAAGATCGGTTCGTGATAGCCCAGGTATGCAATCAGTGTTCATGGATAAGTTGAAGGATGTGGATGTTCCTGGTTCCGAGGGCCAAAGATAATTTGTAGATATCCTTCTGTCTGCCCTGGATAGTTTCTACGAAGCTATGAAGAAAAAGCATCGACGATGGAGTGATATGAATCATACCCTTTGTTTGTGTTTCAATGAGGAAATTTAGGATAATCCCTGGTAGTTGTTTGACAATGTCTTTGCTAACGATGCTATAGACATGGACACCTTTTGCCCTGAAGGCATCTTGTAGTGAGGTATCACAATTGCTGAGGAAGTAGTACACCAATACCCGCTGGCTCACGAAGACAGGACTGACGACTACAGTCTACATCATCATGTGTTATCGGGTGATTCCGTCGCACGTGATATCTCCCGATTAATAAGCGCGGGTAATAGACCTGGAGAGACCTTGGCAAGCAAGGTAACGGTATAGATCAGAGTACGTAATAGAAAATGCCCGGATATGACCGTCAAATACTACGGCTGACCCGTACCACCACTATGTGGGCTGGAATTGTGTCAATGGTACGGGTCATGACCATACCCGTCGACCGTATTTTTGCGGTGCTATGCAACCTCAAGATTTTTCGGACCAATATCGGTCTAGATAGTAATATCTGTCAGGTCAGCTTTCAAGGGAAAACACATATACTAGCGACCCCGACTGAACCCGCTTCCTTTTTTGGATCCAGAATCCCTATACAGTTTGAGCACCCGTGCCAACCGTCCCGTAATTCCTATCATGGCCACGCATGGAAAGGAACATCTTTGTCTGAAAGAAAAAGGATGGCGTTTGCGGGAGATGCAACTAGTACTGGGCCGCACTGCGTAGCGGCGAGCGCAATTTTGAAACCTTGGAACGTCTTCCAGAGAGTAAGTACCATATTTCTAGGAATGTTGAGGCTTCGAATAAAGTTGAAAATAGACCACAATGAACTTGCAGGGAACTATTGCCGTGTCCGTCGGACGGTGGTCTACGGTGGTTCTATGCTTGGTAAGCTGCCCGGTGGTCGTTTTCCGTTTTTTTTTGTTTGCCAACGGGGACAGCGGCGTCATCAGTGTTTAAAGCATGCTCCAAAACTGTAGTCCTTGGTACGTCGGTCTTAGTGGCTTTTCCGTATGTCCTGCGGAGTCCACACACACGGTGCACCGGAGTTCTGAATTGCTTACTTGGCAGGTGTCCTTTCTTCAGGTCAAAACAAAACTTGGCGAGATTATTCTAAAACAGATCTACAACGTCTTTTAACCCTCAGGGGCATAGACTGTGTTGATAGGAAGCCATGAATTTGCAGAAAGCATCTGGTCATGCATCTTCTTCGAAATCGTCCAAATCTCGGATTGGGTCCTCCGGGTGTACTGCCATGATATATATATCTAAAGCCGTTTTCTGCGCTACATAGGCGGTGCCAATAGGGCCTGAGCGCACGTCGTAACGGCGGCGATGTGCATTGTTGCGCAGGGGCGGGCCTCAGATGACAATTCGGTAACATGGTCAGCATTTCTCGGTAGTGCCTAGGCGGTGTTTGCGATATCCCTCCGGAAAGCCAAGTTCATTCTTACACTTTATAAGTACCGCACAGCACACTTTCAAGGCCTGCCTGTATCCCAGCCAAGCTTTTCCAGTTCAACCTCGTAGACGAATTCATATTGCTCTACTATATTGAACATCTTCAAAATATGAATGGAGGCATATTACTTGCTTTGGCGGTCAGTCTTCCTCCACTATACACTGAGAATCGTTGCTCATAATGACCCCTTTACAGGTCGCGCCGATGACATTCGCTACGGACCCCTTTGCCCTTTCTCCTGGCTTTGACATCGCATCGGTTGCGGCTCTTGCAGAATCTCTTCCCTCACATTCCTGGGAATTCGACACCGCATCTGAAGCACTTCTCGAACTCTACAACCCGAACATGTCCGTCTATGGCCAGACTCCTTTACCAGCCGAGTCGTACTTGCCTTCATCCGTCAAGGCGCTCGCGTACGCCAAAGAGAATATTGTATTGAGTGTTGGAGCTAATGGATTGAGCAATGGCGATGGTGCGGTTGGGGATCCGGCGAGCTTGGGCGTGTTTGCCTGGTTGATTGGGAAGACGAACGAATCCTATGCGGAGGCATTCCGGGAGGAAATAGAATGTGTTGGGGCAGGCACCCAGATGGGAAAATGGTGCTATTAGTCAGAGAGCAGATGTCGCTGAACTCTGGTTGGTGTCTTTGCATTCTCGTTATCGCAATCAGACTGATAGCGATGTTTTCAGGAGCGATTTCATCTACATGGCGCCTCCCTTCATCGCATACTATGCCGCTGACACGTTGAACGTATCTCTTCTCCACGAGTCGTATAAACAATGTGGATATTATCGTGAAGTACTGCAAGCTACTAATATTTCTAGCGAGTCCTACGATGGTGTATGGATGCACATCATCGGCCCGCAGAGCCAGGACGTTGGATTGTGGAGCACAGGGAATGGCTGGGCGGCTGGAGGAATGGCTCGTGTGTTGGCGACTATCATGAAGCACCTGTAGCCTCACTCGCTTCGTGACGCCAGGAAGCAATCGATAACTTGACGAAGTGGATCAAGGAAATCGTTGACGGCATTATGGGATCCCCAACCACCGAAGGATTGGTCCGGAATTACGTCGACGACATACGAGGAGACGGTCACGGGTTTGGCGAGATCAGTGGTACATCGATGATCGCCTCCGTTATCTATCGTATGGCTGTCTTGCAGCCCGAGTCTTTTAATCAGACGTATATCTCATGGGCTGATGACGTTCGGGCCACTCTTTCTGGGAATGACACTGAAGGAAACCCACATGTTACTGCAAATGGGACCGTCACGCCTGCTGTTAATCCACTAGGGTGGCTTGATACTGAGCCATGGACTGCTGGAAGCCCGGAAGGACAATGTTTTGTGGTTCTCATGTACGCTGCTTGGAGGGATTGCGTTTACGCTGGAAAGTGTGAATAAAATGGCGACACGGCTAGTTCAGATTGCAGGACGAGGGGATGGGAAAGATCATGCATCTTCCTGGGTGTAGGTAAATCATTTACTATTGAACCATGTGAATGTGGATTTCTGTCTCATGTCGCTTTTCATTTTTTTTTTCATCATTTCTCTGGCTTTGTTTAGTAGTTATGACTACAACCGTAGTACTTTTAGCAGTAAACGACGGTTATTTACCTTATATTCCGAATTCTTCTTCGCTTCGTAATTTCTTTTTTTTTATATCTGCTTTCGCTTGTATTTCCGTTATTTTCTGAGCATAGCTATTCATAACCCTAAGCAACGGTGTGGAGGTTTACGCTCATCGACAACAATCCAGATAGTGACTAGAAAGAACTAGAGTATTGCTCCGCCATGACCCAGTAATATGTAGCTAAATTATCTTTCAGTAGTCTGATCGTTCACTAAATGTTAATGTAGGAGATGTAGATCTTATGGACTAGTAGCTACATGGTTTCCTGATTTCTATTCACCTAACCTACAGCCCCGGACTGCTACGTACGCACTGTTTTCGGCTTTTTTTCTTATTTTTGCTTTTGATTTCTACCCTGCTCGGGGTGGCGCGCATTTGAACCACTTTCTCTGGCAACATACGTTGAAGACCCCTTGTAGCAGATATCTTATGTTTTAAGTCGTTGGATTCTGAACGGCCCTGTTTTCTGGCAAATGTCAATGATTGCATATATCTGTTGATCAAAATCCAGCAGTTTCGATGGTTCACTAGTATCCTGAATGCACATATTACTATAAAATATTCTAACTCAGGATTCTCAGTCCGCTGTTGTCGGACTGAAGATTCATTTCAACAGCTGTTCGACTCCCGCCAATCTTGGCAGCTCAGACATTCTTTTATACCTACAATGAAGGAGTACTGAGGGATAATCTTGACGCTGAATACAAGAAAAGTCCGCAATGAACAGAGATATTTCCCAGAATTGCGGCGACATAGTTTCACTCCCATTGAGGGTTGTAGATCTCATCGCTACGTTTCATTGTCTTTACGGTAGCTGCAATGAATCTACATGAACCATTATATTATTCTAATTCAGACCATATGCCCCAAATACAAAGAAACTTGCGTACAGTAGCTCTGGTGTAGAGATGCGTGTCCCAATATTATTAATATACAAACGGTATCCCAGGTTCATGCAAAACAAGTGGACCAGTCAATCAGAATCACACCCATTAAGATACTCAGCATCACCACAACGCTCAACCTACCCGTCTCCCACCTTCACACCCTTAGCGCTGTTCTTTCTCAGTGATCCCTTACTCGTGCTCCCATATGCCCCCACCTGCCGCCCAATGATGCCCATTACTCGTCGCCAAAACACCCTCCGCCACCGTCGCCGTATTGACCGTCCTCGTCTGCACCGTGGTCGGGAAAGTCTGTGTCTCTACGTCCACTACTTCATCATGCACGAAGAAACACCAATGCGAACCCCGGAGCAGGCACACTAATATCACACTGACACGCTACAGACAACTGGTCCGCACGTCCTCGTCACCCATCAACCGCCCATCGGAAGCAAAGTGGTCCCCAAATGTCTGCCCAGCCCACTTAAAGGAACCTTTCTGGGATACGGAGTCTGCGCTGAGGTATCTATGGTAGTTATGCATCAGATGGGAACTGTGAAGGTTTGCAGGAGACTCACTTGACTCGAACCTGCTGCACATTCTCGCCAGCGTATATCGATGCCGTATAGTTGCTAGCCCCCGATGGATCCGTGATGTAGTTGAACAGCGCCACACGAACCGGATTACCGCTCTCGTATATTGCATACGCAGGGGTGTAGATGTTCCCGTCGTTAGCGTTGAGGTCTGCAATCTGTGAACCGCTCTCTGAAGATCCGAGTGCTTCGGCAATAACTAGCGCCGAATAGTATATGGGTCCAATCGTCCATTGGCGGAAGGTCGACTGATTCGTTGGAGGTGCTGTACGTAGAATCAGTATAGTATTCTCAGAGGGTGTTTCTACGGCAACATACGCGTAAAAGGCTATTCCATTAAATTAGTGCCATCATCGCTAAGGGGTGCTAAGGACATACGTTATAATAAACACCCTGTCCTCCGACGTGCATCAGAGCGCCCGAAAAATTCGAATACGCCAACTGCATTGCGTAATCCAGCCCCCATAGCGCTGCACCGAAGGAGTCACTAACTCCTGGGAATCCACCACACGACGCCGTATTAGTCTCGAACATTATCAAGGGTTTCCCCTTGTTTTGGGCATAGCTGGTCGAATTCAAGTATAGCTTCGCGAGGGCTTGTCCAGCCGTATGGTTTAGGTATCGTGGAAACATCATCTGCGGGTCGCGAGCCTCCCCATAACTCGAACCATATTGAGCGGCACAATTGTCCGAGGGGTAGCTACAACCAGATGAAGGTTTGGCTGGTAGACGAAAGGAGAGAAACGTACTGTTCCACAGAAAGGTATGCTAGATTATCGTTGTACATGTCAACAAAACCCGTATCCCACACCATTTCAGGGTGTCCAGTCGCCTGTTGCGACACTTGGACCAATAAGGTTATTCAGGCTCTTGATGTTAGCATCGATCGTCATGGCGTAGATGAGCTCGCCAACTTCTGACACATAGTCTGACGGCTGGTATCCCTGCAAACAATGTAAGGGGAATAGCTCCAGGCAGATTTTGTTGACGTACATCGGAGCGATGTCCGTGGCGCTGATAAAGGTCGGGTTCATTACCGGCTTGAAGACCAAGAAGATAGTCACCCAAAATAGCTTGTCCTTGTTCAGCGATGGCAAGCTGGAATTCAGAAGTGTTGTAAAAGGGGATGCCTGGAATCGATGAGGATATGAGCATTCTGGATGCAGAACAAGAATGTAGCAGACGCACCAAGATACCAGTAGACATTAACAAGGTCGGAGATATTCCTCATGATATAGAACAAATCTGTCGTATAGTCTAAAGGCGGTGTTTCCGTCTACGGACGGCGCATCAGTGTTTTCCCAGTGCAACAGAAGATTGACGTACGGGGTTGGAAACATTCTCAACATCTTTATGAATCATCCTTCCACCATCTAAGCTCTCGACGAGAACTGCTGTCTCTTGCGTGTTCCCAGCCAATACGAACATTCACTCTCCCTCCTCTCTTCTCAAGGTTTGCCATCAGGTTCAGGAACGGCACTTGTATATATGACGAATTCTTTCCCACTGCGAAAACAATATATCAGCTAGATGAACTGACCAGAAAGGGAAGGGAACTCACGGAGCTGGTTGGTCACGGACATTTCAATAGAGAACCCGACAAAGTTGCCAAGTCTGTGGTATCGATATCCCTGATGTGTTCCCGGTTCTGGAGCTCGATATCGAATTGCATAGGGAGGTAATGGGTCAGGTATCGCAGGTGCCTCGAGAATTGTGGGGTCATATGCAGCCTGCTCCGGTATACGAAGCTGATTCTGCAGAAGTTGAAACTGTAGACGTCACTTGAGTGTGCTGAAATGTCTGCTGGTAGTACACAGTGATTTGCGCCGACGCCATCCCGAAAAAGAACAGGGCCTAGGCTCATTATGGTGATGAGGCATCCCATATTTCGTGAGGAATGTGATGCTCATCTTGTGAACCTAGCGGTGGGTAGAATGGATAGTTCACGAGAGGGTATTTCGGTGGGGGATCTAGAATTTGGAAATAAGCTTCAAATTTATGCGGGTTCTATTTTTACATACCGGGCAGGTATTGCCGCTAGCATTAAATTGAAAAGTCCAGAGAGCGGGATTTAGAGACCTAGTATCGTGCCCAACCGGTCGGAGACATTGTTGGCCCTGTAAAACCGAACCGAGCGGCACTGCCTCAAGGCCCCTTGCATGAGGATTGCGGCTATAATCGATGTTGGCGTTGCGACTGGAGAGAGTGGTCAACATATTATATTGCAGCATTTAAAGCAAGAAGCGCCCGCTACGCTCTTGCACCAGGTAACGCAGTAGGAAAGATTTGACCGCTTCTCCTCCGCTTAGAAGACAGAACCCCGAGCTGACGCAGGATGTTCACATTTTTTTCTAGGACATCGTTCGCCGTTTCCGCAATTTCACCGCGCGGAGCCGCTGCTGTTGGTCTGGAAGACAGTTCAGCTATATGGCGGATTATCTGGAGAGGGCAATACCTACCAGCACCGCCTTCATAATAACGCGAGGATAGAACGAGATAAGAGCTTGGGTCTGCCGTATGCTCTAGTCCAATGAACATGAAGGCCACTATATCGTATTAGGAACCTTGACTTGTGTCATAAGGTCAATTTCATTGGTGGGCTACCGAGTTCCTTACACATATTGGCTATGCATTCCTTCAGCGGATGCCTTGTATGATGATAAGCGGTATGCCTCACCGTAATCAAGTAGCATTCACCAGCATCGACAACGTTCAACGTACACATGGTACTTACTCCGCCTCTTTGCCGCGTGGACGGGCCGGTGTATATGTTTAATTCCGCTTTCAATGTGTGGTCTTAGCTGGGTACCTGGAACACAGTTGACTGTCACGATTTATGTGACAAAACGGAATTTGCCAAGAACTCACAGAAGGTGGAAGAGGCGAAGGTAACACTCGTTGTCGACAAAGATGATTTGATGCGTCATAGTGGCCGCTACATTGGGTACAAGTATAATGTATGGTTTAAATAAACCACGTTAACAGTACTGAAGAAGAATCTCAGTCCAATAGAACCAACCATGCTAGGATGAAAATATATACCGCAATTGGTCCTGATATCAGGCTCCCTGCCGTCAGGGTATTAACTGGAATGTTGTGGGAGATGGGGGATGCAGGGTGAAATTTGTTTCGGTATATGGTTGGTAAAGAGATGTTGAATTCGAGTACTGATGGTTCGCTGATGATAATCGGGAATAAAAACCATAATTTTAAATAAAAACAGGTTTCTGGATTAAATTATTCACAATATTATCGGTCACGTGAGACCAAACTGATTAGATCTGCCGTCGACATTTTTTTCTCACCTCTCCCCCCACGACGATGGCCGACGAGACTATGATCGAAGCACCAGCTGTAGTTGTAGATGCTGATCCTGCAGTAACGGCCGCGCCTGACGTCATCATGAATGAAGGGGAAGAAAAGATAAAACTCGACAAAGCCGTCCGGCAGAGTGAGCCTAATAACTCCTCTCCCCCCTTCCGTCTGACTCCTCTTTGCAGTCGAGTTCTACTTTGCTGACTCCAATCTGCCTTATGATAGGTGAATACACCATTTGTTTTGCTATTTACACCGCCGACGAACATCGGGAACAGGTTCATGTGGACACTACACGCCAAAGATGCCGAACACTGGATACCTCTCGACATCGTCACGTCTTTCAAACGGATGCGCGAATACGCTCCTCTGCTAGCTAAAATACCAGATGCCCTTCGAGCCAGTGAACTTCTTGAGGTGGATGAGGCGGGAAAACAAGTTCGACGAAGGACGGAGCCCAAGGAACCAGTGGGGCAGTTCGAGCGTAGCGTGTATGCCGTACGTCCAGTATTGCCTTTTCTCACCTTCTTCTGACCTATTCGCGACCTGCAGAAAGGATTTGGTACTGAGGAAGAAAACTCGAAACTCCAATCCCGTCCTGGAGGATTTCTTCCAGTTCTACGGAAATACGAACGAAGTGCGTATGCGCAGGGATGAGCACAAAAGATTCAAAGGATCTGTATTTGTCGAGTTCACCGAGATGAGCGGAGTCGAAACGTTCCTCAATGCTGACCCCAAGCCAACGTGGGAAGGGAAGGAACTGGTGATTATGTCTAAGTGCGTCTAATCTCCCTACTGCGTCATGTTCGTCCTGACGGAAATTCACAGGGAGGATTATTGCCAGATGAAGGTGAAAGAAAAAGGCCTCACTGGAAAAGCTGCTCAGTTCCGCAAGGACCTCATCACACGGCGGAAATTCGACGCGTTCAAAAACATGGAAAACGAGAAGAAGACGAACGAGGGAAAGAAGGAAGTGGAGAAGAAGGATATCTATCTCGAGTATCTCGGAACCAAGCTGCTTATCACTCCCCGACAGCAAGGGCGTCGGAACCGTGAAGGAGGAGGAAATCCCCTTCGTTAAGGGCGCCTACATTGAAGTTTGAAGGCGCCTTTTGATAACGTGTCCTTCAATGCGCTCAAGGTTCGTCATGATGCCATGGTTCATTGGATTCTTCGCTGACGACCATTGCAGCAACCCATCCGGGACCTTTTCGAAGGTCAGACCCCGTTCATCAAGTATCAACGTGGCGACAATCACGGTCTCGTCGGATTCAGCAAATCTCTGACTGACTGAGGATATCACCAAAGTAAAAGACGGTGTCAAAAAGCTGGAGGACCAGGATCTGACCTTGGTCCACCTATTGGCGGTACGCTTCATTCCCTCCATCTTTTCCTCCCTTTCTCACTCATCATTTTCAGAGGAAGAAGAGAAGGCTTTCCAAATTGAACGTGCTCAGGTCGGCGGCTCGGGCAGTCCTTCGGAACACGGAGGAAGGCGGACCAATCCGAGGAAGAGGGCGGGGTGGTGCAAGGGGCGGTCGAGGACGTGGTCGAGGACGTGGTGCAAGGAGTGGTCGGGGCGGCTTCAGCAGACGGGAGAGCGACTAGGAAGGATGTGGGTAGGGGAAGACGGCCCGGAGCAAGCAGGGGAGAAACGAAAACGCGCTGTAGAACCTGACGGCGGGCCGGATGTTGGAGTGCGCGGAGTCGGCGGCCCGCCCGCCGTCCAGAGCACCAAAAAGGTTAAGATCGAAGGCGGAGAGGCGGATTCTGCGCCATAAACGGCGGTTTGCATAAATGAATATAATATTGTCAATTAAAAGTAAGCCTATGTAGCACTCGTGATCCTTATGTATATTTTGTGCAATCTTGTACTATTTACTTGCAGCGGCACTTCAATACAGAATATCAAGAATCGAACGTTATCCTCATTCACGAATGAACTCATTATGCCCACGTTTTTCTTGCTTGATGTGCTGAGCCAACTTTTCACTTTATGATGTGTTGGTGTTGGTACCGGTACAAGGTCCCAATCAGGAACGGCCGGGTCCACAGCCCTGACATGGCAAGCCATGCGCCGTAGCCATGTAGGCTCGTACCGTTTTGATCGCACGGTTGTGTATGTCTCGCGGAGTAGAGACTCTTCATGGAGCACAATAAAAACAAGAGTGAAGCGTAATGATTCCTAAAGCACGGACAATTCCTTCAAACAAGACTTCTCGACTTATCCACGTCTTGAACGCCCCACAAATTATGGTTTGGCTACTAACGGCCCTCATGAAAACAGATCTCGTCTAAGACCCTGGGTGTGTTGATATCATTTTATGCAGTTCCCAAATCCTTTCGCTTTGTAGTGTTGAATTTAGGTTTGAACCGTTGACCCCACAAGCTATTTTGCGTATACGTTCCGTTTAGCACAATCGATATAATAATTTCAAAGCCTAGAGTACCATATCTTTGGGTCTGACACAGACTTAATTACGGTCGTCGGCTGGGGGCCAACCTTGAAATACCACTTATCCTCGCTGTTCGTCGACGTCCTCATCAAAATCCTATTTTTCTCCCACTTCATCTCCGTTAACTTCGGACACGTCTTAATCCACCCCATCATGAGATCCAACACATCCTCCAAGGCACAGGGTCCGAGTTCATACACCGTCTGAATCCCGGGGAGATTCAAGGAAGGAACATGGATCCACCTTTCTCCTTCATCGCATGCATACCTTCCAACGGGCATCTGAGGGTTGTAGATGTGCAGCGTCGTCATGTTGACAAATCCGTGGAAGAACATAGAGGGCATGCTCACAATTGCGGCCTAGCGAACCATTAGATGGCGAAAGGTGCGGATTGACAAACTTGAACTTACTTCGTCGGGGTACCCGTCGTGGTACTTGATTCTGAGCTCCCTGAGATCACTAAATAGCTGTGAAACCGCATAGAGAACCTCCATATCCCATACAGCGATCGTGATATCTAGCTTGATGAGATTGGGGCTTCTCGCTGCCACTACCTCCAGGGCGGGAGTAACCTTGCCGACGTCAAGGTCCAAATCACTTAACACCAGTTCCTGCAACGGACCGGTGATAGCTCCTATCAAAGTGGCTGGCCCTGTGTACCTCTCCAAGTAAGAGAAGTCACCACAGTCGATATCACCGGCGACATATCGCTCCGTGGGACCGTACAGTCCCAGCTCAGTGATCCCCCCACATCCGTCACAGAGGAACTTTCCAAGGTGTTGCTTTGTCACTTCGTGGATGTCCAAGAACGGATGTCCGCCGTCTGGGAGAGGATCCGAGAAATGTATGTTCACTTTATCGATCGTAGAGGAAAAGGAATATTCTCGTGTGTAATTCGCAAAGAAGGACGAGACAGTATTATCCCAACTGATGGTCAGTGAACGAAGGGTAGCAGCAGTGGCAAATTGGAGGTGTGGTGTAATACCCTCTGGGGAGAACATTTGGTCATCGTGTGGCGGAACTGTGTGGAACGTGCGGTTGTACAGGAGGGTTAGGTCTGTGATTGGAAGCCCAGGAAAGCGACCGTAGCCTTTGCAGAAAGGGAGTGGCCTCTCAACAAAGATGCAGTGCTTGAAAGACAGCGTCCGGAGGTTTTGCATGCCTCCAAGCAGGTAGCATACTGATTCGGATTCTGGGAGAGCGCAGTTCGCAAAAGAAAGGGTATCGAGTGAGGTGAAAGATAACAGTCTGGTCCAGACGCGGATATACGCGCTTTGAGGACGTACTTTGAAGTTGAGTGGCAGCATTCTGTCGAGGGTTACCGAGGTTGGTATCTCGTGCATGTTGTCGTCCCTTCCACACCAGAATGGTGTATTGGAGTTGAAAGAGATTATATCGGTGTAGCGAATGTGCTTGTATAGCTCTCGGATAGCCAGGTTTCTGAATCTAGTGCATGTCTGCATTACATGAAAGAGATCCTTAGGATCGTCGAGTTGCTGGAAGATATGAATGAAATTTTCGTTCACTAGGGTGCCCACAAGTTCTGGTAGGGAACGGGGGCGAATGGCCGACATGGTGAGTAGTCTGGCTGTCAACAGCAAAAGAAGTTGGCGCGAAATTTTCTCAGGGATGATCGTAATTAGAAAGGGACCGCCGCGGCGCCTAAATCCAATGAAAGGTCTCGGTCCGAAGTACCGCCATAGCTCCCTACCATACTTGGGTCAAGCCGGTATTCTAAACTCTTTGTCTTATTGTCTTTTCCCAGTTCTCAGTACGGACTACAATGGGAGATTTGAATACGATCACAACAAGGATACTTGTCTTCAGCACTATGTAGTATGTTGTGCTAAAATCCATCGTTTGGCCCTTTAATGAAGCCATGGCTTGTACTATTCACCATCCAAAGAGCCTGCTTCGTTTGTGGAATAGTCTTGTTCGATGTATGCTAAGACGCATACATATAAAGCGATCCGATTCTCAAATAATCATATACATCCATGCTATATCTAAGAAGAAGCTCCCATAACAATGGGTTTCACCTTTTGGAGCTTCGAAATGGTATCGTCAGACAAGTCGAGATGAGCCTTCACGACGTCTGGAGGAGTCAAAGCCAACCACTAATGAAAAATTATAATCAGCGAGTCAGAAAGTAATCGCATAGAAGTGAGAACTCGCCTGATTAAGACTGATATCTTCGAAACGATCTGGGGAGAACATGGCGTGAGACTCGAACAAGCTAGTTTGAGATAACCTTCTTACCTGACTTGAATATTTCAAGGAACTTTAATGTAGAGTTGCCAATGTTCTCGACGTAGTGACCTGGTTAAGGATTTCATTAAGAGTTGACTGTATATCAAGCTGGTTAGCGTACCCATAGCAGTAGGAACATAGCCTAGTAACGTCTTTGATTTAGCGAGAACAAACAGATATCCCAGTCATGTGTCACGTACCAACATCACCAGGTTGATAGTTGAATGTTCTGGCGGTGCCTTGGGAAGCAAAGATCGTAACCCTAGCTTCTCCCTCGCTGAACGAGAGAAGACATCAGAATAGATGCTTAAAAATACAGACCCGTACTGACAGGAAGAAACTCCATTCATCCTGAGTCGGGTGCCAATGAAGTTCCCTAAAGTTATATACAGTGTTAGACAAGTAGATGTGGCACGGGCGAACAAAAATAATCCCACCGAATTGCACCAGGCTCAACAGTAACTTCCGCCATAGCGATCGTAGTTGACACTGTGAAGGTTGTAGAATCCACGATTTTCACGGAGCCGCCGGAAGTCACAGTAGCATTGGCCGTCGATAGAGCGAACGAAAAAGGATTGGGTACTGTTCCTTGAGGACTAACCGGACCAGAGTCATCTGAGCCAGGGAGCGCTGTGTGAAGAAGATGCGATCAGTGATCCGAGGGATCGTGGTTCAATTGATGACAGTGATACGGACTGCTTGGGAAAATGTACAGCTCTTCTTTGGGAATATGCGCGAATGCAGAGCTATCGACCTGGAAGTTCCTCTCGATGACTAGTAGGCGGGGTTCAGCTGTACAATACGGATTAAAGCAGTAAGATTAATCCACCTTCCATGGGAACATGGGCAAGCCAGTCCGTCAACTATAGATTGCTAAGTCAACGCGCGGTCCAACGTAAAAGGTATCACACGAACCAGGAACGTAGAATCTTCACTGAAATCTCCGTCATCAAACACCTAAATCGTAGATGAGTGCCTTAGTCAAAGAAGCTGAGTAAAGAACTTCACCAAAAGAAATTCTGAACCATCGGGGTCGTCGCCAGTTGCTTGTAGGGAGTGAGGAATACCAGCGGGGAAATACCACAAATCGCCAGGGCCCTGGTAATAAATCATGAACGGAAGTCTGAGAACTTTTGTCTCCGTGCGACTCACGACGGTGGCTAGATAGTTGCGGCCTTGAGCATCGACTGCGGATACTTGAGTGGAACCCTTCACCAAGGAGGTCAGGAATGTAATCACGAACACACAATGCTACACACCTTCAAAACGTAGGCCCACTGTGGTATACCAAAAACATGAGGTTGGAATACGTTTCGGTCATCATATAAGCAAACACGTACTTCGGCAGTCTTATGCCAATGCAATTCGCTAAGCGTCTTCTGTCAGTATCGCGTTCCCACAGCACCGACGTGTAGGTACCTACCGGATAGCTCCAGGTTCCAGCCGCATGTTGACGCCAGCCATTTCTAAAGGGGTGTATCAGATGGCAGCGCAATACATTAGCGATCACAATACCTGTAGCGAGCGGCATCACACCGACTGTCATGTATTAGTCAATCAAGAAGGGTAGACATGTTCATAAACCAACTTACTATTCTCCTGACGCGCCCAACCACCCGTCTGCAGCCGGTTGTGACTAAAGGACATAGGCCATTTCGCGTTCATACTAGGTCCAAGGTAAGAATGAATTAAGCAATGAGAATCATAGAAAGGCTTACACAGTACCCGAATCAGTGGTTGGAGGTGCCATGAGATCAGGATTCTGTAGGTCGATGGGGATGTTATCGGGGCCTATGACGGAGGCGCCCAGGGTGCCGCGTTCAGGTTTGACGGTAGACGGGTCACTGTCCTCGCTCCAAAGCACCTCGTTGGGGTCCGTGGTGACGTACTCCACTGTCGCTGTAGACGAAGCTGCAGACACGGTGGAGCTCGCAGCCTACAGTAGCGTTACTAGCAACTGTGCCGCTCGCCGACGCGGGGGCGCAAGTGACGAGCTTGACGAACACCAGGAGCAAAACGAAGGGGGATGCTTTGAACATCGTTACACCGTGTAGAAGAACTCGATCAGGGATGGACCTCGAGACGGGGACTCCAAATTTGGCTAGAGATTTTAAGTGCTTCCACATTGGCTTGGCCGACGCGAATACTGTCCAGCGGGGTAATTGTCCGGATGAGAGTTAAGCCTATATGGAGTGATTACGCGGATGATTACGCGTCGAAGTGTTCACAGACATAAGGTCGTTGAATAGAATAAAGCTGTCATGTCCATATTTGCTACCATTTCGAGGGACAACACATGTGGCGAGTCGCTCGGAAGGGGAAATGTGGAGAAAAGATGTAAACTTTTGGTCTGGTGACAGGGGAGGACAGAAAGGGATCCAGACCAACGAAATCACCCCTGGAAGGGCACTGAGAGGGAGACTCTGCAGGGAAGACTCGGACGGAGTAAAGATGAGCGTTTTAAATGCTCAATAGACCGGATAACGCTGTTTGCCTATCAAAGGGCGAGTCAGAAGTCATCACAGTTTAATCAGAAATCTCACGACGGTCCGTTCTAAAAATGTAACTGTACCTGAAGGCGAATCGGTAATTCTGACTACTGTAGAAAGTCATCAGTTGAAAGGTATTACTTGGATATTTGACGTTCTTCTAGTCACCGATTTTGCTTGGAACTTGCTTGAGAGAAACGTTTGAGGGAAAACGAATCCCAACTTCTATCATAGACCATACCATCTGCTGTTGATCTATTTATAGCTGCACTCTAGCACTCACATCTACTCTCGGTGGATTGATAATGACATCCACATGCACCTCGCGCCCCTAGAATTCCTCACACAGCGCAGTAACCTTCCATTCCCTCTTTCTGACCGGTGCGTAGACCGCGTTTCTCATGAGTTCGTCCTCGATATCGGCATTTCTAAAGTCAGGAATATTGCGTAGGGTGCATGGTCTGCAGGTTTTTACAATCCCGCGACTTGGTCCAATGACCTTTATATCCATCAAGCTTACTTGGTCCTTCATGCAACAAAGCAACGCTGTATTCTCTGGTGTGGTTAGCATTTGCCGCAAAAGATAACGTAGCTCGTACTGCGCAGGGCCACAAGGTCGAAGTTCGGAAAATCCAGATCATCATGGTCTATTTATACAACAAAGATGAAACAACGGGGAGGATGTAATCGTAACTTAGTACGTACCCAATAGCAGCCAATGGTGAAGGCTGCACGACTGAAACATGAGGCTTTAGTCTTTTTCCATACCATTTTGGGGCTTCCTTCCTTGCACACGAGGTCCATCGCGAGCAATTCAGCGGTCCCTTCAATGTACAGGGTCGGGGAAATTATTTTTAATTGAGGCGCGTAATGCCGATTTTAGAAGTATAATCACGTCACGATAAAAGTGAATCATTTACGAAGTTCGTCAATTTTTAGTAGCACTCTTTTTGTCTCTCGGGCTCGGGGCCCACGAGGTCCAGCCTTATCTGTCGTATGAATGGTATCGGGGGTGAAGCCGCCGAGGCGCTAACGAGAATTCCATTTTCAGCGATTGTTGGTAATTAAGGGAGCTGAGAGCCTACCAACTTGAATTGATAAAAGCGCATGCTTTAATACCTTATCAACATTGAAGGGATCCCGGATGGTTGCAGTGGTATCATGACAACAGAGAACCAGAGGGTTAGAACAACCGCTACACAACAATGCCGTCCGACAAGGGGGTTTCTCTGACTGAAATGCGATTCACACTTGACTGTCGAGGTCAAGGTTTAGCGATGCGTCGGAAGCAGTAGACAAGCAAAGTGAGCGTTTTGGCAAACACAGTGACTTGACCGCCGGCCCGGTCACCGAAGCCACTTCTTCCGACGACTAATAAAACCAACTTCCTTCCTTCCTTCATATTGAATGCCATTCGGATGGCGATTTTAGGAATCTAATTTGTCTCACACTTATTTTTGAATTTGATTCGAAGAGTGTTTTATATCGCTGCAAGTAAGGGTCAGTCTGACGGACGTCGAAAGAATCATTTGAAGAAAGCACCGAGGTGATGGAAGGAATGTAGAAGTTGCTCAAAATTCAATTATTGCTATTTTCAAAAATGATGAGATTCTCGAAAAAGAAAAAAAGTTTTGACACGCCCAATGCCAGCCCGATCTCAGCCTGCACCATCTGAGACAACCCATGACTATCGACGAAATAACCTATGACATCGATTGTCATAGCCCTCTGAGTGTGGGCTCATAGGTCTTTTAGCAGGGCACAAAACTTTTTAATTTTTTTTTTCGGAATCTCATCATTTTTCAAAATAGCAATAATTCAAATTGATTTGCAGAGTTTGTTTATGATATATCTGAATATTGCACTACATCTAATTAAAGCCTGCATGAATCAATCAGCTAATGCTTGTTTCAAAAAACCGTGTGAAGGATGCATACCCCGCTATTTCGGATCTGTACAGGTTTAAGTACAGCTCCTGAGTTGAGTGCATGATGGGAGGAAGCTGCTATTTCGCTGCCTTCCGCGTGGATTGCAGTATTTGGGTTTTGAGGATGTCATCTACTATAACACTTGATTTATAGGTGTAGGGTTTTTGTAGGAGATGAATTGATTAAACTAACTTAAAGGGAGGAGAGAGAAGTTAAATATTGGATTACTGAGAGATCCCCATCCACCTTCATTTCTACTACATGCCAAACACAGAGAACAAGTCTGGCTCCTTTCTTTGCTAGAGATATTCAAATAAAAAAATATTAATATGGGCACATGGTGTAGTTGGTTTATCACGCCCGCTTAGCATGTTAGTAGTTGCGGGAGGTGTTGGGTTCAATTCCCAATGTGTCCAACAATTTTGGTCCGCTTGGTCTGTCATCCGAATCTTCGTAATTGTTAGGAATCAGCGTATCGACTTGCAATGAATTGGGTGTTCAATGTTACTACGGAGAATGTAGGTTCTAAAATTTAAACCTGCGGTTCATGAGATTGATTTTTCAGCCTCTTCTCGGAATCGGAGTTTCCGTTTTTATACTCCGACACGACCTTCTTCGCTTTATTAATTCTTTTTTGCCCAGAGTTGCAGGGCTGTAGATTTCTGTGGAATCTGGACCGACGTTACCTTCGAAAATCTCTTGGCATTCTCGATGCATAAAGCTTAAAGGATCGCTCTCGTGCATGCTTCAGGGACGCTAAATTTGGAACAGCGCCGGCACTGCTGCCGTTGCCGACGAGTAGTCATACACCCAGGTCGGTTGCCGTTCCCCTTCTCAGAATCTTGAATATATTGAAATCCGAACAACCAGCGCTCTGTTCCATGAGAGGTATACATCAACATAGATGCTCGTAACCTGGACTGTCATTTTCCCTCACCTCAGTGATATACTCACTCATGGGAGAAAATGCCTTGTAAGACGATTAGCGCCGGGCGTGAGTCTTCGTGCCCACTGTACCTTTGCCTCGTTTCTTGCGTCGTACTCTCATGAACGTCCTCAAGCAATCTCTTCTTCCCCAAGAGCGCGCGGAAATACGGATTCGGCACTACCCCCGTCGACAAGCAGCGAGTGCAGCCGAAGTCCTGCTAAGCGAAAAATGCCTGGGTATATCTATTGTCCAAGCCACAGGCTGTGATATGGAGTACCTTGCCATTGCGACACCTGATGAGGTCGCCGTCATCTCACTCGCAGATAAATACAGTATTTTCCCTAAGGATGAAGCTCTTCGCACCTTACTCTCCGCGAAGCAGCCTATACTTGCTGGGTTCAATATGCCACAACTTTCAATCCGCCTCTTTTGTCAGTTGAACTATCACGTTCATGCTATCGACCTGTCTACCTTTAGATCGAAATCTCCCAGCCATCCCTATTATCCGTCGAAGCTCATCTCTGAAACAATGGCGACCAGATTCGATGGTTTCGCTGTGGATAGTCTTTGGAACGACAGGTTGAACGAGGCGATAGATGAAAGCATTCGGAAAGTTTGCCTTCGAGCGTGGATTTCTGTTATGTGAGATTTTCTATATCTATGCATGCCGTTACGCTCATGCATAGGCCATAGTATTCTCGCTAGGAATCTGAATGTTGTTCCCCTTATCAAGCCAATCGAGACTCGATGGCTGAAGCGGGAGGTGAGCTATACTCTCCCTTCGATACTCCAGACCATATAGTGACCAGCATAATCCCAAAGGTTCTTGAATGCTTAGGCCGTCTGTTATCCGAGGCCGACACTTTACAGCGCGCCAAACCCACGGAGATCTCCAATGACTTTTCGGAAGCGAACATGGATAGCGATGGCCGACTGACAGTGCACAATTCTCGTTTCAATACACGCATACGCCCAAGTCCACAGGCACGTAGCTCATGTCTTAAATTTGAGTCGTTTCTGATGTTATGTTAAAAGCTGGCGGTTATCTTGACCACGTCGGACGGCCACCAGTTCCAAGGATCACCCAGAAGATCTCATGGAAAACAAACCGAAATCAAGGTCCCTAGTCGCTTCTACGGAACAGTGGCGAGTGTCAAAGTCATAGGGAGGGAAGGAGGGACGAATACGGAGAAAGCACGAGATGAGCTTCTACTACACGCATTACAGGGCGAGTGTCATCTCAGGCATTCCAAATTCGTGAGGATGCTCTGGTTTCCAAACGATAAAGATGCGGAAGATTACCTCGCTGTCGATCCGATACCACCCCTTCTGGCTGGGAAGCTGAACGAATCGCAGAAAAGAGTAGTATCAGCCATGGTGTCTAACAAGCACATTGTCGTAGTCCATGGTATGGAGTCATTCACTTAATACGAGGCTGCGTAGGGTGTTGATTATATACATCTCTCCAGGTCCACCTGGAACCGGTAAAACATCGACCATATCTGCAGCGGCTATGACCTGGGATCGGATAAAATCACCAACTTGGATTGTAGCTCATTCGAACGTTGCTGTGAAGAACATTGCAGAAAAACTAGCGTCGTCCAATGTTGACTTCAAAATCATCGTGTCCAAGGAATTCTACGTCGAATGGTGGGCAAAGGCCTCGTTTTGCTGTGCATTCTCGTTGACTTCTCATTGGACAGGCACGAGCATCTTTACACCAAGATTGAGGATAAACTGTTTCGTGGGGACGAGCTTCCGAAAAATCCGAAGGAGCTGGGATATGTCATCGGCTCATCAAGCATCATCCTGTCAACACTCAGTATGCTCTCAAATCCGGCGCTGGACCAAAATGGGATGTTTAACCTTATGCCGCCGAGGAATCTTGTAGTTGACGAAGCTTCTCAGATCAATGTCTTCGAGTATATGGTCGGTGACAATCCATCTTAAGAACCAAAAATGACTAGACTTCGTCGCAGCATATATTCTTCAAATTTCGCAACGTGATGACAAAAGTCTGCTTCTTTGGAGATCCAAAACAACGTCAGAGTTCCTTTATAACTTTGTGTCGATAGAATGTAACTTATCTCACGTTTATTGCTTAGTACCGCCGTATGGGAAAGATAAGGCCTCGTCGATGCAATGTATCTTTGACATTGACCATCTGAAGGACGAGTCTCACTTCTTGAACATTCAGTGTGAGCATTCTTCACAGTGGCTCCGGTATCAGGCAGCTCATCTTCGCAGACCGCATGCCCCATCCACTTGGCGAATTCATTTCACGAGAAGTCTACAATAATCGACTTCGCTCGGAGCACGGGATAAAAGATCAATCCTGTATCGCATTTATCGACACTAAAACAGGAACGGAGGAAAATTCAGGTTTTAGTTGGCGGGTACGTTATTTTTCCTTTTACTTCAGAGAAGTAATTCATTGATGTCCCGTTTTAGAACGCCGCAGAGATTCGCACAATCGTCCATTTGGTCAAGTCATATTACAAAGACCGAAACTTTTGTATTATCACGCCGTACGACGCGCAAAGAGCCGCTATTGAGAGAGAGCTCAAGAATAACAACCTTCCATGGAAGAGTGTGTTCAATGTCGATAGCTTTCAAGGTAATCTGACATTGCGGTGTGTGTACGAACTCCAAACTTATGCTAGATGTGCAGGAAATGAAGCGGATATCGTGTTGGTTTCTGTTGTCCGATGTCGGGAACCCGGATTCCTACGTTCCGACCAGCGAATGAACGTCATGCTTACACGATGCCGACGAGGACTCGTTATCGTCGCAAGCCGCACCTTCCTCTCGGGGCCTGGCCAATCGACTCTCGTTGGTAAACTGGCTCGTGGTAGACGTTGGATAGAATGGACCGCTGTCTCAGAACAGCGTGTAAACCTCCCTGATGCCAAGGGAAAACACGCACCTCCTCAAATATCTCCTGAAACACTTCCACTGGATGGAAGAGGTCGAAATTTCGATGTCAAAGCACTTTTCCAGAGTCGATATCCTAGTTCTGAGGCTATCTCTTCATGTGCCAGAACTTTACCGGCCACTGGACCGCATCTTTCGCAGCACTTTCCTGTATTATCACTGTCTTCCAGTAGTGTAGGAAGTGCAAGATTGCACAATCATCCGGGACACGCCATGATACCAGCTCGTATAGCTCCCACGAGAGTCCCACCGAGTTCTGCACTACAAGGCATTTCTAGCTCGACACAGGCACGAGTACCAATGGGGTTGAAAGCGTCATCAGCTCATGATACTGAAGGTGACTGGACCGTTGCCGTGGGCCGGAAGAGAAAGGTTCACGCCGGTGGTGTTGTGATAATGCCCAAGATGTCTGCAAATAGGTTCGCGCTTTTAGCGCCGAGGAAAGGAAACAAGTAACCTAGAGATATGACATTGCGAGCACACGGACACTCCATAATCCAAATTTTCATGCGTAGAGATCATGTTATTCCTGTGTCATCTAGTAAATTTCTTGAAACAGTTAGCTCGTGGCCAATACCTCAGGCGCTCACGCAGTTGCATCAATTCATTTAACTAATTTACGCGAACTCTGAGGAAAGCTTAGAGATACTAACATTATCGTTAAAAAGAGGTAAGGACATAGTCGCGGCCCTTATCGACTAAACAGTGTTAACTACCCTTGCATGCCCGGCTACCCTAGTTGTATTACACTTGCAGATCTACAGTCACATTAAATCTACCGCGACTTGTATGGGCGAGTTGCTCACGGTAAGGTTATGATCCTTCCATTGTCGCATCTGATTACGACCATTTGCGTACCCTAGTGGCATGTCAGCTGAAGAATTTTAAATAACAATACTTTGCTCACATCTGTCATCCGACTGGTGTTTTCAACGACGCCTCTAACGACTTGATTGAAGGAATTGTAGAAAAAAATAGACGAGCCGATCTGGATAAACAACATGCAGTGAGTATCCATGAAAATGTACTGAGAAACGAACTACGAGTGCGTTCATAGACAAGATAATTTGCGAGGGGTAGGATTGAACTGAGCAGTTGCACACACTAGTACCTTTATATAAGGGATTTGGAACCAATTCCCTGGGAGACCAATTATGAATACTGGGAGAATGTAACGAAGGCATATGATTGACCTGAAATAATATGGGAAAACCTCCGTATACAGGACGGCCTGGGGAAAGGTACCCAAGAGCCAAACAGGGTCACTGGCAGTACTGAATGGAACGAATTCCCACAGAAATTAAACAACCTACGCATTACCCTTCCGCAAGTTGACAAAGCATATTAAGCAAGCAGATGTCGTCGCGATGCAGGGCCTTGCGGGATTATCCGTTTGGGACCTTCCGTTTCCAGTCCGGACTTGTGCTGAGCGTGTCCCCAGTCCGACTGTAACCCTGAATGACTTCAATTATCGATATTACAACCATGATTGCCAGAAATCCCGGCTCGGAGAATGGGTTCCGTACCGGAGATTAGAAGCACTTTCATCTACGTTTCAGGTAGGGAGGAAGGGTCGGACTCAGAAAATCAGGCCTTTGACTCGGCAACTTCGACTCGTATCCACAGAATAGTGTTATCACCATGTGTGGATGTAAGGGTTGCCTACTCTTCCAAGCTAGAACTAAGATGTGCCTAGTCAGCGCTTAGTCTGAAGATCCGGTGAGCGGCACAAACGCGATGGATCGGTGAGACGCAGCGCCTTGGTGACTCGCCTTCCTCGAGAATCGCCGATCATTTTGTCGATCATTAGTAATGTGAGAGACCACACTCGGAGCACAGTCCACCTCTACCATCAAAAGATGGATGAAATGAAGGAGGCAAAGGCGGAGAGCTATTTCCAATACTCCGGGGGGGGTCATAATTGCCGTAGATCTGACTACCTCTGTCTTGATCTGGTGAACCGATGCATCCAGCAACGGATCCATTAAAACAAGAGGATGAGGATGTCCTTGGGGCAAGAACATTCATGAAGCTTGATACTGCAGAACATGTAAGAAGACAGTTACAAAAAATAGGCGAAGAAAGAACCACAGGTGTCGCCATTTGTATTTTTGAGGAACGAGCAGGATTCTTCCAGGTGAGAGGAATGCCCTAGATCCAGAGTTTCACGTGGGATTGGATTCGTTGACTGTAACATCTCATTTAGCGCCATCTAGTTTAGGTCGGTGTCATCATCGATTCGCCCCTCTTGGCTCGGGATCCAATGCAGAGGATACTGTGGATTAAGCATGCAGAGCGCAGTGACGATCTTCATGCAAGACAGAGAGACTTTGTTACCACCATCTTTCTGCTCAAAGCCAGCAACGATGCGACGATGAGCAGATTTGTAAGGTGTGTTGATTTCTGCAGTTTTCTGATGTCAAAATCTGGGAGAGTAAAATTGACAGTCATGACGTACACGACCCTCGTTTGAGCTTCTCGTAGTCCCCAAAGGGATGGAGGGTGTACACGTAACGTACATCTAAAAAAAACTCAAAGAATCCTGCGAGACTGCGAGGACTCGGAAGAACTGTAGGAGCATCAAAATGTACCTTCGCGACTAATGTGACGGAGTCGAACATATCATTCGAAATACTCACATACAGACATTCAGTTCTCCAGTAAGCAGTTTCACTAACGTGACGTCTCTGATTGCAACATAATGAGGTCAATTCATTTAATAATAGAGAAAGGAATTTAAAGGAAGACTGCGTACATTGTTGTCACCGTCATGTGCGCGTGCCGGGCCAACTTTTCTGCCTCTTTGTTTCGAGCAGCGAGTAGACCAGAAGAAGGGAGAGCAAGTCCCATCGCAACTTGCAATCAAGCTGTTGAAACCACGTGCCGCGGCGCCGCTGTCATTAAGGCAACGCTGACAGCGAGCGTCTGTTATGACCCAATACAATCACCCGCTCTCGGTTTGTACAACCTCCTCTAATGGGTATCGAGTCTCCACTGTAATCTGTGAGTATTCCTCCGAAGTTATCCGCTATCTCTTCTGTCAGGCTTTAAATCTCCTTCCTCTAAATTTGAGCATGGCACAAGGCAGCCACGCTTTCACGCCTGGGAACAATTAGCAGCAAAGACCAGGTAAAAAGCCGCTGAAGAAGAAGGGAGTTTATTTACAAACTTGCATGATGATATCAATAAAAATGTAGCGAACATGATGCGTGGATTTCCGGTTATAACCTAAGGTCATCCTCGTCGTGGTTTCCCGCTTCTTGGCACGAGTGACGTAGCCCTTGATCCTGGCTCAGTGCTTATATCAGTCTCGCGGTATGCAGGTGGTTCCGCGTCGTGATAAGTAAAATTTGAAGACGATGCCAACTCGTCATTGTTAGATGGAACAAAAGATGCTGTGGTGGGCGGAGGGAATGGAGTAGCCGCCGCACAATTCCATCTACTTTGTTGTGAGCTCAAGCCTCCGCTTTGCTCCCTAAGATGTCGCATGCATTTCCTGCGTCGAAAGTACAGGACCAGTCCGAGAACCACCACCGCGACAGTGAGGGGAACAGCGATTGCAGGTGCGACAATGGAGGCAAGATACGAGGATGATGAGGATGATGAGGACGGATCTGCATTTGCAATCCCAGTCGTATCAATCACAGAAGAGGCGGTAGTCGATGTAGAGTCGTACTGTCCGTTATCATACCTGATGTTATTGAACACCAATCAATCAATCCGCGCCCAAATTTATGAAGGGATGAGGCAATTACGTATAAATGATCGCATCAAGGAGGATCAAGGACTGTTCCCCACCGTTGATGCCGTTTTGTAGCTGGAAAGAGTGAAGGCCGGCGTTGATGGACGTGTTCCTGTAAACAGGTACGTGGTACTCGAAGCTCTCGGCAGAGTCGTTCGGTATATCCCGCCCGAACTGACCTACTAGCACGTCATCGATGTAGAATCGCATATCAGCATGCCCGTTGATAGGAGGGCTGGTAGAATTCTTGGCTAATATGCACTGAACATAGATAGCCACTCCTATATAAGCAGAAAAAAAAGCTGAGCGGACTGGGCAAGCTAAGCAACTGTAAGACACTCACCACTAAAAGAAAGAGACACATTTTGCGGCTGATTCTTGCCTGGGTAGTACTACGAAAATAGGTCATAACAAATCAAGAAAGGAGAAACTATGATACGTACTGTTGCATCATGCCATGTCCCGTTGACGAGGTTGTTGATATCCGGTTTAGCTGAACATGGCTGACAATCGGCACCATCGGCCCATGAATTCAAAGGGGAATAGACCAACCCCGTGCTTCGATCGTCAAGAGTAACGTTCACTAGTTTTGCATGCACGGTCGCTATGAGGTAGAGCGGAATAAACTGGAAGACATGCATGCCTAACATCTGAGAAAAGCAGAATAGTGTACAAACAGAAAATATGTTCAGCGCCGCTGCCGACACTAAGATATCAGCACGTATGAAAAATGATTGATTTTAGGGGCTCACCGAGAACTGAGTGGATAAGGAAGGGGAAAGGAAGAAGAAACCATTTTCATGGGAGATATAAACAAGAACCACGACATGTCCCTAAGCTATGTAGACAGGAGAAGCTGATGCCTGTCACTCAGGAGGGTCCTGGTCGCATCAAAACCCAAGTTTCATTTGTGTCTTTGCTTGGGAGGAAGGGTGAATGATCAAAACATTGATCAAAACCACCCTGTAATTACAAAAAATTTAATAAGATATTGATGAGGAAGGGAGAATGTTTCGAGAACGAAAGTTGGAAAAAAGCGTTCGACGAGAGAAATTCCAACGAGCCGTCCTGCCTGCCGCAATACTGGAAATCTGCCTCTGTCAATGAACACCGACATACCCATCAAATCACTATTCCTTGGCTAAAGGGAATGATGGGAATGATACTCCTGACGGTATCCGCTTCTTCCTAAGCATCATGAGAGATTCATGATCTGACCAGCAACTAAGTCGTCAATGCGCCGACAAACATAACTGGAGTTCAAATATTTCCCTTCGAGCATTCAAAAATGGAACTATTTATCCTTTGGCGTGATTGGCCTGTTCAACGATTCGGAAGCAGTATCTTTGCGGTCATGGGAGCGGATCAAGATGGGATTCGGGATTTGCCGAGACCTTTCTTACCCGTTATATTAACTTCCGTTTACCGGACGATCTTCATGGTATCTCGGTGGCAGGGCTTTTATAGTTGCCCAGAAAACCTGCGGTATGCCTTCTGCAGCGAATGGAAAGTCCTATTGTATTCGGAGGTAAAGAATTATCTTGAAAATGAGATGCCGGTTCGTGTGCTTGTGACATCTGGTATCAATATGCAGAATGAGCTGCTTTGTGAACCTATCATACTTATCTACGCTAAGCTACTAATAACAACGCTTATGTGCCCCGAGCCAAAAGCATGCATCTTCCCCACCGGAGTTCAGTCCTTGCATTTGACCCCATCATTACTATGCGGGAAAGATCTGTCTAGATAACTCTCATGGATGATACTTAGATTCGTAATCTTCTCCCAGTCTGACGAAACCATGACCCCTGACATCTTTAATCATTCATGTATCAGACGCGTACCCGGGAAGTCCGAAAGACATTTCGAAACACCGTTCCCCCATGCCCTAGATCGTTTGTTCTACCAACACTTCTCCTCCGTCGTATTGGTAGCAGCGAATACTACGACTCTCGGTCGTAACCAAACTCCGGGATCGTATTGAATAGATAAGCTGAAAGTCTGATATAGGGTTGAACTTCTGTTTGTCTTTTTAATATCCAATGCTCGCCTAGCTACAGATTTTCTCAATGTTAATTGCACAATGATGAATTTCGATAGGTTCCGATAACCTTGCAGTGGCTCATCCTCCAAGTCATTCCATCGACTAGCCTGCAGTCGTTCAGTAAACAACCTTGCCAGCTCCTCCGTGGGCATATCTTCTCTTCTCTGAGAGGGCATAGAATTCCACAGATCTACAACACTGCGAAAGGCTTGTGAGGTCGTCGAGTCAGTCCGTATATCCGATCTTCTCTCCGCAACATGCTCTCCCACAACCACCTGAAGACGGCTCCCCGCTTACGCTATTATCGGCCACGGATGGCAATACCTAACATATTTCGCTTGATTCATAGGATACCCTCTTGGTCTCACCGACGAGGCTGCCAGTGTAGTTCATGTAACCATGAACAATATAAGTATTTGTGAGCAATGCTCGTTCACATCAAGGGGGAACGTCGTTTCTTCGACGATGCAAGAGAAGGACGCCCGTGATTATGACTGCGAGGACGGCTAGTCCACCCTCGACAGAGTATACATAATTATTACGGAAGATAAGCACCCCAATGGTATCGCATACCTCACAACCCATAGTTTAGCTATTATCAAAAGGGCATCGTCAGTTATTTGGAGAAAGCTTCCAGGAAAAAGAACTAACGCAAGGTATAGTGAGAGCGTACTGACAACGGGTTCAGAAATTCGGTATTTACGGATTGTGGTGGCACAAAGCGTTGCTTCAACGTTTGCTTGTACTTCGTAAGAAATTCGGGAATTCGGGCATTTGTGCTATAAAACCCTGCCAGGCGCCTCGTATGCCGAACCTGAGGATATTAATCAGATGGAAGCACGATGCAGGAAACAGGCCCGGGGTGAAACGTACCGGTGGATTTTCCATTGTATCGGAGCGTGCCAACTGCTTTCTCCAGAGCCGCACTCGCAATACAAATGCGGTCGTCCTTGGGCGACGTCATGTTTGTGTTTTTGGTTTTTGTATCAACATGTGTCGTCGTCAGCCAGATAAGGGGCGGTAAATTTCCAGACAAAGAGCGTGAGGTCCTTCGCAACACAGGGAGTCGCTATAAAGAGCGCCAACAGCATCCACTTCATAAAGGCACCGTGAAACTAAAGTCCCGGACGGGAATGATAAAGAAGAATGATAGGTGATGCACTTGGAAATCGTTAGAAGGTCCTGAATAGAGTAGCAGTGATACCGGACGCAAGTTCCACGGTCTTGGACTCGAAAGCAATGCCGCGGGAAGAATGCCATCGGGTGTTCACTGTTCAATATTCAGTTGTTAAGTGGTAGTAAGCCAAGAAGAAGCCTGGGCGATCAAAACGGGCATTCGAATAGCCAATAGATTCGATAGACTCGATAAGGCGAGCCGCTGTCAGTAGTAGCCAGGAAGGTGTGCAAGAAGAGGCACATCAGCCTGGTTGGGATCCTGGATCTCGCCAATGGTACTAGTAAGAACGCCCTTGAACAAAATAGAAGCATACACATGTAAAATTGCGTAGCAAGGAGTATTTCTTGGCCTCGTCAACGGTTGGTGACTACGCCATGTTCTTGGCTGCTCTTGAGCTTGAATCTTGGTTCAGGAAAGCGCGGTCAGACCTGCCCTCATGACGTCACCTGACCCTGATTTTGCCCGGACTTTTTCCGGCTTTTGCCGTGCTCGTCTTTTCTCAGGTTTCACCACTATATTATTATATACGGGCATCGCAGTCCTGGCTTCATTCGGACAATGCAAATGTCAATTTTTAACTTCCAAGCAGCATGCTATTGAATCCTCCGCGAGAGAATGCTGACCTGTGCGGATTTTTCTCTTGGCAGAGCCGATCAAACTCCATCGATTCTCTCGTGTCAACGGTTCATCGGTAACTCTGGCCCGTAAGTCAGTCTCTCTTACACAGTCATCATCAAGTCTAGTATTCTTTGGATCTCGGAAGTTCTGAAATATAACCAAATACTTGACGAAAGAAGAATCCCCCACTAAAAGATAGGCGTCCTCTGTGCCATGCTGTCATCTTTTCTCAGCTGATTTACGCGTCCACGCGGGCAGGAACTGAGGCTCGGACTTTTCGGGTGTTATATATATGTTTCCCAAGGTGACTGCTCGTGGCTGCTGTGAAGCGAACGATGCTGCCATCTTTTCGTTCGCGAACTCTCTCTGACTTCCGTCTTTCCAGGTATGTTTTCGTCATTCCTCCTGGATATCATTGACCTTTGGGTCATCCAGACAATGTCTTGGGTCTACGTCCTCTTCGTTGCCTTCGTTGCTGTTCAAGCGAAACTCGTTAATGTTACGGTGGACGACCAAAATTTAAGTTTGACGTATACGCCATCCGACGCGTGGGTAGATGGCACGGATTGCGAAGCATGTACGGCCAAGTTGGACACTGATAGACTTGTGCGTGGGACATGGCATGACTCTACGGTAAGTTTGCACCATCGAATGTATGATAATCTCGAAACTGATCCGTTCACCAGTTCCAACCTGGAGACAAAGAGCCGCATAGAGTATCAGTGTCCTTCAATGGTACGTTCTATGGGCATCATGCCTGACATTGGGAGTACTCAAAACACGCCAAGGTACTGCCATCTATGTCGACTGTATACTTGTCAAGAGTACCAGCAATCCACCGCTCAATGGCCATTCTGACATGAGGTTCTTTATCGATGGCGCGCTCGTCGGCCGGTTCGCACGAGATATAGCCAACGACTCTACTTCGACGTACGAGTACGGAAGTACGGTCTACGCCAACACATGTATTCCTGCTGGGCTCCATACGTTCCGGCTACAGAACGGTCATACGAATAGCACACAGCAGTCTCTAGTACTTCTTGATGCGATCACTTACTCGTAAGCGATTCATTGAATTCATCATACCCAATTCGCGTCTGACTGTTCTAAAGATACGATGATGGAGAACCTGATGGTTCTGTTACTGTTTATTCCACGGCGACGGAAAGCCTCGGAATAACCGAGACTGGAACTCCGGACCCAGAAGATGCTGTCTCCTCCGAATCTTCGAATGTCGCTTCTGTAGTGGCTCCCGCGGTTGTCATACCGCTCGTTCTTGTGGCATCGATATTCGCACTGGCTCTATACCTTCGGCGCCGCAGACGCCGTCGTCATCCTGTTATCGGGGTGTACGGGCCGAGTACCTGGGGTCAGCCGACATATGCGGCGACTACCTCTTATCCTCCGACTCGACTAGTATCGTCGACGACTGAGTTTGATCCCAGTCGAGGACCAGCTCCTCCTGCATACGAGGCTTCAGTCCGAGGAACAGGTGTCCTCGAAGAAGATGGGAAGATACGGCTGCCGCCTTGAGATATGATCCTTCCGGCTCTTTTTTAACCTCTCCAATTCGATTTTTCGCTTAGATACCTTCCAAGCACTGAACAAATATGATGCGAATTCATAGCCATGTCGACGCCAAATGATAGCGCAGTTCAGCATAAAGATGTTCCATTTGAGCAATCCCTGAGGCGCTTATTGTACATGTCGGCCGAAACTACGATATAATGATTATTGAACAGTTCAAGCACGGGTAAGAGTGACATCCTGAACCGAGAGTGCTCTTCTACAGGGATAGTTGGGATAGGGAGCTGCCAGTCGGGTAGATGACTGTACGACTAATAAATATCCAAAAAAGCGCCAAAAATGTGGCCCATTATAGAGATAATAATACGCCAATAGGATGCATTGAGTGATGCTGAGGTTGGAGTGTGGGTCATTGTGGGCACAAGTAATGAGGCACAGCCACCGGTAACCTAAAACTCTTTTTCGGTTACTTCAACCTTACCACCATGATTACTGCTTCCTCTCTTCCCGTATATCGATTACTTTCCGCATTACTTCAAACTTAGTGACAATACCGCCCCCTCTCTCACCAAGCCTTGCCAGAAACGCAACGATATATACCTCTTCCCCCGCCAGAGAATCTCATCCTACGGGAAACGCCGCCTAGATGGCCCAGATTTGCCGGTGTTACGTTCATTCCTGGAGGTTCCAACTCAGGAAGAGCATACGATCTTTCGCCACTGTTCTCCGGTGCCGTTGCATGTTCGTCAAGAGAGGTGGTATATTATTCGTAAACTGAACCGTCAATACTAAAATTTCAAGCCTCAACTATGAATAGCAACGCAATACGAAATTGAGATATCGAAGTTAACGTTTTTTCCCATCTACAGGGTATGCACCAATGAGGGAAGGATGATTAGCGCCCGGTCTGATTCAACGTGCACGCAGGTACTTCGCTCCCTTTCTTACTGTCACATTCTCATGGATACCCTCAGACAGTTCATTCTTCCTCATGAGCGTGCAAGAAATACGAATTCGACATTACTCCTGCACACAGGCAGCTAGCGCCGCCGAAGCCTTGCTGAGGGAGAAATGCTTAGGCTTATCCATTGTCCAAGCACCAGGCCGTGATATGGACTACCTCGCCGTTGCTACACCTCAGGAGGTCGTTGTCATTTCCCTATCAACGGTGGACACAACTTTTTCCAAGGACGACTCGCTTTGCACTTTGCTGTACTCGAAGAAGCCTGCTCTAGCTGGATTCCATATGCCACAGGCTCGCTATTCAGATTCATTGCCGTTTGAAATGCCATGTACAAGGTATCGACTTGTCCACTTTCCGATCGAAATCTCCCGGGCATCTATCTTATCCTTCGAATGCTCCTTTCTGAAACATCGTCAAGCCAAGTTTGACGGTTTCATGGTGGACAGTCTGTGGAATGATAAGCTCGGCGAGGCGGAAGATGAGTTATTCAGGAAGGTTTGCTTTCGGGCGTGGATCTCTGCTATGTAAGCACTGCTCGTGTTCCTTCATGTCGCGGATCAACTCACATATGAAACTCAGTATCATCCAGAAGAATACGAGTACTACACCTCTAATCCAAGCCTGTCGAGACTCGATGGCTAAAACGGGAGGTAAGCTATCCTTGCCCTTCAATACTGCCAACCGCACTTATCTCAACATCAAGGTTCTCGAGTGTCTAGGTCACCTACTGTCCCAGGTCGATATTCTGGAACGTGTCAAACCGACGGAGATTTCCAATGACTTCACCGAAGTTAATGTGGATAGCAGCGGCCAAGTGCAGTTACACAATTCCCGTTTCAAGACACGGGTATGCGCAGGTAGACAGGTATGGACTTCATGCCTTATTTTTTGTTCCGTTTTTAACAATAAGGTGATAGCTTGCAGTCGTTTTGACTACCTCAGACGGTCATGAATTCAGAGGGCGGCCAACGAAAGCATACGGTAAACGAACCCATATCAACGTTTCAGGCTCCTTTTCCGGAACGGTGACCGGTGTTAAAGTCATTGGCAGAGAGAGACCGACGAATGCTGAAAGGGCCCGCGACATGCTCCTGCTTCGTGCTTTACAGGGCGAATGTCATATCAGGCAATCCGAATTCGTGAGGATGCTTTGGTTTCCGAGCGGGGAGGACAAAAGAAATCTTGTTCTCTCTGATACACGGACGTCCTCCTTCTCTTCCGTGAAATTGAACAAGTCGCAACGAGAGGTGGTGTCAGCTATGATGTCTAACCGGCCGCTAGTCCTAGTCCATGGTGAGGAACGGTCCATACATGTATCTTATTGACTAATGAATTCTACTAGGTCCACCTGGAACAGGGAAAACGTCGACTATCTCTGCAGCGGCTGAGATGTGGGGACGAAGTAATCTACCAACGTGGATTGTAGCTCACTCTAACGTCGCCGTGAAGAACATTGCAGAGAAATTGGTGTTATCCGATGTTGATTTCAAGATCATCGTATCCAAAGAGTTCTACGTCGAGTGGTAAGCGAAGGTCCTGGTCATTGTCATATATCCTTACTGATTTCCTGTTGGTAGGCATGAACATCTTTACACAAACATTGAGGACAGATTGTTGCGCGGGGACGAACTTCCGAACAATCCGAAGGGCCTACGAAGGGTTATTGGCTCATCGAGCATTATCCTATCAACGCTAAGCATGGCCTCGAATCCAGGATTCGACAAAAATGGGATGTTTGACATAGTGCCACCAAGGACTCTTATTGTCGACGAGGCTTCTCAGATCAATGTCTTCGATTATATGGCCAGCGACAGTTCGCCTTGTAACATGAATTGCAAGCTGACTGGACCTTGTTTCAGCACATGTTCGTCAAATTTAAGGATGTGATGAAAAAAGTCCGCTTCTTTGGCGATCCAAAACAGCGTAAGAAGTTCCTGGATATCTTTGTGTTGATATATGTCTCATGTTTCTCGCTTGCCAGTCCCGCCATACGGAAAGGAAAAGGCACCATCGATGCAATGCATCTTTGACATCGAGCACCTGAAGGATATAGCGCACACTTTGGATATTCAATGTACGTGCCGATGATTAATTGTATATCAGGTGTCTCATCTTTCCGCACAGACCGTATGCCTCATCCACTGGGCAACTTCATCTCTCAAGAAGTCTATCACAATCAAATACGCTCAGAACATGAAGTAACGGATCCTTCCTGCATCGCCTTCATTAACACGAAATACGGCTCTGAGAAGAAATCTGGCTTCAGCTGGATGGTAGGTCTTGTTACCGTTCTGTTTGAGGATCGAAATAACTGATATTTCTTCCTTGCCAGAATGAGGCGGAGGTTCACACGATCGCCCACCTGGTTCAGCTTTATTACAAAAATCATGATTTTTGTGTCATCACTCCGTACGACGCCCAAAGAGCGGCCATAGAAAAAGAGCTTAAGGGCCAAGGCCTGCCTTGGGAACGGGTATTCAATGTCGATAGTTTCCAAGGTAACTAGCGCGCGCAATTAGTACTTTGGCACTTGTAGCTTATGTCATACACACAGGAAACGAAGCAGATATCGTCCTAGTCTCCGTTGTCCGATGCCGGAATCCAGGGTTCCTACGCTCTGACCAGCGAATGAACGTCATGCTCACACGATGTAAACGAGGTCTTGTTGTCGTCTCGAGCCGTACTTTCCTCTTGGGACCCGGCCGGTCAACCCTCGTTGGTAGACTCGCTCGTGACAGAGTCTGGATGGAATGCACAGATGTTGCAGAACAGCTGGTGAACCTGCCGGATGCTAGGGGGAAACACGCACCTGTCGTCGCTGCATCTTCTGTGTCGGTTCCACCTAATGGGACTCGGAGTCGTCCTACCTTTGATGTGAAAGCGCTCTTTCCACGTCAACATCCATACCCAGAAGCTGCTTCAAGTTCTACGGTAACCACTAACCTCACAAATGGTGGTCCGAGTTTTTCGACTCAAGGGCGAAGCTTTCCTTCGCCGATGCCGGTTTCAAACAGTCGAGAGAGTACAGTCTGGGACAGGCTTGCCGATTCAACCGTTCGTGATCTTCCTCGCAGGAAGGTTCAGGCTATTTCTGCATCACCAAGTTTTTCTTCGCCGCAGGCACCACTCGGAAGCTGGGGAACGACACCGTATCAAGATTCGTACGCAAATATCCTCGCCTCCACACGAAATTTTGAGCGAGCTTTTCCACCATTGGTGTCGACGTCGAACAACAGTGGGAGTGCGGGTCGGCAGAAGCCCGCTGTTCGTACCGTTCAGCCGAGTTTGAGCGTTTCTTCATTACGAGTCCCAGGTCGAATGATGGGAGCAACATCACTATCAGCACAACAGGCAGCTTGGAACGTCGCTGCTGAACGTAAAAATTTCCCAGACCGGTGGTATGCCGAATAAGACAGACAATAAAGTTTTGCTTTTTATGATATCATCTAATGGGACCTTATCATTCACGTCGCACGAATGTATCACGACCGACCACTTGTATTTCGACTATCTAGTTTCGTATTGTTTTGGTTTGTAATACCAATGTATATACTACGGAAATGATTGTATGAAGACTAGGATAAGTACGATGGCATGAACCGGGGGTGCGCTTACAGCACAATTAGGAATGCGATGGAGGTGGGTGAGTTACTTATTGTTTTCAAGTTGCCTTGAACACCGGTAAGTTGTCAATAAGTCCATTGTATCCAGGACATTAGCGTAGAGCAGAATGCAAATTTCTCCCAACGAAAAAAGACTGCTTCTAGGGCTCGAACTCAGAGCCTCTCCGACAAAACAAAATCCTCTAAGAACTGAAAAAGCTAAGATTGAGGCGGTAGGCCCGGAGTTTCGAGAGATCCAAGATTCAGAAATAGTACCACCAGATATCTGAACATAAAAAGAAACAATTCGACGTGGGACCCTCTCGGATTTGAACCGAGATCATAAGTCACGATTATGGTGGTTACGATTGCGCCAAAGGGCCCATAGATAAATTTGGTGAAATAGGATATAAATAGCAAGACTTTCAAGTTTCACGAATGTTTTAAAATTACAAAGCGATGATACACCCCAACAGCGCGGCCAAGGCTCCAGTGATACCCATATCGGCACCTGAACGAGTAGTAGCGTTGAAGGATTGTGCAACGAACGTACTCGAAGTCGAAGCAGAGGAAGACGTAGCGTGAGGAAGTGATGCTGCCGGTAATGGTATTAGAGGGGCTGGCACTTGCACTCGTAGCAGTCGATCCTGACACGTCTGTCAAGCCCGTACCAGTTGTCGTCGTCGACGGTAGCGTACTAAAATGCCCCGACTCCACCGGTGTCCCAGACTTCTTTCAGGTGTGCCATGACCATGATGATTACTACTTGCCCTCCTCGTGTCGTTCAATTATTTAAAATGTATCATGCAAATGAGGGTATGACCGGATAAGCCATATCTAAATGCGAATAGTATTGGAGAAGTATCAACCTGCATGTAAGTGCCCTCGTTATGCTCCATGACCGCCGTCTTCTCTCAGGTTCATACAGCGTTATTCTCCATCCCATCTCACTACCATTAGACCTCCTTTAAACCTGATAGAATCAAATAAGAACAGTTTTAGCACCGGGATCTGCAACTCTAAGCTTCTCAAGCTTCTTCCGTTCTCCAACGTCCGCAATACTAAACACCGACAATTTCTCAAATTTCCCGCCCTGCCTCCAGTGTCCACCGCCCGACTACCCAGTCTCTCATGTAGACGTATTCGAAATTCTCAGACAGATAATCGAATCTGGCTTTACCACCTATCAGGGTATATACGCCATCGAGTATTGGATACGCATGGTCAGCGACGATCTGGATTGTGTGGAGAGTCCCGCTATCATCCTTGACGACTAACTCTCCCTGCTGAGGCGTCCCGTCCTGTGATCCGTCGGCCATCCTCGGCACATCACCCGAGTCGATACGGGGTCCTTTGTATACATCGACATCTGCTTTCTCCATGCGTTCCACCTTATTTTGCAATACACTGTACCGGCGAAGCGAAGGAAGCGGCTTCGCCATTACCTGCCTCCACGATGGTCGCCAAGATATGTCTCCATCCCCAGGCTCAGGGTAAAAGAAAAGCAAGTATGCCCGTTTGCGAACAGACATCGCATTCACAAGCGCTGTCCAGGCCTCCTCTTCCGACTGATCTTCACGGTATATTGGGACACACCAGATGCAGCAACTGTGTGCCAAGCCTGCGACTTTATCCAGAGGCGTTGACCACCATTTCCGCATTTCCGACAGGAATCCAAACATGTTGTCGTGTTTCTTTTCATCTCCTGCAACGGTTCCAGTTGTCGACGGAACCTCATTCGCACCTCTTCCTCCATCATGACATTATCGCTGGTCAATGAGCGGGTCGCGGGCAATCTCATGTAGCGTCCACGCTCGATTAAACCAACACCACTAACTCTCGAAGTCGCCCGCTTTCAGACTCAAAGGCCGACCCAGCCCGCTGAAGTAGCATCTTCGTAGTGAACTGATACGCGTCCCCGATCGTGGGCACCTTCCACTCCTCCATGTGCAGAAGCTCCTCCCGTCCACCTGCCTGCTAGACTCGTAACCCTCTGCAACGTCAAGGGTGCCGGTGATCGGAGAGACGGTCACCAGTCTACCTCAAACACAGATCATCCAACCATACATGTTCTGCTCGGAGGTTCAACGCCTCCGTCCGGATGAGGTGGAGGTTGGCATCTTTCGACATCGGCATCGGCCACTCTTCTTGGTTAATGGGTGTCGGCACGTCGACGCGATCTCTCTCACCCATCTACGTATGCAATATTGCCCAGACCATTTCTGCGCAATCCAGTATGGCACCACTTGATTTGCATACAGGTCCCAGACGTGCCGAGGGAACGCAGCTGCGAACCCCTTGATCAAGCCATCGATAATTATATTTTGTCGCCTGTTCTGGTCCACTTCGTCACTAAATCTGGAGATGGTGGTGGTGGTGGTGATGTTATCGGCGCCAGGTCCCAATAAGGAACGGCCGGGTCCGCAGCCCTGACATGGCGAACCATGCGCTGTGGCTGCGAAGGCTCATACCATTGTAACCACACTGTTGAGTGCGTCTCGCGGAGTAGCGACTCTTCGCAGGGTACACAATTGAATGAAAACAGTTAGCATTGACGTGTACCTCGAAAATCCAGTGCAGTGTATGACTCCTTTGGGAATCACTGCCGTCCAAAGGAGTATTATGAAACAACTCATGAGACATGTGCGTCAGTAATGACGATGAAAGAACATGTGAACAAATGAGAAATACGTAACGGGAAAGTGAGACATGGTACACGGACCATGGGGTGTATGGAAAGTTACAGGTCAGTAGCAGTGAGAAGATATCGAGCACAATGGGAGCGTACGAATCATCCACCAAGAAACAAAGAACCACAGACTGTAGGAACGAAACGCAAGCATCAGGTGAGCACAACAAACGAGGTCCGCTATTTCGCAGAACAGCGTGCCTGCAGCGATGCTCGAGCCTTAGCCCATGAAAACAATGAAATGGGAACCAAGAACACGAAACAGGCAAGCTCCTTCGAAAAAGAGACTGCCTGTGAACGAAACACCGAGTACCACCAGACTGGTGAGATCCTTCGCAAAGGAGACCATCAGCGGACATAACAACCGAGTACCACCAAACTGGTGAGCTCCTTCACAAAGGAGACCACCAGCGGACGTAACAACCAAAAACATGAACAAGGTCACCAATCCACAAGGCCATGGTGCTGCCGTTTGGGTCTGATGGTGAGGTGGTAGAAGCAGCGTTGAAAGCCGGGTGTAGCGCCAATATTCGAAGGAGTCGAGGCCCTGAGCTGTGCATAATCAGGTTTGCTGGAGCCATAGAATTGCTCAGGCGGTATGCCTCGGCTAGTGCTTGCTTCCTGGTCGTGGTGTGGTGGTGGGTAGATTTCCTCTGGCCGTGGAGCAAATAAGCGTAAGCAGTGCCAAAGTCGTAGTTTTGCATGATGGAGCTTTCGAGAACTCTATCTAGCGGCATCGGCTTCGTACGTTCTAAATGCGCGGGGCCACTCGTCGGAGGAGAAGCAAGTGTCTAGCGTGTATGACGCGTCGAGCATCGTGTTAAGCTTCTCCAGTAATCCGACGACAGCGAGGTTGACGCAGGGGAGTGTTGGCCAGAGCGAATGATATGACAGGTTCTCTGGCACGGTAGGCCCGTTGATTAGGAAGTGAAATGGTCGATCTCCCCCCCCCCCCCCGGCCGGCATCAGAGAGAACGACCTCAGGGCGATCCAGACGTATCCTTTCCGTTTCCGTTTCTCGCTCATAGTCTGGTGAATCTCTAAGGAAGTCCATCCCTGGTGATAGCTGAATGAGGATAGACACACATACTAGGTTGCGGACCCGACCGAGGCTATTACGCTGACCTCGTGGGAAGAAGAAAAAAACCAAAACTATGCGGATTGCAAAACGACAAATCATGTCGCCATCAGCCGGGTTTTCGCGAAGATAGACGCCCAAAGATATCGATAACCTATCGAACGTATCGCTGGATGCCCACGATATGTGTTAAAATGACTTCATATCATAGATAGAACACCCGAATACTCACGATGCACGCGCCCTATAGTGGCCCCACACAACAAGCGACGGCATCAGGTTTGGAATATATCTTCCGGATGTGAGCGAATGTCCTGTCTAGGTGTCGTCGCCCTTGTGAACCAAGTCGACAGGACCTACATACTCGATCAGAAACGAAAGGCGAACGAGATAGGCAAGCATACTTTGAACACAGGAAAGCAGACCTAAAGGCGACAATCCAGTGACTGTTGTCCAGACGAAACGATTATCGAAAGATTTAGCTGGGTCGTTAATACGTTGCGCGAAAGCAATTGAGCAGCCTTCGAGGCCAATAACACTGAGGGTATAATGCTCCCTTTATTAGTCATCAGAGGATGCAGCCCATGATAACAAAGGGATAACAAACCATCCTCTAACAAGAAAGCCGCATCATCAACGAAGGTCGGCTTCGAGAATCATCGAGTGCCCTCACACCATATCATCGTCACTGGTTCGCTTTGAGGCAATTGTCTCGTCACAGGACACGAACTCCTCCGCTTTGTTAAAAGGTGCACCGATACCGGATCCTTCGTTCCTACGGTCAGCCAACCAGCACCTCTCCGCCTCGCGTAGGCTGCATGTGTTTCTCCATTACGAGTCCTCTGCGGTAGAAGTAAGGGTTCTCTGGGAAGAGAACGAGTCCGCGCTGTAGTCCAACATGAACTCTCTTGTGACATCTCTGCGGCAATGGTAAGCGGATTGTAACAAAAGGCGGAGGAGAGACCATACCGTACCCCGAACGTCATTACTCATCGGTCTCCTTGACTCCTGCCGCCAGTAGAAAGCGACTCTGTTCGTAGGGCCCGCTGTATGTGCAATGAGAGAACGAAACCGGCGGAGAGGAGATGAGAAGACATACTAAGTATGTCGGCGAAGCCTACGTGCCTGCCAAGCTAGCATGTATGGAATCAGACCCTCCAGAGGCCGCTTTCCCTCCGAACGACATATAATTGTCCGGGCTGCGGGTCGACATCATCTCCAGCAAAGCCTCGACAGTTTATACAGATTAGTCAATGCTCGCGACAATCATGGTCCTTGCATCCATTTGCTTCCTTGTAGCCATGAGTCATCTCCGGCATGAAGATGGACTGCGGGGTCGTGTTAGACAGAATATGGAAAGGATGGATAGCCCTCGCACCATCACCCAGCACTGAAACTCTACAATGGCACCTCAGATTTTCTCTCGGCTGGACGGTTGCACTTAAGCAGATGGTTCCGTCGCATCCTAAGCATATTCAAGCTAGAGGCGAGGTAATGGCCAGTTTGACGAGCAGCTCTTGAAATTGGTGTCGCCCAGTTGTCATGCATATTAAGCCTGGTCATGGATATGGAAATGAAAAACAGTAAATTTTGTCTATCTGTATGAAAAATAAGAGAAAAATTCTGGCAGAATGGAATGAGCGACATACCTAGATTTGTGTTGGTAAGAGAGAGGGAGAAACAGGGCAGGAAACATTAGCCCCTGATGTCAAACAGGTGCAAATAGACCGGATCGAAATGCCGAGCTCTCAGCACTGCATTCAATAATAATTGCTCACTCAGAATCACTGCTAAACTTCTTACACGTGTAACCAGTGTGCCATCGTCTCGTTTTCTCCCTTCTCCTCGCCCTCTATGTCTTTAGCACTCGGTCAGGGGCAGTCATTCCGACTTTTCAACAGTGAGCATTTAACGAACATCGGCTGCATTCGCTCGTAATTCTGGTGGATACGAACATGGATGAATGCGACCTGCCTTACGATACCATCGCCTCTCTCTATCCTCAATATCCTTCTGCTCCCCCAGGTAAGATTCCTTCAGTACTGTGTTGGTGGCCTATCATATATCACACAGCTCCTTCTGATTGTTCTGAACGTGCTTAAGTTATGTCAGGTTTCGCCGATACGTGGCATAATTCATGAGATATCGTCGTGGTTGGAAGGAATGAGACGAGTTATAAAGACGAGATGGTCAGGACTTCCCCTTAGTATGGAAACACTGCTCACCAGTTTCTGTTCAAATGAGATTCGCTGGGGGGCGTCTCTGGCTATACCGGCTCGATTGGCTGATCTTTCCTGATGCCGGCACATTCAGGTTTCTACCTCATACATTATACATGTGTATATGATGTGGCTGCAAATGGAGAAATAGAACTCGACAGCCATGCCAATAAATTTATCTTTCTTACAAAGTTTCAAGATGCGCTGATTACCGGTTGAAAGAGGAAGGAAAGCGTTCTCATCTTGGTTGGCAGATCATCTCAGTTTTGGAGGTATAGCATTGAAATTAGTCAACAGGATAACCTAACGTCGAAGTCATACATCACACGATACCGTTTCATGTGTAGGCAGGGCCAGAGATGACTGAACGACCTAGATGGAGTGTAGAAGCTCTCTTTTGCATTGACCGAGTCCTGAACGCGGCACTGAGCATCAATAGCACGTAGAAGGATAAAGTACTCGAGTGTTTGCAGTGGAAGATGCGATCGCAGTTCACTCCAGGTTGCAAAAAAGAAATAAACGCGTGCAGCTCGCGAGGCATCGATGTCATCGCGACTGATCTAGCTCACTCAGCGAGCCTTAGTATGAGCCACTTAGAGATAACAATGGATAAAACCATAAAACTTGATGCATCGATTGGAAGCCACTTGGTAGTAGCAACGCAAAACCATTTCAAAATCCGGGCCGAGAACAGGGTAGCTGGTGGCGTGAAACAAACAAAAGCCAACAACGCGTCTTCACTTCGTCAGCTTGGTGTTCTACAATTTCGCGACTTTTAGGGCTATTCCATATGCTACTATGCTGCGTGGATGTTCAGCGACTGATATCAGCTGTCTCCTTTAGTCAAGAGGCGACTCCAAAGCAGTCCTTACGCCATTGGTTGTAGCCAATCGAACATGACTCTGGCTAGCTCTGGCTTCCGCTCATCTGATTGAATCTTTCCCCGTCTGATGTCACCCTGAATTCTAGCCGTGTGTTGATACAAACTATCTGAAATTCGATGCAATTATTATAGGCCCGCCTATCTGGGAGTCGATGATTCTGGTCGCAATGCTGCGTCGATAATGTGGATCGTGGAAGAACGTAATATACGCCCCGCTGTTGTTATCACAAGCTGTGATTTTGACGTATACGAGATGTATAGTCGGATCATCAAAGGCTCCATGACAGTATGCGAAGCTGAGGATATACACAAGCTCTGTTTATTTACCTCGCGCTGCTATAATCTGATAGTTGCGACAAGAAAGGTGCGTGGTCTATTTTCATGATCTCTTCTTGGCTGATGTCTTTATGATCATCACGGCTTAGCGCTTAGCCGGAGTCACCGGTCGCCTTTGATCGTAAAGAGCACTGTTGAAGTGTCCTCGGAAATGGATGGGTGTTATCTTTCCGCCTTGAATCCGTATCTTCTGACTTACATTTGTAGATTATTTGAGCCCATATACATCGTCTTGGTACAGCTCCCTTGTGTACCACACTCATTCCAAGTTGTAGGTACTGCCACAATGCAGCCTCAAATCATCACTGATCGAACTGTCAACAGAGACACAGCAGGACCTCATGAGCTATCGGCGCTTCAAGTTCTCGAGAAAAACTCATCAGGCTCGTCTTCTCCCACTTCCTGAAACGTGTTACTTATCTTCAATACGCTGTGTACATTATTATGATATCAAGCATCGCCTATCTCAAGCTGTGAGAGTTTCTATGTAAGAAGTGACTACTTCTAGTTCTCCTGATAAATACCCGCTGATGCTCACATCTTCCAGGCCTAAACATTGTCAGAGTTAGGCCATGTTTTGGCATCGTACTGGGATCTGATTTTTATCGTAAAGGTGTGGTTGGGCCCATCGTAATCGTTGCTATGATGGACTCCACGTACACCTATAAAGTTGAACGGGCCCTGAGATTCCTAGTGTTTTCTTTATACCTTGACAGGAACCTCGATCTGATCTGCAATGAGCACTTACCTTGACCCAGCATTACTATCGACGACTCTTGGTGCTTTCCATATCGGAGGCTACTTTGGCTGCTATGTGCGTCCCCTTCACTAGGTTTTCTTTTCTTTTATACAAGTGGTTGTGATGGTAGATTATTCGGCGTCACGAATCTTCAAGCAGTCATCTACTACAAGAAGTACCGAAATGACCCGTGGTTTTACAAGACTGCAGTATGTCACTCATCCTTTCGATTATCTTCATGCTTATGGGAGATAGGTAACGTTACTTTGGTTGGTTCATCTCATGAATCATAATGAGTAGTCACTGGACCATTTGACAGGGCCCTTGATGTTCTTCACGTCGCTCTGAGCACGCAGTTGTTATATTTCTTTCTCATTAGATTTGGGAGCTTCGATGCACTGTACCTTGATTTTACTCCTTGGTACGTTTCCGAATAGATACATAATAACCATTTTATCCAGAGATTGTCGTAGGAGCTTCCAGGTCATTCGTTTCTAGTTTCTACTGCTCCCGTCAAGCTTGCTAATATTCTACCACGCATTTAGCTACAAATAACCATCAGCGTATGTATCTAGGTCGTAATCGTAATCCTCCCGCTCAACGGTGACTCTCCCAGGTATTCGTTTCTGTCGGTGTTCAATTGTAAGATCTGCTCAGACAGAAATTTTTCATGAACTCATCTGTCACTTTAACCTCAGTCTATATACACTACGACTATGGAAATGTCCGTGTATTTCAATAACAATCACAGGTTTTAGCAAGACTTAATTGTTTCATAGTTGGGCGTCATTTTCACAGATTTGTCCCATGGTTTACCGTGAGCACCCCTTTCGATACTCAAGTATTGCTTCTACTACTTACTAATACCTAGTTTATGGCTGTGGCTGCCTCACTTGGTGAGGTCATTTTCCTTCGTATTTCGAGTGTCTTGTTTAATTGTTTAATTATGCTTGCCACAGGTGCTGGAATCTGTAAGGCTATAATTGAATTACCAACGATATTGACACGAGCATTGACATTTTTGACGCAGTTTTTATATATGACACGTAAGAAATGCTTCATTCCAGCATCAGCTCCTGAAATTGGTTTCTTTAGATACAATGCACCGGCAGGAGTTTGGATGGATGATTTGGTCAAGAAGGTATGCGGTGGTCAGACTTTGGATCACTGGAAATTTTCTGAGTTCTCATACACATATTTAGAGATCAACTTGCACGTTCTTCGCCACACTTGCCCTATCGGATTTTGTTATCGCTATCTGCATGTGCTATTACCTATACCAGAGCAAAGCAGCTACTGGTTTTTCTACGTGTGTCCTTTCCTCTCAGGAAACATTTCAACATTGACGCCAGTGATACAGCACGGCTAGTATGCTTCTTGGTCTAATGCGCCTCATTCTTGTATCAGGAATAGCTACTAGGTAAGCATCATCTCATAAAAAATTTCCATTAGAAGAACTCCATGATGAAACAAGTCTATGCTCGTTGCTGGTTCTGATTACGGTATTCATTGTCCACCTCTAGTTCTAGCCATGACATTGACCAATAACTACAGTATACTGCTTCACCGTATTCTCTGTTCTACCTGGCAGTAGATTTCATCCTACCAAAACGTCGGTATACACTGTTCTGTGTAAACCATCTACGTTAACTAACAAGCTGCTTCATAGTCTACATTAACTCGTTCCTCGCTATGTATGTTGGACCTCTCATGTCCACCACTTAAAGCTCACTTTAGCTAGGCTCAACCGCCGGCAAGAACATCAAGCGAACAAGTCACCCTCACAGTACGAAGGTCACTTAAACCCTCCTGTTGTCCACATTTCCCGAACCACAGAAAGTAGTATTGAGGGAACGGTATGTGTCTGAGTCATAGTATTATCGCTGCGTTGACGTTTCATTGCAATTACCAAAGAATATCAACATCCCACTCGAGGAGATACAACACAGCCATTCGTCTGATGAACTGGATCGACCAAAGAGAACTCTTACTTGCGAAGTTTAACGGTAACGATGGTACGGGGCTTCTTTATTCATACCTATGGCCTCTAACAAAACTGCCAGTACGCTCATAAGGTTACAATTTATACCTCAATCATACATGTTTTGAGAGTGTAGAATAGCCAAGTGGCGACTTCGTGTGTAACGGTCTCAAACGATCCCACAAATTTACTAGATCCTTAAATTAGAGCCCACGTTTTGAACTACCCGCATCTCTCCCTCAGTGAACTACGATACTATAATAAATCATGAAAGTAACGTACCTGAAACGGCACCTCTGTACGTCAATCTTGTAACTATAGTTAGTGCGAGAGCCAAAAATAAGCCGTGATTGGCGTTAATCAAGAGAGAACAGCTGCATTTCTCCGCCCGTCAGGACATAGCTTCCGGGATATCATGTCCCTTCGTCTAAATTCTGGGTTGCAGCAGTCATTGGCGCTAATTTGGCAGTAGTATTTTAAGGCAGTTAGCTGTAATTTTACATACAAGAGCAAACGCGAATGCATCGCTGTGATAACAAGCTAAGCTTTGACAATATCAGATTGTGTGCCGTAGCCGGGTGCTATTGCAAGCAGCAAGAATTCAGGAATTTGCGTTCGCCATGCCGTACTTTCTGAGAGGTCAACCGTACAAACAAGCGTCAGCCTTGAATGCAAGATACGGTGCGCCAGGATGACGGAAGTAAAAGGGAGACTCGCAGACGAATGAACCTGTCAGATATACGGGCCGAGGGTCCGGGTTCACAAGGAAAACACAAGCGGAAACCTGGTGCGTTTATGACAGCAGGTGACTTCTTCCCGTTCTCCACTATCGAGGCCAAATTCGCTACCTCATTCTCAGGATAACTAGACACGAACGTGAGAAAGGTCGTCTCAAGCTGACGTAAATGTACATCACTAAATCGTCTACTCGAAACAAGAGCGCGTCTGTTCCTCCCGTGTTGAATGTAGTCGTAGTGAAAAGGATGCAGGTCGCTGTAGAAACTCCCGTATCCCATTCAAACGTAGGCGCTCCTTTCCCAGCCGCCATGATCTTGGTGTTTTCCTGTGGCGGTAACAAAGAAGAAGAGACGCTGCTTCTCTGAGTACATCAGAAAATGATGCGGGGGAAAAGAGGCTTTTGGGTTCTTGGCCTGATCAGAGCCGGTCGTATACAGTACCCTGCGGCATTGTGTTTGAGATATATCTTCGGAACTTGAATAAACATCCTGTCTTGTCTTGAGCTGTGGCACCGTCTCCATTATCGGCTAACGAAGTCGCGGAGGCATCCTGCATATGTGATCAGAAACGCAGGCGAATGATGAAGCAAGCGCACCTTAGGCGAAAGAAAACAGATGCAGCCAAAACGACGATTCCGATGGACCGGTGATGGCTGACCTGACAACACATGTTAGGACCCGGGAGGGACTCGATTGACCCGTCGCTGAACCAAAAGGTTCCTCGGGAATCAGCTGCGCAAAAAGCAGTTCGATGGACGTCAGAGCCTTTTGAAGTCAGACTTTGAGTGTATAAGGCTCCTGATATCTGCTATCGCAAGCGATTAGCCTACGCCAATAAAGCGCTAACACATCAAAGTCTGCCACGAAAACTGCGCCATCTAAAGCCACACGAAAGTTGGCTTCAAGCGCACAGATACCAGATCATGTCATCGCAGCGGTGGCATCTTATCGGGGTTCTTCTCGCTGATGCACTCTGGACAAACATAACGCCCACCCCCGAGAAGAGCAGCTGAGACCCGGTCTCTCGTCCCCATATTCAGCGAGGTAACACCTCTTCCCAGGGTGTGGTAAGTCTGCAATCATGGGCTGAGGAAGCAAGGACCAGTAGAGATGTCCATGTTGGAGCCAAGAGAAATTTCTCTATGAGACGATGTTTCTGCAACGAAGGCCGATCAAGTAATGACAAAAGACAGAGGAAAGATCATATGTTGACTAGAGAGCCCTGTTCGTCCGAATCCTTCACTACTTGCAATCTCCATCATCTTCATCAGCAACCGCGTTCGTTTGGTTCTTCAGTTCGCTCTATGCTCCATCAAGATATGATGCTCGTGTAGGTCAAAAGGCATACCTTGAGCGCTTCTATGATAGGAATCGACTGAGATCCGCTAGTATCAAGGCTGAGAAATATCAGAGGCCTGATGGACTCCCGGTTTGATTATGTTGGAAGGTAGCGTCTACAACGCCGGTTTGCTACAAAGAAAGCATCCGGTTCCAAGATAATTGGTGTCTATTTGCTCGAAATCAAGCTGGCGCCATCTTCATCATGATACGGAAGGCATGGGAATAAGACCACAACATACTGTCTTGCTCCGATCCAGCACGACAAGACTTCTTGATAGTTGGTTTCATGGGTATGAGGTGGTCGTCGATCTTCGCCTCGGAAGGTCCTCGCCGACGTGTGACCTCTCATTTCATTCCCTGTGCACACAATCAAGCATTACGGCTGATGATTGTGACGAGAAAATGTACCGCCTCTATAGATCAGGTCTCTTGTCTTGGGGCCATGAAGCTTGAAGGTGCCTCCCGGTGCACGCATGACGCGCAGGAGCAAACACACTCGATCGAGGTTACTCTCGACGTGCCATCACCACTATCCGACCTCTTTCCATTAGCAATCGATGTTGCGACCCAATGCTAACGGCTGGCAGAAGGGAAATAGGGGCCAGAGACAGGCGCCTCGGGAGAGGTCAGGACGAATAGCAGGTCATGGAGATGATCACCTACATATGCCGGCCAGTAGGAGAGATTGACATCGCGCTTTTTCGCGGCATGGGGCTTCTTCAGTTGATACAAAGAGCACACAATCCGTCGCTACGAATGAGTTGGGGACCCTCTTGCGCGATCCATCCGGTTAGAATGAATGTAGCCAAAGACTATAACCACCTGATACGCTGTTGTTCATGCGGCTGGGTCCTCCAGAGACTGCTCTCAAGACTATTGTCATGGCAAGGAGATGATCCCTGCTGAGAAGGCTTGGTCGTGTATTACGTGGTTTGAGACTATTCGTCAGCCTGAGGAGCATCAGAGGCAGCGTCGACCCCGGTCTAGTCGTAATAAAGAGTCGCGTTAGTCGCGTCTATGACGCTGGCGCTGCTGTAACTCAGGCACCTTGTTCACAAGAAAGGCGCGTCTTTGAGAACTGGTGGTTTCTTCCCCAGTATAATATAAACAATCACCTATGGTTGCTAAGTTCGGCGTAAGGAACAAGAATAAGAGTTCGACGCACTGATTCGAACTCCTGCCTTAATCAGGCGTCCTTGACGTAGCACATCCTCGTGCCGTACGTTGAACATCACCGTCGGCGTATCAGCCTTTCTACGGTAGTTTATACAACTTGGTGGATGGTGCGAATAAGCCAGGTTCTCCCAGCTTTTCGCTTCCATGACGCTGATTCGTTGTATTCGTCGTAAATATGAAGCAATTATACTTCAAACTCTTGTTAGCCGGAATCTGTAAAGAACAGAAAGTCTTCTTACCATTACAAAAACTACCACAAACTGGAACTCGGTAGCGTCGCCTCGGGTTTGCTCTTGAGTGGTAAATTCTAGATGGCGGCCCTCAAATAGTAGAAATAACAGAATTTTGTATCAGCGCAATACTCATGCCAGTTACGAGCATGTAATGGCCAATTGGATGAACAGTTCTCGCGGTCGAGATAATTGATCTTGTTGTTGGGCATGTCGAGCTGGTATCCGTCAAAACGCGTACATCAAGCGAAAAGCAATGAAATAAGCAATTAAAAATTTCTATTTGGAAATATAAGCTGGAAGGCAAGAGGAACGGAACGGACGACAAACCTAGCGGTGGAGGTAAGTACAGAAGCAAGCCGGCAAACATGGGACGGCAGCGTCAAACAAGTACAAATAAACCGGATCGAATTCCCGGATTCTTTTGCTTTCACCACCATCAACTGCGCTTGCTGTCGCGACCTTGCCGTGCTTTCTCCCTCCTTCTCGCCCTCTATGTCTCTGGGATTCTTCAGTATTATACCTTTCTCGCTGCTCTGTCTCATAGCAGTCGTCCGAGCGCAGTCATCCACGACAACGTTAACAAGCATCACAGGTAGCGTTACTGGAACCGCGATTAGCGAGCCGACGAGCTTGGCATCAAGCTCATCAGTGAGCGGGAGTAGGACTTCGAGTAGTAGCGGTAGTGGAAGTCTGAGCGCCAGCTCGACGCTTTCTGCGGAGCTACCGAGTCTCAGTGGGTACTCCACATGCGGTGCGTCGCTATTCCTTTTCGTTATTCCTTGAACTAAGCCCACCTCCGCAGTAACAAACTGTCTACAGCTTTCCATAGCCGATGCCAACTGCACCAGTGTGGCCCAAATTAACTGTTATTGCGGAAGGTACGTCGCCGTACCCCTTGTTCTGCGACCTCGACTGACAGTCAGGATAGTACCAACTTTACCTCAAGCCTGACGGACTGCGTCACGGGTGAATGCCCCGACGAGCTCTCAATGTCTGAGACCCTTGCGCAGAGATTCTGCGTTTTGGCATCTACGAGCACGTCCCTGTCATTCAGTGTCACGTCTGTCTCTTCTTCGAGTACAACCTCATCATCGTCGAGTACCATTACGGGAACGGGCTCGACAACAGCTACAGGACCCAGTTCTACCAGCACTAGGACGGTATCCAGCACTGTCAGCGAGCCAGCGAGCTCTTCAGCCTCATCGAACGCCGCTCTAGGCAGGAAGGTGGTGGGGATTAGTGGGTCGGTCGTTTGGAGCATCTTTGCTGTAGTTCTAGGTGTCCTCGTCGGCGGCATGACTGTTTGTTGATTCGTTCTTTTTCCTGTTTATCTCACATTGGACCATTTCACGTACTCACTGGCGGCCCCCACGCACACATATTCGTTCGAACTTCTTGCATTGGCCCCTTTTAATCATCGCTGGAACCATCATCCATACTGTACAATACCCATACCCACTCTCATATTCCCTTCCTCATGAACATGTTCGTACTTTATACTATTACGGGACAATGCATGTGGACTGCCGTAATGACTTGCCTCCCCCGGGATTATTGCTGTATGAACGTGAGAGAAGATGTCCATATAACTGTCCTCGTATGGGCGTTTGCAGGTGCAAGTGGTCTTTTCTGGTTGTATCGGCGTAATGGCAAGTAAAAAATCGCACAGGCCCAAGTGATGTTTTCCCATCCCAAGTTAGTTATTAGTGTGCAAGTTGCTCGTATCCTCCCGCCAGCTGCGGCTACCATAAATTTCTGGTTGAACCGGCCAACACGAGTCTTTCTTTCATTGTCGTGCCAGTGGCGCTACTCCCGAACTCCCTAAAGCTTCCTGTTCATGCCTTTACCCGCCGTTTTACATGATGAAGGTTGTTTTTCTCCTTTCATGGGCCAAGCAGGCGGTGACAATAATAACTGTCCGCTTATTGAACAGGCACGCTACGTCGCTCCTTGACATTCCTTTCTTTTGGTTTGTTCATTAATCCTCAGGCTATGGTATCGTAGTCGATGCCACGTACATATTCACACTGATCCTGCACAAACGAACAATTGGTATGATCACAGCCGGTAGAGTATAACACCCTTCACATAGTCTGTCCTTCGTGATACTCTGGCGGTAGCTCATCCTCGGAGACATTCCATCGGCCCGGCTGCAGTCGTTCATGGAGCAACCGCAGCAACTCCTCTACGCGTGTATCTTCTCTTCTCTGAGTCTCAGTGGGCAGCGGATTTGGCGGACTTGTGGCAGCCCTGGGTGGAGTCGTCGACTCAGCCTGTGCATCCATCCTTCTCCCTGCTGCATCTTTCTCCACTGACCAGGGTCATATGGTGCTCTACTGAAGTCGCCGTGAATGGTGTGAGGATCTGTGGGGAGTGCCCGTTCACATTAAGAGGATTGTTGTTCCATTGACGGTGTCGGCGACGCAAAAGAAGGACGCCTGAGATCATAGCTGCAGCGACCGCTAGTCCACCGATGACACCGCCTACTATTACTCCAGTCGGGCTCTTCTTGGTTGACAATGGGGCTGTGCTCGTGGGAGTATCACTTGGTTTCGATGATGCCTGGTCGTCTGCAAGAGGTATTGCGCTGAGCAGCGCGCTTATAGCTACAGTTTGATTGTCACTGGAGAACGACGTGCTTGGTGGTCCTGTCCAGGATGATCCGTAAATGTTGGTCCCGCCTGAGGTAGCGTGCTCAATGACGGCATTATACTGCACCAAAATAAAATAAGGTATGTAAATCAGGAGGGGGGATTTTGTGAGGGCTCACCTGAACACCAATGTATTCCTTGATATATTCACGAAGATCAGAGTACGTCGTGTTCCGCTCATATAACGCTGCCAGGGCCCGTACGATGTAACGCCCTCCATCGGTAGGAACTTTATCACCAAATAACAACGATGAGATCGCGAGATAAAGTTGTAGACAAGACACATACTAGTTATGACTCCATCTATTCCTTGCCATCTAGCGATTGTAGTGATAGTGCTGCGCAACCTAGCACGAGTCATGATTCAGTATGTCGACAGTCAGAATCTATTAGCACATACAAGGCTTCAGTTGAAGCGTTACGGGTGATATCCACTAGGACCGCCAATCCTTCAGTGAAGATTCCGGAATTGTACGAGAACAGCGTCGGGCTTACGGAGCAAGAATCATTTGACTTCGATGATATAGAGTTGACTACGATATTAGACGGATCGAGAAGATGCGACTGTATGAAATTGGCTGACTCGATGGCTGCATCGAGATATGTCTGATTGGATGTTGCTTCTGCCAATAGAGCCGAAACACTTCGTCGTAGTCAGCCAAGTGTATAACCCCATATCAGAGAAGATTACGGTGCTCACACAAGAAAAGAGCTGCTTGTACAGAGTTAACCGTGAATTGAAAAGAAAAAAAGAACACGAACCCAGAGGCCAGACTGGAGAGGGCTGTGTCGCTGGAATTAATGCTCTAGTCCATTGATTAATTAGTGAGATGGCAATGTAAAGCACGTCTCACATAAAAGGTTCCGCCAGCCATTGTCGCTGCGAACTGGGATTAGTACACGGGTTAGCTGTAGTCAATGGCGACACTCACCGCCCTCGCACGAGGTTGAGAGATTAAAGTTCTTAACATCTGTGGAGCCCGACGCAGCTTGTTCCTTAGATATCGTGTAACGTCTTGCAGAAGTCCACGAAGTCACAGCAATATCGAGGAAGTCTGGGTCTTGATAAGCGGTATAAGCGCGAGCCGCAGCGTATCCATAATTCCTATGGAAGATGAAGAACAGAAGAATATCAGCAGATGACCTAGCTCACAAGCCATAGTTTAGCTATCATCAAGAATAGTATTGTCAGTGATTTGGAAACAGTTCGGAAAGCGTTTGTAGGAAACAGAACTGACACTAAATCAAGCGTCGGTCAGCAGCGATCCATAACTTAGTATACTGAGAGCATACTGACATCGTGTTCGAAAATTCAGAATAGAGCGACTCTGCCAGCACGAAAGCCTGTTTTAACGTTTGCTTGTACATTGTTTGGTTCGTCAGTCTATCTAATCCAGCCATTTGTGCATAAAGCCTGCCAGCTGTTCCCTGTGTAGAATCTGAGGATACTTAAAAAGCTCGATGCTGGAAATAGAATGAATGAAACACACCGTTGAATAGCCCATTGTTCTGAAGCATACTAGCTGCCTTTTCGATAGCAGCACTTGCAATGCTGATGCGGTCGTCCTTGGACAATGTGATGTTAGGATTCTAGTTCTTACATTAGCATTTGCCGTCGTCAGCCAGAGAAGCATCACTCACTTTCCAGGATGTAGATGGCGTGAGGTCCTGTGCAGCAACTGATGCTATCAATGGCGCGACCAGCATCCATACAAGAAGGAGAGACCGCATTTCTAGAGACTAAAGATGTCTGTATCTGGCAAGATAATGGGAATGGTGAGTGGGGGACGAGGAAGGCAGCAAGAAGATGGGAATCGAGGCACTAAATACCTGGGAGATCGGCCGCCCGAGGGCCATGTGAAACAAATCATCAATGATATAAGGAAGGAAAGAAGTTCGTTTGAATGCCTTCGTTACAGACTACGAGGAAGGTGTTTGTCGATGTTGTCAAGAAGATTTCTTACACCTTGAACTCGATAGTGGTATTTAACGAATTCCGTAAAGCAGCTCCCGCTGTGTGGTGCATAACCGGACATCGGAACACTATACTGCGCAGTAGGACTAGGAAGAAAAGACTGATACACTATCGACATTGAGTACTCGAAGACTGTCACCGATGTATCAACTGGTAGCCTAATTAATGAAAATGGGCATCAGAACGGATCTTTAACAAAATAGACGCGTACATACCAATGCTTATAGCAATCAAGTGTCTTAAGGTCCAACCAATAGACTGCATCACACCACAGTATATAGATAGCACCAGCAGTACGCACATGGGAAGGACACAGGAAGCATGTCTAGGGACTCATGCCTTGGAAGGGAATGGGAATGCCGGGCGAAGGACGAGATGAATGATCACGGCAAACTGGCAACAAGACGGGATTCAAATCCCGGCACTGAATCATTTGGAGATCAATGTCCAGGCCTATACAGAATCCGAACAAGACGACAATGATACGAGATACTAGCTCGTCACGCTTGAAGTCGAAACCAATGTCACAGCAAGAATACCGTCGAGCATCCGCATGCCGAGTCGTAGGACTAGGCGAGAAGGAAGTTAGATCGTCAGAACTGAGTTATTCACAAAGTTCGAGGTTGATGAGGTCGGCATCAATGATAAGCACTTAGCAAGAATAGTTCAAAAATCGATCACATCCATGCCACTCCCCGGTAGCGATGTCATCTCTGCTGTCGCGGGGGGGATTCTGGAAAGAACACAGATTGTGTCATCATCAGCTAAAGGCTCGGGAGCAGATAATGATAGGGAGGGGAGTCCCTGTAGACTTCCGTAAAGCGGGTGTGATGGAAATGGAATCGTTGAAGCTCGAATGGGTGGAAGGAAGTGAGAGGGAGAAAGCGTGCATTATGGATGGCATGCAGATTTCACAGATTTGAGATTGCATGGTGCCCATCTTGTCATTTTAACGGGGTGATGATAACTGAATTCCGGACGCTGTTCATAACGCTAAGCCCAAAGCCTTCATTGCGTGCACAAGGGGGACGAAATAACAAATTATATTCCGACTACGACTGGACAATCGTAAACTTCCCAAACCCCGACCCAAGCGCGATTCTCCCGAGCTCTTTGTTATTGAGGATGTTCGAGCACACCTCTCGAACGCGGACTTGTCCGGTGGGGTTGAGCGGTCCGGAGAATACAGCCGCCATAAGCGTCTCGCAGCCATCGTGTTCTTTCCACTGGGAGACCATTGCGCGATCATGGGGCTGGATCCATGCTGCGGTTCCACGGTTCCCGAGTATGACGTCTGTGCATCGAAGCGCACCGTGCCGGGAAGATATATTGCTAGTGACGGTTGACGGGACGAAAGAGAGGGAACAGTATTTGAACGAGTTCAATTCTGATGCCCAGGGAATGCCGCTCTCAGATCAGATTGAGATGGAGGTCAGTGTTGCGCTGGCGCCCTCGACCCAGCCGAAAGAATCAGTAGCAACTGAGGTGTGCGCTTTCCTGTCGAGGATGGGTGGGATCGTGTAGAAGTTGATGGAGTACGCGACGAGGAGGATGGTCTGCATGGTGAAGATAACTTGATTGTAGTGATCGCACTGTGAGAGGTGAATAAGCGTGATTAGGACAGCTAGGGGACGCGTACCTTCATGTCGCCTACGTCATCAAGGTAGTTGTTCTCACCAGTCTTCCAGTTATAGATGTCGTCGAGAGATATTACGTCTCCAGTGACGCTGACTGGGCGGAGGTCGATGCCAGTAGTTTCATGCAAGGTCTTAAGCTGTCAAAATGCGGATATGCGATTCTCTGTGACATACATAAGTTAGCGGTCGTTCATCAGACGAATGAGCACTTACCCGTCCAACGCGACAGTGATACTCGTTTCAGACTCTGGATCTACTCACCCAAGTGAAGCTCGTCTCGCTCGCATCAGAGGCGTGACGCGTATACTGAGATCGGTGTCATTGAGAGAATACGGGTAACCATCGGAGAGGATATCGAGTCTGAAAGTGTTCGTCCAGGCGGTACCGTCAAGCAAGTCGTATTCATGGACATTCGAGTCCAGCAGGTTTACGGGCCGATGCAGAGGATGCTCATAGATGTCGCTATCGATGACGGGTCCTGGACTACTGTTGAGACAGTGCAGCGAGAAAGATATAACATTGAAGAATCCCAGAGGCATAGAGGGTTGGAAGAAGAGAGAAAGCATGGCAAACTCACGACAGCAAGCGCAGTGATGGTGGTGAAAAGTGAAAGTATTCGGCAGTCCGATCCGGTGTATTTGTATTTGTTTGCCTTTGTCGGCCGATTCTTCCCGGTCCCGGCTTGCTTCTCCGACGCTAAGTAGGCATGTCGTCCGCTCCATTTTGCTTGCTTTCTTGCCTATTTTTCCTTACAGATAGACGAAATACATTCCTTGTTTCATTTATTTCACTTGATGTACGTGTTTCGACGGATACCGGCCAACACGTGCAACAGTCAGACCAAGAATCTCGACCGCAAAAACTGCCCGCAGTCATATACTGTTGACCGGCATGAGTCTTGCCCTGCGAAATGCTGTGCTTGATCTTATTTTATGGCCACTATCTACGTTTTAACGTTTACCACTCAAGAGTAAACCCGAGACGCCTATTACAGAGTTCCAGTTTGAGGTAGTTTTGTGATGTTGCGGGGACTTTCTATTCTTTCCAGCTTCCAGCTAACACAACTTTGCGGTATAATTAGTCCATCTTCATGACGCATACAAGGAATTGGCCTAAATAATGTGAACAGATGCGAGAATCACTGGGTATATTGGCGCCATCCACTAAGATATTCTGCTGATGAAGACGACATCAGCTTTATTCAACGCGACAGGAACCGTCTTTTCGGAGCCAGATACCCTCATTTCAACGGCACCAGCTTCATGGACATGACTCTCCATTGTGATCAAACCAGTGTCCATCACGTCTGTGATATTCCTCAGCCTCAAGCTGCGCAGATCACATCAGCGCATCCTTAGTCAAGAATATCTGCTATGTTTACCACATACTAGCGGGTTTCAGCCGGTTCCTATTGTAGGAGCGCTCAAGGTATGCCTTGTGACCTACACGAGCATCATACCTTGATGGACCATATAGAAAACTCAAGAAGCAAACGAATGCTGTTGTTACTAACGGTGGTGGAGATCTCGAGTGGTGTATGATTTGGATGAACAGCTCTCTGGTCAATGTATGATCTTTCCGCTATCTTCCGTTATTACTTGATCGCCCTTTGTTACAGAAATTTCTCTTGGCCCCAAGACGAGCATCTCTCTCCTGGTCATTGCTTCCTCCGCTCATGGTTGCACCTACCGGAGTGCACCAGCGAGAAGAACTCCGATAAGATGCCACGGCTGGGTTGACGTAATCTGGGGTCAGTGCGCTTGAACCTTCGTGTGGTTTTAGCCGTACAGTTTTCGTGGCAAACGTTGATGTGCTAGTGCTTTCTTATCGAAGACTATAGCCTGCGAGAGCAGATTTTGTGAGCCTTATACATTCAAAGTTTTTGACGTCAGAAGGCGCTAACGTCTATCTAACTGCCTTTTTTTGCGCAGCTGATTCCCGAGGAACCTTTTCGTTCAGCGACGGGCCAATCGAGTTCCTCCTAGGTTCTAAAATGCGTCGTCAGGACAGCCTGTATCGGTCCACTGCAATCGATTTTGGTGGCACCTGTTTTCTTTCACTCAAGGTGCGCTTGCTTCTCGTCGTTCACCTTGCGTTTCTGATCACGCATGCAGGATGCCTCGCCGACTTCATCAGTTGATGAAGGAGATGGTGCCACAACTCAAGACAGGATGTTTGTTCAAGTTCCGAAGATATATCTCAAACACAATGCCACAGGGCACTCACTGAGTACGGCCGGCTCTGATCAGGCCAACTTAACCAAAAGCCTCTTTTCCTCCACATCATTTTCCGATGTGCTCAGAGAAGCAAGCAGTATCTGTTCTTCCTGTTTGTTACCACCACAGGAAACCCCGAGATCATGGTGGCTAGGAAAGGAGCGCCTACTTTTGAATGGAATGCGGGAGTTTCTACAGCGATCTGCATCCTTTTCAATACGACTACATTCAACACGGGACGAACAAATGCGCTCTGTTTCGAAAAGACGATTTGGGGATATACGTTTACGTTAGCTTGAGATGACCCTTCTCACAATCTCGTCCATGTAAACTGAGAGCCAGGTATCAAATTTGGCCTCGATAGTGGAAAACGGGAAGCAATCACCCGCTGTAACAAGCGCACCAGGTTTCTGCTGGTGTTTTCCTTGTGAACCGGGATCATCGGCCCCTACATCCGACGGGTTCATTCATCTGCGAGTCTGCCTTTTACTTTCATCATCATGCCGCACCGCACCGTATCTTACATTGAAGGTTAACGCTTGCTTCTACGTTAACCTCCCAGAAAATATGGGGTTTGTCCGACATCGTCGACAATGACTCACTCGGGCCACCTGATAGTGGTGAGAGAACGTGCACATGCACCACAAAACGCGAGAAAAGGTTACATGCCTATACATAAGATGACTTCGTATATAGCCCGATATAAAGATAAGGCATGTTCATATACCTGTATAAATGAGCCATGTGTTTATTTTGGGATACTTGATATTTTAATCCTCTCAGTCAGGTTCATAAGAGGATATAACCATTAGAAATCTCAGTCTAGGTTTATTTAGGTTTGTAAAAGCTTTGCAATCCGGTCATAGAGGAACATCGTCATGGCAAAACTTGCAGAGTTGTAGACTCGGGGCAAAAGGAAGGATGACAGATACATTCTAAAGACAGAGATTCATAGGAGGAGGATTTTGTTGGGTGAACGTGCTGGCAGTTGTGATGCTACATGTTCCCGCCGGTGACAGGGCTGGCAGGCGAGAACAAGTTTCTAAAATCGGTATCGTGATGTGCAACGTCATGTCACATGAACGTGACAGACCGCGATCTTTGCTTTTCTTTCTACCGCCATCTTCCCTGCCATCCCCAAACCCACATTCTCCAGTTCTTCACATGTGAAGCCATCGAGAAAAGCTACTCCCACCCAGAAAACCTTCGAGCACATCCAAGAATGCATCGAAGAATGCCGAGCATCGCCAGGTTTCCCAACCACCAGCGAGAAAACGGTTTCCGACTCCACCAACTTCAGATCTGAAGATGACGAAGCTGATTATGAGGTCGACATGGAGCAAGACAATGGCAACAACAAGGATCTTGGCAGCGGCAGTGCCTACGGTTCGTCTGACGATGAACACACTCATTCTCTCATTCACAATGCATGAAGGTCACGGCGATGCCGAGAACATAATAGCGGTACTCGAGGGCAGAGGTGTGTCTCCTGTTTGCTCTGTAGTGTACATTTTACCGAGTTTTTCATACCTGCAGGTAACAGAGGGAGTCGAGTGACGCTACTTCTGATTGGAGGTGCTTTTGGCATCGGTTTCCCTTCGTGCCGCCGTATAATAACTGCTCTTTCCAGTACCACATCGACCATGCCCACGAAGCGCTGAACAATGTTTCGCAATGAGAAGGATAGGCAGGTGAGGAGGACAATAAGGATGGTAGATATACAACAAGGTACGCAAATTCGAAAGCATGTATGCGCATATACTCTGACTTTTGTGGTTTCTTTAATATCAGAGTCTGCCCCACGGTTGGAAAATATGTCTTCTCACTGTTTGTCTGTGATTTCGCTGATTTCGCTCTTTAGGCAAAGTCGTTGCGATACATACGGATACCGATCACAATGAACATCCAAGATAATTGTCTGCCTAAGAGCCCCATCATGAAGATGACTACCCGTTATTGTGACTTGTGAGGCTGGGTCCGATGCTTTGATGTTCAGTGGCATCTCTATGCTCCTGCACAAGTTGCATTTAGCCTTTCTGTAAGTTTTTTCTGCTGTTATTCCGTTCACATCTCACTCAAATTGTTATACAGGTTTGCTTTGCACCTCGAATGCGTGGCTATGCTCTGTACCCGTATCCCTGGCCACTTCGTATTAGTGTATGTAATTTGTATTTGGTGGTTTCATCGCCGCATTCAATAATATACTCGTGTTCATCAAATGCTGCTGCCGTCTATTGAAAATGCTATCGTATATAAGAGTAACTGGCGGTAATGTCTTTAATAATCATTCTAAGCTGCCCAAACTCTTATGAAGTGATATTAACTTGAGGCTAATGCAGGTCAGGCCGTAAAGGTATATGCCTGTTTACCAGGATTATATGGGATTATATCTGGACATATATACTGCTTACGATAAAATTGAGGTACGTCAGACATCTTTATAGCCAAGTCTATCGTTGAGATTGTTTATTAGACGTTAGGTGGGTTAGACAGCTTTCTTAGGAGTAATTTCGGTTTGTACATGCTCATAAATGTTGACCATTTTCTGTGGTGTGCCCAACGATCATCCATAAATAGACACTGTACGTTTCCTCGAAATCCTGTATGATCCCTACCGCCACCTCCACAATTCTGATCCCCATTTTATGAATTAAAAAACTGCCTTGAATATGCTGATTTTCGACTCAGGTACTGCTAGTCATACACGAGAATCAGGATGTTCCTTATCACGTTCCAAGGACTGAACCGGGCTCGGCATTGGGGTACTAATATTCTGGTGGAAGAATGTGAACACGCCTTTCGGAGCGAATAGAAATACGGGGCGTACCAATTCTTCGGTGTCGGCCCCAGAGTTGTGAGATGCAAATCTCAAGACTTTCGTTGTAGAATCCCTGTTGTTCGAGGACGCATGATAGTCCTCTTCGGGAATTCAACCTAAACGTTGTCAGCTCCAGCCGACATTGCTGACATTGAGAAAAACTGGGCAATTTACATAGCAAGCAGCGAGTTGATATATACTGTGATAAACAAGGTTTAGCTCAGCCTAAAGTAAGAAAGATATCAAAGCAACCTGACATTTTGGTAAGATAAAATCGATCCCGAGGAAAACAAGAGAGTCTGGCCCTGCGAGATACTGTAGTTCTGGTCAGATAGAGAATTAACATTGACGGCCGACGTACCGTGATGAGTGTAAGCAGAGAGCATGCACTATCAGGCAATTAGAACTTTTCATCAGCCAAATTGCAGAAAAAATCCTACCTCGTAGCCAATCCAGGATATCACAATGAGTCGCATTAGACTAAGTATCATTGCAGATGTGCTAGGGTCGCATACTCAGTGATGTCCATGAATCAGTCTCTGAGGGGTGTAAATACCGCACCTGGAGAAGGTTGTGCCTTCTAGGCCTTTGCGCAAGTAGTAGCACATCGAAAATGCAATGATGAAATCGGAAATTGCCGCCATAGAAAATACAGTGCATATCGATATCTAGAATACATTTGGCCAGAACCTTTTTTGATAGACTGAAATCGCACCTTAATGCTGGGTACCGATAAGAAACTCGATATTAAGTATCTGTCAAAGGGCATATAAGTCAGGAAATCTAAGAAGACAACCCTTTGCTTACGCATTATAGACTGCAACTATGCAGCACAGATTAATGCGGGAAATACGGAACGGGGAAGAGGACCTACATATCCCGGTGCCTTGATGGATGGGTGTGAATAAAGGAATTCCGATGAACTACCGACTACACGACTCACCCCAAGCCACGACGACATCTAGAACCTGTGTGCTGACATCAGGGATAGATTTTGTCTTGGGAGCGAAGGCACGTACTACAAACCACGGAAGGATTTTATGAAAATGACGGCCAACTGAAGGTGAGATAAGTCCATTCGCCAGGTACTATTCAGAAAGTGAAAACACGGACGTTTCCAAATGCGAACAGCGTATACCCTGAATATCGGAGTTGTTAGTACCCGGTTGGTTGCATTCAGTGGATACTTCAGAACATACACTTGAACACCCACAATGATGACCATCTATGACGGAAGAACGCTTAACACGAGGAGTGGAAGAAACACGGAGAACATACATTGAACAGTATCTGGAGCTGATGATATGAGACCTTATTTAAACAGAGTTATAATGGCAGAAGGTCGGAAGTAGATACCTTGAAGCTCCTGTCCGTGAAATCCATCAGTAAGAACCACGGATATCATCATATTGCAACGTACCAGATGATATCATAGAGTGCAGTGTAATCACCAAAGGAATCAACGAAATAGTGATACAAGGCATGTGTGCCCAGAGCGACGTGAAGAGCATCTAAAGTCCTAAATCATGCCGTATGTTCTCAGAAGGGGTGTCTGTAGAATGGTAACAGAACTGACCAAAGAACTGCAACCTGTTATAGAATTATCAGCCATGGATTGAATTCTAAGACATTGACTCACGGAGTATTGGTATATCCACCAATCATCTGGGTACTTCTTGTAATAAATCACCGCCTGTAGGTTCGTTATTCCAAACAAACTGTTAGAGGAGAGAAAAAAAGGTCGGTAAAGAAAAATGCCAAGCCAAAGTTTACTCACATCGCTGCGATTATAGCGCCGATGTAGACTGATCCAAGTGTCATTCCCAAAGATGGAACGACGGTGGGTGCTTGCGGTGCCATTGCAGGGTACAAAGTCAACTATGGAGAGAGCTATGTTCCTGGAGGTGTTAAGCCTCTTATAGCCTCATTCGAAACGACATCACAGAGTTCACAGCAGGAGCTCCGGATCGTCGAACTAGCGAATAGATTGGTTCCGAATCATCAAATAGCGCAGAACCAAGTGCATCTCGACTCGATGACGCGATCAAAAGTTTTGAACGGACAGAGACGCCTAATACGAAAACAACAAATAGTATGTCATTGCAGTAGTTTGGAGGAAGAGACTGTACCGAGATTCTGGGTCTGAACAGCTCTGATTTGGAAGCGGAGGTGAAGATAGCTATCTATTACTAGAGAAATTTTGAGCTCAAAACAGATATTTCCGAGACATGCACACATACAGACGTAAAGCCTATCCATACCTGTAACCAATCGTCTTGAATGGGAGGCAAGCTCATGATCAAGTCCCATTCAAGACGATTAGTTACAGGTCTAACGAGGACCATGTGGTGACGCAAAGCGTAGTTCCGGACCGGATCCTGCCGTTTCTGAACGGATCAGAGACGCGCGAGGCACCTCTAAGCTTCTGCATTCTTCCCATTCTTTCCCGCCTGAACTTTGCGCCTTATTTTCAATGAATTTCTCACATTCGAGGTATGGGAGGCCAGGGACCCCTCGACCTACACACTCCGAAGGGAAATCACTTCACTAGGAAGGAAAAGCGCTGCACAGCCTGATTCGCCACCCTCGTGTTCACTGATTCAACTCGGAGTCCGCGATATCGTTCTTTCGGTCATACGAACAAATCAATGAGAAGAAGTTCGATATGAAGTTGATATTGTTACCATTGAATCGTCTGAGTGAATTGGGGTGCGATCCTTTCTGATCATCGTTCAAATGAAACGCTTCTTCAAGTTCTTACCATGCGGTGACTGGATATTAATAATGGCAACGCTCCCACTACCGTTGGGTCACGTTTCTCACAGGTTGCTGTCATCAGCATTAAGAACAGCGAGTTGTGGGAAAATTCCATTAACTTTGGGTCGTAGCTGCAACAGGGGAACAGGACGCATCGACAGTGAAATCGACGTCACTGTTCAAAATTTTAGGGTTTGATCTATCCCATCCCGTGGTTTCTCGAATTACGCAAAGGCTTTACCTTGGCTTGCGCAGTGGATATTTCAGTGAACGAACATGTACCTACACAAGCACGCTGTCGCCAGTCGAACTGAGAAGCCTGCTGGATGAAAAGGATACAGACGTTTTTCATGCTGTCGCGCGGCGGCAAGGCTCGGCAGAAGCTGTGGAGGTATTCTCAGATGATGAGTCATTGATTTAGGATTTGGTAGGCTATCCGCACTCGCTTGATGCTGATCACGTTTAGATCCTGCCTCTGAATGATGCGCCAAACCACGCCTTTGCCAGCAGAGAGGCTGATGGTCATCATATCATATGACTTCCTCTCCATCAAAGAATGATCGCCGTCCATGTTCCGTGCGCTGACACTCAGGCTCATGGGTCGCCCCAACCCACTGAAGTAACACGGTACCCTTTCAGCCATGCGATAGACATATCCAATAGTTGGTACGTCCAGCTTCCACTCGTCCTTGCGCAGATCTTCGTTTGGCCCACTCTGCCTCAAGCAGAGAACATCTAACCATACATACTCCGCTCCCAGATTCAACATTTCAATACGGATGTGGTTCAGGTCGGCGCCTTTTGGGATGGGTACGAGCCATTTGTACCCATTGATGGGTGTCCGAACATCGACCTGGTTGCGTTTATCCACCCAAGCGTGTGATATTTCCCATAGCTTCCCCCAGTTGGGGATAACCCATTCTGGTACTACCCGATTACTGTAGAGATTCCAGAGGCATCGGGGAGGCACCGAACGGCATATGATCAATAGCACGGTTCGTCGCATATCCCTGTCCCGCTCTTCACGTGAGCGTAGTAGCATTTCTTGGGCGGAGATGCGCATATACGGTGCCAAAGTCATAGCTTTAGGCGATGCAGGATTTGAGAACAGAGCGTAAGGATGAGGCGTGTGGTACTCTGAGGATGAAGCAGGGTTTTCCTAAGAGACGGGAGCATATAGACGGGCAGTCAGGAGTGTAGGATGTTCTGAGGGTGGTATTGAGCGTCTCTATGAGTCCCTGAGTACCAAGGTCGGCACAGGGAATGTCGGTGAGAGAGGATGGATGATACGACAGGCACTCTACCAGCGAAAGGGCGCTGCTTTGGAAGTTGAATGGACGATTCTGCTTATCCGATCTCAGTCAGGGCGGAGATTGTGACCAAGGACAGATTTTGATACGGTCATGCCCGCTCTGCCTGAAATACATTAATTTCGTCTGCCTGTTTTTTTTTCCCTCTACACACCTACCATTTCATCCTCGGTGAGTAATAGTGGAAAAACATCCATGCTATACCGGTTCTGCCATTCAATTCTACGACGTTGGACTGTCCAGGATATCAGTAGAATTAGGCCGTGGAATAGAAGTTGACGAAATGTACATACTCTTGGTCATTCTCTCACCAGCCATGCGTCAGTCGCAAGGTTGTTCAAGTTCAATAACGCAGGAAGATGTAATGTTAAAAGCGTGGCCTAAGCAAGGCAAGCAGTGTCTTCATTTCAACGGAATGATGGTAATTGAATCCCGGACGTTGTGTTATAAGCCCAAACCCTTCATTGCGTGCAAAAGGCCGACGAAATAATAAATTATATATTCTGACTGCGACTCGACAATCGTAATCTTCGCAAACCCGACCCAAGGGCGATCCTCCCGAGTTCTTCATCATAATCCAGCACAATCCAGTTATTGAGCATGTTCGAGCATACCTCTCGAACGCGGAATTGTCCGGAGGGGTGGAGCGGACCGGGGAATACAGCCGCCATAAGCAGTCTCAGCCATCGTGTTCTTTCCAGTGGGGACCATCGCGCGATCATGGGGCCAGATCCATACTGTGGTTCCACGGTTCCCGAGTATGACGTCTGTGCATCGAGAGCACGGCGTCGGGAGGATATTTTGCGGGTGAGGGATTGGCGGGAAGGATGAGAGGGAGTACAGTTCGAATGACTTGAGCTCCGATGCATTGATGCATGATGCCCAGGGTTGTCAGCTCTCGGAGCGGATGAGGATGCAGGTAGGGGTTGCGCTGGCACCATCGGGAGTGATCGTACTGTGAGTGGAAGACATGAATAAAGGTGGTCAGAACAGCTAGAGGACGCTTACCTGCATGACGCTTACGTCATCAGGGTAGGAGTTCGGGCTTCCAGTTGTAAACGAGCATCCTGGAAATGTCTTCAGTGAGAGATATTACGTCTCCAGTGACGCTGACTGGGCAGAGGTCAATGTCGATGGTTTCACGCAAGGACCTAAGCTGTCCAAATGCAGATATTGTGATTCTTGTGACATACATAAGTTAGCAGTCGTTCATCAGACGAACGAGAACCTACCCATCTAATGCCACAGTAATACTTGTTTCAGACTCTGGATCTGCTCACCCAAGTCAATACCACTCTTTCCGTGATAGTATTCACATGTCTTGGCTCCCCGGGATGGATTTGATCTTAGATTCAGGCGATTGAATGAAGCTCGTCTCACTCGGTCGCATCAGAGGAGTAGCCCAGTCAGCAGGCGTGACGTGTATGCTGGTCGAGATCGGTGTTATTGAGGGAATGTGGGTAACCATTGTTGGAAAAGGATGTCGAGTCTGAAAGCGTTTGTCCGTATGTCGTGTAATCATGTGAGTACGTGGAACTGTTTACACGCCTGTAATCTCAGTAACCAGGCTACGTACAGTGGGGAGAGTCTCACCTGGCGGAATAGACGAACATCAGTGACAGGGAAGGACGGCATCGTCAAGCAAGTCGTCTTCATGGATGTTCGAGTCTAGCAGATTTACGCGTTACGGCCGTACGGGCCGACGCAGCGGATGCCCGTAGACGTTGTCCCTATCGATGGCTGGCCCTGGACTACTGCCACGAGACAGAGCAACGAGAGAGGTATAACATAGAAATATCCAAGAGGCATAGAGGGCGAGAAGAAGGGAGAAAGCACAGCAAGATCACGACAGCAAGCGCACTGATGGTGAAAAGTAAAAGAATTCGGTAATTAGATCCGGTGTATTTGAACTTGTTTGACATTGTCGGCCCATTCTTCCCGGTCCCTAGCTTCCTTCTCCAACGCTAACTAGGCATATTATCCATTATTATATCTGAGGGACTCAATGCTCGCTGAATGACCTGGCGAGCCACGCGCGTTTGTTTCTTTTTCGTAAGTTGGAGTGAGCTGCGGTCGCATCTTCCACAGGTACTCGAGCACTCTATCTTTTTACACTCCCTTGATGCTCAGTGACGCGTTCAGGACTCAGTCGATGCAAATTGAAGCCTCTTCTATTTTCCGAGGTCGGCATCTTGTATCTATGCTGGTTCAGTCACCTCTTGTTCCGCCTACAACATGAAACAATATCGTCTGATGTATGAATTCGACGTTAGCTTATCCTGTCCTGATTTTAATGCTATACCTCGAAACCTGGAATGATCTGCGAAATAAGATGGAAAAACTGTCCTCTGTTTGACTGGTAACCAACGTGTTTCTATGCTGAGGAGCGGTCCTGACTCGTATTAAAGCTATGACGCGGATTCTCTTCATTTAGAAATGCATCTCGGCAGGGCCTAACAGAACAACACTCAACATTAAAAGCCATAAAATAGGAGCAACTCGACGACACCACGCACCCTGGTAATTCTCCTTTGAGTTGGGATAGAATGTGCTAGATGCCTCGCCTTGGTACAAGGAAGAGATTATCAACCAACACTTTCTCCGTCGCCATGGGGAAGTCAAAATGCGGCTACTGTCACATTGGAGGATGTGCACACTCATCGCTCGCTTCATTCTGTTCTCGTAACTCGTTTCACTCCTTCCAATGATGACGCCATCCTCATGAATTAGCCCACACACATTGGCGGTACGGGTACCTGATCTAAATATGTTCAGAAGGAGCTGTGCGATATTTGATAAGTCACTGGGTAGGTAAGGGTGGTTGCTATCCGCTAGAAGAAGTTCTGGGAGATGAATATAATGGCGAGGATCAGTCGAATTCGGTGATCCCTTTTCTCGGATGCCCGTGCGACGGAACATTGATATGTATATGTAGATTGCTTTGAAAGATCTAAGGAATCAAAGCCCGATGAGTAGCAAGTCAATGGCGGAATTACGGCGATCCAGATTGGTTATGCAATACGAAGATCAAGTTGAGATCAAGCCATTTGGTGTGAGGACCGCATTTGAGGATTTGGAATCCGGGCTGTGTACGAAGGTCTGGGTGAATTATTACTGTCTCTTATTTTAACAGATTTTTGACGCTGATCCAGAAAAGTCTCCAGCCCATTTTTGGGGTCGTTCGTTTGGGAACATGCCGACTGCATTTGATATGAACTGGAGTCCCATCGTTTTACTTCTAAGTTCTATCCTCTCCATCACTCAAGTTTCAGCTTGAAAAGCACGAGCCCCAGGACCAGTACGTATCAAAGATGCTCAGAACTTTGCAGGCACCATACACTCTAGAACGAGTCGAGTCGTTCCTGCCAAGGCCTTTCACCCTTTCAAACTTTCACCTTCTCGCAGCTCTCCGACTACCAAACCTCTCGGATGAAAAGTAAATCCGAGGTAGAAAGGTAATATCTTTGACACTTCTATGCAGCAATCACAACATTCAAACAGATAAATTTTGCAGACGAGAATGTGAAGCCGGTAGAGTATAATCCCATTCACATAGTCTGGTTTTCTTGATACTCTGGCGGTAGCTCATCATCCAAGTCATTCTGTCGACCCGGCTGCAGTCGTTCATTGAGCAACCTCAACAGCTCCTGTGTAGGCATATCCTCTCTTCTCTCGGCGTGCACCGGATTTGGCAAACTCGCGGCAGCCCCGAGTGGAGTCGTCAACTCGATCTGTACATTCACACTTCTCCCCGCCGTGTCTGTCTCCACTGCAACTGAGGATGAAGGGGACTCTCCTGTATTCGTAACCCCAGGGACATCTAGCATGTTTCGCCTGGTTCATATGATGCTCCGCTGATATCTCCGAAGAAACAGGAATTGATGTAGCCATGAATGGTGTAAGCATTCGTGGGGAAGAGTTGTCCACAGCAAAATGGTCCGTCGCCTTTTCGACGATGCTTTCTACGCAGGAGAAGGATGCCCACAATTATAATCACAACAACTGCCAGTCCACCCACAACACTGCCGACTATCACTCCAGTCGAGTTCTTTGTTGGCAACGGGGATGTGCTTGCACTTGAGCTAGGGACAGCACTTGAAGTGGGGTTATCACTCGATTTCGACGACGCCTGGTCATTTACAAGCTGTATTGCGCTGAGCAGCGAGCTTATTGCTACAGTCTGGTTATCACTGGAGAATGACGTGCTTGGCGGTCCTGTCCAGGGTGATCCGTATATGTTGGACCCGCCTGAGGTGGCATGCTCAATGACGGCATTATACTGCGCCAAAGTAAAATAAACTTTGTAAACCAGAGAAGTAGATTTTATGAGGGCTCACCTGCACGCCAATGTATTCCTTGATGTACTCGCGAAGATCTGAGGCTGTTTTATTGCGCTCATATAACGCCGTCAAGGCCCATACGATGTAATGCCCTCCAGTGTCCGTAGCTTTACCGCGAAACAAGAACGATGAGCTCTTGACATAAAGTTACGGACAAAAAGACGTACTAGAAATGATTCCGTCCAATCCTTGCCATAATGTACCAGTTGCAACGGCAAAAATAGTCCTGCGTAATCTAGCAGAAGTAACAATTCGGTATGTTGACAACCAGAGTTTGTTAGCACATACAAGGCTTCAGTTGACACGTTACGCGTGATATACGCTAGAGTGACCAATCCTTCAACGAAGATCCCGGTACTGGGAGCGTCTACCCTTGGAGATGTCGTGCAAGAGCTATTTAAATCCGACAATATATATTGCTTTACATCGCCGGACGGAGTGAGAAGATGCGACTGTACGAAATTTGCTGACTCGACGGCAGCATCAAGATACGTCTGGTTAGATGTTACTTCTGCCAATAGAGCTGAAACGCTTTGTCATAGTCAGCTAAGTGTATACCCCATATCAGAGGAGATTACAGTGCTCACACAAGAAAAAATCTGGTCGTACAGAGTTAGCCAAGAATTCAAAAAATTAAAAAAGTACACGAACCCAGTAGCCATATTGGAGATGATTGGGTCAGTGGGACCAGTAATCTGGCGTGTTGATTAATTAACGAGATGTGGATGTAAAAAGTGATTCACGTAATAAGTGCCACCCGCCATCGTCGCTGTGAACCAGAATCAGTATACAGATCAGTTGTAGTAATTTGTGACACTCACCGCCTTGACACGAGGTTGAGAGATTGAATTCCTTAACATATGTGGTGCCCGAAGCAATTTGCTCCTGAGATAATGTGAATCGCCTCGCAGAAGTCCATGATATCACGGCCAGATCGAGGAAGTCTTGGTCTTGATAAATGGCGTAAGCCCGAGCCGCAGCGTATCCATAATTCCTACGGAACATGAGGAACAAAACACCGTCAGCAGAAGATATGACTCACAGCTGTTATGGATCTGCCGAAATCCGGATATGCTAGCACGAGGCAAGGAGCGGTGATCGGAGCGAGGTAAGATTAATTAGGAGTGATGTACGTCGTTAGGGAATATAATGGATTCCGGCGAGGGTTCGTGAGGAGACCTGAGTGGTCCAGTTTGCGAAATAAAGGAAATCAGCAAGCGCGAAGCAATTACTGAGGGAAGTAGCCGGTAAGCGCGGAGCAATTACCGATATAGAAGGCCTGTAAGCGCGAAGCTATTACGGGCCGTGGGTGAAGGCAAGCGCTAAGCGTAACCTTCGGGTTGGTATTGGAAAGCGCTAGGCGTATCCAATGGGTTGTTCAGCAAGCGCTAGGCGTAACTGAGGGTTCACGCAGTGTGAGGGTACTGGAAGTAGTAGATTGATCAAGTATTCCCAATACAATGTTATCTACAAGTTTATATACTAAGGAAATGTTCGAGTCATTATTATTCTACAATGTTCTATAATATTCTAGTATCAATACGAAGAATAGAGAAAGTAAGAGAAAGTACGAGTGAGTCACTACTAGGACCGAGAAGGCCGAGTTCGGGCATGTGTTGACTCATGCACCGAATCAGTGGGTACCCAATATCCATAACAGCCCCCCCAGTCTACATATGCCTGAACGAGGTGAAGGGAAAGAAAAATTGAAGAATTAGAAAAGCAAACCTTATGGATTTGAATGTTCCGTGGTTGTCGGTCACAACTGTAACTTCGAACACATGGAAGTAAAGATTATCCCACACCCTGCACGTATGGAGGGCAAGGTTCATCAAATTCGGGAATCTCATTGCGTACAGACTTCTCGCTGCCAGATGAGTCAAGGATTAGGTTGAAATTCGCATTTTGAACTTGATCTGGCACTGCAAGTGAATCTGCGGATAAATGTCCTGAGTCAACTTTTACAGTAACTTCGAAATGGTTTCTGTCGCCAGAGACGTCAGGATGTCGTTCGGGTGACATACGATTAGAGGGAGCCCAAGAGGGCCAAGACTTCATGCGGTGAAGTTGGGAATCGGCGTGTGCCGGCTCCTGGGAACCCTTTCCAAAATAGGGATGATATTGATGATGGGCCCCTTGATATTGCCGTCTCGTCGATTCCGCGATTAATCCATTTACTCTCGAGATTGTGTCTAGGTTCTGGCATTGATTCGATGTTCCTTCGTTCTTTCCTTCGTCGATATTCAATGTGATCCTGATTTGGACTGTGCGTTGCATGTTTGCACCCAGATCCTGAATCAAATCTTCAAGTCTTCTTATTGCTCCGACGTGCCGGTTTCTTTCCCGATTATGCCATTTACCACTTGCGAAGGCTTCTACGTCCACGATTATACCTTTCGCTTCAAATTCCGATGCTTCATCATTTTGCTGTTCAGTTATGGCAACACTTGGATCAATTTCCGGAAGCGCCAGACTTGAATGCACAAGCAAGCTGGCTTGGGAGTTTCCCGAAGATAGAGTGGGACAGATGGCAATATGAATATAAATCATGGAGAAAGGTATGTGGTTTAGACTGGTGCCGAGCTGGATGTTCCCTAGCCGACCCGGCGCTGCAGCTATGTCTGGCGACGTCTTTGAGGTTATTCTCTCAAATTTGAGAGGCGGTGGGTATTCCACGACTCTACCTTCTGGTGACGATTGAACGAGTTTAGTCTTCACGACTTTTGAAGGTGCTGGCTGTTGCTGGCTCGTCATTTTCTGCTCTCTTTCCAATGCTCTCCTTATCTTCCGGCTCGGCGCTTTCTCTTCTCCAGTTTGAGATATCACGACCTTATCCTTCATGGGGATCACTATTCGACTTGCAGGCGTCAATCTCTTTAGCAAGGCATAGTTCTCCTTCATAGCTTTCGTCTCGCTCTGTTGCATCTGAGTCGGAATTGCTTCAGGAAGTATGCGCTGATTCCCTTTTCCTTTAGACTGCACAAATATGACGTCGGAAGGATAATTTAACAGGATATCATTCATCGGGGATGTGACGGATGCCTTGGGAGATCCGTCGGAAGGACCTGTAGTTGCTTGAGATATTGTAGGTAGGTGTGTTGGATTTCCACAGCATGGATTCACTGAATGATGGTCACGTTCATGAAGGCTTCGCTTGGCATGCATCTGAGGTGGAGATTCCGATTTGACTGGCTTGTACGCTGTTTGCTTAGTGTTGTTATCGCGACAGTGGGAAATCTTGTCCTCTGACTCGAAGACACCTTCAGATTTGTGTTTCTGCTGAGACTGAGGTCGTTTACTTTCCGTAGTGACCATCACTGACATGATACGTGGACTGCCGGTGCAGCTCATGATCGAATTGGGGTTCGCTGTTTGATCTGCAAGTGTCGATGTTTTTAGTGTGGTATGGTTCTCATCCTTTGTAGCATTTGTCTCACGCTGCTGTGTCTGAGCTGCAATTCCTTCTGGAAGTACACGCTGATTCCCTCCCCCTTTCGATGGCTTCGAACCAATGACGGAAGGAACCTTCAGCATGGGAGGAGGCGTCGAAGTTGTGAGGGATATTTCAAGAGATCTGTTAGCGAGACCTTTAGGTGGCTGAGGTTTCATAGGCAGATGAGTCGGATTCACGTCTCGTACATTTCCTGAGTGACCATCATCTCTTCGCAGATCTGTATATAAGTGAGACTTGTGAGGAGCAACCTCAGGCTTGGTTTCCTTTGCAGCCATTGCATTCAAGTCGCAAGGACCAACAGTACGGCTCGCAGGTCGTTGGAGATACGCAGATGAAAGGGTCGGAGCTGACTTACTCGAAGCAACAAATTGATTGTCTTCGGTTTCAAGGCTTAGCCCTGTGTATTGCCGAGAGGAAGGCAGATCCTTCGATTCCCTATCGCTATTACGACCACCAGCTGATTGCCAAGATTGTGGCTGGTGTTTACCTTCGGTCTCGCCCTTCATGGATATATCGCAAGGACCATCCAGGAAGCCCACTTCCCGTGTCTTCACTGATGGTAGAACAGGGCTAGGCTTGAGTGAGAATGGGGATTTGCTCACTTTGCTTCGAGGGTGGTGTCCGGTTGCCGAGGAATTTCGCTGCTCTGATTTATCTGTTATCGTCTGCATTGAGTGCGTCAGCTTTCCAGCATGCTTTCTCCATTCGTCAAGTGTGGGCCAAGGCTTGCCAGTCTCCCAATCATGATGGTTATCCATTTCTGCCAGAAAATACTCAATAGATGCCCGAAAACAGAGGGAGTACAGTTCGAAATCATTCTCGGTCATAAAGAGACTAATATCCTGGCCCCATGAAGGACAATCAAGATCTATCTCGTGTATAACAAGAGAATGACTGGCTTGCCGCTTTCGCTGTCGTAGTGCAGCCTGTAAGCGGGAGAAAATTGATGAGTCAATGCGCACTCCGAGATCACCATTTGATATACGAACAGCCCACGTCTGTCTCAATAACTTTTCTAGGAGCTCGAACTCATATCGGAATGTTTTCTCGTACTGGTCACGAGTGACTCCTACTGCATGACTAGGTCCGAGTTTGACATTCAGACTGTTCTTGAGTATTCTCAGAGCTACCCTTTTACGAGATACTAGCTCTGGGAATCGTACAAGCTCACAAGATGGTATCGATGTACATATAGCATTTCGCATGTCAACAGCAAATTCATTGTCCTCATCAAAGGTTCCATGTGCAAACGGGCCATCAAAAGGACGAAGATTTACCTGGAGAGTACTGTATTCCTCATCCGAGTGTCGCTGTCGTTTCCTCCTGGTACGAGGCATATGACTGATGGGTAGGCCCTTCAAGGAGTGACAAGAATGCTTTTCCCAAGGTGGAGGAGCAAATAGTTCCTGATGGCGAGTCATGTTGTAGGATTTGCAGGCGCGACAAGAACAGTATTTCCCACCAGGGTCAGGACGGAACGAAGATTTTGGCCAGGTCATTTCAAGTTGGAGACGACTGAAGAGATTTGGATGAATATAACGGGGTACCGGCTACGTTACTTTGGAAGCAATTAAAGTATAACAAATGGGAACCTATACTCAGGTCCCAATGTGTCCACCAATGTTATGGATCTGCCGAAATCCGGATATGCTAGCACGAGGCAAGGAGCGGTGATCGGAGCGAGGTAAGATTAATTAGGAGTGATGTACGTCGTTAGGGAATATAATGGATTCCGGCGAGGGTTCGTGAGGAGACCTGAGTGGTCCAGTTTGCGAAATAAAGGAAATCAGCAAGCGCGAAGCAATTACTGAGGGAAGTAGCCGGTAAGCGCGGAGCAATTACCGATATAGAAGGCCTGTAAGCGCGAAGCTATTACGGGCCGTGGGTGAAGGCAAGCGCTAAGCGTAACCTTCGGGTTGGTATTGGAAAGCGCTAGGCGTATCCAATGGGTTGTTCAGCAAGCGCTAGGCGTAACTGAGGGTTCACGCAGTGTGAGGGTACTGGAAGTAGTAGATTGATCAAGTATTCCCAATACAATGTTATCTACAAGTTTATATACTAAGGAAATGTTCGAGTCATTATTATTCTACAATGTTCTATAATATTCTAGTATCAATACGAAGAATAGAGAAAGTAAGAGAAAGTACGAGTGAGTCACTACTAGGACCGAGAAGGCCGAGTTCGGGCATGTGTTGACTCATGCACCGAATCAGTGGGTACCCAATATCCATAACAACAGCCCATATTCTATCTATTGTTGAGAATGACACCGTCAGTTATTCGGAAACTGCTCGCAGGAAACAGAACTAACACTGTATCAAGGTCGGTCAGCAGCGATCGAGAAGGTATAGTAAGAGCATACTGACAACTGATTCAAAAATTCAGACCTGACTGACTCTGCGAGTGCGAAACACTGTTTCAACGTTTGCTTGTACTTGGTTTGGTTTGTCAGTCTATCAAGTTCGGCCATTTGTGCGTAAAGCCTGCCAGCCGTTTCGTATGTGGTATCTGAGGATACTTAAAATGAAAGCGCAATGCTGGAATTTGAGTAAAACCCACCGTTGAATTGCCCATTGGGCTGGAGCATGCTAACCGCTTTTTCTAGAGCAGCGCTTGCAATGCTAATGCGGTCGTCCTTAGACGACGTGATGTTAGGGTTCTAGTTCTGGTATTAGCATTTGCTATTGTCGACCAGAGAAGCGATACCCACTTTCCAATAAATCGATGGTGTGAAGTCTTGTGCAGCGCTCGACGCTATAAACAGTGCCACCAGCATCCGTACAAGAAGGAGAGACTGCATTTCTAGAGACTAGATATGTCTGTCTTGGACATTAATGGGAATGATGAGCGGAAGATGAGCGAGCTAGGAAGAAGATGGGAATCGAGGCACTAAATAACTTGGAGATCGGCCAGAGGCTATGTAAAACAAGGTGACAATGATATCAGACCCTGGTTACAGAGGACGAGGAAGGTGATATTTATTGTTGTTGATGTTCCAAGGAGGATTCTTGATTCTTACTCGAAAGTGGATTTGTGGTAATAAGAATTTAGTAGAGGGGCCTCCTTACTAGTGGTGCGCGATCGGATTTTGGAACGCTATGCTGAGCAGTAGAACACGGAAAACAGGTAAGATCGAATATTGTCGTTGAGTGCTCGCACAGAGCACATCAAGGTTGAGGTTGATGAGGCTAGTGGCCATCCAAGATGACATCAGGCTAGAAACGGAGATTAGAACAATACTTGAACAAAGCAGACACATACGCATGTATCATTGCATATAAATGACAGGTTGCATGGTCCAGGCAATGGGTTACCCTCGTGAGCGAATGGACTCACTGTATAAATGCCTGGTATCTCAGTAATCAGCACAGCACTGTGAGGAGAGGCTTACCTGGGGTGGGGGGCAGAAGATCATCTGGAACAGGGAAGGGCGATGGTATCATCAGGTAGGTCGCATTCAGGTATGTTCGAGTCCACCAGGATTACGGGCCGATGCAGCCGATACTCCTAGAGACTCGTAGATGACTGGCCCAAACGAGTGCTATCCGATAGAGTGGCACAAAATAGAAGAACACCAGAGGGAGGAAACGGGACGGGGACAAAGGTATACACGCATTAATACTTTACTTAGGAGTGATTCCAATGTGAACTGAGCAAACCTGCAAAAGAGTCCGGCAATCGATCCGGTGTATTTGCACCTGTTCGTTTTAAAGTTCTCCAGGGACCCACCAAACAACCCCGCGCCTTATAGTGAAAGCGTAATCGCCTTCGCAGAAGGCAGGAAGGCAGGAACCAAGGCCTGACTTCCATTTGTTTGATGCACGGTAAATGGATTCAAAACCACCTTATAGTCAATGTCGTGATCCTTTGAATGAACTCAAACCGTAGTAGTAGACGTGATGCCACGAAGATTATATATTCCGATTACGACTGAACAATCATAGTCTTCCAAAACGCCGACCCAAGAGCAATCCTCCCAAGCTCCCCATCATTTTCCAATGCGGTCCAGTTATTGAGGGTGTGGGTGTATAACTCACGAACACGATTTGCGCAGCGGGGTTTAGCAGTCTGGAGAATACGTCCGCCATGAGCGTCTCGCAGCCATCGTGTTCTTTCCAGTGGGAGACCATCGCACGATCATGGGGCCGGATCCATACTGCGGTTCCACGGTTCCTGAGTATGACGTCTGTGGATGGAAGCGAACCGCATCGGGAGATATTTTGCTGGCGAAGGTTAGCAGGAGAAAGAGAGAGAATAAGTAGAGTTCGAGCGAGTTCAGCTCTGATGCATTGATGCCCAGGGATTGTCGCTCTCAGCTCAGATTGAGATGGAGGTCAGTGTGGCGTTGGCGCCGTCGACCCATCCGAAGAAGTAGCAAGGGAGGTGTGTGCTTTCCCGGTGAGGACGGGAGGGATAGTGTAGAAGTTGATGGAGCTCGCGAGGATGACGAGGATGGTTTCCGCAGTGAATATAACTTGGATGGAGTGGTCGTTCTGTGAGTGGAAGAGATGAATAAGGGTGGTTAGAACAGCTAGAGGACGCTTACCTAGATGTCACCTACGTTATCAAGGCGGGAGTTCTCGCCGGGCTTCCAGTTGTAAACGAGCATCCTGGAAATGTCTTCGATCTTCGGTGAGATATTATATGGATAGTGGGGGACCCACAGGAGCGAGCGTTAGTGTCGGTATATGGGAGGCTCTTGTGCCGGCCCAAGTCATGTTCTTGTAACATAGTGGCGGAAACAGAAAAGAACCGGCCCACGGTGATAAGCTTGACGACGCCCGTTGAGATGCTGCAGCACAATACATACACCCTTGTGCCACCTGAATCTCGCAACCATAAGGAATCCATAAAGAATTGAAGAAGATGCGAACAAAAAAGACGATTCCCGGGGAGGCGGGAATCTGCCCAGCGTGTGTGTTCGTGGTTGGCGAATGAATTTGGCGGGGCCTCGTGTAGTCAACGCATGCTCGCTAACGCTCGCAATTACTTCTCCAGTGATGCTGACTGGACGGAGGTCAATGTCGATGGTTTCATGCAAGGTTCCTGGGCTGTCCAAATGTAGGAATGCGATTTTCTGTGACATACATAAGTTAGCTGTTATTCATCAGACGAATGGGCGCTTACCCATCCAACGCCACGGTGATACTCGCTTCAGACTCTGGATCTCCTTGCCCCAGTAAATACCGCGACTTCTGTGATACGGCCAGTATCCACTTGTATTGGCTCCTCGGGACGAATTTGATCCGAGATGCAGGCGATTCAGCGAAGCTCGTCTCGCTCGCATCAGAGAAGTAGCCGAGTCGGCAGGCGTGACGTGTATGCCGGTGAGATCGGTGTTATTGAGGGAATACGGGAAACCATTGGAAAGGATGTCGAGTCTGAAAGCGTTTGTCCATATGTCGTATAATCATCTGAGTACGTGGAACTGTTTACACACCTGTAATCTCAGTAACAACCACTGTACAGAGCAGAGAGTCTCACCTGGCGGAAGAGAGGGATACCATGACAGGGAAAGAAAGCATCATCAAGAAAGTCGTACTCTTGGACGTTCGAGTCCAGCAGGATTAACCTTCCAGTTGTGAATCAGCATATGCCAGACATCATCGCTGAATGCCATGAAATCACCAGTGAGGTTGACAGGGAGAAGATATACATCGATGGAACAAATCTCGTGCGACGTCCCATTGTCATCCATGCGCAGCAGTGTAACTCTTCGTGACCTGTCCCAGTCAGTCGTCGTTCGTTCATCATATCAATAGGCGCTTACCCATACAACCACCACTGCTACGCTTGTCTCTGATTCTGAATCCGTGTTAAGCTTCAGCCCAGTGAATATCGCGCCTTTCAGTGACCACGGGCAGCACCTGTGCACACGCTCGAAATCCTAGATCGTCAAGGGGCCGACCAGATCCCTTTGGATACGGTCAATACCTACTCTTGTGCCGCCATGGGACGAAATTGATCTCGGTTGTAGACAACCCGGTGAATGGCATCTCGCTTTTCGGGGATAAACAAGGACGTGCGAGTCATCGAGACGCGATTTGGTAAGCACACCGTGTGCGCTGTTCGAGACCGGAATCATCGGTGGAATATGGGAAACCATTGCAGAAGATGTCGAGTCCGAATGCATCTGCCCATATGATGGGTCCGGTAACCTTGTGAGCGCATGGAACTGTTAGATGTCTGTAATCTCAGTAACCAGCGCTATATAGTTGGAGAATTCTCACCTAGAGAGAATAAGGATATCAAGCACAGAGAAGAAGATGATAGTTTAGATGAATGGGTTGTCAGGCAAGTTCTAGAGCATGTTATTCATGGACGTTCGAGTCTAAGGTAAACTACGGGCCGAGTACACCGGTGACTAAGCAGCTTGGATTCCCACGGCCTTCTCCTCCGATCTAGCACGCCAAAGGAAGAGCGAACAGTCAGCACTACGATTACTGCATTTTCGAGATCAATATCGTCCATGAGTTTTCCCCCACTGACTCTTCTGAGTAAAGGAACCTCGGCATCGTAGGCACACCCCTCACTTTCTAGATGGATTACAAGTCTGACCACAAACATTTCTCGCAGCTGCCCAAATGACTATACCCTCTTGGTGGACTACTAGCCACTCTGAAGTCGAAAGGGAAATGTAATATTCCATAAATACTTATGCTTCTATAATTAGTATCTTGATTTTGTCCTTATTGCAGCTATTGCTATCACCTGGTTCGCACTCGCCTCTGGATACACAGGACATCAACACGGCCCCGGTGTCCTCGGCTTCGTCCTTGGGTGCTCGTAGTATCGGGCGTGTCCCCGGAGGCTATACAACACTGCCAAAGGTTACCTACGACACGGACTTTCCTCCATTCTAGCCTGGTCACGAACCTATCTTGCTTTAGAGATCTCCTTACCCGTTTCACTTCGGAACGGCGTGATAATACACCTCTACTTTGCAGAAGGATGCTTACTGTGTAATTTGGCTGCGACAGCTGACCTTGACCAACATAAATAAAGCCTTTTCACCCTACCATGACGACATGTATGCTTTTCACTTGTTAAGAATCAGGGTATTTGAGCTAATACACGAGTTAATGAGTACTCAAGTAAAACCCAAGTCATGAGCGAGGATGTCCGTAAGCCGAGTTCCAGCCACCAAGAAGGATCCATAAGGGTGCTAACAAGTGCTAGGCGTAGTTAACGAGGGCGTCAGCAAGCGCTAGGTGTAACTGACTGGGTCTCCGAAAAGTGCTAGGCATAGTCGGAAAGCAATTGATTGGCAAGCGCTTGGCGTAACCGATCAGAGATGCTTAGTTCACACAATTAAGTGGACTTCGAAGATGAGTAAAATTAGCTTAAGATTCCAATACAATGGCAAGTACAATACTTATATACCACTAGTAAGGAAATGAGTCATTATTATTCTAGTATTCACAAGAAGGAAGGAGAAAGTAAGAGAAAGTAAGAGAAAATGATAGAAAATACCAGTAAGCCGAGGTCAAGGCCGAGAAGGCCGAGGATAGGCATGTGTTGACTCATGTGCAGACCGGAAAAGACACGAGATCCATAACATGGCCCTCCCAGTCTACATATGCTGGAACGAGGCACACACCAAGTGAATGAAAAGAATTAGACCAGGTAAGTATTGTAGATTTGAATTGTTCTGCTGATGGTGGCCATAACTTCACGAATCCTGGAATCAAGGCGATTCTACACCCTTCACGTATGGAGCACAAGGTTAATTGCCTTTGGAAATGGCATTACCGATAGGCCTTTTGCTGTTACATGAGTCGATGAGTCGAAGATTGAGTAAATGACAAACTTGTTCCGCAATAACAAGCATGTATATGGGTAAATACCTAAGGGCAACATTTGCAGTGGATTAGACCTTATTTTATGCTTGGATGGGTACAAACGAAGCTCGGACAATACACGAATAGAGGAAGGCTTCGTGCGATGAAGCGGGGAAACGGCAAGAGCCGGTTCCTCGGAGCAGTTTCCAAAACGGGAATGATATTGATGATGGGCCCCATCATTTCGCCGTCTAATCGATTCCACCATCGTTCCATTCACGCTCGAGATTATGTCCACCTTTGTGCATTGCCTTGAGGTCTCAACATCGTTCACTTCATTTCCTGATGTATGTAGACATCGCCTACGCCCAATGACTTCTGTATCAACCTCTGGTACTTGTGCAATCGGTGCTAGGCCTTTTGAACGCGCTAGAAGACTGGCTTTTGTATGTCCAGAAGGGATGATGGGATAGAATGCGATATACATGATAAAAAGGTCACCGGGTACGTCGTTTGAACCAGTGATGAGCTGAACACGCCGATTTATTTGATTGTTTTCAGTTTTCTCTGTCAAATTGGGTTTCCATGATACTGTATTGAATGCGACACACTGTGGATGCTCTGTGAGTAGTCGCTTTAACTCTTGTTTACTCGCTGCGACTTCTGCTATCATTGACAAGTGGAGGTAAGCAGAAAACCTGGGGAAACCAATTGATTCCGGAATAAGCAGACAAGGGAATTCCAATCGAGGTGAGTGCAGAATCCTTTGGCGATGCTGCTGTCGATCCCTGAGGCCAGTTATAACATCCCGTAGCACAGTAAGGATCGATGGAAATCGGGAATTCTGGGCTTTATGCAAAACTCGATGGGCCGCAATTTCTCCAAGTTCCTTATCTGCAAGATTGAAAGTGAAGCCGGGAAGGCAATTGAAGAAAGTCGTGATGGGTTTGCGTTCGGAGGCGGTGCTAAAATCTTTGGAGGCGGCATTTGGAAACGTCTGCGCCTTAATTCGGATAGCAAGTCGATGCGGATTACGCACTCTCCTAATACGCCGACTCCTTCGTGTGGTGCGTGGTCGCCGTTTCATCTTTTGGCTTCCCTTACGAATGTGGTAAAACCCCTTGCCAGGAATACGAACAGGACTGGTTGTATTCCAGTTTCCTATTGCTGTTAGAGAACAGCAGATGTTTGAAGTACGAAGGACAGAGAGTCGGTAAACGAGGTGATAGGGTGAGTCTTCTCCTTGCTGCCAATGAATCTCTCAGCTGATGTGTTGTTTGAAAAATAGGAAACATCGCCTCATCAGGGAGTAAACACAGGTCGATAATCTAGCGACACGTTCTAGATGTCGGAGCTCTCTTTGTACCGGATAACGCTTCAAATACTGACGAAACATTTGAGCCCAATGATGTGTTCCTGGTTTAATATTTATACTAGATTCAAAATTTTTTCCGTCGCAGGATGTGCCAGAATGCTGTATGAGAAATATGTGGATAGCGGACGGCTTCATCGTGTGAGAGTAGCAAAGGGAATTAACTTTCGTAGTTGCCGGTGAGCTGTTTCCAAAACGGGAACGATATTGATGATGGTATTGATCATGAACTTTGTTTAGCCGTCGCATATTTCCCAGCGTTGTTTTGCTCGCACTTGCTGTTAGGCGCAATCCTAGCTCCTCTCCAGATATGTCGGAGTTTCGTTCACTTCTACTGTCAACGGCAATACTGAGCTTGATCGTGAACCTCCCTCAAATATTCATGATCTCTCTGCTCAAGGGTCTAGTGTACTTACTTCTTTCCTGACGGCGTTGGTCGCTATTGGCTAGGACTTCTGTGGCTATGCTTACGACTTCAGGATCACTTCCTGGTGCATGGATGATGTGTCATTTATGTTGAGCGACACTCGTATGAACTTCGGTTTGTGCCACAGTCAGTGCTAGATCCGTCAAACGTGTTAGAAAGCTAGTTTGGGCATTTCCGAAAGTGAGGATGTGAGAGACTGCAATACGCGTGATAAAAATGTGGCGCAGTATGCTGTTTGAACTAGTGTTGAGCTGGATGCTCTGAATTAATTGATTGCGCTCGGTCTTCTCTAATAGCTTGCGCTTCAAAGATGCTATATTGAACTCGCCACTTGTTGAACATTTTGTGAGTAGTCGATTTGTATCTCGTCCAGTCACCGTGGCTTCCAGAGTGATAGGAATCGTGGGAGCATTTGCCGAGGATGTAAGGGATACATCAAGAAATTGGTTATCATGACCGGCGGTTGGCTGTAGTTTTGCAGGTATTGTTGAGCAGTGGACCAGGGATAACTGGGAGGACACGGTGGCGAACGAGTGAGACAAGATGAGCGCGGGGAGGATCGGACTGTAAGGACAGAATAGAATGTATATCTTAGCGGGCGGTAGGTCGCTAAGTATGGATGTACAATACCTGTAAGGACAGAATAGAATGTATCTGCTACGAGTCAGTAAGGTAAGGTAATGAATAAATGTAATGTACTCACATCTTAGCGGGCGGTAGGTCGCTAAGATGTGTGGCTGTGAAAAAAGCGAAAATTGACTGTATTGGTAACTAATTAAGAGTCCATACGACTGTACCTGCAGTCATGGCTCGTACTCTCAACACTCCCCCTCGAGCTCGACTGCTAGATCTCCGTTAGGCCCAACAATGCGCGAAATTTGGCCAGCTTGACCCGAGGTAGCGACTTCGTGAAGATATCGGCAATCATGTCCTCTGTGGGGCAGTCGGCATCTGTGTATCCGATTGGGAAGATGTTTTTGCCTCCGAGTATGAGGATGAGATGGATCGTGCCCTTCAGGTACTTGAAGACACGGAGGACGGCATGCCAATGAGTTGTTCTTGGCTCGTCCATGTAGCGGGAGAGGGTGGTCACGGCAAATGCAATGTCAGGGCATGTTCCAAGCATCGCATACATCAGCTTGCCAATGGTGACTTGGTATTGGGTTTGCTCGTTAGGTGATAGGACAGTCTTTGAGACAGAAGGTGAGTCATAGCTAAGGTCGACTCCGGGCTTGAGCGGTGTTGTAACTGATCTAGCGTCTTCCAGACCCATGTCCTTAATTATTGCGTCGATGTAGCCATGCTGGTCTAGTGTGATAGTCCTTGCGGCCAGGTCATGCTTTATGCTGATTCCAAGTAACCAGCGAAGGGTGCCGAGGTCAGTCATTTTGAAGTGCTTGCTTAGCTGCTTCTTGACGAGGGTTACAGATCTGTCTGAGTCTGCTATTATGGTGAAATCATCGGTGGTGGCAGCGACGATAGTGTACTTGTCGTCATCAAATCTGTAGAACACTGCTTCATCTGACTGGCATACTTGGTACCCTAGTTGTGTGAAGACAGCCTTCAGCTTGTTGTACCACTCGTTTGCGCCCTGGCGGCTCCCATAAAGAGGCTTGAGTAGCTTGCACACTAGCTGCTTGCCCTTCAAGCATTCAGGAATGGTTCGGAATAGGTTGTACTAGGGCTTCGCACCGTACCGTATACGGTATACGGCTGTATAGCCACAGTACAGTGACAGGCGACGGCTGATCCGTAACCGTACCGTCAATGCTCTTAGAACTATGTTGACGGTACGGTACGGGTATATAGATGGCCGTGCCGGTCATCAATATGGCCGTTGAATAATACATACCTGATATTTGGGGCTTCGGAGCAGCTCCAGGTCCTGCCATGGGCACGTCGTCATCTGCATCGTGATAAAAATTGAATTTTGAGGGGGATTTCAAGTTTCCATTGGCATTGAGGGCACACTGATCTGTCATGATGCTCAGAATGTGGTTGTAAGTCTGTGAAAAAGGACCATTATATACTCTTTCGTGAACTCCTCTGGCTTAAAATTCAGCAGTATTTGACAGGTGCACAGGCCAGCGGGGGGCAAATTATTGTGCAATATGTGTGGGTAGTCAAACTCAAAGGATGAAACAGTAGTAGAATAGAGGCAGCAGAAGCAGGAAATATAAAGTATTCTATGCTGGTAAGGGTTAGAGCTTGAGTAGAGCGAGTGAAAGAAGATCGGGTGGTAGCGCTGAAGAGCTTGCGGTGCCAGCACATCGTGGTACGATGTTAAGTGTATGGCAAACACATGTACAGTGTGATCTGATGACAGTTATTTTTAGATACATACACGGCCGTCGATTACTGTATGACGGCCATGTTTATACAGTTGCTAATGGTATACAGGATGTCTGTATACCGTCCATCTCTGGGCAAGTTATTTTGCCAGACAGAACGGGTATGGTACCCGTATGATGGCACCTGTATAACCATACTATACGGTGACAGTGCGAAGCCCTAGCACCCAAATTCATGCAACTGAGAGAGGTCAGGCTTCTGGTGAGTCGCCTTCTCATGTGGGGTGATATTGCCCTCTAATGCGCTGTGGGGTGTCCTGTTCTTTAGCCATACTTTGTGCGATACAGCCTTGGCCCGTAGATATGGCAGTAGCCCTGCTTTGATAAGCATAGCTCAAGCACCTTCAAGATGCGAGCAGTTGCCACACTCTGCCATTCCATTGGATTGGGATGGGTCATGGACAGTCAAATGGCATGCCATTCCAGTGAGATCGAGGTGGTCTTTGAATTCCTTGCTCATGAACTCTCCCCCTCAATCTGAGCCAAATATCCGTATGTTCTTTGCACCATGTTGCACCTTTGCCCAAGGCTCATACTTCAGGTAGTGTGAGTATGATTCAGACTTCTTCTTCATGAAGTAGACCTTTTCCTCCTGTGATGAGATGTCCTGGTAAGTGTTGCTGTACTTGTGACCGCTGATTGACTCAGTGTCAGCAGGTCCCCAGACATCTGTCACAACTTTGTCACCATATGCTTTTGCCATTTTGTTCCCCAGACTGATCTTTGGGAAGGGCTTTCAGGCAGCTTTAGCTTGAATGCATGCCTGGCAGAACCCAACCTTGGTTCCTAGATTGACTTGGATACCAAGCATTGAACCAGATTTTGCCATTGCGATGAGAACGGCTTCACTTGGATGGCCCATGAGGTTGTGAAATTCCCTCATAGTTATGAGGTGTTCAGCTGATGCAGCAATGGAGGTATTGGGCATGGGCAGAGGTGCTCTAGGAGCAGTTATGCAGTACAGGCCTCTGGTTACTGGGATGACACCAATCATTTTGCATTTTGGCTGTGGGCTTTGTATAGTGCAGTTACCATCGTGAATGGTGAGTGCATATCCACTTTGATCTAGGCAGCTGACTGAGATGAGCATGAATGCCATGCTAGGTGAGTAGTAGGTATTATGGAGGGTGACAGGTGTTGGCTTTTGATTGGGTCCCATTGGTAATTGGGTAGAATAGTCTCCTTTACCTGTCACACTGAACGTTCGACCATCTGCTGCCTTGATGGGGATTGGCTTAATGGCAGTGAAGTTCTTGAATTGCTCACGGTAGCCAGTGAAATGGTTGCTTGCACCGGTGTCGACAATCTTGCAGATTGTGTCATCACCCAAGGCTGCAAGGACTTGTGCTTCCTCTTGGTAGTCAGATGTGCACTTGAGGATGGGGGTGTTGACTTCTAGGATGGCCACGAATCCATGGTTTATGGGTGTTTCATCATCTGCCTTCTCTGCTGTGTTGGCTTGAGTCATCTTTTTAGCCTTGTCCCATGGCGCTTGCCCTGCTTTGCCTCCCCCTTCTCTATAGCAGTCCCTCTCAACGTGGTTGTTATGGCCACAGTTGTTGCAGTGCAGACTGTTATTGCTCCCTTTCACTTCCTTCTTCCCAGTAGCCTTTCCTTTACCCTTTCCTTTCTCTTTACTGTTGCTCAAGAACAGTGCTGAGTTCTGTACAGACTCGTCAATGTCCTTCTTGACTTGCCTTTGGTCAGCGGTCTCTTGGATTCACTGAATCAGGAGGCTGCTTGATACAGGCTTGCCAATCATCTGTGAGGTGATGTCAAGTGTCTCAAGCATGGGTCTGTAGCTTGTCAGGAGTGATGTTCAGATGTAGGTGGCATAAGAGTCATCACTGATGGACTTCCCCATTGCAGCAAGTTCTTCTCTCATCCTCGACATGTTGGTGAGGTGGATTCAGATATCTCCATCATCAGAGCAATGCTGGTTTTGGAGCTTGTTGAGCAGGTTCTCCTGTGTTGAGATGCCTTTCTCTTCAAAGATGGAAGTGAGCTTCTTCCACATTGCAGCGGTGGTGGGTTCATTTTTGATCTGCATGAAGGTCGATGTGCTGATTGTCTTGTATATCATCTCATGGACCTGTGCCTCCTTCTGGTCATATGCATCCTGAAGAGTCAGTTGCTTTTCAACTTTGTTATCGGATAAGGGTGTGAGGTTTCCCAGTAGGTAGTAGTCTCCGTTTATCTCTGTCATCTCCATGGGCTTCTTAGTGGTTCCATACAGGACTCATTTAAGTCCTTTGGATGTGGCCACATTCGGAATCCGTTCCTTGTATAGGATGTAGTTTGTGCTGTCATCTTTTAGATGGGGCAGGTTGAGGAGTTTGACAGTAGAAGTAGATGAAGACATGTCACCAGGGCCCATAACCTGTTGAGCAGTGGACCGGGGATAACTGGGAGGACACGGTGGTGAACAAGTGAGACAAGATGAGCACAGGGAGGATCAGACTGTAAGGACAGAATAGAATGTATATCTTAGCAGGTGGTAGGTCGCTAAGATGTGTGGCTGTGAAAAAAGCGAAAATTGACTGTATCAGTGTAGAGAGTCTGAAGTCTTGAAGTGCATGACATAGCTATGACCAACGTATATTGATCAACTACGTGTGCTGGTACAAGAAATAGAACTACTCTTTAGTAAGCATAGTTATCGTAGATAAGGGTATCGTTGAAGACGATACCAAACATGCATAAATATATAAAGATCTATGCTCTAGTCCATATGGTCCCTTACATACCCCCCCTTCAGATCGCCTCTAGGCGATCATTGAGACCATTTTTCTAAGGTGCTCGTTCGGACGTCACTCTTGCTTGTTCTGTCTGTCCTCTGAAGCTGCGACGTTGTCTGTTACACCAAGCTTGTCCTTGTTGGTTGTACTAGTTGCATGCACATTGGACATCTCGTCGTCAGTTTCCGCCAGAAGTGGGATTTGGTGTGGCTCTCTAGCCATGACAATCGATACTGCATCAACTATAGGATTGGGGGCGGTGACATTAGGCATGGCTTCCGATCCCTCATTGGTACCGCATTCTTCCACTGCCTTCTCAGTAGCAGCCATCATCAAGACATCGTCCTGGCTCAGGTCAAGCCTCACTTCAGGACCTGGTAGGGCTGGGGTATCGGGGACGGTTGGTGGGAACGAGTTAATATACGTGAACATGGGGCTTTCCCCCCTCAGCAACCAGTAAGGGTTTCCTTGACGTTGGTTGCGGTTATCGGGCTGATGCACGTATCTCTCGTAGTACATGATAGCTTGTATCTGGTGTGTGTCCCCCAAGTCTGGGGACCACCATCCGCATAATTCTGGTATGATCATTGGTTCTCTGAATCTTTTGAGATGTCGTTGACGAGATGATTCCAGTCATTAATAATGATCCCAGAAATGTATCGACTGATGCTGATCCACCCATACCATTGCCCATGGATAGGCGCTGTCGATCATTTCCTGTGTGATACTGCAGTCAGCCAAGTGTCGTATCACATCGACTTCGGCCAAGTTTTCCGTGGCACCGTTGAATATCATACGTTGGAGGATAGTCCTTTCCGTAGCAAGTATGATAGGTACTTTATCTGGTTGGTCCCGATTCCACTGTTCGATGTAATCCATGTAATACCTGGGACGGAAGGTGATTGCTGTGAAGTATCGTGCGTAGTAGTTTCTTGCATCTCTTGGGTGAAGGAATCTGACTAGTAGCATTCCCCAAATGCTAGCGTAGCTCACCCGATACGATAAATCCATTGTGATTCCCGATGGCGGATTCAGGCCTCCCGGTCTGAAATGGTGGGCTGCGTATTGGCACCAGTCATCAATTGTGCCGTTCACAGGTGGAACCATCCCGGCACCTCCTGCTATGTTGCTACTGCCTGGTCGCCTGTATGCACGGTCTAACGGAATGTGGGCTGGTGGTGGTAAGTCATTCGCCAGTTCTCCCATGCATCTGTCCATCTGGAACTGTTCAATAACGTCGTGCATTGCTAGATCCCGGTATCGTGCTATCACTGATGTCGATATCCTCTGGAATTCGCTTAGCAATCTCAGCATGGTTTGCCATTTTGGTGTGTGGTTGTATATGTATCATATTGATTCCCTGACCTCCCTGACTGTCATTGGGAATCCTCTCGGGTTTGGTCTACAACCCATTCTGTGTGGAATGGGATATTCCATTCTATCAGCAAATGCTCTTGCTGCGTCGGCATACATTATATTGTTTCGTCGATCGTAAGTGAAACCTGGGCCGTACATTCCTCGAAACAAATTATCTCTTTCTGCGGAGGAACCATCGCTGAACCGGAATTGTCCTAGCCATGTCGGCAACCTGCCTGTTTGCCTCTGATGCAGCTCCAGTCTATGTTTAAACCATCTTTGCTTTTGTTCAGCCGTGTATGGCAGTTTGTCATCATATGGGTCATCGGATGCTTCACTGTCATCATCTTCTGCGATATCCTGCCATGACAACATTCGTGGCGGGTATGTGCCATCTGGTCTGGGCATCATTGGGAGCAGTGCCGACAGTTCTTTTATCCTGTCCTCTATGGGCATCCTACTATCTCCTATGATATGTCCGAATCTGCGTTTGTCGTATGACTCCAGATACGTGTCGTGCTTCTCTACTGGTGCCATGGGTAGGTTGCATCTGGGGATAGTGGTGATTGAATTCGGATCGAGTCTCGGTGGTCGATTCTGCAGTTGGCTGTCTCAGTAGTCCCGAGATACGTCATGGTAGTCCCGTGTATCTCAGGCTTTTTGTGTGTACGCGCCCTCTCTGGGCCGTCCCCCCCCCATATGGTGCCCTCGTCCCCTTCCTCTTGGGGTCCAATGCCTTGTGCTTCCTGATTCATCATCATCGTCTCTTAAGAATCAGTCAAATTCTTCCTCACAACGTTGTCTCACCTCCCTAGAGCTCCCTTGGCTCTCCTTCTGTCGTTTGGCTGTGCCATTATCCTCCCCTGTAGGTGAGAGTTGCCTTTTCGTTATCAGTTTTTCTAGCTCGTTGAACCTCTTCATCAGGTCAAGGTTGAGCGATATCTGGTCCCACAGTGCTGCCTCCATATCCCCAGCATTTCCGGTGCCAATGTTTCACAGCTCACATTCCTGCATCTTGATTATCTCTTGAGGAATGGGTTCATTCTCGGCCACCCTGCGGCGATTGTCTCGGTGTTCCCGTTGGCATTGGTGTTCGTCTGCTTCAAGCTCCTGCCTCGACGCTTTTTTCTTCCCTTTCCTGTTATCATGGTATTGAGGTTCGTCTTCTTCGCTCGCACTGTCCATCCCATACCTATTGGCATGCGGCGTTGTGTCAGCTGGTCTGGGGGGGGGGGGGGGGGGTGTATGGTCTGTGCACGTCTCAGCTGAGATGGTCCCGCCACCGCATTTTCTGCATCCCTGATCCTGTTCGTCGAGCTCGTCCCGGCAGCCTCGTAATCTCTGTTAGTACCTGCAACCACATCAGGGTTGTTGTTCTTGTCCACAGTCATTGACTCGTCCTCACCGCTGGGCCCAGGCTGGGCTCCGCTCTCTCCAATCACTGATCCTGGGTTGGGGTTTGCTGCTACCGGTACTTGGTGCATGAAGTTTCCGTAGAATGCGTGTCAACAACCAACTTTAATTGACTTAGATCAACTAAGGATCGCCACTCGCACTTCGGTGGACGATGCTCTTAGAGGTCAAAGGAGATGTGTGAAGTCGATTGAGGACTTAGATAGTCGCGAAACAGGGAGCTTTGAGTTGGGTAGATTAAACCTTAGCCGAAGCTGGGGTTTAGTCCAGCTGAGGCTCTACTTAAATACACGTTGATAGACTAATAATAGTACTGTGAGAATGTGTCCGTTGTGATCGCATATGAGTAATCAGGCTGAGTAAAACGAAGAAAAATGAATAAATCGTAACAATGCGGCTGGTCCAGGCATAAACCCATGGGGTGCAAACACCTGGAATGCATATGGGTTGGGCCAGCTCATCTGCATTCCTTGAGCTCCTTGGCCATTCGTTGGGTTGTTCTGAGGGAAATTCCTGAAAGGTACTGGGAACATTGGCTCGTTCCCCGCCTGTGGAAGTGCATTTCTGGCCATGTTCCAGGGCCAAAATGGATTGATGCCATTCCCGTTTGGGTTGTTCAGGGTGTTCGGATTAGGTTCTTCACTACTCGCCATTGTTCTGAGTGTGAAGCACAAAAGGGTGAAAGCATGTGCGGATTTCAGTATCATTTTTGTTGTTGATGGTGGTGGTTAGTGGGATAGGTAGGTGAAAACTTTTCCCCAGTTTCCTCGACCTTCTATCAAGGATCTGCGCCTATTTCTTTGGGGGTCGACCATGTTTTCTCGGTCCGGGTTCTACTCTTCCGATGCCACCACTCTCCTTCCATGGTAATTGGTTAGGCAAATTGACTCCCATCGTCTCCAGGTACCTGTCAAGTGCAGCCAATTCTTTACAGTTTGCGTGCGGTTCCCAGGTCATGTCGCCAAGGCTCCACTGCACGTGGTATTCTAATCTTCCTTTGCTATTATGTCTGTGGCCCACTATCTTGTCCATGAACCACTCTGCCATATCAGGAGTCCCAAAATTGTATGGGTCTGGTTGTGCTCTATTGGGAAACAGTAGGTCGTTGTTTGCTTGGTATGGTCTTAGAAGGCTGACATGGAATGTGGGGTGAATCTGCCTTTCTTGAAGTGCAGCTGGCAATTCCAGCATATACATCGACGTCTCTGGTATAGCTCTCGAGACTCGGTATGGTCCTACGTATTTTGGGCATAGTTTCCAGGCACAACCCTTAGGCAGGTTTAAATTCTTGGTAGACAAATATACGAGGTCGCCAGCTTTGATTGTGGGTTCAGCACCTCGTTTCTTGTTAGCATGGTGTGATTGGAATACTCGCTGTTCTATAATAGCATCATGAGCATCTGCGAGGTTCTGCAGAGCTGATTCTGCAAATTTCCATATCCCCTGGCACTATCGGTGCAGTTTCCCATATTTCCCAGTATCATGGATGGCATGTATCCTCCATTTATTTCAAACGGTGCAGTATCTCATTGTGCTGCTTATGCTCGCATTAATGGTGAATTCAGTCATATCGACTCTCTGTAGCCAGTCTTTTTGATCCAGGTCGCAGCTCCACTTCGGAATATCTGACCAATAGATCTGTTCATTCTTTCCAGTAAGTCCATCTGTCTGTGGGTGGAACTGATGTTGACATTAGTAATCTTGCACCCATGATTCTGTGCAGTTCCCTTCCACCATCTGGAGGTGAATTTTGGGTCACGGTCACTTACAATCGTGCTGGGGAGGCCGTGCAGTCTTACGGCCTCCCTCATGTATATTCTGGACAACCCTTTCGCAGTCATCGTTGTATGTACCAGGGATCAGGTGTACCATTGTGGTCATCCTGGCATACAACTACCCATAGGTAATTGAACTTCCGTCCATCATCCAGTTTTCACTTCTGGGAATGGACCTACAAAATCCATTCCCACTGAGTCCCAAGGTTTCGTCGGAATAGGGAGTGGGTGTAACTTGCCGGCTGGTGGTTTGTTGGTGCCTTTACATTTCTGGCATGCTTCACATGATTGACAAAATTCTTTAGTGTCGTGTACCAGTCGAGGCCACCAGTACCACCTTCTGAACATATTCAGATGTACGCTGATACCCAAAATGGCCCAGGGAGCTATGTGCTTGCTCGAGAATAATCCCTACTAATGACTTGTCTATGAGTAACATTCTGGGTATGCATAATACCTCATCTCCTCTCCGATTTTTCATCCATATCAAGTCGTCTCTGACTTGGAATAGCGGGTGTTCCTTAGGTGCCCCCAATATTATTCGGAACATCTTGTCGTCTGCGTACCCTTTGCGGATAGCCAATATGAATTTGTCAGACTCAATGGTGGTGTGCAGTTGTCCTAGGGCCAGGTATGTAGCATGTCTTCAATTGTTATGTCCTCAACTGCTGTGTGGTGCAGTGTCGTTATCCTGGTTTCAGTTCGCTCAGTGGATCTGTTGTTGCAGTCGGCCAGATCCTGAGCTTGAACATCTCGCAATTCACGTGGTGTTCCTGCAATCACCAGGAGCAGCCTCCTAGTTTCCTCTTGCATGGCTCTTATCTCCACCAGTTCTCTCTGTCATTTCTGCTAGTCTGTCTGGGGGGAGGTCCTCCCCTGTTGGGTCGACACGGATGTCTGCCCGTACATATTCATGCATGCCATGGATATCATCTTTTGTGTCATTTTCATAATACCTTGAGAGGCAATCGGTGACTTTATTATTTTCCCCTTTCACATATGTGATATCGAAGTCAAATCTTGACATATAGTCAGTCCATCACATCTGTCTTCCAGACAACTGATTCTGTGTCTTAAAAAATTCGAGTGCTTTGTGGTCCGTAATTACGTGTATTCTGTATCCCATTAACTTATCCTCCCATTTCAGGAGGGCTTCTAGAATTGCAAGCGTTTCCAGCTCGTGCACTCGGTAGGTTATGTTGCACATTTGTGAATTTCTTTGACATGAAGCCTGCCGGACTGACATGTCTGCCATGTCGGACCTTGCCCATACATCGCACCAAGTTCCTGATTTGGATGCATCAGCATATGACTCATATGGGTTCCTCCTTCCTCGGGTCGGATTGGTTTTAGGATCGGAGTATTATTGCATGTAACTTTTATCATATCAAAGCACCTCTGATGTATAGGTCTCCAGTTGAATGCGTTCCCATTCTGGGTCATCGCAAGTAGTGGCCCAGTATATGCAGTGATATCTGGCAAGAAAATCGCCAGGTACTGGACTAGTCCCACTGAACCTTTGTATGTCGTGGTAACTCCGTGGCATCCTCCACTCCATTATCCTCGTGATCTTGTCTTCATCTGCATGGAGGCCGTCATCATCAATGATGTATCCTAGGCAATCAACGTGTTTGGCATACAATTCGCACTTCTTCCATTTTAAAAATAACTGCTGGTTTCGCAGTCTATCAAAAATGATTCTGAGGTGATCCTGGTGTTCCTCTATGGAGTCGGAGAATACGAATATATCATCTATATACACGTGCATGAATACCCCAATCACATCTTGGAATATGGAGGTCATTAATCTTTGAAAAGTAGCTGGCACATTGCAATCACCCTGTTGCATTACTGCGCTCACATATGTTCCTCTAATTGTTGCAAATGCGGTCTTCCACACATCGTCTTCGATTACTCTGACTTGTTCATAAGCGTCAGACAAGTCTATTTTTGATCTGTATTTTGCTCTTGTGACATCCTCCCTTATCCCATCCTGGTCCGGCATGGGTGTAACGTCTTTAACAGTATTCTCGTTTCTCTGACGACAATCAATGACAGTCCATAAATGTTGATCCTTTTTCAGCAGGCATAACATAGGTGTGGCTTGGCTGGTGGATGCTAACTTCCACCACCCAGCGCGAGTGTATTTTTCTACCTTCTCATTGAATTCAGCCTTCAAAGAGTTGGGGCAGCATGGCAAGTGGTAGTGGTATTTCATTGTGGGGTCGATTAGAGGAATTTCATGATTTACCTCTCAAAATGGCAGCATTGTCTCTGGTACACCTTGTAGCAATTCCTCATACTCTTCATACCATGCTTGTTTCAGTGCTGGGATATCATCCTCCAAGAAAACCGTCTGGCGATGCTTGCCCTTACGGTCCTTGTCCGGTTTCTTTGGCTTCCGGTGATTCCGATCTTCATTCTTCTCAATCATCGCAGCTATCCGTGTGCTTTCTGCTGTACCCCAATCTGGGGCTATACTCAATCCGTCCTGTATTGAGCACCGTTCACTCTCATTTGGGTATCTGGTTCTTGTGAATTCTATGGGTCCAATCGTCTCAGTCGGGATTCCCCTAGCCTGGTCCCCTTTTAGTCCCCACATGTCCTTTATCATCATATTCCACTCGTCTGGCATCCTATGGTCTCCAGGCCAATCTCTATGGGTTTGCATGGTAGGCCAATCCCAGAATCTCCTGCCCTTTCTCGCAGGTTCATTGTCTTGGTTTTCTGCCGACTCTGGGTGTATGTGGTAGTCTCTAAAATGTTTTTCATCATCCTTATCTGTTACTAGGTCCTCCACTAGGACCTTTGATGATGTTGGTTGACAGTACTCCCTGTCCATGTCCCATCCTTTCCATACTCCCATTTTGTTTTGTGTTTTTTCTGAGCATTCTTCAGTCGTTCTCGCCCTTCTAGGCTCCTTGTCCTCATCATCAGTCACTGTTTCGACTGTAGTCCGGCCATGGAGTCAAGGTCTAGGCAGATCTGGTTTCCGTAGTCGGTGTCTACAGGGCGATTAAGTCTGCCTCTTCTCTGTCGACGACTTTTCCTGGGATTGTGATCCCTCCAATACTGACACATTTCTCCTTGAAGTCCAGGATTACATTTTGTTCATGCATGAATGGTGTCCCCATGATTATGTCGTACTTGTCGATGTTTACTACATCGAAATATCCTTCACCTGTGTATCCTTCTGATACGATGTGTGACCTGGTTCCGAAATTTATCCTTGATCAGCTCCCCACCTGTACCAAGTTGTAATACAACAGGATTCGTTAGGCGGAAGACCTTTGCCTTTGAGATATCTGCAAATGATGGGGACATAGCAGTGGATGTGCTTCCACTGTCCCATAATGTTAGTGCGTCAAGCCCATTCACATTCAAGTATGTGACCAAACATCTTTTCTCAACATGACTTGGTCGTGAACCCGGTTCTTTCAGGACGCGTACCATTGTCTTCAATCCCCAGTTTCGGAGGTGTATGTTCCTTATCCCCAAGGACTTCTGGTCTTAGTTCTGATACTGCTGCTAGTCTGATGGTCCTGGTGGTCTGCTCAGTCTTTGCAGGTACAGCACCCCCAAATTCTGATAGGGGAATCTCTTTATTCACAAGTGTCATCCCTTGTTGCCATTATGGTCCTCTTATATACGACCTCATCAGTCTGATCCCACACCTGGCTGTGTACTCGTACATTGCCTGTGTTCTCTCAGGGTCCCAACATATCACCAGTCATCATTGGCATCAGAGAACCCGGTATAATCTTCGAATTCGAGGGTGTCAAACTCCTCCTTCTCCGATTCCCAGGGTGACATCTGATCCTCACTCAGATTGTCGTGCTCGCTCTCATCAAAACCTTCCATAGTCCCCATTATTATTGTATGGGCTGCTCTCATCTGTGCCTGCATCGGTTTCTTGCCGAATTCTGGGCACTTTTCACTAGCTGCAACAGTGTCCGATGCCTCCACAACTGGTAACACACAGGTCCGCAGTTTCTGGCGGTTTGCTGTGTTGTCCCTTGTTGGAACCCTTCTCGAGTTCAGATCATCTCGTGCAGGTTCCTTGTCAGCCTTTGCCTTAGGGCCAGGTTCCTCATGGTTTATATTTCATCCTCTCCTTTCCAGCAGTTATGACGAATCTCTCGTTGTTGGGAGTATCTGATATTCCCGTTGTTCTGTTGGAATCCATGGAAGCGGAACCTTTGCTCTGGTGCTGACTGCCTTCCCTTTCTCAGTCTCAGTCAAGTTTTTCGGTTTGACAATTCATGCGATTAGTTTTCGAAAATCATTTCTGAGTCCGGACCATGTACTCAGCAGTCTAGAGCCGACTCTACAAGTTCTTCAATAGAGTTGTATTCGATAGACATTTTGTCTGCAAAGACCTTTAGTCGTATCGAGTCTGGTAATCCCTCCATGAATTTCTCTCTTATTGTGTACTGGTCTGGGGCGACATCCATGTCTTCAACCAGTCTCAAGATTGCATCATGCCAACCTTGCACCCTGCCATCACCATCAGCCCACTTGGCCTCCTTAAATGCATCACGAGTATCTTGCTGGGCTGATTCATTAACTGAATCAGTCTGTACATCTCAACTATGACTTCCATGAATGTTGGCTTAGGCTTCGTTAATCCTGCTTATCCTTTCTTGGAACCAGGTCTTTGCCTTATCTTCTAGCAATAGGTCAAGGATGAGGACTCATTCTTCGTCTCTCTCCGGTCCACCTAGTTGTGATGATCTGTACGCAAATACCACGCTCTTAAGCCATTGCCAAAACATATCCTTGGATTCCGATCCATTATACTTCGTCATTGTCTTGGCATCCCATCTCGGTGGTTTGAGGCCATCTGGTATTTGAAGACGTTTCTCAAAGTTCGTTCTTATGAATTCGACAATCTTTTGGAACCATCGTTCCTGGTCTTGTACTTTTGCCTCTATGGCCTGAGATGAGGGCGCGGCAGATGTTGCTCTCGGCCATGGTCTAGGAGTGAACAGATCCCGTTGGGGACCCTTGTTACTATCTGGATCATCATCATCATCAGGGTCATCATCATCATCAGGGTCACTGCCACCTCCAGGTGCACTGTTGCCACAGTTACCTTTGTCGTGGTCATCGTTTTCCCATTCCCCAAAGTCGGGTCATAGCCACGGGTTGTTATTCTCATCAAATATGATGCCTTGGTCCGGGATGGTGGGATTCACTCCATCTCTAATTTGGCTGTTACGGATATGCTGATAGGTGATTCTGTTCTTAATGGCCCTCATCTCCTCCTCTTCTAAGAAGGTATTTTCTTTCCAGGTGTATTTCCGGGCGTCTCGACCTTAATGTTTAGGTTCCCCTCGGTGTTGTTTGGAGACGACGTGTTTCCCTTATTATCCTTCTTGGGCACGATCTCCTCATCGAGGCGCTGTATTGTTGCCTTTTTCTTGCCTTTCTCCATACGTTTCTGTATGACAGCCCTCTGCTCTGCAAATGAGTGTACTTTTGGCCTGGGTTGATTGGTCCCATTATCATCAGACCAGAAACTTCTCCCAATCAGGATCGTTGCAAGGTTAGCATTGTATTCCGATATGAACTCTTTGGAGTCTGATGCTACATCCGTAAATCCGAGTCGTTCAAACACCTTCTTGGTTTGGCCATGCGCAAATGCTTTCACCACTGTGATCTCGGCTGGACGCATCTCTCCTAGGTCACGGAGCACCTCTGCCTTAACGCATTCATCGTCGTCTAGCATCTTCATCACTTCCTTGTGTGTGGCCGCATCTCCAAAGGTCGACTCGTCGTCACTAGATACTGATATGGCCACCATGGGCTTTGATGATGATGGTGTTGGTTGTTCTTCCTCCGGAACGTCGGGCTCTGGTGCTGTGTCCGTTGTCCGTTCTGTGCCAGGACCTCCCATTGTATGCGCATTGTTCTCTTGCTGTAAGGTCTCTGAAGCCAGGGGTAGATGTTCATTCCGTCGCCACGGGCTATCGCTGGGAAGTGGTGTACGTTTCATAACTGGTGAGTTTCGTAAACTGCTGAACGTAGAGTTAAGTTGGAATCCCATTAAGGGTATAAATCCTGTCCTCGGTGAGCTCCTTTGTGGTCAATCCGAGTCTCCCCTTGCTGACTGGCATCACCTACCATTCCCTCCTGGACTGGGAACACCTCTTCGTACTCGTAGTCAGCTGCCTTCAACCGAGTATGACCCATCTTTCTCGCCTTCTGGGTCAATCTCCTTGCCCATCTCTTGGACTTTCCCTTCAAATATGTGTTCACTATCTTGTGCTTGCGTCAGCTCAAACGCGAGCGTCTTCTTCTTGTTATTATTCTTTTGCTTCTTGTTATTCGTGTTTGTGTTTGCTGTAGTCATTGGCTGTGTGTCGACTGTGTCCTGTGATGTCTGGGATCGCAGAGCTGGCGCCATGTCTGTCTGACGTGTACAGTTTCTACAGCATCGAAGGAAAATTTTCGTTGGGAGATTGCAGTGGTTGAAAGATGTAGTTGCTGAATATAGCTGGATAGCTAAAAAAGTGTAGAGAGTCTGAAGTCTTGAAGCACACGATGTAGCTATGACCAATGTATATTGATCAACTACAGTGTGCTGGTACAAGAAATAGAACTACTCTTTAGTAAGCATAGTTATCAGTAGATAAGGGTATTAGTCGAAGACGATACCAAACATGCGTAAATATATAAAGATCTATGCTCTAGTCCGTATGGTCCCTTACAATCAGTAACTAATTAAGAGTCTGTATGACTGTACCTGCAGTCATGGCTTGTACTCTCAACAGGTATCATAAGCCAGGCTTTGGCTCCGACCTCTTCTGGTATTTGTCGATGCTTTGAATGAAGACAAGATCTATGGGTCTGATGATATGACTGAAACTTGGCAAGGTTGGCTAACTCATTCACAGCCTTCGGTAAGGCACAAACTTCAATGCTTTGATGCTGCAGATCAATAGTGGATGGCACTCTATCACTTTTGGCTTTGGTGAGGAGTTGACTGAGTAGTTGACATTCAATTTGACCAGTCTGTTCCATAACCTGTATAAAGCGAACCCTTTGCCATGTAGAAATCATCCGAAGTGCAGCTTGGGAGACAAAAGTAATATCCGAACCTGAATGTATGATGGATTTTTGGATATCAAGACAAAAACCATCTACTGCTGCTCCTGCTGTCACATCTTTCTTTCAAAAGAAGGTATATCTGAATAGCGGTTGAACATGCTTTCTCTTTTCTACTGGCCAATTCATGTGCTGACAATATACCCTCTGTAGCCACCCATTCAGCTTATCTATGCAACGTCTCACTTTGCATGGTAAACTGGACTTCACCTTCTTAGAAAAAGGTGCACATGGTGTATTTGAATCAATCCAGAAGGTACGAATCTCATTCCAAGTCCTATGAATATAGGATACTCGGTTATTATGCTGTCATGAAACTCTGTGGGAAATTTTCTATTCATGGATGGCAATTCTGGCATTTTTCTGGCTCCACATTTTGCCCTTGTGCTACATCACATTCCCTCTAGCCTGCTTCATATTGCCGTTTTGTTTTCTATCCTTTATGTTCTGTATTTTCTTTTTCAGTAACAGCTTGACAGAAATTGTCAGTGTTCTGTCCATGGTTTCTTCCACCACAGCAACTTGAATCTTGGGATAAACTGCAGCTCTGCCTCTAGATTTTTTTTTTCAAATTTCTGCTGCTGTTGCTGGAATATAAATATTACTTCTATGGCCACTAAAGAGTTGAGCTTAAATCATGTGCTGTATCCTCAAATATTGTGATACCCACCTGCTTCCCGGCAACTGATTTTATTTGTCAGGATCTTGTTTGATTCTCTTGCAGGTGATCTGTTAGATTTGTTCACATCTCTATACCTGCTACGAAAGATTAGCCCATCGATGCATAGAATGTATGATTGATATCACAGATCTTGGGCTCATTTTCATCAAATCGAACGTTTCAGGAGTGCTGATTGTGATTTTCAAGGAATCCGGCGTTTCTACTCCCAACACAAAGTTTCAGCAATGTATTGTGTTGTTCTTGAAATAAATTTCCCTGACAGGACCATCAGGTCACTATGCGCTATTGTATATAAAACGACTCATGGGTTTGTTATTTCTACACAAACATCCTTCGAACCCAAACTAGTCTAAGTTGCAGCTTGCTCCACAATGCCTTTCAAATCTGCCAAGCACATAATTCTTGCATCCTACCACACCATTTGGTATGCCGTCTCTTCAAGCACCATCCACATAGCAATGCTCATGACCTTTCTAGTAGCACCCTCAAGGGATGGTCAACTAGGTTCACACCTCGAAGCTCTGTCATTTATCCTCTTTCTCATTGGTTGACTGGTGGTGGGAAGCGGCATCAAGTTTTGAATGTTTTGAAGGGGATGGACTGACAGGACTTCCTTTGGAGAGGTCCAGGTCATGGCACATTCAAACAAGCTCGCTGCTTCTTAGACATGTACACTGGCATCATTCAGTCAAAGAGGGCTCAATCCTTCTGCTTTGATTTTTCTGGATGAATGGTGAATTCCTTTTAGTTCTCCTGCTCCTAAACTTCAGCTCACATTAACAGGACACAGATGCATGATTGCCCTATATATAGCATAATCTGACAGTCACGCTCCTCAGCACTGCATACAGTACCCACTCATTAATTACTGCCTTGGAGAGCATGTAAAGAAGGTCATCGAAGTGACAGTACTTCATGTGGTTCCCGAATCCTGATGGAGTGATTGTCTGTATGCATGGTAAGCATTTCCAACACATATATTTGATAGCCTCTGCTGATACTAACTCTAAGCACTTTATGCTGCACAGATGTAGCCCTAGTATGAGAACTTCACAACTAGGAAGTCAGTCCCGACCTATCATTGTTGGGTGTCGACTTGCCATGGGAGAAACTAATACTCTTCACATGACTATGACTGGCACTATATATCCTCCCAGTCCTGGGATCCCACCTCAACCACCAATATTTACCTGAGCTTTCTATCTCATTTGCAGTCTTCACTGTGGTGTCTCCCCTTTGTGTGATGTTAAGACAGGCTGAATTGTGGGTGCACACTTGTACAAATTCGAGGCTACCTCAGTAGAATTTCAAGTAAAGCCACTATACATCCCTTGAGTAAGGGTTTGTTCTGTCGCCTGGTTACAATCAGTGCTGACCAGACAGTGTTCCTCTTAGCTTGTTTGATGGTGACAGAAGACCTCCAATTTCAATTGTATCGATGCTGCCACACTCTAGGTACGTATTCCTTCCCAGGTTTACCCTTCTTTGACCTAAAACTCTGTATTTCTCATGCAGTGAGATATAATGACATCTCGACATATTCAAGAATAAAGTCATCAGGTAATAGGCGGCAGGCCAGAGGATGGCAGGTATGTACATCGTGTTTGGCTAGTATCATTGTTCTGGCTAATATGCCATCTGATGTTGTAGGAATCCCTGCTGTTTTTGCTAAGGTCAGTACCTCTTTGTTTGCACTGTCATGGTCATAATGTCCTGTGATATTAGTGTGATTGCAGGTGATGCTTTACACGGATTTTTCGGAATCATTAATCTGACATCTTCTGTTTCATTCAAGCTCTTGGCTCCAGTACCAGTGATATAGGTCATATTGCCACTGTTTCTATCATAGTTTCTGACTTGCACAAGCTACTGAATTGATGGGATTGTCATACAACACATCTGAGTAGATAATATGGAATCTTAATTATGAATGTCCTGTACTCTTTTGCCAAGTATAGCTTAGATATTCTTCATATCTTTTGCCTGTATGTGTGACACAAAATAGGACTCTGAATTGCCACCCGTATGAGCTGGCCCTCACCTGCTGGTTATTGGTTGAATAGGGAAGGACTGGATTGCCGATGTTATTATTCCAGGCCAGAGTATCAATGACTTTGTTCTCACAACTATCCCTCGGGTTTGGATTACTGTTGAAAGTAGGTATGTTAGCCTCAGTCTCTTTGAACGCAGTGTCAGAGGCGATGCTGGTATACTCTGAGTAAGCAGAGCATGCAAGAATTTGTGAATAGCCTGGATCACGATGAAATGGACCTTGGTTTCCATCATTATTACCTTGATCCAAGCCAGGATTGCTAAGAGAACATCCTTGGCAATTTCCCTTGTGCAAAGAGGGATTTCGGCTACCTAAATCTTCAGAAATCTGAGCTCGGTGGGGCACTCGTATTTTAGTGGTCCATGAGTTGCTAGAATACTGTTCCTCATCTCTTGTAGTATCATAGTGTACTCTCCCCCCATTCAAGTTGGAGGCCGAGGCCTGAAAAGAGGTTTTTGACTTGAAAGGATTAGGATGTGATACAGGAGGAATGGCAGGAAGGTAATACTCCCTTTTCTTGAGATGTGCTCTGTCAGCATTGTGCTGAACTGCCAGCAGTTTTTTGTCTAAGTATACACATGTCTGAAGTTTATTCCAGTCATAGACATAATCAAGCATATGAAGAAAATGCTTGACCCAAATGCGATACTGAAAGGCATACAACTAACTCAAAATTGTTGGCCATCAAACCTTTTGCAGTGTCAATAGCCCATGCAGGTGGTCTGAGATCTAAATAACCAAAGCTATTGAGTGATGAGAAAGCTAATGCATGGCAAGTTGTTAATAGGGTGTGAAGATCCTGATAGATTTTCTCATCCAATTTGTACACGATGTCTTTCATGAATGTAGTAGAGGAAAAAACCGATGTAAGAAGGAAATCTAGCATGCGTGTTTCTTCCGAGAAGGTCTCAGTGTACTGGTTATGCTTCAATACACAATCACTGGTGGTTCATAGGTTATTCCCAAGTCTCTTGTTCTTGCTGAGCTTAAGTACCTTTATAATCTGATCCTTATGCTCCTGCAAACATGAATGTTCTGTGAAGGTAAAGAGGGGAACACAGGATGGCCACAAGCGAGTAACCTTCCAGCTACCAGTGTTGGAAATGTCAGCTGGGTCAACTGGAAACACAAGCAGTGCTGGAGGATCTGGAAAGCTGAGCGAGTCACCAGGCATATGCTGAGTTGGAGGAGAACATTGTGAAGCAGATAAATGGATTGTTGAAATGGGTCCTAGCATAGTAATTGAATTCAGGGTGAGTAGGTGTGATAAGGTGCTGAAGTGAGTAGGAAATAATGAATAAAACGATTCCCTCTACAAGGTGATCCCAATGTGTCCACCAATGTTAAGAATCAGGGTATTTGAGCTAATACACAAGTTAATGAGTACTCAAGTAAAACCCAAGTCATGAGTGAGGATGTCCATAAGCCAAGTTCCAACCACCAAGAGAGATCCATAAGGGTGCTAACAAGCGCTAGGCATAGTTAACGAGGGCGTCAGCAAGCACTAGGCATAACTGATTGGGTCTCTGAAAAGTGCTAGGCATAGTCGGAAAGCAATTGATTGGCAAGTGCTTGGCATAACTGATCAGAGATGCTTAGTTCACACAATTAAGTGGACTTCGAAGATGAGTAAAATTAGCTTAAGATTCCAATACAATGGCAAGTACAATACTTATATACCACTAGTAAGTAGTGATGTGCGGGTCGGGTCAGGCTGGGTTTTGTGGGCTTGGGCTGGGTAATTCAGGGCCTGGGTTGAGATTTTGAGGAGCCCGAGCCCTAAGCCCTGACCCTCACTGGGTCAGGTCAGGCTTGGGTAGTAGGCCCAGGCTTTTCACATACCTGCTTGTTTTTCTGGCACCTCAGGCTCATCACATTCCTCCAGGGTCTCATCATTGGTACGTATGCATTTGGACTGCCGAGGTACAGATGGCACAGCAGTATGCTCATCATCGCCTGATGGGTTCAGATTGTCAGGACCACATTTTCACGATGATGAGGGTGGTGGTGGTGATGTACTTTCTCCATAGTGCTGAGGACGCTGATGATTGTGTCTTCCATTGACAATAAGATTAGGATCAGGCTCATCTCGCACAAGCATGAAGGACAAAGCAATTACTACGATTTTTCAGTATTTTACAAGTTATTTGTATCATGTAAGAACTGTACAGTTTATCAGCCACCAAAGAGATGAAATTCAAATGACAGGACATACCTGATATAGTCTCCACCTACATCTCTGATATCTCATTACATAGACCACTTGGTATGATGGTGTCCCTCATTGTTTTCACGCAGTGAGAGTCAGAGCGCAGAGATGACCATGGACACGAGAGTAAAGAAGGCTGGGATCAGTCAGCACTGCAACGGATGCCGTCCAGCATCAAACAGTGACTCAGATTACCAGGCCGAAAGCCCAGGGCTTGGGCTTTCTGAAGTCGACACCTGAGCCTTGAGCCTGCCAAAGCCCTCCACTAGGGCCAGGCTTTTCAGGGTCGGGTTGGGCTGGGTCAGGCTGGGTAGCAGGCTTTAAGCCTGACCCGGACATCACTACTAGTAAGGAAATAAGTCATTATTATTCTAGTATTCACAAGAAGGAAGGAGAAAGTAAGAGAAAGTAAGAGAAAATGACAGAAAATACCAGTAAGCTAAGGTCAAGGCCAAGAAGGCCAAGGGTAGGCATGTGTTGACTCATGTGCAGACCGGAAAAGACACAAGATCCATAACATCACTGTTATATATCAAAACAAAGCTGACTGCTGTTGACTTGGTAGTATTATTGCGAACCACTGCAACACCAGAATTTGTGTCAAAGCAGATGCTATCCTCAGTGCCGCTTCTCTTACTTTGGGACATCATGCCAACTTTTGTTGTAGGATCGACGTATGGAGGTGCTACCATTCCAGCCAAGGTAGGATGCTCACTCATTGTGACTTCAATCAGATCCCAGTATCATCGAAGACTTTCAAGAAAGTCTTGCTCAGCTTCTGATACACAATTTTTGCCTATTGTCATGACTATAATAACAAGCATTTCAAATGCAGTATTTGCCTGTAAACCCGCTCTCCGATTCCAATAGAAGAAACCATTCGGCACTTCTACTTCATGAGGCTGGGCTTTTTATTGGGCAACATCTGAGTAAAGTATGCATGAATTTGAGGAGGCCTGCTGTAAGTACCATCCCATCTCCTTAACTCGCCTTACTGATCATTCTATAGACTTTGCAGATCTGCTTGTTCTTTATGCTCCTAATACAGAGCAGCAATGATCATGTATCCATTACTCATACTTGCCATAGTACACTTGACAAGCAAGATGCCCATCAGAAGCTGGCGGTCCAGTAACCAGAAAAGTATGTCTTCCTCACATGCTGCCATCATGTACCCTGTTTTTCAGTTCGACCTCAATTCCAATGTTTCAAAAATACTCTCACAGAGTTATAAAACTGTTGACAAACTTGGAACGACATTTGTGTCTCTGTCTTATGTCAGCAGTCATGAATCTGAACACGGATGCATTGGGCTATACTCGATGTGACAAAGGAAGGATGAGTGGTGGCAAATATGAAGGCCTTGGAGGCACTTCGAAATTTGGCTGACGGTATGCTGACAAGAATCGAGGTAGAGCTTGCAAATAATCCAGCATTGTCGGGTTTTGTTTTTCTCTTTTCAGACCCAGCATGCATTGACACAATTTACATAGTCCATGTAGGATTGTCCTCCTTTAAATGTTTTGGTAAAGGGTAGGTCACTTGTAAACATTGAATAAGTTTGTTGAGCAGGTGTGGTCCTTCTTCTGTTTCCCACATAGAGTTGATGTTTCATCAGAATTTTGACACCCATGATATACGTCGTAAACATGAGAATAAACCGATAGTTAGAGTGATGTTCGTTTCATGAATAAGGCATGAAGCTCCATTATGATATCTCCAGTACAGTGTCTAGTATTGAATCTCTGTAGACACACAACGCTTTCTACGTAGACTGCCCTTCATTATATTCTGGCAGTGGTTTGTCCTCCAGGACACTCCATCGGCCCTGCTGCAGTCATTCATTCAGCAGTGTCACTAGTTCCTCTGCCGGCAGATTCTCCCTACTCTCTGCATGAAGCGGATTTGGCAGACCAAGTGAAGTGGTTAACTCAGTCTGTACATCCATCCATCTCTGTGTCGGGTCTCTCACCACTACCCCTGAAGATGAAGAGGACTCTACTGCCGCCAATGAGTGGATGCTGAAATAAAGTCACCATCGTTACCTTGCTCTGCAGATGAAAATCTGTCGTCTCAAAGCAAAAATTAGTGAGCTAACAACACACCATAGTACTCACCGCCATCTTGACAGCAATTCCCCAAGTTCAATTACTGTGCAGATGACGGTCATTCTCTGCCTTGTATCATAAACACAGTAATATCACAAACCCTCAAAAATGAATGAAAAGAACTTTCAAATTTGTTTCTTCAACAATCGGCGGATAGTGCAGAGATGGGGCATTCTGAAATTGCAGGTATTCGTGGTCACCGTATTGAAATTATTCTTATTTCCCGTTTTTTTTTAGTATCCTGTCAGATAACGGCTTGTGTAGTTTGAATTGGACTTCTCGGTCCCGGGTTCTATGTGAGTTTGGCTTAGATGCCTCTAGATCTCATGTAGTGGTCACCTACTCAGCATACTTCTGGTTCTTGGTTTGACCTCAATTCAGAAATTTCAAGGATAAGGCTCGCTAGCCTAAGTTAGGGATTTCCCCCGGATGATCGCCAAAGAGCTCGGAACGACTATTGTGCCTCTCCTTCTTGTGTGAGTAGCTAGCAATCTGACCCACATGGGTGCAATTATACTTACTCAGCTAGTGAATATGAAAGCCCTGGAGATGCTGTCAAAACTGATGGACAATGTGTTGGTGAGAATTGAGGCGGAGCTTGCAAAGAATCTGGCTGATGGTAGCTTTTGTTTTTCTTCATGGGACAAGCAGGCGGTGATAATAACTGTGTGCTCACTAAGCAAGTGCACTACTTGACATTCCTTTTTTTCGGTTTGTTCACCAATTGTACGTACATATTCACATTGTTCTTGCGCACACAGATAATTAATATGGTCACAGCCAGTAGAGTTCAACACCTTTCACATAGTTTGTCCTTCATGATACTCTGGCGGTGCCAGCTCGTCTTCCAAGACATTCCATCAGCCCGGCTGCAGTCGTTCATGGAGAAACCTCAGCAGTTCCTCTGTACGTGTATCCTCTCTTCTCTTGGGTAACGGATTTTGTGGACTTGTGGCAGCTTCAAGTGGAGTCGTCGATTCAGCCTGTGCATCCATCCTTCTCCCTGCTGCATCTTTCTCCACTGACCAGTTCATATGGTGTTCTACTGAAGTCGCCATGAATGGTGTGAGTCTTTGTGGGGAGCGCTGGTTCACAACAACAGGAGCATTGTTCCATCATCTACGCAGGAGAACAATGCCCACGATTATACCCGTGAAGACCACTAGTCCACCAATGACACCACCGACTATCGCTCCAGTTGGAATGCCACTAGAAGTGGGATCATCACTCAATGTCGATGATGGCTGATCGTCTGCAAGCTGTATTGCACTAAGCAATGAGCTTATTGCTACAGTCTGGCCAGCACTGGAGAACAAGGTGCTTTGTGCTCCTGTCCAGGGTAATCCGTAGATGTTACTTCCACCTGAAGTGGTCTGATTAATGACAGCATTATACTGCACCAGAGTGAAATAAGCTATGTGTGTCAGAAGCGTAGATTTATGCAGGCTCACTTACACACCAATGTATTCCTTGATATATTCTCGAAGATCTGAGGATGTCATGTTGCATTCATATAGTGCTGCCAGGGCCCATACAATGTAAAGCCCTCCAGTTGTTTCAGCTTCATTGTCAGATAACAACAATGAGTGCATGACATAAAGTTATGAGCAAAGGAACGTACTAGTGATGACTCCGTCCAATCCTTGCCATTGTGGGTAAGTTGTAACGTTACTAATCGTACTGCTTAATCTATCAAATGTCATGATTCAGTATGTCGACAATCATAATCTATTAGCACATACAAGGCTTTAGTGGATGCATTATGGGTGATGTCAGCTAGGACGACCAACCCTTCTATAAAGATCCCCGAATTGTAGGGGCATGCTGTCAAATCCACTGAGCAAGATTCATTTAACTGTGATGACATAGCTATGATATTAGATGAATCCAGAAGATGCATCTGTATAAAATTAGCCAACTTGATGGCAGCATCGAGATATGTCTGATTGGATGTTGCTTCTGCCAATAGAGCAGAAACGCTTTATCGCAGTCAGCAATGCCCGCTTCCAGGAACATTATGACACATATACAAGAAAGAAGCTGAATTCTCAGAGTTGGCCATGAGGTAATGATAAAACAAAAAGAAAACGAACCCAGAGGCTAGACTAGTGAGTATTGGGTCATTGGAATCACTGGTCTGGTCGGTTTATTAATAAATGAGGCATTGATGTAAAACAAAGCTCACCAAAAAGGTGCCGCCTTCTAGAGTTACTGTCGACAGGGATCAGTACACAGATCAGTTGTAGGCATCAATGGCACCCACCGCCCAGACATGATGATGAGAGATTGAAGTTCTTGACTTCTGTGGTACCCGAGGCAGCTTTCTCATCAGATATCATATATTTCCTCACAGAAGTCCACAAGGTCACAGCCAGATTGAGGAAGTCTGTGTCTGGATAAACAGTGTAAGCCTGAGCTGCAGCATATCCATAATTCCTACAGAAAGTAAGCATGGCAATAATGTCAGTGCATGATCTAGCTCACAGCCCACAGTACAGCTATTGTCGAGAATAGCATTGTCAATTATACAAAAACACTTTTAGCAAAACAAGTCTAACACTTTTCGAATCAAGGTCAGTGAGCAGCAACCCAGAGGATACAGTGAGAGCATACGGATTACTCAAAAAATTAGAATGCACCGACTCTGCAAACTTAAAAAACTGCTTCAACACTTCCTTGTACTTTGTTTGGTTTGTCAGTCTATCAAATTCGGCCATTTGTGCGTAAAGCTTTCCGGGGGTTCTGTATACTGTACTATTTCAACCGTAAGTTCAGCCACTGTTAGGTGTTAGGACAGTAGTTCATTCGGTTGTCAGTTCAGACACTGATGTCAGGCGTTAGGACTTATGAGTTCAGTTCAGTTCAGCCAGCATGGCCCATCATCAGCAATCTTACAATCCTATAGAGGCTATAGGTACCATAGCATGTATAGAGTATTTCCTTGGTCACACCGGCATTTACTTTCTCTATACTCCTATAATTACCATACCATTATGTGAGCTGGTACTAGTTTAGTCACTTAGTAGTAGTAGTATACTACTGCGCTTATTTGAGAGTTAATAAGTTAATTGTTCTCATTCATGTATTCAATTCACTGTTATATGGCCCTCGTATATATCTTCAGCCACTGGCATAACCTTCCTGGACCTTCTCCGACTCAGGCTTGTGGTTCTCCTTTTCTACAAATCTTTCCCAGCCCTTCCACAGCCATTGATGCTCTTCTTCTGCCTTTCGCCACTGCCTCAAGTCTGCATTGTCAATCCAATCAGCCAGCCTTTTGAGCTTGTGCAGTGCCTCCCGTGTCTCCTTCAACCCAGCCCTCAAGTTGTGTGAGATGACCCCCACATCGAATGACACACGAAAGCCCTCAAGAGCTTGTAGAATGCGAGTTGAGCCATTTGACACTTCTAGATCGAGCATCATGAAGTCCCAGGTGCTAGGACTGTTGTATTGGATGTCGATTTCTGAATCGCCACTCGTGTTTCCTGGTGATGCCATTACAAATTGATCCTCTGAGTCTTCATCTTGCACAAAGTAGGACTTTTTCTTTGGCACATCCACTGGTTTGGTCGAGCTAGGTATGATGTTGTCAGCCTTGGTTCCTGTTACGCTGAAAATAACCATGTGCATGGTATCGTACAGTTTGCCTAATCTTCGACTTTTGATTGCTGCTTGCATAACTCTCCAATGATGCTCCTTGGTTAAAGGCGCCAGTCTGTGGGGGCGTGCAGGAGTATTGAAAAAGGCATATGGGTCATCAGCGGGCATGGTCGGAGGAGGAGAGAGAGCTGCACTAGCCAGGAACCTGCTGAAAAATGATAATAATGTTATTTTTATTATATTAAACAATCTCATGCATATGGTGATCTGCATATTTACTGATATAAAATGCACTGAAGCAGTCCAGAGAACGTGAATAATGAAACTTGTGTGGTAATGTTTTAGCTCTGAACACAGGCATCAAATGAGCACCACATAGAAGTGCATCCAAATGAACCACAGTGACGACCACATTGCACCTAACACCCTGGTACTTGGGTTGTACAATCCACATGCCCGTTTTAGGGTCTGGGCTATGACCATGCCTCTTGAACCAATGCACCAATGCACAAGGAAACTCTGTGCCCTCGTGTCTGAAAGAAAACAAGAGCAAAATACAAACAGCACTCATGCCCCGAAATCCCAACTCCCTCTCATTGGTGACAGCAAGAGCACAATCATATCGAGGATAACCATGCCATGATGGTGTGGCATGTATACGTTCATGGCACATGCCCCTGATGCCAGAGATGTCACTAGGAGAATAGAATGTTGCAGTGGTGGAATGAAAGACAGATATCAGCATGGTGATTTTAGGGCATTCGTCCAGACTGACATGATCAGAAGATTCTCCTGTCAGTTGCTCGTAGAGAAATCGCTGTGTAAGCTCATGCAAATCGGCTTGTCCTACATAGTGACCCAGCTGCACAATATTTCTGGGATATAGTCGCTCTGGCATAGTATGGTCTTAGTTGCATGACAGGGTAGCACAGTGAGTTTCATACCTGCGGTCCTAGCCAATGAAACCTCTGCCATGATGCGATCCCCATCAACAGCGCCTTCATCCTCCAATCCTGTATCAAATGGATCTGGCAGAGGCACATGCAAAGGTTCAAGAAGACCCCGCTGAACTAGATCTGCATGCAGAGCTGCAAGCTTGTTGAGCTGTTGATTCATGAGTAACATCTGACTCAGAGTGTTATATTGATTGGATCATCGCCATGGCTTTTTGACAGCAGTAATGTGCCACGATTCAGTGATTGAGGAGCAAAGACCATTAGGAGCACCAAATTCCATAATGTGGCTAGGATAATGCACAATGGCATGCTGTCGAGGAAGAGAGAAGTCTTCATGCACACCAGCCACTCTGAAAGCCTCACGGTAATGGTGAAAACATTGGATAGTGTCTCGGACTTGTTTTAACATAGTCTCATCGAAGTCTGAATGCCAAACGAGATAATAAAAGTCCATAAATGCTGAGAGACATCGCATGATGGATTCTGGGAGATAGTCTGAAACCGCAGCTAGGTAGACCTGGCCAAACTTCAGCAAGCTGCCATCACGAAATTGAACAATGTTTACCTTCATTAGGGCTTTTGAATCGTCCCCAGTCCATTGCTTGAATCTTCGACCCTGTGGAAATCATCATAGCCCAGGGAAGGGAGGCATTGCAGCAATTCTAGGGATCAGACATTAGCTGGAATGGCTCCGGGCAGGTCTAAACACATACCGGTGATCTATATCATCCATGATAGCATTTGCTCGGGCTTCTCCTTCCTTGGCAACCAAGTACTTGAACACCCACTCCACCAGGTGGTCCTTGAAAGACCCTTTGATAATCTGATGTAGAAGGTCCGAGGACATCATCTCATGAATATCGGCATGAGGAAAATTGAAGGTGAACGGCTTATTAACCAGTCAGATATCAGTGAGGTTAAGCATGGCAGAACACGCCTACCAGAATATCCTCATCAATGCCATAATTGTCCCATAACACATCACCCTGCCAAGCAAGAGACTCCAGTAAAGCCTCAGTATGTGTGCATGAACGCTGATCTCCTGATCCATCCAGATTGGTCACAGGAGCAGTACACCTACAAGGACCAGTTAATTGTGTTATTTAACATCATTGATAGGTCACATACTTGGCGCACCAGCCTTGGACAATCCCTGCCAAAAGAACTTGCTCTGGATAATCGACGATGTATGGACCCAGATCATAGATTACCCACCGATAAAATCCATCAGGGCACTGTCACACTACTGGTACGGTCATTGCAGGCTGCAGGGAGTGGAGTATAGCTGTGAGAGATTGGTGATACAATTTCTTCTTGAAAAGCCAGAAGGCAAGGTCACGGTCGTATTTCCGATCCGCTACAATGGCCGTCTTGGTGAGCTAACAAACCAGGGCAGCTGAATGGAAGAGCATACACTTAGGAATGGCAAGGAAAGCAATTGGTATAACCCCGTTATGATGGCCTCGTTGAGCGGAGTTGTGGAGGTTTCCGATGGAAAGATAAACCAGGTAATATTCCACATTGCCTGTCGCAACTGAAACCGTAGTCTTGTCACTGCCGAGAATTACACCAATGTACATGGCACCCTCAGTATCATTGTTTGCTTCATAAATCTGGGTCTGAAAGGTGCAATAACAAAATGAGGTGAAGAACTCAGATAGATAAGAATGAGGTACATACTGCATGCCACCATGAATAATTCCCAGACATAAAGTCACTCCACCGCCATTGATTGTGAGCATCGAGATGCACGTAGGGTGCTGTATTGAACTCCTTCTCGAAGTCCCGATTCGCCAGTATGTTGGCAATGACCAGATCGGGGTCACGAAACCATACTTGATATGGCTGCTTCTGCCAGTCTGGAGCATCTGCACCGAGATTGGGTGGTACAACGGTCTGAAAGCATTTCCATGGTGCACTTCCAACACAAATTTCATCAATAGCCTTGTAAAGAGCTTGATGGTTATCAAATGGTGCATCATCCTCATGCTTGTGCAGGTCAAGGGCCCACAAGTCCATAAGTTCATCGATATCTCTCTGTGACATCTTGACTTTGCGGAAGAGGAAATCGGCCGGATGAAACTGAACTTCTCCATCAAACAGGGCCCAGACATTTGGAATGGCAGCGAGAGGTGGGGGTGGACTATCTGGAGGCAAAGGCTGACTGTCTTTATCACATTTTTCACCTGGACAGATCAATGAGTGTGCTGGTAGCCAGGTCAAAGTGATAACATACCAGAAAGATAAGGATGGTAAAGTTTTTTCTCCTGTGACTCGGGTGGCTGTCCAGGCAGTGTAGGAGAAGTTGGCAGTGGTGAGACGAAGGTGGTCCCGTCTATGTCCAGGCCCTCATCAATGTTGATTATTGGCAAGATGGTTGGGGAGATCAGTCTCAGTTCAGAGTCAGATGACTTGCTGTCTGGATCAGTTTGAACCGCTGGTGAGATTTGCGGTGCTCGATGATGAGTTGAATTGATGTGTTTAGTGAGGTCACCAGCTCGTTTGAATGTACAAATACACCCTGGCCAGGTACATTGATGCCGAACCATTGTCTATAGCTAAATGAGAGAGAGAACCTATGAGCAGATGTCTAGTACCAATGTGGAACAGGAGATTCAGCTTACCAATTTTTTTTTCAGGCGATCGCGCAAGTTCTATCTCTCCCCTCACCCATGGCCTCCCATATGTCTACCCATGGTGTAGCCAGCATGGTTCCCTCAGAATTAATACCCCACACTCGTGCTGAGCTGGCTGACACTCGACGCCAATGCACTGAAGCCAAGGAGCATAAGAAGGAGGTTAACAAAGAGAAAAAGAGACAGCGAAAGGAGCAGCAGCAGCAGGCACAAAGGAAAATTGCTGCTCTGGAGGATGCAAGTGCACGAGAGGATAAGGCAATCTACTCCCTTCATCCTGATCTTGATTTGATGAAGAAAGGCTTACCTGCTCCTTCCCGCCAGTGTGTCACAGTCAAATCATCGAACAAAAAAGCCATCACAGCTGTTAACGTTCTCCCATGAGCCATCACTCTGGTAATCAGCTCTCCATTGAGTATATCAGCTGAGCTTCCTCCTGCTGATGAACAGGGGCCAGATGATGCTGAATCTATGGACGATCTTCCACCGGTGTCTGTAGTGGCTACGTCTGAGTCAGATGGTCTTGCAGATAATGGGATGGATGTTGATTTGGCATCTGAGAGCGAGCAGTTACCCGCCATAGAGGACTCGAGCATGCCTGTACTGGTTGAAGAAGACGATTCTGATGATGCATATGTGGAGGGACAATCAGGCAGTGATGAACCTAGTGAGGATGAGGAAGCTCTATTCCAAAAGTTTCTGCTCCGGCGTTGCAAGATGAAGAAGGCTGGCTCCAAACTGAAGGAACGAGAGGGACCAGTGCAGCCTGAGTCGAAGCAGGTCAAGAAACGCCCTGTAACCAAGGTAAGTGAATCTTCTGCCTGCATTATCATGATGAACACCCACATTTGCACAGATTTCTGTTGACAAGTTGGAAATTCGCAATAGTATAACGGGTCTTCGCACAGTTGCACCAAAGCCAGCTGTCTATCCAATTGCCCAGACTAAAAAGCATCCTCAAGGATCTGATAATGAACAAATGTCAGTGGTATGCTTAGTATGCTCACAGGATCGAAAATGCTCACAAAGTTCAGTCCGGTTAAGCGTCCCAAGTCCAACAGCATTGGTGGCCTCATGTCCAATTGGGAGAAGGTGTACCAACAAAGCGAGCCCATGGCATCTACAACTTCGCTGGCAGTTTCCAGTACAGGGGATAATGAAGACAAAAATCAGCCCCAGGCTATTGGTGAGTTTCACGAAGTCGATGATGTTGAGGTTGTCAGAGAAGCAAGAAAGGCAAAGTCCAAGTCTCAGAGTAATGTCAAGGCCCAGGCAACCAACCATGCCATCAAGGTCGAAAAGGTATGTGCTATGAAGACGAGCAAACAGCAACTGACATCATTTGTCAGAAATCCATCACGGTGGAACTGGAGTTAGCTAACATCAACAAAATTGATGGGACGGAGCATGGGAAACCCAAGTCGAGAAAGACCGCATGGAAGTTCAAAGACTTGCCTCTTCCCACTGCTGCTGATGTCAAGCTGTTCAAACAGAATGTGGTGGTACCAATCCTAGATTGGACTGCAACACTTGAGAACCTCTTCAGCGCCAACAGCCACTCTGACTTGAGGCCGACCGTCATTCGCTTATGGACTGACACGTTTGCCCACCTGCCCAAGTATCTCGATGACGCGAAGAAGGAACCTCATGCAGAGCATCCGGCTATCATGGGTGTGGTATGTAGACTGTGTCTCTATGTCTCTTATTAAGCTGACAAGCCCCAGATACAAACGCAAATCTGCTCACATCACAGTGAAATTGGGAAGGCTGCCATGACGGCTTTATCTCGAAACTGGAAGTATGCAGAGTTCAAGGAATGCAAGACAGCTGAACAGCGAGCTGCATGGGTTCGAAACGCAGCCAAGAACAAGTGGTTCATTTATGAAAAGCCGGAGAATTCTGTGCATCGCATCCAATGTGTTAACTGCAGCAATCTGAGATGTCTTTGCAGGCGGCCAATGGATGTGGAGCTTACCTTGGACGACTTATCATTGAAACGATGGCCTACCACGTCCAGCGTACCATCCACACTCCGATTACATCTGGACCACCAGCAGGCGCACTGGCACTTGCTGCCGCAGCGGTATGTGCGAACTTATATTTGCTGCAAGGTTGCTAATGAGATCCATAGGTCAAGCGTGCGCTGCAAGTCTGGAAGAAAGGGGTCAACACGTTGGCCGGAAAACAGTCCAAGAATTCTCCTGACAGTTTCGGCGAAGATCCTTGGGGCGCAATAGCGAAGCAGCATTACAAGAACACCCGGGCACTATCAATGGAGAAATGGAATGAGATTTACCTGCATTGCCGGGAGTTTAGCGCAGGCAGGAAAGGGGATGATGAAGACTCAGATGAAGATTCGGGGGAAGAAAGCGATGAAGTGGATATGTCTGAGTAAAGGTATGTGCCATGCCATCCTCACTACAAAGTGCTTACATGCAGCTACTAGTATTGAAGTGCCAGTGAAGATTCAAGCCTCAATGGGGGTCATAGTACGCAGTGTCTCCTATGGACGAACTAAAGACAGTGTAGTCGATTAGATTGCTATTTTTGTGCTTTGTTGGTACATCATTTAACGAATATAATGCCTGTCTCAATTGACATACGGCGTGGCAACGATGCGAAAGAACTGGATACTAGTGATTCGATATCAGTGAGTGACGCATAACCGAGGTATAGATCTATGACCAGGTGGTATATGCAGGGTGTAGCCCTACGATTATGGTTATAGAAATCATGCACCCCCGTTATAGCCCTATACCGCATTATAGAATATAGGGTGGCATAGGCAGGGCTATCCTATGCATCCTATAGCAGTTGCGAGATTGCTGATGATGCCAACCATCATGACAAAGAAGTATTGACACAGAATGATGGTAGGAGCCTCGAGCGTGCTGAATTGTAGAACCATACTCTTGATCCTTTACCAGAATCTTTGTGTCCAGCTGAAGATGAACCCTTGGGCCGTGGGCATAGAAAAAAGAAGCCGCTTAAGCAATTTGAGGACAACTGGCATGACATGAAGTTTGGGGGGCAGGAAGACTAGGAGCTGGAGGAAATTAGATTTACACACATTATTGTAGTTACAGGTGAAAATTTAGATCTACGAGGCAAATTTTAGCCCTATTTCAGTTTGCACAGATGTCAGTTCAGACACCTGTGTTAGGCATTAGGGCATATGAAATAAGTTCAGTTCAGAGTCTGCTGTTAGGCGTTAGGTGAACTTACGGTTGAAATAGTACAGTAGTGAATCTGAGAAATTAAAATACTTTAGATAGAAGCTCAATGCTGAACATGGAACAAATGAATGCACCGCTAAATTTCCCATTGGACTGGAGCATGCTAACCGCTTTTTCGATAGCAGCACTCGCAATGGTGATGCGGTTGTCCTTGGACAATGTGATGTTAGGATTCTAGTTCTTATGTTAGCGTTTGACCTTGTCAACCAGAGAAGCGCCACTCACTTTCCAGAATGTAGACGGCATGAGATCCTGTGCTGCAACGGATGCTATCAACGACGCGACCAGCATCCATACAAGAAGGAGAGTAGGCATTTCTAGAGACTAAAGATGTCTGTATCCGGCAAGATAATGGGAATAGTGAGCGGGAGATGAGGAATCCAGCAAGAAGATGGGAATCAAGGCACTAAGTAATTTGGATATCGGCGAAGTCTGAGGGATATGTTAGGGCTATGTATATAAGGCAACAATGAGCTAAGGCCTTGGTTACAGAGCACGAGGAAGTGGATATATATTTTTGTCGATGTTGCCAAGATTAATTCTGACACCTTGCACTCGAAAGTGGTATTACGAATTCCGTACAGCAGCCCCTCATGTGTGGTGCACAACCGGTCTTTGGAAGACTATACTGAGCAGTAGGACTAGGAAAAAAAGATATACACTATCTACATTGAGTACTCGCATAAAGTACCACAAGTTTGATGCTGATCGCTCTCAGTCGAAGATCTTCACCGGCACATCAACTGGTAGCATAATCAATGAAAATGGACATTAGAACGGATCTTCAGCAAAATAGATGCGTGTATATCAATGTTTCAGCAACCAAGTTGTCCTAAGGTCGAACCCACAGGCTGCATCGCACAACAGTATAGACAGCACTAGCAGTGCGCACATGGGAGGGACAGGAAGCGTGTCGATGGACTAATGTCTCGGAAAGGAATGGGAATGCGGAGCGAAAGACGAGATGAATGATGCGCTGGAAAGAAGACGGGATTTGATCACGGCAAAATGGCAACAAGACTGGATTCGAATCACGGCACTGGAGCACTTGGAGCCGTCAGTATCCGGGCTTATGCAGAATCCGGACAAGACAACAATGATACCAGACATCAGTTCGGCAGGCTTGGAGTCGAGACCAATGTCGCAGCAAGAATGCTATCGAGTATCTTCATGCCGAATTGTAGGCTGGGGGAGGAAGAGACGTTGAATAAAGCTGAATATTCACAAAGTTTGTCGGGATTGATGAGGCGCCGAGATGACATCAGTTAAGGAGCCAAGGAGTAAATGAGCGTCCTTCCGACTAACACGGTTTTGCGGTATAATTAGTCTATCTTCGTGACACATACAACGAATTAGCCTCAAAACGCGAACAGGTGCGAGGACCACTGGGCATATTGGCGCCATCGACTAAGTTGTATACACTAATACCGGAGAAACACTGAAACACCGACAGTAATTCTGACCCGTGGAATACATAAATTTTACGTCAAGGACACTACTGTAGTATAACACCAACGTAGCAGGTGCGTACAGTCTTCCTCTACTGGTATTCCACCGAACAGTTCGCATAGTAGGGCCTTACTCGTCTGTATGCTCGCTTCTGGAACTTTTTCGCTCTCCACAAGCCTCTCATATTGGGAAGCAACATCATTGCCGATGGACAGGGATCCGGTAGTAGTGATGACACGCCAAGGGTAACCTCAATTGGGCTTCTTTGCTCTTACAGGCCATGTGTGCACCAGGAGGCTCCTTCAAGTGTCATGGCCTTCTAAGACGGAGAGATCTGAGTTATGGAGACGGTACGTTTTCTCGTAATATCCATTAGCTGCAATGCATGATTGAGTACACAGTGAATGAATAATGCAAACATCGGCTATTATCGATTCGAATCAGAGAACCATGGGCCGAGTCCCGACGAGGATATTTCTAGCCAGCGACCGTCTCTCTCACACCCATGAAACCAGCTATCAAGAAGACTTGTCTCACCGGATCGGGAAAGGCATTCAAAACGTATGCTGTACCTGTATTCTCATGCCTTTCACTTAACAGCACGGCAATAGGAAAATTTTGATATTCGCTGATGAAGATGACGCTAGGATGATTCAATGCATCAAAACCCGTCTTTTCGAAACCAGATACCTTCATTACTACAGCACCCGATTCGTAGACGCGACTCTTCATTTTGATCAAACTGATGTCCATCACGGCCTCTGGCGTCGATACCCTCATATTGGGACGGTTCTGTGATTCCGCGTCTTTCCTTTCTACCACCATGACCGTGCAAACCGTGCATTAGTTTTCCGTCTAATTCGTTCTCCTCCTTTCCATTATCTTTCAGGAATTGAATCTCAACATATCATTGGCTTTGGTACCCACCCTTTATCTCGGTCGTCTGTCTTTTCCCCATATTATGCTTAGCGACATGTTTTATTTAGACAGCACATCACGACCCTCAAAACACGGCTCTTTGTGTGCGCTGAAATCCCGAGGGAAGCATCGAGGGTGTGATACGTCAAAGTAAGTTTCCCAGATTCCATGCAGACATTGCTATTTATTTTCTACAGGCGCTGTACTTTTTCAGGCCGTGCATGCTGATGAGTGCACTGCTTCAAAGTGAAGGCAGACTTTGAAGTACCCTGGGTACATCTTTGCATCTCATCCTATCTCATACACTAACCTAAGCATAACACAGACATGATGACACGTTAAGCCTTGCGGGAAGCGAACGTGTTCCGATGTTGCGCCAAGACCACGTGTCGACGTCCTGCGAGCGAGGGTGAGTGTGTACTACGTTGAATTGTTAGTTTGACTGAATTTTATTTCGAGACGACAGATCTTCGTCCGCAGACCAAGGTGACAGCAGTGTATTTGTTTTGGCTTCTGCACCTCGTCGTCCTAATAGCTAGCTCAAGACTTTTGGGCATGAAGATAAGCTAACGGCGGGGGCTAGTCTTTGAGTATATGGATCGACATCCAGTGAGCAAGGTAGGCTACCGTTTGTGTTTCTTCAGTGAAGTCTTACTCATTTATTCGTATTTTGATGTTTCTAGGATCAAACTTTTCCTGGAGGCTAAATTGTCTCGATATTGCACCAAGACGATGTATCGACATCCCCCGCGAGCAAGGGTGGGTGCGTACTATATTGGATCGTTAGTTTCACTAAATTTTACTTTGAGGCGACAGATCTTCATCCGCAGACCAAGGTAACAATGGTGGGTTTGTTTTGCTTTCTGCTCGTTGCCATCCCCGATAGCTAGCTTGAAGACTTTTGGACGTTGTCAAACATACCCCCCCCCCGCCTTTGAGTATACGGATCGACGTCTGGCGAGCAAGGTCAGCAAACGTTAACGTTTCTTCAGTGAGTTTGTTATTCATTGTTTCTCGGTTTCATGTTTAAGAACGAAGCCGTTGCGGAGGAAATGGAACACATTTACACCGTGTATGGCATTTATTTAGAGTTTCGTCTAGGGCGGCAAATGCTCACTTTTTGGCAGATCTAAACTCGAAAATCCCAAGGTCAAAACCTTGCGGAGCCAAACCTCAGCCGGGTCATAAGTCTTACGCCCTGATTTGGCGCTATTTTTACAAGTTTAAGTCGAAACCGTGCCTTCAATCCTCACGGAACCAAACCTCTGCTGGGTCGCTAGTCTGCCATTGTGACCACGAATTTCACCTGTTTAGAACGACTGGGAACCTCATTTTTAGGACTCGGTTCTGTGAGAACCCGAACCTTCCGAAGCGAAAGTCTCGTGGGGAGGGTAAGACCTTGTTCCTGAGGCGTTCAGTAAGTTGTCATTTATGATCATTTTCGCTGATTTGTTGCTGATTTTTCCGGTCTGTTAGCTATGAAAATGAAAGCTATAAACGCGTACCGCTGAACGTCAGTAAGGTTTTGTTCATGTTCGTATTTCGCTCACGATCTCTTCCCTTTAGGACTCATTGTCGGCATCAAAAATTTGGACTCGGAAACGTTGCGAAGGCCAATCTACGGGATCTACGGTAAGCCTGGATTCTTCAATTTGGCGTGTTTTCCTAATAACGGCTCGTAGTCGAGGTTGGCTAAACACGGTCAGAAGTGCATATCTTGCTGTTCATATCATTTTGTTTTGTGTGTGTTGCGGTGAGTTCGGATGTGGATAGCGGTCAGAAGGAATGATGGCAGGGTCGTCATAGTCTGAAGCCATCTTGGGCAGGTCCAAAGATGGACTATTTTTTTACGATCCTGAAAGAGGTGAAGGGAGGGTGGTGTTCTGCTAGGAGGGAGTGATGACGTACGCAAAGGAGCTTGACTTGTGGGTCGTTCGCCAAAAATGCGGAGATAGGAAAATAAATAGCTATACTTAGATGCGGGATCGATTCCTAAGTGCGCGGTTACAAGGACCTGATATCCGCACCAGCAACCGTCAATGCGTCATTTTCCCAAGCGCGCGGTTTTTGGAAGAGGGCATAGCACGGCGGATTATAGACGCAAGCAAGGACGCGCATGTATTCAATAGCAAGGTACAACAGGTATTAGTATATAATAATACTGATTCCGCGCACATCGCCCCACCCACTCATCCACACCACCTCCGCATATTGCGTCGCGGGTGGAGGTCGATATCTATGGAGTGGATTTCGTGTAGGGTTCCAAATGCAGAGGCCTAGTTCTCTGTGACATACGTAAGTCAGCCGTCGTTCATCAAATCAACGGGCGCTTACCCATCCAACGCCACAGTGATACTTGTTTCAGACTCTGGATCTGCTCATACCAGTGAATACCGCGTCTTCTTTGATACGGTCAGTATCCACTTGTCTTGGCTTCTGGGACGAATTTGATCTCAGATACAGGCGATCCAGTGAAGCTCGTCTCACTCGCTCGCGTCAGAGGAGTAGCCGAGTCAGCAGGCATGGCGTGTATGCTGGTCGGGATCGGTGTCATTGAGGGAATATGGGTAACCATTGGAGAGGATGTCGATTTTAAATGTGTTTGTCCATACGTCATGTAATCGTGCGAGTACGTGGAACCATTTACATGCCTGTAATCTCAGTGACCACCACTGTACAGACGGGAGAGTCTCACCTGGTGGAAGGGAGGAATGTCATGACAGGGAAAGGTGGCATTGTCAAGAAAGTCGTACTCTTGGACGTTCGAGTCCAGCAGGTTTATGGGCCAATGCAACGGATGCCTGTAGACGTTGTCGCTATCGATGAATGGCCCTGCACTACTGCCGTGAGACAGAGCAACGGGAAATGTACGATGTAGAAGAAACCCAGAGGCATAGACGGCGAGAAGGAGGGAGAAAGCGCGGCAAGCTCACAATAGCGAGTGCAGTGATGGTGGTGAAAGGTAAAAGGATCCGGGAATTCGATCCGGTGTATTTTGAACTTATTTGCCGTTGTCGGCCGATTCTTCCCGGTCCCGGCTTGCTTCTGCAACGCTAACTAGGAATGTCGTCTGTTCCATTCTGCTTGCTTTCTTGCTTATATTTCCTTCAGATAGACAAAATATATTACTTGTTTTATTTCTTTTCACTTGATGTACGTGTTTCGACGGATACCAGCTCGATACGCACAAGAACCAGACCCACTACCTCGACCGCGGCGGTCATTCCCGGCGGTAAAAAAGTCTTATCGCATTGGATTGTGGGGAAGACGTTAGAAATAGTACGTTGTTCTCCTATTCACACGCCTTCCACTTAACAATGTCATGGTAATAGGAAAATGTTTATATTCTGCTGATGAAACCAACGTCAGCTTGATCAAATACAACACGAACCATCTTTTCGGAACCACATACCTTCATTACAAATTCATTACAAAAGCAGCACCCGCTTTGTAGACGCGACTCTTCGTTATGATCAAACCGGTGTACATCGCGCCCGTGACATTCCTCAGGTTCAAACCGCGCAAATCGCATCAGCGCTTTCTCAGCCAAGAGCATCTGCTATGTTTATCACATACTAGCGGGTTTCAGCCGGTTCCTATTGTAGGAGCGCTCAAGGTATGCCTTGGGATCTACATGAGCATCATATCTTGATGGAGCATATATCCAACTGAAGAACCAGACGAATGCTGTTGCTGCTGAGGATGGTGGAGATTGCGAATAGTATATGATTTGGATGAACAGCTCTCTGGTCAATGTACGATCTTTCCTCTATCTTTTGTCATTATCTGATCACCCTTTGTTGCAGAATATCGTCTCGTAGATCCCGGCTCCAACACGAACATATCTACTGGACATGGCTTCCTCCACTCATGATTGCAAACCTACCGCACCCTGGAGAGAAGCATTAGCTCGTTGAATATCCGGCGGACGAGAGACCGGGTCTCAGCTGCTCTTCTGTGGGGTGGGGCAATGTTTGTCCGGAGATCATCAGTGGGAAGAACTCCCATAAGATGCCATCATTGTGACGACATGATCTAGTATCGGTGCGCTTGAAGCCGACCTTTGTGTGGCTCAGGTGGCGCAGTTTTCGTGGCAGACGTTGATGTGCTAGCACTTTCTCATCGCAGGCTATAGCCTGCGATAGCCGATTTAGGGAACCTTGTATACGCAGAGTCTTTGGTGTCAAAGGGCGCTCACGTCTATCCAACCACCTTTTGGTTCAGCGACGGGCCAATCGAGTCCCTCCCGGGTCCTAATATGTGTCTTCAGGACAGCCATCACCGGACCACTGGAATCGTCGTTTTCGTGGCATCTGTTTTTCTTCATTCAAGGCGCGCTTTCTTCTCGTCGTTCACCTTGCGTTTCTGATCACGTATGCAGGATGCCTCGGTGACTCGTTAGCTGATGACGCAGACGATGCACGAGTCAAGACAGGATGTTTGTTCACGTTCCGAAGATATATCTCAAACACAATGCCGCAGGGCACTGTATTCGACTGGCTCTGATCAGGCCAAGAACCTAAATGCCTCTTTTCCTCCACATCATTTTCTGATGTGCTCAGGGAAGCAGTATCTCTTCCTCTTTGTTACCGCCACAAGAAAACGCCAAGATCATGGTGGCTAGGAAAGGAGCGCCTACGTTTGAATTAGGGATGTGCACCGTACCGTTACGGATACGGCCGTACCCCTGACGGATGGATACGGATACGGATGGACCGTGTCCGTACCGTAGGAGCAAGAAAAGCGACGTTCACGGTACGTACGGGTATATGTACGGACGTAACGGCCGTATTACGGTCGTAGAATACACTCAAAAGACCTGCATGCTCTCCGCAGCATAATACTAATAGTCATTGTCGTCTCCATGTAGAGAAAAGAAGATGTACTATAAAAACAGTCAGTTTCGAAGTCTTTCAGGGAATCAAAGAGACTTACACATCTTGTGTTCATGAATCGCGTGGGCAAAGTCATTTTGGTGGTCTGTATCGTAAGAGTGGCAGTGAGTGTGGACAACAATGGGAACCTAAGCAAGGAATGAGTGAGGTATGCACATCTAATACTCCGGAGTTTGTTGCATCGTGCCAGGGGATACGGTACTGGTTTGATTTGTAAAAAAACAGATTGACGACGGGAACTTGCACATTGCTGAGACAAATGCAAATTGTCATAGAGAGAGGGGGACTACGCATGGCTCATTGGAGTAGGTTGGTCAGGTAATTGGCGTACCTTGTACCAGGTTGAATTATTTAAGTTGAAACACTCGACAGATTACCGTGGCAAGCAATTTTCAGATGAGAAAGTGGAAAGGGAGTACCAAAAGTGGCTTCGGTTTGATATCAGTTGCAGCTGCCGTATATGGCCGTAACGGCTTGTCCCGTATGGTTGTTACGGGTACTCACCGTACCGTGAACCGTACGGTACCTTGCAGTCTCGCACTCGCAACGGTACGGACCCGTATCCGTGTGTGCCATACGTATCCACTGTATTACGGATACGGTGCACATCCCTAGTTTGAATGGAATGCGGGAGTTTCTAGACCTGTGACCGGACCCCTACAATGAGCAAGCGTCAATGTAGGGGACCTGTAAAGCTGACTTTTAATTCATAGGCGACATGGTTAGGCATTTGCCGAGGCCCAAAAAGGCCATTTGAGTCATTACCATATTGGGGTTTTGGTGGTGATCGCATCTATTTTGTTCAGATACTATTGTGTCTCGATGCGACTTTGCTCTGTACATTTCGTTAGCCATGGTCCAGCAATCGAATCCATTACCAGAAGAATCTCTTTGCTCTACACATGTCTTTTATACTCCCATTTCATCCTCAGCAGCGCCAACAGCTGCCAGTTCATCAACCCAGTTCATCCTCAATCCAAAGCCCAAGAAGGCGACTGCGTCAAAATCTGTAGCCACAAAACCAAGGTCCTGTCCCTGCAATGACCGCTCAGTCTTGACGCTCATAAGAAGCAAGAGCGGCACGGAGCTGGACTTCTCTTGGAGCTTCTCGACCACATGTCACGAAAAACGCCAAGAGAATGAAGCAGTAACAGATGAGTTGTTGACCCTTGGGTAATGAGCAGATGTACGTGAAGGGGACACGGTCAGAATCAATGGTTTGTGTGATACGATGGTGAAGCGACTCAAGGGTGGCATTTTGGATGGATGCAAGGGTGTCAGATAATGTTTTAACAATTGAGAAGGTCTCCATATGGATTATACGAGTTTAAAGATGGTAATACGAGGTTTTGAAGACAAAATACATGGCTGCGCATCGAGACGCGATAGTATCTGAACGAAATGGATGCGATCACCACCAAAACCCCAATATGGTAACGACTCAAATGGCCTTTTTGGGCCTCAGCAAATGCCTAACCATGTCGCCTATAAATTAAAAGTCAGCTTTACAGGTCCCCTACATCGACGCTTGCTCATTGTAGGGGTCCGGTCACAGGTCTAGGGAGTTTCTGCAGTGATCCGTATCCTTTTCAATACGACTACATTCAACACGGGAAGAACAGAAACGCTCTGTTTCGAGTAGACGATTTGGGGATGGTACATTTACGTTAGTTTGAGATGAATTTCTCACATTCTCGTCTATCTATCCTGAGAGCGAGGATTTGGCCTCGATAGTGGAGAACAGGAAGAAGTCACCTGCTGTAACAAGTGCACCAGGTTTCTGCTGGTGTTTTCCTTGTGAACCCAGATCGTCAGCCTGTACATCTGATGGGTTCAGAGTCTCCCTTTTACATTATCATTCTACCATGCCGTAACTTACATTCAAGGCTAATGCTTGTTTCTACGGCTAACAAAGATGGCATGTTGAATGTGAATTTCTGAATTCTTTCTACTTGCATTAGCGCCCGCGGCTACAGCACAATCTAGTATAAAGGCAGATATCCTCACTGCCGAAGTCTACCCTGATGTCACGGCAATGCATTCGTTTTTGCTTCTATAAAAAGAACCATAGCTCGCCGTCTTACAATGATTCTACCATATTTGTGTAAATGACTATGGCAACCCAGAATTTTGTTGAAATACCAAATGCGCCGCGCTTCCGTAGTATATTTTCTAAATTTAGCATTAGTATATAAAGTAGGATACCTTGTAATCGAGCCTCTCGCGCGTTTGCGAGGGTTCCCTGCTAATCCCGGAGTCCCGCTTATCTGAGCTGAACAGCGTACTCCAACAAATTTGGCTTGACTATGTTCTGACATGGGCTGAGAATGCGGCTGTTCTCTCTTGGTTAATGCCATAGGCTCCTTCAACCATCCGCCTCCTCTAGGAAAAGACAGTCTAAACATTGAACAAGGTTGTTAAGTGAGTATGTTACTTTTCATTTCATTCTTTCAATTTGTTCATGACTTCTATAGTATTGTAGTTCACTGAGGGAGAGATATGGACAGTTCAAATCACGGGCTCTAATCGAAGGATCCAGCAAATTGATGGGGCCGTTTTGAGATCGTTAAATATGAAATCACCACTTAGCTATTTTACATCCTCAAAACATGTCTATTGTACTAGCGTGTCATGAGATTGAGGCATAAATTGTATCCTGATGAGAATATTGGCCGTTTTTTAGGGGCCATCGGTATGAAGAAAGAGGTCCCAAACCGTCGTTATCGTTAAACTTCGCAAGTAAGAGTTCTCTTTGTTCGATCCAGCTCATCGGACGAATGGCTTTGTTGTATCTCCGCCAGTGGGATGTTGACAGTCTTCGGTAATTGCAAGAAAACGTTAGCACAGCGATAATACTATGACCAGGACACATACTGTTCCCTCGATACTACTTTCTGTGGTTTGGGAAATGTGGACAACAGGAGGGTTTGAATAACCTTCATACTGTGTGCGTGAGTTGTTTGCTTGATGTTCTTGCTGGCGGTTCAGCCTAGCTAAAGGTGAGCTTTAAGCGATGAACATGAGAGGACCAACATACATAGCAAGGAACGAGTTAATGTAGACTATGAAGTAGCTTGTTAGTTATCATAGATGATTTAGACAGAATATTGTATACCGACGTTTTGGTAGGATGAAATCTACTGCTATGTAGAACAGAGAAGACAGCGAAGTAGTATACTGTAGTTAAAGTCAATGTCGTGGCTAGAATCAGTGTTGGAAATGAATACCGTAATAAGAACCAGTAGCGAGCATACGCTTGTTTCATCCTTGAGATTTTTTAACGGGAAATATTTATGAGACGATGCTTACCTGGTAGCTAATCCCGATACAAGAATGAGACGCATTATACCAAGAAGCATACTAGCTGTGCTGTATTACTGGTGTCAACATTGAAATATTTCCTGAGAGGAAAGGACACACATAGAAAAACCAGTAGTTGCTTTGCTCTTGTATAGGTAATAACACATGCAGATAGCTATAACAAAATCCGATAGGGCAAGCGTGACGAAGAACGTGCAGGTTGATCTCTAAATATGTGCGTGAGAACTCAGAGAATTTCCGGCAGTCCAAGTCTAACCACCACATACCTTCGTGACCAATTCACCCATCCAAAATTCTACGTTGTATCTAAAGAGAATAACTTGAGCCGCTGATGCAGGAATAAAGTATTTCCTACATGTCATAAATGAAAACTGCATCAAAGACGTCAATGCTCGAGTCGATATCATTGGTAATTCAATCATGGCCTTACAGATTCCAGCACCTAAGGCAAACATAATTAAACAAGATACTCGAAATGTGAAGGAAAATAACCTCACCAAACGAGGCAGCCATGGCCATAAACTGGGTGTTAGTAAGTAGTAGAAGCAACCCTTGAGCATTGAAAGGAGTACGCACAGTAAACCATGGGGCAAATCTGTGAAAATGACAGCCAACTGTGAAGCAGTTAAGTCCCGCTAGTGCCGGTGATTGTCATTGAAATACACGGACATTTCCATAGCCGTACTGTATATAAGCTGGGGTTAAAGCGACAGATGAGTTCATGAAAAATAACCGTCCGAGAAGATCTTACAATTGAACACCGACGGAAACAAATACCTGGAAGAGACACCGTTGAGCACGACGATTGAAATTACAACCTGGATACATACGCTGATAGCTATTTGTAGCTAAATTCATGGGAAACTATTAGCAAGCTTGATGGGCAGCAATAGGAATGAATGACCTGGAAGCTCCTACCACAATCTTTGGATGAAAGGGTTGTTACGTATCTATTCGGAGACGTACCACAGAGTAGAATCAAGGAACGATGAGTCGAATTCCACAAACTCAGTCATAAAGACATATAACAACTGTGTGCTCAAAGCGACGTGAAGAGCATCAAAGACCCTGTTAAACAGTCTAGTATGTACTCGTCCTGATTCATAAGATGAGCCAACCAAAGTAACACTACCTAACTCCCATAAGCATGAAAATAATCGAAAGGTTGAGTAACATACTGTGCTCTTGTGAAACCACCGGTCATTTCGGTATTTCTTGTAGTAGATAATTGCTTGAAGATTCGTGACACCGAACAATCTACCGTCATTATCACTTGTATGACAAAAAGGAAAGCATAATGAAGGGGACGCACATAGCACCCAATGTAGCACCAATATGGATAGCACCAAGGGTCTGTGGTAAGGACATTGCAGATATTGCATCTCAGGACAAGATATAGACTAGGAATCTCAAGGTCCATATATCAACTTTATAGGTGTACGTGGTGTCCATCATAGCAACGATTAGCGCTGGAACTGACAACAGCTTTACGATAACAATCAGATCCATGTGGTATGATGCCAAAACCTGGCCTAACTTTGACAATGTTTACGCCTGGAAGACGTGGGCATCAGCAGGTATTTATCAGGGGTACTAGAAATAGCCACTTCTTACATACGAACTATTTCGTACCTTGAGATAGCTGATGTTTCATATCATGATGAAGTACATATTGTATTAAAGATAACACATTTAAAGAAGAAGGGGGAGAAGACCCTTCATGAGCTTGCCTCGAGAACGTGAAGCGCTGATAAATCCATGACTTCCCACTGTTTCTTTGTTGGCAATTCGATCAGTGACGACTTGATGATTCCGTGGGCAGTTCAAACTCGGTGACACTTACCTACAAGTCGCCTATGCCATCGAGGCAGCTATTTTCACAAGTCTTCCAGTTAGATGAGCATCCTGGAGATGTTGTCGTTGAGAGACATTACTTCACCGGTAATGCTGATTGGCAGAGGTTGATGATGATGGTTTCATGCAAGGTCCCTAAGCTGTCAAAATGCAGATATGCGATTCTCTGTGACATACATAAGTTAGCCATCATTCATCAGACGAATGAGCACTTACCTATCCAACGCCACGGTAATACACATTTCAGACTCTGGATCTGCTCAACCCAATAAATACCGCTCCTTCTTTGATACCTGGGATGAATTTGATCTCAGATACAGGCGATGTGGTGCAGCCCGTCTCCCTCGCATCAGAGGAATAGCCCAGTCAGCAGGCGTGACATGTATGCCGGTCGAGATTGGTGTTATTGAGGGAATATGGGTAACCATTGTTGGAAAAGGATGTCGAGTCTGAAAGTGTTTGTCCATATATCGTGTAATCATGTGAGTACGTGAAACTGTTTACATGCCTGTAATCTCAGTGACCAGCACTGTACAGAGGGGAGAGTCTCACCAGGTGGAATAGACGAATATCAGTGACAGGGAAGGAGGGCATCATCAAGCAAGTCGTCTTCATGGATGTTCAAGTCTAGCAGGTTTACGCGTTACGGGCCGATACAGCGGATGCCTGTAGACATTGTCAGTATCGATGAATAGCGATGAGAAATGTACGACACAGAATAATCCCAGAGGCATAGAGGGTGAGAAGGAGGGAGAAAGCATGGCAAGTTCACAACGGCGAGCGCAGTGATGATGGCAAAAGGCAAAAGAATCCGGGAATTCAATCCGGTGTATTTGTACTTGCTTGATGTTGTCGACCGATTTTCTTCCCGGTCCCAGCTTGCTTTCTATTGCTTTTGCAACTAACCAACATGTCGTCTGATCCATTATGCTTGCTTTCTTGCTTATTTCTTCCAGATAGACAAAAAATATTGCTTGTTTTATTTCTTTTCAATTGATGTACCCGTTGTAACGGATGTCGGACTAAAAACAACAGACCAACTCCCTCAGGCTTGAATTCAAGCCAGATCACAACAAATACTCTCCAAACTGGACACAATATGCACGTAACTGGCATGAATATTGTCCTGATGCGATGTACTGTGTTGAATTTCTCTTATTTTTCGTGCGTTATACAGAGCTTTTCCACAAAGAGCAAACAATTGCAGAGTTCAAACGTGGGGTACTTTCGTCAGGGTGCGAGGACTTTCTATTCTTTCCGGCCTCTGGATAACACGACTTTGCCATGTATTTTGGTCTATATTCAGGACGGATACAACAATTCGGGCCTAATATGTGTTGTCAAAGAAGCTTAGATTCCCATGGTGTTCCTCCTCCTCTGACATAGCATGCCGATCCCCGAATAAAGAGTGAACGGTCATCACCACGGTTCCCACATTGTCGAGATCGAGATCTCCCATGAGTTTTCCTCTGCCGACTCTTCTGAGAAAGAGAACCTTGGCATCGTAAGTACACTCTTCACTTTCTGGATGGATTATAATCCTATGGCCATAATAATTTCTCGTGGCTTGTCGAAATGACAAAGCCCTCTTGATGGATTGCTACTAATTCTGAAGCCGAAAGGTAAGATCTTCGAGCCTGCACCTAAAATCGGTATCCTTTTATCCTGTCTTATTCTATATTCTAGCGCCGTTGTTATTCACTAGCTCGCGTGCACCTCTGAATACACAGGACATCGATGCAGCCCCGATATCCTGAACCATATCATTGAAGACTCGTATGTAAACAAATTTTCAATTATTATTGTGTGACCGGATACGCCTTTTCCGATCTACCTAGTAAAACCTACGCGTCCTATCGAGTCGCCGCAGTGAGTATCTAAAACGATCAGTTCCATTGCTCTCCTAATTTTATAAACTCAGCCGGCCTTTCAATGCATCGGACCAGCTATGAGAGCCATCAAAGGAAACAAAGAATTTTGATAGCAGATGACTTGATGTCCCTTTGAAAGACTTGGCATCGCCAAAGGTTACCTACTATGTGAATTCTTCTCCATTATAGCCTGCTCACGAGAGAGGTGTGCACCTGCGGTACTCGTTATATGTGTACCAAGTTTCAAATCTCTGCCTTGCCGGAACCTGCGGCCTTTACATCCTGCGGTTTTGCAAAGTAAAAGTAGTACCTTCTGTTAACTGCTGGCTTTAGTACCGGGGGACGTGTTATCAAAGGGCTCGGTTATCACAGGTCGAACCTCGTTATCTCGATGATAAAACTGCTTTCTCGATGCTAGAACCAAATGCAGGGGTCGGTTTCCCACACATTATGGCATCATATGGTTACCGGGATACATATACCAATCATATCTCAGTTTTCAAGGCTTTGCGCGGATTCAGGTGGACTGTGAGGACATTATTTTCGCTTATCATCCAATTATAACAAGAGCCTTTCGATTAGCAAGTCCTTGCTTACAAACCTACTCTTAGTTCAGGTACAAGAAATCATTTAGGCCATCTTGGGAGGGACTGCACCTTTCCTCTGGGAGCATCTGAGTGGAGTACACGGAGGTATATCATAAGAGTTCAAATCCCCCTTTTGCTTTGACTCGTCTTACCAATCATCCTGTTGACTTTGCGCATAGACCTAGTTTGTATGATCGCAATGCCATGTCAAGTCTGTGGTGCTGGGAAATAATACGATACTTACGCCTTGTTAAAATGAGCGTCGTGAGGATTCCGGAGAAACTCCATTATAATAGAGGGCATTTGCGAAAGAGTGTCCAGTATCGAGTCTATCACACAACCATTTCTACGTAGTCCGTCCTTCGTGATATTCTGGCGGTGGCTCATCGTCAGAGACATTCCATCAACCTGGCTGCAGTCGTTCATTGAGCAGCCTCACCAGTTCCTCCGTCAGCATATGCTCCCTACTCTCTGCCTGCAGTGGATTTGGTGGACGAACTGGAGTGGTCGACTCGGTCTGTACGTCCATCCTTCTCTGCGTCACGTCTCTTTCCACCAGCAATGAAGATGAAGAAGACTCTGCTCTGCTCGCACCCACAGTATATCTAGCATGTTTCTTCTGGTTCATACGAGACTCTCATGATATCCCAGAAGAAACTGGAATAGATGTAGCTGTGAATGGTGTGAGCATTCGTGGCGAAGAGTTGTCCACAACAGAATGGCTCTTTTTGTTGCTTCGATGACGCCGTCTACGCAATAGTAAAATACCCACAGTTACTGCTGCAAGAACTGCAAGTCCACCGACGATGCTGCCGGCTATCGCTCCAGCCAGGCTCTTCTTTATCGGGAGCGGGGATGTGCTCGTACTTGAGCTAGCGGTAGCACTTGAAGTGGGAACATCACTTGATGTCAACGATGCCTGATCTTCTGCAAGCTGTATTGCACTGAGCAACGAGCTTATTGCTACAGTTTGGTTATCACTGGAGAACGATGTACTCGGTGGTCCTGTCCAGGGTATTCCATGAGGTCCAGAGATGAAGTTGCAGACAAAACACGTACTAGTTATGACTCCGCCCTCTCCTTGCCATCTAGCGATTGTAGCGATGGTGCTGCGTAACTTAGCACAAGTCATGATTCAATTATGTCGACAGTCAGAATCTATTAGAACATACAAGGATTCAGTTGAAGTGTTATGAGTAATATCCACTAGGGCAACCAGTCCTTCAATGAAGATTCCAGAATTGTACGAAACCAGCATCGGGTCAACAGAGCAAGAATCATTTAATTTTGATGATATAGAATCAACTACAATGTTGGACGGATTGAGAAGATGCGACTGCATGAAATTGGCTGACTCGATGGTAGCATTGAGATATGTCTGATGGGATGTTGCTTCTGCCAACAGAGCCGAAACACTTTATAGCAATCAGGCGAGCACGAATCCAGGAAGGTTATGAAGCTTGCACAAGAAAGGAGCTGATTTCCACCACAGAAAAAATGTATTATATACTAACACATATATACCAGGAATACTCTTCGGAAAGGCAAATAATCGAGGGATACTATTATAAACACAGCCAACGATGACTTCAGTTATACAGCTATCCCATGTAACTTTGATTTTTTGTAATTGTTATATATGCCAGAATATTATCACTAATAAACCCAATAAACAATGACGTAGCCTTATAGCCTGACCTGCAGTGGTCTTGAGGTAATATCCATTGATCAACATTCAAGCAGTTTACAAATGTATTGCAACAGATGGTCTTCTCTTATGAACACTTGTCAAGAAGAGTTCTTTGGTACTCTCAATTCAATCATGGTCATAGACAGGCCAAGCAAATACATTATGAACTACAGTAGGGAGACATGATTTGATACAGTAACGTGAAGCAATAGAAGTACAATGAGCAATAACAGTATCATCAGGAAAAATAGGTGATCGAAAGTGGGAGTTATGCAGCAAAATAAACTTGAAGACATCAGAAAGGGAGTATAGCAGTGAGTGAGAACAGCATACAAAAGTCTAAGTGAGAGCATCGAGAACCTAGTTGGCATTTATGCACTGATTTTGGAGGTGTGATAACACCATTGACTGGGTCTTTGAGGCAGAGTGTTAGAATGTCATAGTGAATCTTGTTCATGTTGGTGCCTCGAGATTCCTTTATACTGAGACAAAACTGTGTGAGTAAAAGAGTCATGACTTCATATGAAAGCTTATAGAACACACCTCTTGTATGGGAGGTCCTTGATTTTGACATTAAGACTAAGACTAATCAGTAGCTGAAAATCAGCAGAGAAAAGATGAGTACACATGCAAGAGCCTTATTGGAGCTTAGCACTGGCCCACATAATGACATCTACTGGGGTAAAGAGTGATACGACATGAGGAATAACCTTGCCAATCATATGGCACATGTTAAGGACCCAATTCTGTCTGTGAGGTGAAAATCAGCGGGATATATGCACATATATCTCAGAAATAGATGGACCTCTTTGAGTATCCATGGTGGTATCTCTTCTTCCTCTGACCTGGTTGAGTGTTCAAGTTGTGCTGTTTCTGTCCAACTTCACCATCCTCTCTCTCACCATCACTCTCTCCTTCAGCCTCACTCTTGCCCTCATCTAGGATGTCGTCCTCGAGGCTACCAAATCCTAGCTCATTAGTGCTCTCCTCACCTTCCTCAAAATTCTGTCCTTCATTCCCAGATGCATCATCTACATGATCCTCCAGGTCTTCGATCTTGATACCATTGGATGTTTGAGATGTCAGAAATCATTGTTGGAGTGATGATTTGTTTGTATCCTTTGGTGCCAATACTTATCAAACAGGCACTGTCACACTCAGCTTGGCTTGTGATGTTGGTGCATGCTGAACAGGCCCATTGATCTGAGCTGACTTTTTCTGTGATGTCTTGCCCAATGGGACAACCTTGCTGGATGGCTTGACAGTGTTGCTGGGAGGCTTGATGACATTGCTAGGAGGTTTTGAGACCTTACTGGATGGCTTTGAGACCTTGCTGGAGCTGGAGGTCTTAGAGCAAGAGGATGCAAGAATTGCAGGCATGGTGGAGTTGGGAGAAGGGAAGGTAGATTGTTGAATGTGACTTTGTGACACATCAGTCATGTCAGTCATAGCTGTCACTGTGACAGGCCAGTCTGTCACAGCATAACTCTCCTGCTTGCACCTGGTGCTTGCCTTGTACGCTCATTGTTGCTGCTGTTGACATGCACTGTAGCACATTTTCATGGGGCAGCACTTTATAGCAGGAATGTTTTAGCTTAAAATTACCACTGCTGAGGCAGAACTGGATGATGTTTGTGATGATGATGACAATGAGATGGGTCTGGAACTAGATTTGGGCTTTGCTGAATTGTAAACTAGTTGTCAATTCATTATGATTCTAAACAAATCTTACTCAAGATATGCTGTAGTTAAAATGCCTTGTAATCCCGACTGAGGACCCTTGAAATACATAATAACCCACAGTAACCCTACACCTTGTTTATTAAGGTATACCACTCCACTTAATATTTATATTGGGATATATACAAAGCAAATGTATATAAAGGTAGGTAAACTTTCCTTGCTTTTTGTGGTGTCATAGTGTTAATTATGAAGCGAAGGTAAGGAAAAGAAAACGAACCCAGAGGCTAGACTAGCGAGTTTTGGCTTGTTGGAATCAGTGCTCTAGTTTCTTAATGAATCAATTAAACATTGATGTAGATCATGACTCACCCAATAGGTGCCACCCACTAAAGAAGTTGCTGTCAAGCAGGATCAGTAAACATATCAGCTGTAGCCATTGAGAACACTCACTGCCTGGACATGAGGTACTGAGATTGAATTGCTTAACATCTGTGGTTCCTGATGCAGCTTGTTCCTTAGATATCATGTAATGCCTTGCAGAATATTGTGATTTGAATGCAGTTGCACTCCAGCTGTTAGGCTGTTAGTCACTAGGTAGACAAACTCACAAGGAGTTTCCTTGCCTATGCCTTGTATTTATACTATTTACACCTAAATCTAGTACTTTCTCCCCATTTCCTCCAGATTCTCTCTTACTAAGCATGCTGAGACATGCTGTGTCACCAGAATATCACAACACAGAAGTCCATGAAGTCACAGAAAAATTGAGGAAGTCTGGGTCTTGATAAGTGATGTAATCCCAAGCTGCAGCATATCCATAATTCCTATGGAAGATGAAGAACAGAAGAGTATCATCACATAAAATAACTCACAGCCCATAGTTTAGCTATCATCCATATCAATGATGGTGTTGTCAGTGATTCAGAAAGTGTTTATAGGAAACGGAACTAATGCTAAATCAAGTGTTGGTCAGCAGCGATCCATAGCTTAGTATACTGAGAACATACTGACATCGTGTTCAAAAATTCAGAATTATCCAACTTTGCCAGCATAAAACCTTGTTTTAATGTTTCCTTGTACTTGGTTTGGTTTGTCAGTGTATCAAATTCAGCTATCTGTGTGTAAAGCCTGCTAGATGTTGCGTGTGTGGAATCTAAGGATACCTAAATAAAAATTTCAATGCTGGATATGGGGTGAATGAATGCACCACCGAATTTCCCATTAGGTTGGAGCATGCTAACCACCTTTTCAAGAGCAGCACTTGGAATGCTAATGCGGCCATCCTTAGACAACATGATGTTAGGGTTCTAGTTTTTGTATTAGCATTTTCTCTTGTCAACCAGAGAAGCGTAATTCACTTTCCAGGATGTAAAGAGCATGAGGTCCTGTGCAGCAACTGAGACTATAAAAGGCACCACTAGCATCCATGCAAGGTGGAGAGGTCGCATTTCACTAGATGTGGAAGATAATGAGGGTGAAAGAAGAACAAGCCAGACAGAAGATGGCAATCAAAGCAACAAAGTACATGGAGATCAGGCAGTGGCAATGCAAAACAAGGCATCAATGGTAGCAATCCATGGCAATATCCACACAGTGAATACCAGTTCTGGACATTACATTATGCCGTTGTGGCAATACGCACTAGTAGAATTTATGATGCTCCATAGTAACCACCAAGACATGTGTTGGAAAATGGGGTATCGGTTTGTTCCCAGTATCACATGTGCAGTAGCAAGCCAATAGTATTGCGCTTGGCTGAGCTCTGCAAACGCATGAGGATCTACCCTAAAGTACCTACTTTTATACTAAATGTACTTTTACTAGAACTTTCCATGCTTTTCCTAAGACTTCTACCTTAATAAGCATCTTCGGCATGATGCCAGATTGTCAAATCCCAACAACATGATTCCCAGGTGGGCCAGGAGAATTTTGCGAGTGACATTTGCAAGCTTGCATTCATTTGCATTTCCAATGCGTTCAGTTGCAGTTGTATCAATGCATTTATGTCATCATACTTGCATGCTATTATATATGGATGCGAGCAAGCTTTAGGCACTTAACTGTTTGAAAGGTTTTATCAGCTCTTGAAGTGATCTGGGAGCTGTTACAGGTAGATAATAGTGTGATATGAATTGTTAGAGACCCAATATACATTCAATTACCTATCCACAAGGTTCCTGTAGGCTGTCGCATGGAATTTCTGCACAAATTTTTCATACAAAAACCAGTGCAAGTCCTAATGCAAGTCAAATCATAAGAACACATGCATAGATCAAGTTAACGCATGCATTCACATGCCAATGCAAGCATTCTCCAGTTCCTCGCAAGTGTTCGACTACTAACGCAAATGCTCACAAGTGTGTGACATGCCTGTCACATTTGCATTCAGCTCGAGTTGAACTTGTGTCACTTGCCTCTTCACCTGCCATGGTCTTATATCAATGATAAAGAAATGTGTTTTACACATTACATACCAAATCTTGGCTCAAGCACCTGAATTTCCTCAAGACAATCCTTCAAAGATGCCTTTCACATCCCAATAACTGCAACAACACAATGTATCATGCTAGCAATACTCTACTAACTACAAGGCTTTTATACTACCAGAATATGTAGAATGTACTAGAATCTATGACTGTATCACTGATAAAATGAGTGAGCATCCTGAAGAATATGGGGAGAATGAGCAAGAATATTTGTGCAAGCTGTTATGGTATTACCTACATACCTTTGACTACAATATCTTCTTTCGCCATGATTCCCCTTTTTGAGTCACCTTTGCTCATTCTCTTTCGCTAGAACACAGTAGAATATTCTTTTCCCTTCTATGACTAGTATATATATATGAATGGTATTGTATTAGTTCACTTACTTTGAATTTACAACCCCTTTACGCTTTACTACAGGTGAACTTAAGGGATTGCTGAACCTTGATAGGTTAATCAGACTCAAAGACTCAAGCGAATCCTTACATGGTAATTGATTGAACTTTTCTTCTATTCTCATTCTCTACTCTTACTCATACATCAGCAAAGGTAACAATTTACTCTATCTACAGATATACTAACATCTACTTTGCAGATTTACTCTCATTCACAACACAAGCTCTGACTCATCTAAAAATGCAGGTACTACAAGAGGTCTGCTAAAACAAGCACCTAGTGGTTTTTCCACTTGAAGTACTTTCATACATCCTAATAGGTGTACCTGCATTTACTAGTACTTGTTGCTGTACTGTAACAAGCTGTTTGCAAGTACTTTTTATGTATGAGAAGATCCATGTTAGGTCTAGTGTTGCTGCGACTCGGCTAAACTTGGCTCAGCTAGACTTATTCTGACTTTGGTAATTGCTCTTAGCTGAGTCAGCTATAGCCAAAATTATTACCTGAACTCAGGCTAGACTTCGGCTTTAGCTGGCTTGAGTTCAGACTAATGTATAAATAAGGCAATTGATAAATTAAAATGTGTCATTGCCCTTTTCTAAGACAAGGCCTTTGACAAATGCCTGCATATCCTCCGGAATTGATGTCTGCTGCTCAATTAATAACTCCAGCTCACGAATCTCTGACATTTCATCTGTTCCCTCCATAAAATTCAAGCCCTGCCCTTTTCTTACTGAGAATTTCAACATCTGTAGTGCTTCCATTGAATCAGCACCTAGCCGATTCTGCCACAGAGTATCAGTCTCTTTCCCACTGGAGAATACCCACTCAGAGGGCACAGCAGTGCCTTGTATAGGCAGAACATCTAGTGCAAATGAAAAGATTGTTGGGTAACACTTCTGATTTTCCTGATATAACACATCAATACTAAAGACTAAGTAGCTAAATCATTGCATGCTTACCTGCCAGAACATCAGAATTGATACATCACTTCTGATCAGATCCGAGAGATATCTTTCAACCTCAACATCAAGGCTGTGCTGCAGTTCTGGACTGGTAGCATTAGCATGCCTGTCCAAACGTAAGATATTTCTAGCACGAATAAGCAGGTTTCCTGAATCTGAGGTTGTCAGTGGCACTGGTGTGTGAAGATTTGGCATATTGTGGTATTTCCGAAGCTATCAAAATAAGTTAGGAAGGATCAATGATAGATGACATAAAGCTCGCACTGTATTTATGAATAGATCCTTGACTTCAAGAACTTTCTCTGGAAAGTTTTTCTGGAACCACTGAAGCTTGTATGCAGGATGGATAACTACTAAGATGTGAGTAAAGAATTGAAAGCTAGAGAATGACATACGTATCACCAAGGAAGAGATCGGAACATTGCCAACTCGATTACAATACTCAGCAAGTTTATCAAGGCCCTTTGCAATAACATTGGCAGCATGGGGCATTTCCTTCTGTAGTTCCTCCCATGTTAATTGCATTGCTTCAAATGCCGAGATGGTGTCAGAAATGCATGGCGTCTTTTCACATGAGAGAATTTGCTGAAATGCATGCGGAACCTGGGAAGCAATGTCAGCTGGGAAGTTCCTGAATGAAAATAAGTGCACAGCAAGTATATCTTTGAAATCAGAAAGAGCACCCCACTCTGCACTACTCAGTTGATACTTATGAAATTCAGGAAAGTCTCGAGAGCTAAGGAAGCTATCAATTGCCTTTAATCAATGATGAGAGCAATACAAACATGATGTAAGGAGAGAACTAACTGGATGCAGATATAGAACATGTTCAATCATGAGCAAAGTCGATGACCAGCATGTAACAACATCTTGCAGTAATTGAAGATTATCAATGTGCAGAGATTCAAGTATCTCTGAGAAAATTTGATGCCTTATAGATGAGCCACAAACCTGAAAAGCAAACATCAGACAGTCCAAGATTATAATGGGTCTATCTAAGACTCATGAGCCATACAATGGAACGAGCAGTAGCAATCGGATCACATCTGCATGTGGCCATAAAATTTGTTGGTCGTCCTGGTTGCAGAACAAACTCGGTATCATCATGGGCATAGTCAATATTTGTGATAGCTGTCAAAACAGCCTTGCAAGCCAGGTTGACGATGTGGGTGAAGCAGCTAACAACAGTTAGAAAGGCAGCAAGTACTGGAATGATTGTTATACTGGATATGCCATTTGATTGCATCAAATTCAATTCCACATTGCATTAGTATCTCCAGGAAAGCCATCATTGTATCATTGTTTGATGCATTATCCAGGCTGATCCAACCCATCTGCAAACAATATAAACACCGAATAATAATCATTGTACACTGGAGAACATACTTTAGACACAATTCGAAGTCAATCAACAATGAAAAGGAATGCTCATGCCAGATGTTCTCCATCATGATGGCCAGGTACATGATGGAAACCAATCAAATCAGCTCACAGAGAAAGGGTCAAATATGGATCACTGCCATTTGGAGGATGGACCTCCTTGGTTTCAATCCAATGTGCTGTGACAGCCATGAAGGGCACAAGGTTGGCATTTGACCACATGTCACATGTGAAGGAGATTTTACCTAAAGCATCCTGCACATATCTGAGCTAAGAGGCTTCCGAAACCTTCAATATTGTACACACCTGCATTTCCTTGGAAAGCTGCTTTAAATGATCCTCCCATATTTCCATAATTCACTTCCAAATCTGTGTTCGGTGGGGAATATCATCATCAGTAAGCTCCTCGCAAAGCATCAAGAATATCTGGTGGAGCTCTGGAGACTCAACAACATTGAAAGACTATGATCATCATTAATGCTGCAATCTGATTAATGCAAAGAAAGCCTACCTGGTCATTGCTAACAATAAAAGCAACCAATGCATCAATGAATGCTTCTAAAGAGAAGCCTGGCACCCTGTCAAACCCACTAGGCAAGCTTGAATTCTGTTTCGGGTCCTGTCCCTTTGACTCCTGGTATGTGGCAACAGGACCTTCAGCTTTGTCCGCTGTAATCTTTACCTTAAGTCTGTCACACACCTCTACCCAGAGTCCCAGGTGCTTTGTAAGGAGGTGGTGCCACCAATTGCTTGTGGACATTGTTGAGCAGCTGAATGACGTTGACTTCTTCTGTGCACTAAGTATACCAGCATAGAGTTGGTAGCCCTTTGCACATAGAAAGAACAATACTCACCAGCAAAAGATGCAGTGTACTTGATCTTCACGCACTTCGTAGAAGGGGCAAAGGTCAGGTATATTAGGCATCTCAGCTGTTGTATGCTTAGCATGTTGGCACCTTCGGTTGCTCTTTGGAGTTGCAGCTACTGGCCACAAAACAGGCATAGGTGTGGCTGGGGTTGATGGCTCAGACAAGTCTCTGATGTTGAAAGTTTTGCCACCAGAGAACTGCACATTATGCTGATGAACCTATAGACTCCTGTGGGCAGAAACACAAAACCTAGGTGCGGTATGTGCTAACAGACATGGAATCTGAAGGATGGTTCTAGCGAGTCTAGTTGGGGCACCTCCGTGTGGTGACTAAAGCCTCCTAAGTTCAGAAAGATAATGAAATTTCTCTACTGGTAGCATAGAGGGTGGTAGCAAACTATAAAATTCGCAGGAAGGGAAGTAATTGGGAAAGGGATCCTAGAAGAGGCCCTAAAATGAATCAGTGAACGTACAAGGACTATACCTTGTTCCTGTTGCAACTCTAGCTGTGAGTGCAACAAATAAGAGCTCTAAAGAGACTGTCCAAGTTCTAGCTGTGAACTCAGAGGCTGTAGCAAATTATTAAACTCGCACAGTAAGGTTGAATTGAAGTGATGAGGATCGGTCTGATACTCGACGAGACTTTCTCTGGCTGCGAGAAAGAGAAGGCATTGATGGGAGGGATGAAAATGCTGTCTCCTAGCTGCAGAAGCAAGCGAATTTGTTTGCGAAGCAAAGCAATAAAAGAGTTTCCTAGTGGTGGGACTCCTAATTACTTTGCATAGAAGAGAGGGATGGGTTGTAAGCACAAGTAACCGTTAAAGGTTCACCGTTGCTTAGAGAAATAAAGGTTCGAGATGAAGTTCTAGCAGCAAAAATGTCTTTATTGCGCTACTTCAAGGGTGTATGTTGTATGGTGTAGGTGTTAGGGATTGAAGGTAAGCATAGAGAATAATCTGGGGTCTCCCCTATTCTGTTTTCATCCTCTTTTTTAAACTAATTAGCTAGCTAATTTTTATACTAGTTTCTGAATTAAAGGTTTGTAAGCTACAGTATTCCTTGCTGTGTTGATTTATAACACAAGCAAACTAATTACTGAGTAATAAGACATGATTAACCCTTCCTTACCAATGCTGAGTCAAGTACAATCAAATCTGCAGGCTACAAGGACTGTGCATTACTGTGCATTGCACTGCAAGTAAGCAAGCTTTGTAACAAGTTTACCAAGCAATCCACTAGGGTTTGCTTAGCGAATTAAACAGTCTTAGTAAGTTCTAAACCACTGCTGACTGTTGCGAATTAAATAATTCTCTAACTCATCATCAAGACTGGGTTATTTTGGGGTGGGGTGGCTATATGCTAGGATCAATGATGGGATTTGATCAATCAGGATCTGCAATCAAAGTGCCTGAAGATCAATGGCTGTGCTCTGATGTAGAAAAGCCTGATAAATCTGCAAATTCTGAGTGCACAGAGCCTAGAGGCTCATCAATGCAGAGATTGAGCATGTCTGGAATTACATTCAGGGGTGGATGTAAATGGGTTGTCATCATCAGGATCAGGCTGATGCCTACATCAGTGAGTGGATTGCTGGGGCACAGGTGTTACAGGTGGCAGAGGTGTTGGAGGTGTACCATGTGATGTTGGAGGCTGGCTGGCTGGAGCTGGAATATGGTGTTCTAATTAATGTACAGATATAAGTACATATGGCAGCTGTTGAAGATAGAAATACATACCTAAGCCTGGTATAAAAAACTGCGCATTCAATGCGCCTCCTGGGTGTACAGTGATAGTCTCAGTTGGCCCAGGAGCCTCAGGATCAGCACCCACATCATCAGGGACCACTGTAGGTTCAGCATCTGTGCTGTGTCCTTTTCTGTGAGGTCATCTGCAAGGTCATCCAGGTGGTGCCATTAAATAGACAAGTAGATAGAAAGGGAGAAAAGGAGATGGGTAGGTCAATGGGACATGCTACACTTGCTGAGAGAGGTATTTAAGGAATTTGTGCGACACAGGGTGGCAAATAGAAGGTGTATATTCCGTTAACCAGTATACAGAACATTTGTAAATTACAACGACACCAAGCAACTATTGGTACCTATGAGGGCTTCAATGAGCAGAGTTAGACCAAATAAAGAGTTGAATAATGCACCCTCCTCGTAATATTTGCTCGTTCTACCATCTTTCACCCTGAAACTGCCTTGAGGCCTTGCTTGAGCCTTTGGCTAGGATTTGCCACAGCAGAGATGAAGAAAGCATGTTGATGGTCACAAAAGCATGCTTCAAGGTTGGAAATTGGTGGTAATTTGTTTCTACATTGTAGGGATGTTGAGGGAAAAATGGTAAGCAAGGGAGGAAGTCAAGAACAAAAGTTGGCTCAAGCTGAACTCAAGCCGACTCCAAATGGGGCTTGAGCTCAGAATTAGCCTGAGCCAATCAAAGGCTCAGACTTGGCTTAATCCAGCTCAGCTATGTGACTAAGCAGCTTTTAGCTGAGCTGCAGCAACACTAGTTAGGTCTGTGGCATAGATCCAGGCATTGCTGAGAAGCTGACCCTGTCCCTGATAGCACATTCACAGCAAGACTCTAGCTTGTATGGATAATATAAGTCCATTCCAATGTAGTAACACTCTCAGGATATATATAATAGTCAATGACTAGATAAGAACATTTTAGCAAAATAGAAAAGAAATCTACAAACCTTGGAATTTCACTTCCAGTCAACTTCTGGTACAAAGCCAGACCCAGAATTGAGGTCTGGTTGTGGAGTTCTACATGGAACCTCACTGCCAGAGGGGGTCAAGAATATGCCAAGTTGCAAGATGCAGTCATAACACACAGTTGACAGTTCTAAAATTGTTTTGAACATCAGGTTAAGCTCCAAAAACTTAAGGTTGAAGTTTTGAACTTGATCATGTCACACTCGCAAATGCAAATGCAATTCCGAGTCCTATGTATATAGGATTCTCAGTCATTATGCAGGTGGAATTGGCTGTGGGAAAATCTATTCAAGGTATCAAACCTTAACGGACTTTGCCAATTTCCCTACCTGAGCTTTCCATGGGAATTTTTCTATTGAACCCCACTTTCATCCGTGTCCTTGTCTGTTGTTTTCTGCTTCACTTCTCATCCACTTTTCTCTCTCCTCCTTATCTTTCTGTGCACCTCTCCTGCTTACTTCCTTCATACCTACTTTAAGTTTCTCCATTTTTTGTCTTTGCTTTCTTCCTCTTTGTTGTCCTCCTACCCAGCTTCACCCTCTCCACTCCTGGAGCTCTCCTCTCTTGCACTTGCCTTTTGTCCCACTTTTGCTTTCTTTGCTTTGTAATCAAATCATATGTGGTGCTTCAACTTCATTGATCATCCTCAGGGTGCATAGTGTGCCTTTTTTACCCATGGTACTCTTATTCTTTGCCACATTCTAAAATACATGTTTTTTCTTGTCAATTGTTTGATCATTGCTTACCATTGTGTGTGGTCACAGTTCACAGGTCCAAGTTCCCTCAATACTATTTTCATCCTTATGCCTCCACTTCTGCATTTCATGAATACCAACCACTGAACATTGTGTCTTGACGATATTCCCTATCCTGAACATGTGTGGTCTCCCTTTCGCATATCTGCTGGTGTCCATCAAATGGTGTTCATGACACTTTGAATACAGCACCCACTTTTACTTGCCTCCCTTGATTTTTTCCTAAATACTTGACTTTGTTGTCCTCAGTGTGCTGTGTTTGACCCTGCCAGTATCCTTGAAGTCCTTTTGGGGTTGGCACCTACACTGACCTTGTCTCCCCCATGTGGCTATCACTTCCTTGGGCTGAGGGTGTGGGCTCAGGAACTCTGCTGTGCCATACTCTTGTGCTATTGTCGGCATCCAATCCTGTAATTGACCCTGCCAGAGCACTTACACACACTCTCTCAGTGCCTCAATCACTCTGTGTTGGAAGTACAGAGGAGAATGTGTAAGAGAGAGAATTAATTGGCCTCCTGAGGGAGAGGCATCGTACTTAAATACAAGTTGTACTACTTCTAGAATTTACTATGTGTTACTATATGTGTCTGCTTTTGTGGTTAAATGTTCATGCCACTTAGTCATGCCGAAGCTTCGAGTGCATTCTAGCACTAACTCAGGATTGCTATCCCAACACTCCCCCTCAATTCCGAGTACCTAGAATACCTGCAGATAAATATTCATGTAATGGTCTTGGTAGTCCTTGTCATGAATTCACCCCTATTTTTTGCTTATCTTATCTTATCATGATATCTTATTGTGGCAAGTCGGCAACTCATCATTCGACTTCCATCATCATTCCTCATACCTGATCTGCATCATTCATGACCCACTCAGTCACATCGCCCACACGGCACCACCTCATGCCATGGATCACATCACTAGGACTCTGGCACCAGACCTCATAGAAGGCAGCACCATACGGGCGCTGACCTTCTTACTCGCAGGAGCACTTTTAGCATCATCATGCTCACACCACATCACTGGGGCATTGCCACAACACAACCATCAGTCTTCCCTGATAGGTTCCTGGATCCACCGCTCACAAGCATGATCTGTTTGATGGCCCATAGACCGATCACACTCTATGGGCCGGATCCTTCTTCACCCAGTCATGCTTCTTTAGGTCGTCTGTGATCACATCCTAGGATGAACCAGCCGCCACGTACGCTCCTCAAAATACCGCGCCCTATGGATGCTAGCCTTCTTACTCGCAGGAGGGCTTCTCCTATACCAAGCACCATACGATACAGAGGACATAGAAGACAGCGCTGCATTGGGACAGCATGCACCGAGACACAGGAGTGGTACATACTAGTAAATACCACAATGTATTTAAACGAGCCTTGCTGTGGTCTTACACCCCAGCTTCGGCTAAAGTTATACACTCCTAACTTTTCACGCAGAAACTCCCTGTTTCGTGTCTAAGGACTATCGTACCTTACCTAGCGATTGCAACGCCCTCTTCACAACTGAATCACCGAACGCGAGTGACAGTTTAGAGGCAACCATTGTTCAATCCAAGTTAGTGCATTACAGTCCTTTAGTGAATATATCTGCTAAGTTCTCCTCTGAGGCACAGTGCTGAACTTTGACTTCATTTGAAGCCATGCGCTCGCGAACAAAATGATGATGGATATCAATGTGTTTTGATCATGCATGGAATATTGGGTTCTCAGCAAATTTGATCGCTGATTGATTGTCAACCAAAATAGTAGTTGCACCATCAGGTGGCAACCCTAATTCAATTAGAAGCGCTCGCAACCATATTACTTCTCTAGTTGTGTGCACAAGTGCCATATACTCTGCTTCCAGAGTGGATAGGGCTACAGTGGGTTGTTTCTTTGAACTCCAAGTAACAGCTCCCCCTGCATAGGTACAGACATAACCAGATGTTGATCTTCTATCTGTTCTGTCTTCTCCCCAGTCTGAATCTGAGTAAGGTATCAGTTCATCTGTAGTCCCTCCATATGTTATTCCAAGGTCTAGAGTTCCCTTCAAGTAACAGAAAACTCGTTTGAGGGCTGTGACATGCTCAGCAGCCAGATTCTGCACATATTTGCTTAATTCCATGACAGCATGTGCAATATCAGGCTGGGATCCATTTGCTGCATACATCAGAGATCTGACACCAGTATGGTAATATTGTCTGATGGCTGTGTCAACACCTCGGGGATCACCTTCAGGGATTTTCTCTAGCCATACATTCAGGTCCATAAGCATTTTGACCAGTTTACAGTCTTTCATGCCCATTCTCTCGAGTACCTTGAGAGTATATGCCTTCTGGGATAAGGTAATAGTGCCCTTCTCCCAATCTCTGTCTATCTTCATGCCCAATATATGTTGAATCTCTGTTAGCGACTGATAGAACAAACAAGAACAAACAACTACATGTGACTCGCACTTCAGCCAGGCATGTATTAGTTGCTCGCAGGTTTGTTTGCAGGGAGCACACATGCTTAGTATTTGAGAGTGAGTTCGAGTCAAGTTATTGGGTGAGTAAACTTTAGTTCGAGACTGAGGTTTAAAACCTGCAGTCAAGCTACTTATATACAGTTTGGGTCATTCTAACTATAGTACAAGAGTCTGTAATGGTGTATAAAACATGCAGTACCAGCATGGCTCCATGCGATCAAGGTCAGAATATTAGCATAGCAGGATTACAATGAGAATGATAAGATAAGATAAGGGTGAAATCATAATAATCTCCCCCATGTCTGTAACATTTAACTTCTTTTTAAGTTCTTCTTTCATGTTTGACATGGTTTCATCATCCAGGGCAAGCAATGTCATGTCGTCTACATGCACAGCTATGATTATGGGGCCTGATTTTGCTTGTCTGATGTATACACATTGATCACTGATCAATCTCATGTATCCAAGTCCCAAAAATGTAGCGTTTAATTTTTTGTTCCAAACTCAGCCAGATTGCTTGAGTCCATATAATGTCAATTTGAGGTGTGCTGCCTTGCCGCTTCCATCAGAATATTCTGGCAGTTGAGCCATGTAAATAGATTCATTGAGCTTTCCATTTAGGTAAGCTCTGATGACATCCATTCCATGTATAATCAAGTTTCTTTGTGCGGCAATGGCCATAAGTAGGCAGAATGTGTCCAGCCTGACAACAGGTGCATATGTCTCAAATTTGATGCCAGGGACCTGCAAAAATCCTTTTGCAACAAGTCTGGCCTTGTATCTGGTGATTTTCCCATCACCATTCCTTTTTAATCTATAAGTCCACTTGCAATCTACAAGTGACCTATCATGGGGTAATTCCTCTAACTGCCATGTACCTAGAGAAGTCAATAGATTATATTCTTCATCCATTGCTTTCTTCCAATGATGCCAATCTGGCCTTGTTTTGGCTTCTTCAAGGCTTAATGGCTCATCACTGAGGTTATCTGCAGTCTCCCCCAGACATGCATAGTCTGCTGCTATATTTTCAATTTCTGAAGGTTCCTGTGACATTTCACACTGCAATTCCAGCAGTTTTGTGCCTCTTGCAGCTGGATTATGGAGCAACCGGTAACTTGGTTGATTGATTGATGAGATCTGGACCAATTTGGTACATGGCTCAATCACCTTCCCATGCCAAATGGGTACCTTTGATTTAGTTGCCAGGGCATCAAGGGACATTTCCCCTTTTGATTCGGCAATTTCAGCAGCCATGGGATCATCTGAAATATCATCATTTCCACCTGGAGTCTGCTCGACATTGTTCCCTGACTCCCCCTCGAGTGACAAAGGGTGGGATACAATATAATCATTGTCTGTAGGCTCTTTAGTGTTGTCTTCAAGGAATATAACATTTCTTAAGGTCTGAATCTGTCTGGTCTGAGAATTATAATATCTCCAGGCCCTGGATTCATCTGTGAGACCTGTAAAAATGAACTCCCTTGATTTCGGGTCAAGTTTTGATCTTTTGTTATCTTGCTGCAACACCCAGCACTTTGCTCCGAACTCCTGGAGTGTTGAAATGTCTGGTTTCATGCCCCAAAACACTTCTTTGGGGGTTAGATCATTCTTGATGGCCTTAGTTGGTGATCGGTTCTCCAGGTACGTGGTGTATGCCACTGCCTCAGGCCATAGGAATTTCGGCAAATGATGTTCTTCTAGCATGGCATGCACATGCTCCACAAGGGTCCGATTGACTCTCTCCGCAATTCCGTTTTGGGGTGGAGAATATGCAGCAGTCAGTTCCAACTGAATGCCATTGCCATGGAGGTATTCCTTCACTGCCTCATTAATGTATTCCTTCCCATTATCAATCCTCATAAACTTCAGGTCCTCCCCTTTGTGGACTTTGATGTATTTCTGGTACTGTTGGATTTTCTTTTTGATCTCTGTACCTTCTTTTGACTTGAGAAAATACAACATTGTCCTCTGAGATTTGCCATCTGTGAAGCTTATGTAATATCTTTCTCCATGGATACCCTGAGTTTGGGCTGGCCCCCATAGGTCCGAAAATGTCATTTCACCTATTCTTGTGTATTGCCTTTGAGTTTCTTGCAGAAATGGCTCAACATGGTGCTTGGCCTTTATACAGGCTTTGGAATCCTTCTGGGGCTCAGCTAACTCATCCACATCCATACCCTTGACCATCTTCTTTCTAAATAGTCTCTTTACTGATCCCATATTTGAGTGGCCCATCACTTGGTGCCACATCTGCCACAATCAGGCTGGTTTTATCGTGTGGGCTTGAGTTATTTCTGGCACAATGATGTCAAGGCTATACAGCTTTGATATCTTATCTCCATGGCCAATTGTCTTGCCACATGGTGAAGTAATATCCATCCGGGATCCCTTGAATTTGAGTTTAAACCCGGCATCCTTGATGTGCCCTAGTGAAATAAGATTGAATGGTGCCTCGGGGCAGTGAATACAGTCCTTCAGTGTAACTGAAGTAGTCTTGTCCCCTTCAACCATTTTAATCTTGACTGTTCCTCTTCCCAAGCCTTTTGACTTTCCTACACCAATAACTTCATGTCCTGGGGTCTCAACATAGTCAGAAAAATGTAATCTGTTCTTGACTATATGTTTAGTTGTTCCTGAGTCCCCCAACCATGATGACCCTGCAAGCATAACAAGTGCAGTGTCTGTAGTGCAAAATGTGTAATCTTCTTCATCTGAATCTGATTTGGCAACATGTGCCTGGGTCTGGCCCTTCCCTTTCCCCTTCCATGACTTTCCAGAATTCTTCTTTTCATTTGGGCAATTTGCCCTGATGTGACCAGCTTCTCCACATCCATAACATGTGATTTTTGAGTTGGACTTCTTCTTGCCATGTGCTGCAAGTGTTGTGGTCGGATCAGAAGTCTTTTCTCATAATTGGATGTCTTCCTGGAGAATTTGGGAGATCAATTTGTAGGAATCTTCCAAATCAGCAGTGTCCACTGATGAAATGAATGAATTCCATGATTCTGGGAGTGATGTAAGCAGTGTAATAGAAAAGTCCTCCTCCTCAACTTTCTGCTTGAGGGATGCCAGCTCCTCCTGATAGGACCTCATAGTCCTAATGTGTTCCTCTATGTTTCCTCCTTCTTCACACTGAGCTCTAAAGAATCTCCTTCTAACAAGGACAATTCCCATGGGTCCCCTGGACTCATACATGTCTTTTAGAGCATTCCATGCTTCTTCCGAAGTCTTTGAACCAGCAATATGCACCAGCAGGCCATCCAAAACCCACAACCTTATTGTCGAAAGAGCCTTCCTATCACTCTTCTTCCAATCTGCCACCAGTGCCGCTTCTGCCACGGCCTTGATGCTTCCATCTGCATAATCAATTAGACCTAAATCAGTTAGGATATCAATCATCTTGATCTTCCATGTCAGGTAATTTTCCGGGCCCTTAGGGAGGTCAATTCTGTAAACAGACTGGCTTTCCATGTGGTTCTGTATGTGTACATAATGTACAAAAGTGCAAAGTAGGTAATGAGGTAAGTAGTTCAGTTAGGGCTGGGGCCCATAACCTGTTGGAAGTACAGAGGAGAATGTGTAAGAGAGAGAATTAATTGGCCTCCTGAGGGAGAGGCATCATACTTAAATACAAGTTGTACTACTTCTAGAATTTACTATGGGTTACTATATGTGTCTACTTTTGCAGTTAAACATTCATGCTGCTTAGTCATGCCAAAGCTTCGAGTGCATTCTAGCACTAACTCGGGATTGCTATCCCAACACTCTGTTGAATCCCTGGCTGCTCAGACTGGACAGTGTCACTGACTTGCTGAGAAAATGATCTTGTCTCTCATTCCCCTTGAAAAAGGTATGGTTATTTGTTCACCTCACATCAGCATGTAGGCACTCATGAAGACTCTTTCATGATTGGCAGCAGATCCAATGCCATTAGTGCATTGGTAGTGGTGAAAATCATTTCATCAATTTCATTTGCACTCTCACCATAACAACACTGCACTCTCACCATAACAACACTGCATCATCATCGATATGAGCTCTGCTTATTCCAACGTTGTTGTATCCTATGGATCCATTAGTACCAATCAATAAAGCTGACTGTTCATGTTCATCTACTCATCCATGTGAGATGTTAGGTTCTTCCATCCTCTCTTTGATGACCATGTAAATGGTGCTTTCTGTTTTTGTTTTTCTAGAACAGGAAGGTTGCCATGGTCCATGATGCACAGGTTCTTTGATAATCCATTGCACACACCATTGACCTTCAGGGGATTGAATTATGAGTTCTGTGGATCTCCTTCGCTGCATTCACCCAAACACTACCTGATCCAATAAATACATATTTCTATTGTCAATGATGTGACGGAGTTTTGGTTAGTGGATATTGTGCACTACTATGGCTCGCAACACTTCAGTGTGTGGACCCATAGAAATAGTTTAAATATACTGGGAAGAGAGGCATTGCAAGAAGGACTGCTCGACAACATCAACATGATGCGAGATGAGACAGGAAAAGATCATGATATATTCATACATAGGCAGGCTATTATATGATCGGGTGCTTATTTCTGATGTGAACAACAGATTACAAAAAAATATAGGACTCGGACCTGCCACATGGATGTGTCAGCCCTCACCCCACTGGTTTTGAGAATGCA